TAGCACTGATGTTCATTACCTTTGTTGTTCCTTAAGGCGTATCCCTAGCTTGCACTATATCATTACTACGACTAGTCGGCCACCATTAGTGGTTTGGGCCTGGAATTGGTGCCCGCCGAGACAGCCCTCGTTTCATTATATATCTTATCTCAATCAATGCCCGAATGTCCGGGTCAGGGAGATCAAACCATCTCCACGGAGTAAATCAGGACGTATTGTATGTAGTACTGTACGATACTCCAAGGTCCGAGATAAGAATATGTCTTGCGTCGGACTGTAGCATGTTGCGATTTCTGTCTTTTCTTTTTCCTTCTCCTTTCCCCTCTAACTCGAATAGGTGGATGATATGCCATTTGCGGTCAGGTTTCAGTTCGGGGCCAAACCCACAGAGGCACCAGCAAACAGAGTACTTTTTTCTAGACGGCAGAATACTACCTCGATGCCCAAACCACGGAAAATCAAGATTTGGTTTGATTACTGTCTCCAGAGAATGGTATCGCCTGCCATGCCAATTCCCCCTATCTGTAATTTCGAAGTTCCATTCACTGTTCCAGAACGCGACATGGCAATCGGGCAAGCCGTCGGTAAAAGTTACCTTGGGCGCCAGAAGACAAAGAAAGATGGTCGAAGTCGAAGTCTCTAACTACGCCGGAGTATACCACCCCTTGGCAGAAAAGCGCGACCGAGGGCCTAGGGCTCGAACATACTTTCTCGCCGCCGTGACATCCTTGACCTTCGGCAATCGAGAGTCTGATCGCCGCCCAAGGCAACGCCCGAGATCCTCCCGAGTCATCTGGTCTGCCCCTGGCATTTCCAACGACCGGGTAAGGGGAGCAGCTGGTTGGGCTGTAGCAGATTGACAGCCGGTGGCTCCTCAGAACGTACTCCGCCGAGTCCTGGTTTCGAATTTGCTTCTCGACGCGACCATCGAAGGTCTTTGTTTGAAGGTATGCACCTACTGTACTATAGAGGGGGGGACGACGAGAGTATCTCCACCCCCCACGCGCAATGGACCGTCCGGATTATCCGGTTTCGTAATCGGTCGATTTGTTTGGATATACGGAGTAGTTAGATTTGGCCATGCCGGGGGTTTCTTTGTCGTCAAGCATGAAGTACGAGGGTTTTTTCCCTCTTCGGCCCTAGTGACGGAATGATCCCCGAGGGCCTTGCGAATGTCACACTGTCAAACAAAAATCCTCCTCGTTAACCTTCTTTTGTGCCTTTGGTGCCGGCGACCATTAGGAATGGCCCGTTGCCTGTCAGCTCCTGGTTCAGACCCTGGCTGCGATCATCCACCATTGACAAGGTCTCCCCTTCCCCATACTGTACTGCCAGTGGGCTTAAACTCTCGACCACCTCCATGATTCGCCTGGTTTCTAACCCGATGCAGGTAGACCGGCGACTGTTTGCCCTGTCAATGCGACGCTCGGGAGGGAGGATGACACCCTGATTCCGGATTCCAAATTCGAGGACCCAACCCCTCTGGTCTTGGTCGTAGAGTGAGGTCGTAGAGTGAGTTGACTCCGTACCGCGTACTAGGAGAGTCAATCAGTACTGCATACTCCGTACTCCGGTAACCGATCCCAAGCCCGTCGGTTGAATCCCACAGTCCAGCGTCCCGGGCCATGCACAAGCCCTCTTCAGCCGATCGTTCCTACGGTTGGAAGATCGCCTGGCGACGGGGTCAGCTCCTCGAGCTGCTCATTGGTCGATGCCGCCCTGTGGCTAGCTTCGGGGCACATTTAGTCGAGATCCGCCATGATCGAAGGGGGCAGAACTGGCAACTGACTGGCCTTGTTCTGTGCGTGGCTCATCGTAATTTTATCCTGCGTTTGGAGGGTTTTTTTTTTGTTTGATTTGATTTTTTTTTCGGGTGTGGTCTGTTCGCAGTGTTTTCCGAATTCGTATTACATGGGTAGGTACTTTTTCTCTTTCCCTTTCTTTTTCTTTTACATTTTATTTTTTTATCTCTGTACGGACTTGATTAAGATTTGTTCCATTTGGTTTCGATCTTTTCTTTGTGTACGATGGCTGATGTACGTCTCTGGGGAAGTAAGGGGAAGGTTAATCTAGATGGTACCGCGTGTATTGATCCGTGGTACTTGTATTGTGCTCGGGCAGAGAGAGCCACGGTACGGAGTAGAGACGCAATGCTAAATAGACCCCCACGGTCGAGAATCTATGTCAATGCCACTGTCAATTCAATGGCAACGTGAGCAGGAAGTCGGTGAATATTGCACCGGGCAAACAGACGACAGGACAAGGTGTCCGGGTCTGCCCGTTTGATCCTCCGTCCGGACTCGGGCGCGCACTCGACTCGGTCTCTCCGAACATGAAGACGGACATGCACCGCTATGTACATACCCAGCTGGCCTGGATGCTCCGGATCTCCTCTGTACTGCGTAATGTACGTCCATGTACAAATGCCTACGCAGTAGAGCCCTTTTACCCAGCACGGTAACTGTTGGCGGGCATCACTCCCTAATCTCTCCCCTACGATCGGGGGTACGTAAACCCCGAATCCTCCATCTGTACTCGGGCTGTATGTACATGTATGTATGGACCTGGGCACTGGGATGCTTCAATACGGTAGTAGGTAGGTACCTATGCGTACGGGAAAATCTACATTGACCTGCTCGATGGTCTAGTCCCGGCGGGGACTGGTCGCGCGGGACAGAAACGAACGAGCGAAAGCAAGAAAGAGACGAGAGGGGGAGTGTGTGTGGCCCTGACGATACCGACGGAGTCGCAGCGGGCCTGTGCGGGCTGTCGAGGCTGATGACTATTGACCCTTCGCGCAATCGATGGTCTGTGTTTCGGGGAAGGTGGGTGGAAGGTGGTACAGAACTGCAAGCCTTCCGAAAGCCTGTCTGGCCCAAAGGTTATATACCAACCGTCACTGGTTGGAGATGGGGGAAACGTAGGTTTGCTACGGGGGTAAAGGAGGCCTACAGTTCCGTCGGTTCTGTCGCGAAAAGACCGACAGTCGAGGTGTGTAGGCGGGGAAAGGGTACCCTAAGCCTAAGACTATGGCCGGCAAGCTATCGGGGCCGGTTCCTGTCAGGTGGAAAGTAGTCCGGACTCAGGTCATGCTGAAATTACAGGAAGTCGGAGGCAGGATAAAAATAAAACCAGAGAAAAAGAAAAAGAAAAGGAGCAGAGAGAGTCCGAGCTCGACAACGGCAGCGTTTGGGAAACAAACCCAGTCGTCTGCTGGCAAGCGACTGCTAATCATCGGGCCTGATCCCTCGCACAGGTGGTTAGCAGGGAGAAAAAGATAATTCAGAAATTAGATTAATTTTTATGGATTTTTTTTTTGTAAAAAATGAATAAATAAAATAAAATAAAATAATAAAAAAAACCAAGACATTGGTAGCACATCCCTGAACCTGAGTGGCGGTTACATTCCCAGGCTAACCAAAGCACTAGCGACTCGACTAACAGGCCACTATGCCTGGCGCCGTGCTTTTGTCATTCATCGGGAGAAAATACGGAGGGATGGCGGAGACCTGGCTTTCTCAAGGCAACTGTCCCCCCCGTCCAGAGGATTAGAAATACTTCGGGCATGGGAAGGAATACGAAGGCAATGACTGTCATCGGCGATCTCAGAGACAGGTGCTGGCAGTGGAGACCAATTATCGATACGCCACGGTAGAGAGCGAGAGAAGAGCAGAGTCCGGGGCCGAGGAGAGCTAGTCCACGATCTACAAATCGTGAAGAAGATAAAACACATGATAAAATGCAGATTGCCAGGCCAGCGAATTTAACTGCTTATGTGATAGGAATCAATGAATGAGGACGGAGGACGGAGTCGAAGAAATGGAATGACCCAAGGCCAACGATCCCCAGAAAATCAGATTAAAAAATAAATCCAACGTAAAAAAAAAAAGGAAAAGAAAAAGAAATCAGGAAATCAAAAAAGAAAAATAAAATAAAAGCAAAAGAAAAGAATAAATCAAATAAATGATAACAAAAGAGGGCCTGCTGCACGTCCTTCGAGCATGGCTGCAGCCGCAGTGTTTCGGCTTCGCAGAGACCAGGATGATCCATGTTGGCGGAATGGGGGGGTAATCACCGCTGCCAAATCGGGAGGCGGAGACTGTGGTGGAGGTACTTCTTCTGCTGCTGCTCTGAGATCCCATCGCGATCAATCCATCCGTTGGTCCTGTACAAAAGTCCTGGGCCTTTTTCCCCGGCCCTCTCGTCTAGTATTATAAAGACCTCATTCTTCCCGATCATTTGGTCGTTTTATTTTCCATTCCTCCTCCGATCAGTCTCGACCAAGCATTCGGTCCCCATTCTGCTCGATTTGTTCCTTCTATCTCTATCTCTCTCGCTTACTCTCTTGAGAAGTATCGATTTTTTTTCTATCAATAGTACATACATACATACTTCCCACCTACATACCCTACCAGCCGTTGGTGTCACCGTCCTCGTTTACCGTGACAAAGAGATATACTTCCATTTGCTCCCACCCTACCGCACCGCGCCTATCGACTGCGTTCTTTCGTTGGCCCAAATCGGCTATTAGCATCTCACCTGCATTACTGCTGGGGGCCTCGGAACCGTGCTTATTGCTGCCCCTCCTCCAAGTCCGGTGAGTAGCTGGATCCATCCCTGCGCAATCTTCCGATCCTCTCTCTTCGGCGGCCATTGGTGCGCCTCAGGCTGCCCGTTCTCGCCGGCGGGAAACCGCAGCAGTTGGCGGGGTTGTTTGTAGACCCGATGGTTGTCTCGTTGCCCCTCTCGCCCTGCCTGCAAGTGTCCAAGGAATCGATCCAGTAGCTAATTTTATAGTCGTTGGTGTGGCGTCCTCGCGAGGGTACAAATTGACTGTCGCTCCTCTTGACGACCTGTCTCTCCAAATCAACACGCTACAGATCTCCATGCTTTCTCTTGGTTGTCAACACTGACTTTCGTGACTTCCAAACGCCAACATCAACCCAAGCCTACTTGTTCTTGATATTCATCTCGAATCTTCGTGATCTTTCGATCTCACCATGGTGGTCAACGCATCTGTCTCCGGGACAGGAGCCGTGAAAAGGCCGGCTTCGTCCCTGCACGATGATTATGTCGGTTGGGAACATGCTCCCGTAGGTGTTCACGATCCAGTCGAGCCAAGGTGATGCTGATTCAGTGATTGTAGTCGATGGGAACCTCGATGCGCTCGTCCATGAACCTTCCCTATCCTCATTACGCCTTGATCTATCTGGATACCTCGGGAAAACTCAAGGTTTCCGAGTCTTCGTCTATCCGCGAACAGAACGGCACCGTGTTCACCCCGGAGGTCCGGGAACGGTTCTTGGAAGTCCTGGGAACACGCATCGGATACCACAAGCCGATGTTGCGCAGTATGTGATCTAATGCCCTCGGTCCTTAGTCATGCCGATGTTAACCATCAACAGGAGTCCCTGGAATTGGGCTACCAGCATATGGATATGGTCGCCCCGAGGAATTCACCCGTCAGAGAAAGAGACGTCGATCATCCTACCACAACGCTGCGCTAGACTATCCCGACCCCGTGGAGGAGCTGCCTCCCGCTTCGACAACGAACATGATCGGACTTGAGATTGGCGACGAGGAGAAGGTCCTGGAATACTACGAAAACGCCTTGAAGCATTTCCAACAGATTAACTGCCGTCTGATCGCGAAGGCTTTTATCAAATTCATCGAGCCTCGCAAGCAGGTCAAACATCCTTACAACGGAGGCAAGCCACGAGGTACCGGCCAGAAGGGTGATCCAGAGAAGACAAAGCCAGAGTGGTGGCCCGCCGGAGTCAACCACAAGGAGCCAGACCACCTGAGGAAAGACCGTTAGTGCACATGATACCTTGATTTGTACCGTTACAACGGAGACTAACGCCAAACCTACAGAGAGAGTGGCACTTTTGGTCCACATTTTGCGCAAGCTTGACCAGTCGGGCATCACCCCGGAAAAGCTCCAGGAAGTTGCACATGACGCTCGCCGGCAGCTCAAGCCCCCAGAGAAGATTGAGATCTTCGATGAGATTTTCCGAGTCCGACGGATGGAGCAGCGCTACGAGAGGGGTGAAGTTGGTATGTAACAATGAGCGGAACGATGGATGATCCAGCCAGCTTACACTTTGCCAGACGCCACCACTGTGGTGTACGTTCTCAACCGAGATTCCAGCGCCAAAGGCGAGAAAGACGCAGATGCAGCCAGCGAGCCAGACCCAAAGATGGAGGAGACGGACGAGGAAGAGGAGACTGATGACGAATTCCTGACCCCGTCTTCTTCGGCCGAACAAGCGTCCAGCTCTTTCACATCCACCGTTGACATGGGCTTAACAGGACAGGGAAGCGACAGGAACCAGCTATTCTCGCTGTCTGAACCGATCGGCCTCGGGGAGCAATCTCGGCACGAGCGATCCTTTTATTCCACTTCTTCCGAGTACGCGAATGACTATTCGTCGCCAAACATGATCAAACCACCGCCAACGACATTGGTTAGCCCGAACGAGCAAACCCAGTCGTTCGACTACCTGACACCGGCACCATTTTCAACGAGCGCTGGAGATCAGATGGTGGCCCAACGCCCATCCGCGATGCCGATGCAACACTCTGTCAGCCAATTCGATGCCTGGACACCTTCCTTCAGGCAGAACATGTTCGACCCTCTCGAGTACGGCAACACAACCGGTCAAACCGTTACCCAGTCTCATCTTCCCTACCAAATGCCAATGGCTCACACCTCGGATATAACCCACGGCCTCCCTGAACTCCGCTGCGATAAATCATCCCATATGGACCCGTTGTCTTTCCGAAGCTCAACCTATCGCACAGGATCGATGGGACACTCCCACATGGGACTCTCGCGTGAGTGAGAAACAACAAGGGCTTTGTCCTGTTTTGAACGATTTGAACGACCTGTATAGATGATCGATAGACCTTTGTTACCTGATGGCGCCCGGACTCCTATTAGCGCCACAGCTCACGTTGCACATAGCGCCTTCCGTTGATTTTCTCATTGACATTTCAGATTATATATAAATTATTTCAGCTTTCCTTTGTCGTGCACTCTATTCTGATTCAACCGCTTTGTTTTTCATCTCTCAGTTTTGATTTCTTTTTCGTCATCTGTTTAGTTGAATGAGGCCACAGAAAAGAGAAAAGAAAGACAAAAAGTGACCCCGAGGAATGGGACATCGTGCATGAGGTGGTTCGCTTTGTTTATTTGCTTTGTTTAGCACATTTGGGTTTGGATAGATTCATGGAAGCGAGGGCGCTCGAGGCGGTGTTCAATGCGTCTGGTCATCTTAGGCCAGAGCAACGATCGATGTTTATAGGTTACTGCGCGAGGTGGGCGTCTTTGAAGTGTTTGGCGGTTGCGTGTGGAGTTTTACACCTTGGGCTGGAAAAGCAGCGTGCTTGCATTTTTGTTAGATTTGAAGCAGCATTATTAGCTTTCTGTTTAATGTTATTCTTTGTTCGATCTTTGAACTTTCGAGTAATTTCCAAATAAACCCTCTTGTAAAGCTATCTTAACAGTTCCTGCCTGGGGATACTAGAATCCTGATGTAGTACGCATGGCGAGCAAGAGGGAATAATGAGAACCCCATTGACATAGTCAATCCTCGAGAGATACGTCAAGAAAACAAGCGATGTTTCAAGATTCTCTCCTCGTTACTGGACTAATTGCTGGCTCGTTTAACTACATATCACGTGTCCCACAGTGCTGCCTGTGTTTCGATCTCGTCTTCTCAACCACCCTGCAAGCCGAACCATCCAACATTCTTTTTCTATTGAATTGAATGAACGAGTTTTAGGTTACCTACTGCTAGTTACCCTCAAGGCTCTTAAGCAGCTTTCATAGACTACTAATAGGTCACCCTTTGACTCCTTGCTTTGGTACGTGGAATGAAAATGATGTTTGGATGGAACTCCATCCAGTCCTGCCAATTCCCATCTCACCAGATAAAGGGATTATCTAACACATTCTCTCAACAGTGCGTCCACGCCGTTTACCGTCAAGTCTAGCCGACAGCCAAGCTCAAACTGGAAGCCGTTAGCCCAGTATGAGCGACATCATTGGACACGGAGCTTTTCCGATCTGGAGTCCGCCAAGTCGGACACGCTTGTTGTTCTCCATGACATGATCTTCATGCTGGGATGGATGCCCCAGGTTTTTGTAAAGCCGGGGATTGCGGGGATTTGGGACTTAGCTTTGGGATGGGAGGCTGTGCTTGTCTGGGGTATAAAGTGAGCTCTCCGAGCGCTGTTGTCGGTGGATGTTGGGTTATTCTGACCAAGGCTACACAGCGAGATACTGCGGTGACAATGGCGCCTACACGTTCCAGTGTGAGCAAAGACGATGCCGAGTCAAAAATTGTCTTGGAGAATCTCGAACATGTGTCTCAGGAGGAACAGCTACTTTCTCTCTTTCCGGTGCTTCAGGACAAGACCCCGGAGGAACTGGAGAGATTGAATAAGGCTGTGGTGCGCAAGTTGGATTGGCGCTTTCTGCCCTGTGTGACAATGATGCTTCTGATGAGGTGAGGTTGGAATAAGATACGCCTCGACCAAAGAGGATAACCGCTCACTGATGTTTTCTACACAGCTACCTTGATCGGATCAATGTTTCCAACGCCCGTCTCGCAGGCATGCAGGACGACTTGCACATGACCGATACTGTCTGGTCTGCCGGGATCTCTCTTTTCTACGTTGGCTATATCATTTCTCAGGTCCCTGCCAACGTGCTCATCGCAAAAGGCAAGCCAAGCATCATCTTCCCCTCTATTATGTTGGCGTGGTCGGCCGTGACTATCTGCATGCCGGCACTTTCGTCCGGCTGGGGGTTCTGTCTCTGTCGATTCCTCGTGGGTCTCGCCGAGGGCCCGTTTATTCCTGCCGTATCGCTGCTCACGTCGTCCTGGTATACGCGGGAGGAATCACCATTGCGCATGGGGATCTGGCATGCGGGTAACACCATTTCCAACGCGTTCTCCGGTCTCCTTGCGGCGGGTATCCTTACCAATATGGATGGGATTGCCGGGCTTCGTGCCTGGCAATGGTTCATTCTCCTAGAGGGTATCGTCAGTGTTATTGTGGGGGTGTTAGCCTTCGGCTTCATTCCCAATTTCCCAGACAACACTGGTCGTCGCTGGTTTACCGAAGAGGAGACTGCGATGGCTCAGTATCGACAGGTTCTCTCTGCCGGTGGAGTCCGCGAAGATGACGATGGCAATCACTGGGGCGGAGTACTCCTGGCCATCAAGGATCCGTTTACTTGGTTCTTCTCTGCAATCCATTTCTCGCTCATCATTGCCCAGTCGTTCAAGGACTTCTTTCCTTCGGTAATAAAATTCTCGGTGTTCTTCCTCAAACGAGCAGCAGGCTTACAATTTTCTAGATTGTCGGCACGCTCAACTTCTCCGAAGTTGTGACATACCTTGTGCAGGCTCCGCCCTACTTCATTGCCTATCTTGCGACTCTGGCCATCTCATGGTCCTCCGGCCGAATGCTAGAACATTGCTGGCATATTGTTGCGCCGGTGGTTGTCGCTCTCGTTGGGGCCGTGCTCATGATCGCAACTCTGAATCCGGGTGCACGATATTTCGGGCTGGTTTTGCTATGCACGGGGCCATATGTCGGACTGAATGTAAGCCAACTATTATTCCTTTCGGGCATCATTGTCTCGTTCATCAGAAGAAGACTGACAACCGTACCCAATTCCTAGATCCAAATCGCCTGGGAAACCACCGACGTTCCACGCCCCCGAACCAAACGTGCCGCGTTGATCGCCATTGCCAATTGCGTCTCCTCCGTCTCGCACTGGTTCATGCCCTACTTCTTCCTTCGATCGCAGGAACCCAGATACGAGACCGGTGGCGGAATAATTATCGCAGGGTGTGGGTTGGCGATTATATCGGCCGTGATGACGCGGTGGTGGTGCATGCGGAAAAACAAGCAGTTGGATGAGACAGAGGCGGAGAGTGGGAATATGACTCAGTGGAGGTTTGCTACTTGATTCTGGATTTTGTCTCTGTGTGTGGATATGATATTACCGGTCTTGGGATGAGAAATGAGATGGATATGATACGAGTACAAGCATCTACGCAACTCCCTTGAACTTCGCATGATATGAACACCAGTGCCTACTCTGTATGGATGAGGGAAATACCAAGCCCTAAAAGGCCTAGAAAAACGCCAACGCATTCGGCGGACTCGCCACACCCCCAGGAACCTAAACCCCCAACGTTAGCTCCCCTCTCAATCTCGTTGAACGAAACCAAACTTACATTCAACACCTCACTCGACACAAAGAACTTATACCTCCCCAACCGCGCACACATCGCGCTCACCTCCTCAAGATCAAACAACTCCCCAATCGGCATCCCCCAGCCCGCCAGCAACCACTCATGCAAATGCCACTCGGGCCTCGTACACGGCCACACCTCAAACGACCTCGAGTCCCCGGCCACCGCGGCAATCCCTTTCTCCCAGAGAAACCGCAGCAGGGGCTCCGATGGCTCCACGCCAATATTCTCGGGCTTCTGGGTTCGGTAGCGCTCGGCCAGCGTGTCTTGCTTTTCTGGTTCAAGCCCCTCGTACTGGGCGATGTAGCCGCTGCGGATGAAGAGGATGTCTCCGCGGCGGAAGTCATCGGGTCCGAGGCCTTGCGATGCGGCGGCTTCGAGCAGCGAAGTAAAGGAGATGGCGTGGGGCGTGAATGCGTCGATGGGTGGCGAGGCGTTGGGCTGGGTGCTGGCCCATCGGTACCAGTCGATGAGGATGCCTCGGCCGGCGATGCCTTGTTTGGCGATGTCTTGTGTGTGGTTAGTTGGTCGTAGAGCTCTTGGGGTTATGGGCAGTGCTGGGATGAAGCTCACGGTGAATGCCGTTCACGGTTGAGGTCTGGAATTCCTCTGCGCTGTGGCCCATGTAGTAGACCTGCGTTTAGGCGGATATGAGCGAGTGGAAACAAAGGCCGTGGGAGGAGATGTGGACCTTTTCCTTCTGATATCCGTAATGTCGGAACCCGTCCCATTGGGAGCTGATCTGGGAATTAAACGACCACTATGCAAGTCTCTATTTAGTCTCTCTCGCTCAATACGGGCTAGAGATAGGGCAACAAGGTCCAAAATACCTCGTCGTCATGCGCAACCTTGACAGGTTCCTTGTTGATTAAGTTCACATCCAAGCCTTTGCGGCCAAGCTTGGGATGCGACGGGCCTGTCATGGACCAGCTAGAACATGCATGCGTTAGTCTCATTTCTATACTTCGCTAGACGAATCATGGATCGATGTTGATATTGAAGACGCACTTAAGCGACACCCTCTGGCCCGTCCGGATCTCCTCCCTGGCTGCCGTGGCCACCACGTCCGGGGTCAGATGGTTTAAGGTTCCGATTTGATCGTCGGGACCCCAGAGACCCCAGGCATTTCCGTGGGGACCGGCTTTGTCGAGGGGAAGACTGGAGAAGGCAGGGTGCTCGGAGGTGGACATGGTGGGTGGTGTGATGTGCGTAGGAGCTTAGCAAAGAAGCCAAGAAACGGCCATGGCTTGGGATCACTGGTTTTATAGCGTGAGATGGTCCGGACATATTCCGATCTGCCGGGTCGAGTTGACTGGTGGAGCTGGACTAGAGTGGGTTCTATTTTATGAATAGGCGTGGGGTTTGACGTATATTCGTTTCGTATCGTTATTTTTTATCGTAGGACTATGCATTTCACATTTTGTTGATGTCGTAGGGGGTGCGTGCGATGTCTATAACTACAGGGTATATTTGTACAACACACTCTTATCACCCTGCCGATCCAGCTCTTCCTGCGTAAACTGCGCTCGCACATCCTCTTCGGAGACCCCAGCCCTCTGCTTGTTGCTTCGTAAAAGGAGAAATTCGTTCGCTGCTGCCGCGATCATTCCCAGAACCACAATCGCCAAACAGGTGGCATATCCGCTTGTATAAACAGGTGCCTCTATGTCCAGGAATATATTTGTGCCGATCAGACCTGTTGGGTCAGCGTTGTCCCCAACGTCGAGAAAGGAGAAACTAAAACAGAGAATAAATAAGATATGACTTACTGCCAAAATTCCCTGCCGCCAGTAACCACGCCAACCCGATGGATCGCTTCCATGACGGTGCGAGATTATTGCCTGTCCAGGCCGAAATTCCCGGCAGTAGAGGATAAATGCCAACCTGGGACAGCACGATGGCAAAATACATAACTGGAACATGAGTGGATATTGAGGACGAGAAGGAGAAGAGAATCGCCAACCCCGTGAGCAAAATACTCATCGGCCCGATCACGAAGGGAAATCGCCATGCAAACCGATCCGAAAATCGTCCGACCACCCAGGCCGAGATACCTCCTGCCACGTAGGGCGGAATGCTGAGTAACTGAGCTCTCGCGGAACTGAAACCCAGCTCGGTGATAATCTTTGGCATGGTGAATTTGAAGGCCGACGTGGGCGCCGCGTTGGCCCAGGACATCAGGATGCCCAGGTTGACTTTCCAGTCTGTGAGCGTGGACCACAGCAGCCGCCAAGAGAACTTGTCGCCTTCTTCAGTTGAGGTGCGTACTCCGGCGAGTCGCAGACGACAGTCAACGAACCGTTTCTCCTCCGGGGTGAGCCAGCCGGCTCGTTCTGCGTTCTCGACGATCAGAAACGGCATCGCTAGCCCTGCGGCTACGGTGATGGCGCCCTCGATGAGGAAGATCCAGCGCCATCCGGCAACCCCTCGTGCTCCGTCCAGATGCGCGATGGCAAATGCTAGAAGACCGCTGAAGGCTCCGGAAAAGGCGGACGCCGTGTAGAAGAGGGCAAGGCGTTCTTGAAGCTCCGTGCGGATGTACCACGAACTGACTATGAAGACGGCGCCGGGGAAGAATCCGGCCTGTAGATTTGTTAGACCAAGGGGCTTTTTGAAGAGTCATATTTGGGGCATATCTATACCTCGACAAATCCTAGGAACACTCGGCAGGCTACCAGACCCTGGAAATTCTGCACAATTCCCATCAATGTCATGATGGTGCCCCAGCCGATGACCAGCACTGAGAGCCAAATGCACGGCCGGACCTTTTTCAAAATCATGTTGGAGGGTATCTCTACATCACGAGAGTGTTAGAAACAGCCTGGAGTGTTTTGCAATAGACTCACCAAAGACAATGTAGGGAGCAAAGAATATAGTCGACGCAATATTGTATTGATTTCTGACTAACCCCAGGTTCTTGTCCATGCCTTCAATCTTCGCATTGCCAATGTTGGCTCGATCAACATGAGCCATCAGATATAGAATGGCTAGTATGGGTATGAGTCGACCATCGATCTACCATCGGTCATCAGCTCCAGTGAGCCATTTTCCAGACCGTCGGCTATCCATACCTTGCGAATAACAGCCTTCCCCTTCTTTCCTTCGAAAGACCGCATTAGCTGTGCATCCTCTTCCGAGAGCAGGGCATATTCATCCGCGGCGAATTCACAGTGTGCGATGTCCTTTTTGTCGGCCATCTTGATAAATTCTTAGGATTGCGACGATGAAGTTCGCCGTTATTGTCGCTGCAGGCCAAGAAGGCAAAGCTTCTTATTGTAAAATTCCCCAGCAGAAGGGAATCAATCCCCACGGGGCAGAGTGGAGTCTTTCATGGTAGTCCGACGCTATCGGGACAAGAACAGGAGATAATCCGTCGGAGGATGGATATCGGAAAGATTCCGGATGAGCAACAAGCTCCGATGCGCTTCGCGATAGCAACGCCGGGATAGGATAATGTTATTTAAACAGGCGAGACTCTTGCATTTTCAATTTCCCAGAACCAAATCGATCAGATAATCCCCAAGCCGGTCGCTGCATTTCGACAACGTCACCGAAATACCCGTCATCATCATGGGCTCCATCGAACCTCATCCCTCTTACAACCTCTCGAATCCCTTCCGGGCTCGAATTCTCAATGGGCAAATCACCCCTCTCATGTCCATCAAGTTCGTCACGGGCAACGAAATGCCCATGATGTGCAAGATGGCCGGCATCCACGCCATGTTCATCGACATGGAGCATTCCGCTCTAGACATGCGCACCGTCGCCCAGTTGATTCTCGCCTGCAACTACGCCGGAGTCTCACCTGTCGTGCGGTCACCCTCCAAGTCTCACTGGCACATCAGTCGCATCCTGGACGCCGGCGCCGCGGCGGTGGTAATCCCGCACGTGGAAACCGTCCAGGAAGTCCGGGACATTGTACGCCATGCGAAGTTCGCGCCGCTGGGCACGAGAGGATGCACGAATAACCAGGCGGTCATGAATTTCCAGCACGTGCCGACTCTCATGCAAAATGAGATCCTCAACAAGCAGACGATGCTGATCCCAATGATCGAGACGCCGTCGGCAGTCGACATCGCGGAGGAAATCCTGGCTGTTGAGGGTGTGGATGGAGTGTTGGTTGGTTCAAATGACTTGTGCACGGATCTGGGCATTCCCGGAAAGTACGATAGCGATCTGTATCAGGATGCCGTGACGAAGGTGATTCAGGCAGCGAACAAAGTTGGCAAGCCCGTGGGTATTGGAGGCATCGGCGGCCGGTTGGATGTGTTGGAGAAGTGGTTCGCGATGGGCGCAACCTGGTCGTTGAGCGGTCAAGACATGTCCATCTTGCAGGCGGGGATGAAGAGGATTAATGAGAATTATTCGAATATTAGCCATAGGTTGAATAAGAAGCCTTAGAGGCGCGTTTGTGTACTTTTATCATGTCATGTATCCTTGTTAAACTGGATAGGAAGCCATAGTATACCGCTAAACTAGAAAAGAAGGTAGGATCTTTACCTCTTAGACCTGTTAGCTGAGAGAACTTTTCATTGGTTATCATTGTCGAGCGAGCTGGTAATAAATATATTATCCATAATACTCATGGATAGCTTCTCCACCTCCTAACTAACGTGGTGTCTCAAGGCATGTTGGTCGCAACCTGGGACAGCACAACATAATCCACCTATTTTCAGTCGACTTACGTCGAAAAAGGAGTGAAAAGGGAGGCAGGTCCAGGGTGCATTGATCCAAGAACCTCTGTTGGGCCCAAAAAAGGTGGATCACTGAAGGTATATTCCCCAGTCCCATCTTCTAGGTTCCAGGAGGAATGCCGCCCGGACTTGTCCCAGATGTCCCAGACGTCCCACATATCCCACGAAAGCCAATCCTGGAGAGGAAGGTCATCACCGAGCAGGGTATCCTGACACACAGATTCATTGGGTAGACTCGGCCAATGAATGTTGGGCAGAAGTGGCTGCTGGGGGTTATGATTATAAGCACTCGGTACATTCTGAGTATGAGGCCGGCTGTGCGATGTCTGAGCCTGATGATCCAGGGTCTCTTGATTGGCATGCTGGTTGTGGCTGTTCGCTGATCCTGTTACCGTGGCTCGATTGCTCAAGACCCTCGACCGCAATGACTCGTACATAGTAACATTATGGCTCGCCTCCGGTATCTCCCTGCCCATAATCTTGAGCACCTTAGCGCATTGTTCCAATGCGTGCGCAGCATTTGCAGTGGTTTCGGAGTCGTGGTCAGTTGCCACAGATATGCAAAACATAATGGACAACCCTGCAGTGAATAGCATTTGGAAGTAGCTTCGGGTGTATGTGATTGCCCTTCCTTCGAAGAGCGGACAGAATGCCATTATCGTTCCCACAGCGTACTGGAGGCAAAAGGAGCAGAGATCGCGCGGGGGGGATTGTTGTTCTCTTTTGGCACAAGGTCAATGACCTTGCGTATTAGGATCAGCCTCTCTCGCATCAGAAGGAGGTCGTACCAGTCCTGGGTCTCAAATAGACACTTAGGGTTGGTAAAAGTTGGAGCCGAACGCCGCCAGTCGTTCAGTTCAGACAGTAACTCGTCTAAATCAGCATAGATTCTTCCCCGCGCTGTGATTGATTCCATTATCGAGTCTTGATCACTACCTCCACTCGAACTATCGGTCCTTTGTTGAAACCTTGTTTGGATCTTAGACGTGATTTGCCGGAGGCGCAGACAAAGTAAAAACACCGTTATCTCCGTATGAACTGGTGAGCCCGATGTGGTGGATGATGCACAGAAGGAATCCAAGTCAGGATTCAACCCGGCAGTCTCGGCGGCTTCGATGTCTTCATCGTTCGCATCGGCCGGAAATCCGATCTTAATATCATCGTCCGCTAATGCATGCGGGCGATCGAGTATAATTGAACTATATCGTCCAATCATATAACACTCCCAGAAGACACGTCGCTGCAACTGTTCCTGCAAAAGACTTAATCTGCTTCTCTCGCTAGGACGAGGTGGGCGGTGGTAGCCTTGTTCAATGCACATTCGCATACATAACGTTGTAATTGCCCAAATTGATGTGCCTTAGGCGGATGTTAGTTTCCACATTCTTCCTCTGATCTGGGGGGAACCGCACCAATGTGATAATATATCCCAAATCTGACAACCAATAATAGATCCTGGATGGATTCCAACCCTCTGGAAAGCACAGTCGCGTCCATGTATTTCATCGCCGTCCGAAAATATCCATAAGGATGGCTTTTGTGTGCACCAGTCCGATATAAAGGAATGGATCCAATGGCAAGAATCATAAATGTTCGGAACATATCGTGATCAGATAATCCCATTCTTTCCTGTGCGGTAGGACACTCCCGCCCCGTTTCAAAGACTAAATGATACAGTTGCTGTACATCACGGCGCAGTAAAAATGGGTTTTGCACATGGGAGCCATTCAAGCTTTAATTCTAAGTTACGTTTCCACAAAGCCAAGCCGTGAGTACAGGATCACTCACTAGTTATCGAACACCGCCAATGCCTCATCGGGAGGTGGAAGAGGATTGGGCTCAACTGAGATCTCTGCTACAGCAGATGCAATAGACCATTGTTGCACTATATTTGGATATCGCTCTCTCCATTCCGGATCCATGAACAAGTAACTCATAAACCTGATTAGAGTCAGGATTTGTATTCCAATAAATGATTCAAGAGCAGGACTACCTTATACCCACTGGCCCGACTGTGTTTGCTGGCAATGTGGCACCTCTGGTCTCTTTGGATTGCTGTTCGAAACCTTCTAGCAGTGCCTTATTCCTTGCAATCTGCTGCTCTAATTTGTATGTTTGCCTGTTCTTGCCCTTGAGCACATTGGACCGTTGTGGCAGGTCGACCGAGACAGCTTACTCTCTTGAAACGGGTGCATCATCGTCAGAGACTGGAACGGTGAGGCAGTCTATACCAGATCTCATGCACGGGTTACATTTTGGTCGCGCATCGTCACACTATCAATTGGATGCTGATAAGGAGGCTGCTCTTGGGAATAATAGGCCATTGAGCGGAGGGTACCAACTTTGGCTTTCTTTGTATAGCACGACTGACAGGCAGGAAGCCGTACCGGGGCGTTGTCCTGAGCGGACATGGACTCCGACGGGCTCATATCTGGGGGAATGAAATTCTAGATTTTGACTTGCACAAATCCGGGGATGGAAATGGGGAAGTCACGCCGCGTGGGGAACCTCAGGCTGTCAGCGGGGAAATCCCCTGACTCAGCACTGACTCAGCCCTGATGCTTCTGGGGAAATCAATTCGTGTCTTTCTGTCTTTGACCTTCGAGGATCATGGAATCATTGGCATGGCAGCCGATCAGGCCATCCACCGAGCTAGCAACTCGGCTAAAATCCACCTCGGAATACCTCCGGCACATCGCACCATCTGCTGGATGGCCATCGGAAATTCTCCCCGGTCATCTTGCCGGCGGACTAGCTAGGTACACATAGTGCCCCTCACATAGCGCCCCTGCCTCTCTTCCTCACTTTCTCTGCTGGGATGAGTATTTCCGTTCGATAATTGCGGTCGGAGATCCGAAAATGGAACCAGACCGTCCGACTGCCCCTGTATCACCCAAATCTCCTGTCCGACGGAGGCCCCAGGCATGCCAGAGGTGTCGCAAACGCAAGCAAAAGGTCTTGGCCGATGACCCACAGTTGGAGTATCGGAGGCTAACAGCAGGACTGTCAACAGTGCGACCGACTCTTACCAGCATGCACGGCCTGTGTCGAGGCTGCGATCCCATGCAGTGCTCGCAGCGTACCTCTAGAACCCAGCACGGAAGAAGGAAGTGGCCTTTCCCATGCTGCAATACCAAAGTAAGCGATTGCTGTGACAAACTAGAGCCTGTACTAAAACCATTGGTAAATCAGCTATGTTGAGTCGCTGAAGAGAAAGTCGGATGAGCTCGATGGCCAGATTCGACGGCTTCGCTCACGCCTGGGTGGCGACACGTCTGTTGAAACAACTCATTCGCCTACTCAACACATAGATCCTACGCGACCGACCGACGTTTCTGATCAAACACCGATGTCCGATCATACTGAGAGGTCCGTCCAGGTTGCCATGGGTGAGATTGGATTCCTGTCTCGCAATGCTATGGCTGAGCCACGGGACGAAACTCGGGCATTCCCCCAAGAGGTGGCCATGAAAAGCATGGTTCATGCTGCCCTGGCAGTCCCAGGCACAGCCTCGCCATTTTATTCACGGGCTACTCACCATCGACTGTCCTTCAAGTCGATAGTGGACCGCGCTGATATGCTGACCCAGGATACTGCAACACCGTATGTGGACATTTTCCTAGAACATCTAGGGGCTGTCTTTCTTCACATTGATTTGAAAGAGACAAAGGAGCAGTTCTTTGCGTTCTTTGAGAAGCCTGCCGAAGGATCTTCTGATGATGCCTCCGCGACTTCCGTTTCCACCTACAGATATTTTCATGCCTACATGATAGTGGCTATTGGAATGATGCTTTCTCCTGACCATGGTATTCACCTGCTTGCAAGTAGCTTCCACGATATGGCGCGGGAAAAGCTTCCTCTTATCATGGAAACCTGTGACAATCTTACGACACTTCATTGTATGTTATTGTTAGTTCACTATTCGATGCTCAGCCCTATTGGAGGGTCCACCTGGCATCTGCTCGGGCTAGCAATGAATAAATCTATCTTGCTCAGGCTCCATAAAGAACCCAGTCCAGACTCCGGCATGTCTGCTAAAGAGATAAGCCGCAGGAGAAATCTGTTTTGGAGCATCTACACGATCGATCGGTTGGTTACCCCGTAAACTACTTTATATAGACGAGGTTAACCGTCATGCAGAATCCTGGGCTGCGTGATGGACCGGCCCTTTAGTATTCAGGACGATGATATATCTCTCAAGGTAAGCTACTCGTGCGAAATAGTTAGCATCTCTGCTGAAAAAGGCCAAGTCTCCGAGCATCAACGCCAATCCCGATCATGCATTTGGCGGCTACGTAGTTATGCACGCTAGACTGATGTCGTGCATGCGCAACTCTCCGTGTCAACGACCGGTGTTCTATTACGCTAATATATGTCATTGGCGACACACTCTCGCGTCCTCCAAAGGGTCCCCACCTTCGAGCTCTATTCCGTTCATCTGCGTCAAACAGCTCACATGTAGGGCATTAATCCAGCTTGTCAAGATTAATGGCTTTAGGAACTCTCGGGACAGTGTGATGGGAGATAGTCAAACGATTCAACACGATACAATCTCAACCTGTCAAGAATACATCAACGAACAGTATCGTCGCTCTGAGCAAGGGGTATTTTCTGGGTCTTTTATTGAGAGTCTCGACATCTTTTCCGCAGGTGTAACTGGAATCTTGCTCCCAATGACATCGTTGTTGCCAGCGCCTTCGCTAGATCCTAACCTCGTTAGCAAGTGCACGGCCTTGCTAACCATACTTGCCGAGCGGTTTACATCCCTTAAATTGCTCTGCAGAGTACTTTGGGCTCTGTCGAATGTTGCTTCACAAGGCTGGGTAGACGAGTCTGTGAGTGAATCCAGTCCCACTAGTTTCGGCCAGCTTTGACTCTATATGACCTCCAGATACTCGAAGAATTGCCCGAAATCATCCCCGATGGAATACATACGATGATTGTGGAATTTCTCCGACAGGCCCGCGCACGTCCGTAACTCAGTCATTCCTCGGACGTCCGTCGGACAGGTTCCGGGCTGCGATTATATATTGGAATTGTCCAGTTTGATTTAAAACCTACTTTGATGGGTATATCTTTTCTATCTCAGTACTATCGACTGTCTTTATTCAAACAAAAAAGGATCATGGCGCCCGGAATTATCGAAATCCCTTCTTCGGCTGGCCAATCGACCACTAGCTCCAAGCCTACCGTCTATGCACTTGACACATTTCATCCCACAGCTATAGCGCACGCTGAAACACTTTTCAAAATCATTCATCCCCATGACGAGGAGTTCAAAAACTGGAGGCAAAATGCCAGAGCTCTGCTAGTGCGAGGCTCATACGTCACGGCCGATGATATCGCCAGCTGCCCGAATTTAGTCGCCATCGGCAAGCAAGGCGTGGGTATTGATAAGATCGACCAGGAAGCTTGCGCAAAGCGAAACATTAAAGTCCTAAACACACCTGGGGCCAACGCTCGCGACGTTGCTGAGCTCGTCGTTGCACTTGCCCTATCCGTTGCACGAGGCATCCGATCGATCACCACCCGTCAGATGGTGAAGCCTGTGCCGAAAGAGACCTGTAATGGGCTGACTTTGTATCGAAGAACAGTGGGGATTATCGGTATGGGGAACATTGGAAAGACCGTGGCGGAGATCTTCCGGGGCGGATTTGATGCCGAAATCGTGGCTTACGATGCTTATATGCCGGATGATGCCTGGTCGCATATTCCCCACACCAGAGCTAAGAACATCGACGAAGTTCTTGCCAGGGCCGATATTCTTTCTTTGCACGTCCCACTCACCGAGGAAACGCGGGGTATGATCTCTTACCCGCAGCTTCGGAGCATGAAGCCCGACGCCATTGTGATCAACGCTGCTCGAGGAGGGATTGTCAACGAGGAAGATCTGACGAGAGTATTGTCGGAGGGTCACCTTTGGGGCGCAGGTCTCGACTGTCATGAGCAGGAACCACCAAGCCATGAGAGGTATGGCGCATTGTGGGGGAACCTGAATGTTATCAGCACGCCGCACATCGGAGCGGCAACCACGCGCGCCCAAGTCGCCAGCGCCACGGCGGCCGTGGACAACCTGTATCAGTATTTAGCTAAGCTGTGAGCTTTTTATGAACAACTATGTTTCTGGAGGACGAGCTCCGAAGTGTATATTCTTTCACGTTCCAAGTCAATTTGCCTTTGTCGCACGGGATCGAGGAACGCCTTCACAGTGCCAACGGACAAACTGCACGTTTCCCTTGATACTGTCTGTAATAAAGAGTGTCTTATGATCGGGACCCCCAAAGGTACAATTTGTCAAGTTCTTTCCTCCCTCCGGCGCAGTTACAATCCGCGCTTTCGGAACCCCATCCGCATCCACAACAAACACAGACCCAAGACTGGGATGACAGATAAAAACATTCCCCTCCTCATCCACCGCCAGTCCATCTGGTCCCGCATTTCCAAAAGACTGGAAGAACAACCCAGCTTTTGTGGTGGTGCCATCTTCATGCAGCGGCAGTCTCCAGACCGCATTGGACCGGGTCATGGCCACGTACAGGAATCGCTCGTCGGGGGACAAGGCTAGGCCATTGGGTGAGATACCGTTCGAGACCAGACAGTCGAGTTTACCCGTAGGCGAGAGCCGGTACACGCAACCAGTCTGGTCCGTTAGACCGGTCTGACCTTGGTCGGTGAAGTAAATGTCGTTCGTGGACGAGACAATCAGGTCATTGGGTCCTTTGAAGCGTTCGAGGTTGCGGCGCGTGAGAAGAGGCGATATCTCATTCGTGGACGGATCGAACAGCAAAATTCCCTATTTCATCCTTTAGATTGCGCTCGATACGAAGCGCCTGATGAGGAATAATGGCTTACCTGCTTGTAATCTGCTACTACGAGACATCCATCTCCTCGCACGACGAGTCCGTTAGGTTCGCCGTCCCAGCGTACGCATTCCGTCACCTCCTTGTCGGGGTTCACCTTGAGGATCCTTCCATATGGTACGTCGACCAGGTAGAGATCCCCGTTCGAGACATAGGTCGGTCCCTCGAGGAAAATGTCGGCCATCGGCGTGGCGGATCCGCCGCGCCATTCGGTGGGCTGGCCAGTGCATCGGATCGAGTCGGGGATGCGGATATAGGTTTCCGTTTGAATGACGGGAGGGACAGGGTAGAAATTCATTGGTCACGATCCTGATTTGTGTGGAAAGAAGGACTCGAGTCTGGGCACGCAAGGAGCGGTCAGTCTATCTCCATTGCTGGGGGAGCCATGTTATACCCCGTGGGAGAGCCGGATATTTTCCGATGGAGGAGCGACTCCGCGGAGAGAAACGAGTTACCCCAGTGCAAGACGGTGGGTCATGCACTAGATGGCCTGTGCATCCCTGTGCCTCTCTGGGGTATTATTTTCCTATAACAATATCCCTTGCAACGGAGGACCATGGGGATGGGATTGCTTCGGCAGAACAGCCTCCCCACGCTCGTCTATTATCACGAACTCACACCATGGGTCTCATCACAGATGCCAGAAAGGCGATGAAAGATGCACCGGAGGGAACTTTCAATGCCTACGTGTTGATGTGTACCTGCGTCTTTGCCTTGTCTGGAGTGTCGAAAGGATTTGACGAAGGTGAGCAGGCTTCATTATGAGATGCATCCTTGTTTGTCAACTGATTGAGATCTTCTCTAGGAAATATCGCATCCCTGGTCACACAATCCCGGTTCAAAAGCACTTTCGGAGTCGACTCGCAGTCTGAGGAAGAATATTCCGATACAAAAGGATGGTTGGTATCGATCGCCACGGCAGGGGCGGTCTTTGGGTGCTTAGGCGTGAGTTAAGCTCTCTTGGCTTGGATTCTTGGGAAAGTGAAAAAGGCTTATCCTGACGACGGTGTCAACTGAATAGTCTTCCCCTATCAATGATCGACTCGGTCGACTTTGGACCCTTCGCCTCGTGACTCTGGTCTATATCGCTGGAATTCTCGGTCAAGGTCTGTCCAATGGGAATCTATCTGGTTTCTACGCATCCAGATTTATTGCAGGACTGGGAATTGGGCCATTGACGATTGTGCCACCCATTTACATTGCGGAGGTATGATCCTTTTGTACCAATGAGTTCAATTTTCCATGCTGACGGTGTTGTCTAGATCTCCCCCAAGTCCATCCGTGGTCTTCTCATGTGTCTCTACGCAGCCTGTCAGCAGCTAGGCGTTGTGCTGGGGTTCTTCATCAACTATGGGGTAACCAAACGTTATCCTGGCATTGACAAACAGTGGATGCTGCCCACGCTGCTTCAACTCGTCCCGGCCATTATCTGGAGCTTGGGCACCTTCTTGTGTCCGGAGTCTCCGCGGTGGCTGTTGTACAAAGGGAAGCGAGAACAGGCCATATCCACTGTCTCCAGACTCCGATACTTGCCCTGTGATCACTCCGTCGTTCTTGCCGAGTTGGCCGGGATGGACCGACAGATTGAACACGAAATCGAAGCCGTCAGTGACGCTCGCCTCTGGGATCTACTCAAAGAAACCTTTGTCCCGATTGAGAACCGTCGTCGCTTCGCTTTGATCTTCTTCGCCACTCTTTTCTCCCAATGGTCTGGTGCCAATGCTATCACTCAATATTCCCCAACCATCTTCGGCTATTTGGGAATTCAAGGCGACGAAGCCAAGTTCCTTGCGACAGGCATATACGGCATTGTGAAATTCGTCAGCACCTTGGCCTTTGCCTTGTTTATCGTCGACTTCATCGGCCGACGTCGATCTCTGATCACTGGAATCTGTTTGCAACTCACAACGTTGATCTTCGTCGGTGCGTATCTCGGCGTGACCAGCCATATGACTACCGACGAGGTTCGCGATCTGCCCAGCGCCTCGCGCACCTCGACGGCCGCCATCGTGGCCATCTTCCTGCACGCTGTGGCCTGGAGTATTGGATGGTTCAGTATCCCGTACCTCATCAGCTCCGAGGTCTTCCCGATCCGCATCCGTTCATTGAACGTCTCCATCTCCATGGCGTTCCACTGGGGATTCTACTTCGGGTGTTCGCGCGCCATGCCGAGTCTCTTGTCTGCCACCCATAAGTGGGGTGCGTTTGTATTCTTTAGCTGTATCTGTTTGATCTCGCTAGTCTATGTGTTTTTCGCGATGCCGGTTTGTTCTTTCTCGCGCTTCCCAGGGTTAAGTTCTGCATGCTAACTTACGATAGGATACTACCGGGCGGTCGATTGAGGAGCTGGATCAGCTGTTCCAGCGGCCTTGGTATACGGTTTACAAGGTGGCCTACCCGACGCGAGATGAAGTTCAGGTGAGAACCGTCGATGAGAAGGCAGTTATTGATGGGAAGGCCGAGTATGTGGAGCGGGTGTAGGGTTTGAGAGGGTAAATCGTGTTATCAACGCAGTCTCCCATGTTAGGTGAAGCATTTTGGACAAGTCGGTCAAGTAGAATGGTATCATATATTGGAATTTGTCTGTCTAGTTCTTTTCATACCAGCCTTCCTATGCCCGGAAACGAGCATAACTCTTCGTCCTCTGGATCCACCTCAAAATCGAACCTCACCAGATCCTCCTTGTACGGAAACATGTATGTACTCGTCACCCTGTCCATAGAAACGGAAGTCAGAACCCGGCATACGAAAGATGCGATCGGACGAAACCCACCGGTGATGCTCATCACTAGCCTGATACTCCGCCAGCGCCTGGCGATTCTCGTGGTAGCTCACCAGGGCGATCTCAAAGCCTTTGCTTTTCTCGATCGGGTCGGTAATCGAAGGGCCGCCGACGATGAGACGGCCATTCTTGACGCAGGGTAGATTCTTCAGGGTTTTGAGCTCTGAGACGAAAGTCTGCTTGTGCTCTGGGGTTACTTCGGGGCGGAATTTGAAGAGGACTATATAGTGTGGTCAGACAAGATCCTTCTGTTGTCGAGGGAGGGGGGATCTCCAATTACGTACCGATGTGCACTACTGTCATGATGAGAGGTGTGTGTGGGAGTAGGGAGTGGGGAGTAATCTGGGGTGAGTGTAAATATATTTTGTTATAGTCAAGTCGAGTGGAAGTCTAAGGGTCTTATACTTGGAGTCAATGTGTGCTGCCGCCAATAGGAAGTCTCCCGTGTCTTCGGCAGCGGATGGGCGCCGCTCCTCGGACGGAGTTGGTCCGGTTCTATACCAACTTGATTTACAAGGGACTCGCTCTCAAACTATATTTTCAATGATTCTGTATACACACACAACATATCCGCCGCATAAGCCCCGCCAACAATCACCGCACAATATACTTGGTATGCGATCCCTGCGCCACGACCGCCAACTCGCCATTCTCCTTCCTCTTCGAAATCACAACAGTAGTGAAGCCCAGCGTACGGCCCACGCGACTCGTCCGGCCCTCGATTTCCAGCTCCTCGCCTTCCTTAGCGGTGCTCACGTACGAGATATGCATGTCTGTGCTCAGCCCCGTCGACTGCAGCCCGTGGGTAGCGATCGCTAGCCCGCCGGCCCAGTCCAGCACACACGCCGAGAAGGTGCCGTGCAGCGTGCCCTTGGAATTGATCTGTTTCTTGTTCACGCGTATCGTCGCGCGGATCACCCCCGTCTCGGCCGCGTAGATGACGGCCTCGTCAAGCAGGAAGGCGTAGATGGGGCTGTTGTTCTGGATGCGCGTGCGCACGCCCTGCACGTGAGCTAGGATGTCTTCGGGGGGCGCCGTGGTCATGGTGGAATAGAATTGAGAGGGTAGAATTGGAGGCTGGTTTGTGCGGGGTTGGCAACACAGCGTTGTTCGTGTGAAGAGGATTGGGTGGAAGTGAATTGAATGGAGTTGGTTGGAGTAAGTCAAATCAGCGGTGCGGCGACGCCTTTATTAATCCGCTTCGGGGCATCTCCGCAGTGCGGGTGGAGTCCGTCTTTCGGAGTAAACAGGAGTATCACCCGTCAGGTATGTTCGATTGGAGGAAGCCCTACTCAACAGTCCAAAATTGGTCCTCTTTTTTGAGGACATAGATATCAATCTGCAAGTAACAGGCAGGCACACCTAGATGACTTGTAGTAAATAAGCCCAAACCCGGGACCGAAGGGGACCTCGCGCAATCCAACCCCGATATATATTGTGTAAATCAATTAAATCATCCTATGCTTACACCTATTCATCCAAACTATTATGGCATGTACTGCAATGTCATTCATTCGTTGGACAACAATCTTAACATAGATCTCTATTCTACTATCAAAAGAAATCAAACTCTCCCTGTCGAAGAAGTGATGCCTCCATCGACCACAATCTCCTGCCCCGTGATGTATCGCGATTCATTCGCGGCCAGAAACAACGCCGTATGCGCCACGTCCCAAGCATCGCCCATGCGTCCTGTCGGCACCTGCGCATCTCGCATCTCCATGTACGCCTGTTCGTCTCCCCCCGGCGCGTACCTCGTCGCAAGCGCCTTCGTATACGGCGTGGCAATCAACCCCGGCACGACCGTATTCAACCGCACTCCTTTCCCGGCATACACCACGGCAGTCGCCTTGGTGAACTGCATAATGGCCGCCTTGGTTGCCGAGTACGCCACCTGAGGCTTTCCAATGTATCGCAAACCCGCAATGCTGGCGATGTTCACGACGGCGCCGCCCGTCTCTTGCCGCTCCATGATGGACAGAACGGCATGGCATGTCAGGTAGACACTTTTCAGGTTGATGTCCATCTGTGAATCCCAAGTCTCTTCTGACATGGTGGCCGGGCAGCCGGGTTCGGATCGCCCGACGTTGTTGACGAGGATGTCGATGCGGCCGTGTCGCGCCATGCAGCTGTCCACGAGTCCCTGCACCGATGCGGCGCTCGTCACGTCTGTCTCTTGCACGTCGCATATCCCTCCTTCGTTCTGGATCCGAGCTTGGGTTCGAGTAGCCGACGCCAGGGACCGGTTGCCGCCGTATATGATTGCGCCTTGTCGTGCGAAGAGCGTCGCGATGGCGGCGCCGATGCCCCAGCCTTCGTCGCTGGTTTGGCCGAGGCCGGTAATCAGGACGACTTTGTTTTGGAGGTCGAGCATGTTGTGAGGGGGATGTTTGAGAGAATGATTACCTCGAAGAAGGTGGAATGATGCTCTGGACCTGAGTTATTTAGGGCTCAGGACTTCGGATGTTTCCGAAGAGCGGGCGCGGAGCTTCCGCAACTCGCGGACCGCTGCCGTCTCACTCTATAGCCCGAGGTTATTTGGTCTATAAACCGAGTGATTTAATGCACACCCCAGGCCCTAGTCTCTTTGGTCTTTCTTCGATATTCAGACTCTCAAGACGAACCTCAAGCCATGTCAGAGCCAGGCCAACCCCCGGATTATGATCTGTCTAACCCCATCACCTCGACTACCGGTTTCCGACAAGGCCTCACAGCCTACGGAGACGCTCACTTCTCCCTATTTTTAAGGAAAGTGTTTATCAAGGCGCTCGGATACTCCGAAGATGCGCTGTCCCGTCCGATCATCGGGATAATCAACACGGGCTCGGGGTTCAACCCTTGCCACGGCAATGCCGCCCAATTGATGGAGGCGGCAAAGCGCGGTGTCATGCTGAACGGTGGCATTGCTATTGATTTTCCCACGATTAGTCTACATGAGGGATTCTCTCACCCCACGAGCATGTTCCTACGAAATCTGATGAGCATGGACACGGAGGAAATGATTAGAGCGCAGCCGGTCGATGCTTGTATCATGATTGGTGGTATGTCCTTCTGTTTTTGATATGCAATCAGCTGTCGAAGACATTGAGCTGACATGGGCAACTACAGGATGTGACAAGACTGTCCCCGCCCAAATCATGGGAGGCATTTCGGCCAACAAGCCTGTTCTTCCGTTGTTGACTGGGCCTATGATGCCGGGCAGCCATCGGGGCAAGCGAATCGGCGCTTGCACTGACTGTCGGAACAACTGGGCCTCCTACAGAGCTGGGACCATTGATATGGAGGAGATTATGGCTGTAAACGAGGAATTGGCTCCAACTGTGAGTGTTGTCTAGTTTTGCGATCTCGCATCCTGCTGACAGGCCCTAACAGATCGGGACCTGTGGAGTCATGGGCACAGCAAGTACCATGGCGTGCATCACGGCCGCGCTCGGCCTCATTCCTTTGAATGGAGCTTCTGCACCGGCTGTCTCTGCAACCAGGCTGCGAGTCGCCGAACAAACCGGCGCCAACGCCGTTGCAGCTGCAGAGAAGCAAAGGGTCCCGCAGAATGTACTATCCAAGGAGTCCTTCTACAACGCAGCCATTGTTCTCCAAGCGATTGGGGGCTCCACCAATGCAATGGTTCATCTCATGGCCATCATTAATCGTCATCCGGACATCAAAGGCAGCGTGACCTTGAAAACGCTCGATGACATCGGACGAACCACCCCTCTCCTTGTGGACTTGAAACCCAGCGGCGATAACTACATGATTGATTTCCATAATGCGGGAGGGATGCTCTGCCTCTTGCACCAGTTGAAGCCGTTACTCTATCTTTCTGCACGAACAATTACCGGGGAAACACTAGGCGAGCTGCTTGATCGCAACCGTTTCCGAGATTTTACGTACTCACGCACCATAATTCGTCCACTTTCAGACCCGCTGTATCCGCGTTCATCTCTCGCAGTGTTATATGGCAACATAGCGCCCAATGGCGCGGTAATGAAGGCCTCCGCGTCGAAAGATAAGCACCTCCTTCAACATACCGGCCCAGCCGTGGTGTTTGAAAACTCAAAAGATCTCGCTCTGCGCCTTGACGATCCGAAACTTGAAGTAACGGCGGAGTCGGTTCTCGTGCTCAAGGGCATCGGTCCCATTGGGAATCCCGGTATGCCCGAGGCAGGGATGATTCCAATCCCACGAAAACTAGCCGCACAGGGGGTAACGGATATGTTGCGGATCTCTGATGGTCGGATGTCAGGGACTGCCGGTGGCACTATTGTCTTGCATATCTCGCCTGAATCGGCAATCCCGGATTCGCCCTTTGGGGTTGTTCAGTCCGGGGATATGATTGTGTGCGATGTAGAAAGTCGGAAGTTGGAGTTGCAGATATCCGAGGAGGAGCTGAAGGCTCGTATAGCTGCGAGGAAACTGAAACTGTCGAGCACTGGTGCCCGTGAGGATCCGTCGCCGTGGGTTCAGAGACAGACTCGACGAGGCTATCGCGGTCTCTATGAACGGACCGTGAACCAGGCACATGAGGGGGCTGATTTCAGTTTTCTCACTGCTACTGGTGATTAACTTGAACGCTTGCCCTTATTATTGTCCATTCTTGTGTGCATTCAAAGTACCCAAAGCCGAATGTTAAGCCTACCATTTGTGCTGAGTCTGTAGCGGGGAGGGGGAAGGAAGGAAGCCAAAATTCAATGCAAAAAGCGACAAGAAACGGTCCAATAGACTAATGCGCAAACCCTAGTCTAGCTTGGTTGCCATGGATTTGATACTTGCGGTAGTGGCAACATCGATTTACACTAATCAACCCAGGATCATCGGTCACTTAACCCTAGTGGGCGACACACGTATCAGAACCCACCGAACGTGCAGGGCGAAGGGTTGAACGGGTTTGTTTCCTGGGCTGATATTAATTGCAGCCAAGGATCGGAGCTTGGATGGTGTCGAGCAACCTGGGGAAATCTTTGTTCGCCGAGCCAGAGCGGCATGTTAATATAAAATGTGGACTACTACCCATTGCAGACCGTTCCAGGCACTAGAATGAGACCTTTCCATTTTGAATTAAGGCTTAATAAAGAATCCTACTAAGAGCTATCTGTCACTGTTTCTGAGTGATGATAAGGCCTGTTGGTGTCACGCTTCTTTTCGCCAGTCTGGCCCAGATGGCTTCTATGTGAGCGGAAGCCCTATGTCCCAGTCTTTTCTCGACGCAAAAGAGCAATCTGATAATTAGCCTCACAGGGCACCTACTGCCGGGGGACAATACCACTGGGTTTCAGAGTTCGCACTTCGACGCTGTCAAAAGTTCCTAAGTTATACTACTGGTCTGCATCGCTATCGCCATACAGGTCATCTGCAAGAAACTTACTGACGAGCCCCGGAATAACGAAGGCTGGCTGTGTGCGACTGGCTGGGAATGTGCCATTGCTTCCATTGCGTTTCTGGGCGGCACGATCATCCAAGGACTGGCTGTTCTCACTATCCCGACTACGTCTTCGAGCTCATCAACATCGGTTCAACCGTGGCTCTCAACGCCTTAATCACACTCACTATCGGATCGTTGCTCAACTCTTACATTGTCATCGTTGCCTGTGTCGCCTGGAGGAGGATTTCAGGGGAGCCTCTTCCCCCTCGTCATTGGTCTTTGGGTCGATGGGGACCTTCTGATCAATCTTGGAGCGCTGGCCTTTCTTATCCCGGAATTCGTCTTTGTCATGTTCCCTCTCACTTCCTCGGTGACGCCGGAATCGATGAACTGGAGTTTGCTCATGTATGGCGGGATGTTGATCTTTTCGATTGCCTACTACTTCCTCTACGGACGAAAAACGTATGTTCCGCCGGTTGCATTGGTGAAGCGTGAGGCTTGACGTTGCTTCCTTGGGGTCTATGAGTTGTCCTTCATCGGAGATGACCATGACTGGATATGAAATCGCAGCATGGCACACGTGCTTATTGCACGTCTCTGGTGTACTATTCTATAAATATCCATACCATTTAATACCCCATTGTGTCCGCCTCGTCCTACGTCATACCCCCAAGTACTATATAGTTCAGATTATCTCGATCCCTAAATGCCCCCACGCAACGCTAACAACAATCCAACTTTGCTTCAGCCATAGCCCTCTCCAAATGATTCATTCTGTTTCACGCCACAACAATTACTCATTCTGACTGTCGCAATGACTCACGGCCAGCACAGCCCTGGTCAGCCTGCGGTGGGGCGGCCTGGAAGCCTGGAAGGCGGTGGGGCCTTAAAAGCGAGGCCGCGACGGCGGGGTTTTGCCGCATCGCAAGTCTTGCGACGATCCGATTCTCTTCTGCATTCTCTCCAGCGTCCTCGTGTCTCGTGCTAGAATGGTCGCGCAACCCCCCTCCGTGGAGGATCTCCTCAAGAGACAGCTATATAGTAAGTCATCTTACAGAGAGTCTGCTGAAAGACGATACCTCAATGTCGATCGCTAACGTGCACGCTGCTTAGTCTATGACCTCCCGCAAGAACTCCTCTCGACTCTGACGACAAAGACCGAGTACCAGCCGACGACCATCCCCGAGTCTAAGGAAGAAGAGCGCCCGGAAACTCCCCAGGAACATGCCATCGCGACGTCCACCTTGTGCTCGCTCTGCAAGGTGTCGTATCTGAATGTGCAGGAGCAGCGCGAACATGCACGGTCGGATCATCATAAGTACAATCTGAGGGCGCAACTGAGAGGACATCCCACCCTGGATGAGGTTCAATTCACCAAGGCGATCGGGGAACTCGACGAATCGATATCCGGGTCCGAATCGTCTGAACCGGAGGATGAAAAGGACGAAGGGCAACTCGCGGCCTTACTGAAAAGGCAGGCCAAGTTGTCCCAGGCGGCCGAGGATGCCGAAGACGAGGATTCGCCGAAGCGGAGGACGGCTGGGAAGCACCCTCTGTTTTGGTTTTCGAGCTCGACTCTGCCATCCAACACTTCTCTGGGCATCTACAGAGCCATGTTCTCGAACGTCGAACAAGATGAACCTGGGCACCTCGTCGATACCCTCCGAAAGAAGCAACTCGCGCCAATCCAAGCGCCAACCAGTGGACAACCCAAGCCATCCGTATCTTCCAGTCCGCATATCTTTATGTGCATGATTGGAGGCGGTCATTTTGCGGCAATGCTCGTATCTTTGGCCCCGGAAATTCATCGGAAACAAGGCGGCTTTGAGGAGAGACAGGCTCGTGTGATTGCGCACAAGACGTTCCATCGCTATACTACTCGACGGAAACAGGGTGGATCGCAGTCTGCCAGTGATGCGTCTAGAGGGGCTGCTCATTCCGCAGGTTCTAGTTTGCGTAGGTACAATGAAGCTGCGCATGAGAAGGAGGTTAGAGAGCTGCTCGGGGACTGGAAGCAAATGATCGATGACGCCGAATTGTTGTTTGTTCGGGCCACCGGCAGTACCAACCGAAGAATTCTTTTTGGCCAACATGATGGCCAGGTCATGAAGCACAATGATCCAAGGATCAGAGGATTCCCATTCAGTACTCGCCGGGCTACTCAGGCGGAGCTTATGAGATGTTTCAAGGAACTCACTCGCGTGAAGGTCAGCCAGGTTGACGAGGCAGCGCTCGCCGCGGCCGAGGCCAAGCAACGAGAGGAGGCATCGAAGCCCTCGACTCCAAAACCGCAACCACAGAAGCCCAAGCTCTCGAAGGAAGACGAGGCCGCCATTCTTCACACGACCCAGATACAAGCCCTCATTCGCCGTTCCAAAATCCCCGCCTTACTTTCCTACCTCTCCAAGAACTCCATTCCCCCATCTTTTACCTTCCTCCCCTCCGATTCGCAACAAAACTTCCGTTGTCCTACGCCCCTTCATCTTGCTGCCAACACGGACTCGTCGTCGATGGTTTTAGCTCTTTTGACGAAGGCCGACGCTGATCCAACGGTAGTCAACACTGAAGGACGAACGCCATTCGAGCTTGCCGGAGATCGGGCCACCCGTGATGCCTTCCGCGTCGCCCGCCACGAACTCGGAGAATCCAGGTGGAACTGGGACGCTACTAAAGTCCCATCAGCCATTTCAAAGACCGAAGCCGATAGCCGGAACGAACGAGAACGGAAGACCGCAGAAGAGGAAGAATCTAACCGGCGAAAGGCGGAGATTGATCGCATTAAGAAGGAGGACGCTGCCCGGGACGCCTCTCGAGTCACAAAGAAAGGCGGTCGATCACTGGGAGCGGTTGAGAAAACCGCTTCTGAGAAGAGGGAGGAAGAGATGCGAGGAATGACACCGGAAATGCGAATGCGACTGGAAAGAGAGCGTCGCGCAAGAGCGGCCGAAGAACGTATTCGGCGGATGCAAGGGAACTAGACATTGTTGAAAGGCATATATGTTGAGATGACAATGAGACACGAATGAATAGAAGTCAACACCAGACCAAATGATACCATCCCGTTGTGTAAATGCATATCGTTGAGGTTGAGCATAAAGATGGGCAGGAGCAGGTGACCGGCCCCGTCTGGCGGTGTTTCCTCGCTGCTCTTTCTTTGACTTGGCCCTGATCTCCCTCTTACTTCCCCATCACAAACAACCATCATTATCTCCCTTCTAGCCTGTCGTTCCATGTCATATTATCTATTATACTAAATCATTGACACTTTTTATCACTATAATCCATCATTCTACTACGCAATGACCAGCCATCCTCAATTCCTTCTCCCTGAAGTAGGAGTCTCTGAAGTACCTCATACCCCCTGCTATGTCGGTACTATAGCAGAGTGGAATCCAGAAACCGAAACATCCTCCCATTCCTTCCCTATGAACAGTAGCCAGGAGGTTTACGTTGGTCGTAACTTATCATCCCGGTATGTGTACTTATGGACAGTCTTGCATTACATATGCCTTCCCGCTGATAACTCCCAAGCGACTACAACCTGGAAGACCGCTACGTTTCTAGGAGGCAACTTCGCATATATACGATCATCTTCGACCGAGATAACCCCCAGGAACTTGCACCCCTGGTCTACGCCCAGGATCTGTCGAGAAACGGTACCCTTTGGAATGGATACTTCATGGGAAAAGGGAATGGCAGTTACCTGCTCAGCGATGGTGACATCTTACATCTGCGCCCCGGAACTTCTCTCCGTTACACTTGCCGTGATAATCGGAACCAGGACCGCCTGGATACCCTTCAGAGCATGGAATCAAGGGTGAGACTATAATAGCTTTCGCTGTGGAGTGTTGCACGAGTACTTAAGACTTACTATTGCAGGCTTTCGGGGACAAATATGTCATCACGCAACGAATACTAGGCTCTGGGGCGTATGGAAAGGTGCGCATGGCGTTTCGGAAAGATACCGGTCAACAACTTGCTTGTAAGATCATTGATCTCAGGGTATTGAAAGAAAGATTTATCCGAGAATTAGAGGAAGAGCCACGGTCTAGGTTCTTTGACTCCACCAAAAGGAGCAAGGTGGTGGCTGTTCGTCGACTAAGAACCCTCGAGGAGAAGCTGGCAGTTTATGACCGGGAAGCTGAGATATTGGAGGGACTTTCTCATGTAAGTTTACGAGAAGAGATGGAGATGCATTTGACTCATGAATCTGCAGCCAAATATCATTGGCGTCGAAAGGGTCATCAAGTCCAGTAATACAATGTTAGTTTGTGATGGTTCCTCATATTTGTGCTATCTAACTGAGAAATGGATAGTTACCTCTTCCAAGACCTGATCACAGCAGGCGACCTGTTCTCCTTCATCCAGTACAAGGGTGGGAGGCTTCCTGATATCGAAGTAGCCGTCATCGTGCGCCAGATTTCCATGGCCTTGGACTACCTGCATGACCGAGATATCGTCCACCGGGATCTCAAACCCGATAACATTCTCATGACATCACTGGCCGATGGGTGTAGAGTCGTTCTCACTGATTTCGGATGCGCTCGATTTGTACGGCCTAGACTAGAGAGGATGTCGACAATCGTTGGCACGTTGGATTACAGTGCCCCGTCAGTACCCTTCTTCGAGTCTGGTGCAGAGTTGCTAAGTAAATTATAGAGAAGTTCTCCACGAGACCGATCAAGGCTATACAAAAGCCGTTGACCTCTGGTCTTTAGGTTGTGTTACTTTTGTCCTTCTCACTGGTGACATCCCGTTTAAAGATGATTTTACTGGGACTAGCCGTTTAGAAGTCGCCCAAACCACTGGTCTGGGGCAGCTGGAAGCCGATTTTCAACGGAACCACACTGGGGAACGTGCGGCAGATTTTGTCCGGCGACTGCTTGTCCTCAATGAAATGGAACGAATGGATGTAAAGCAAGCTCTTGGCCATGACTGGTTCAGCAACCCAGCGCACAAGGCGGAATTTGACGCTCTTTATTTGCGGTCAATTAAGAACTGGAAGCCTCGTGAGCGCAATGGAGAATTGACGATTCATTTGTCCGATCTTATAAATGAATCTGAGAGCTCCGCGGAAGCCCAAGGTTCTCAGTCACAATTATCAGATGACACAAGGCGGGGGTGGAGTCCCCAAAGAAACCACACATTCGATTCTACCACCCTTTCGGACCCAGACCTCCCACCGCTTCGCAGGATGAAAGATCCACTGACCTTTGTCCGTGAAGGAATAAGCAGTCAATCTCAGACGAACTCTCCCATTGACCCAAACTCAAGCTCTAGAATATCTACTTCTCCACATCAAGATACGCAAAGCTCTCATGCGGATGATCGTCAAGATGCAAAGGTGATAAGAAGAAGAGTGACTTCCGATTACCAGTATTATGATGTTGCCAAAGCCCAGGTCTTAAATAACAAAGGCTTAGAGGACCAACCGAGCCCTATTCACGGGGATGACGACGATGGCGAGGTATATGAGGAAGTTAGCAACTGTATTACCGGGAAGAAACCGCGTCTTGTCTATGGGGCCAACGAGTATCGAGAGGACAAGAAGTAAATTTTGCGGAGATCCTGGTTAATGATGGGCAAATCGCTGGCTAAATCATTGTGTGCACGGTGTACTTCTTTACTTAACCGGAATCAAGTCTAGTTATTGGCAGGGTGTCTGAGCATCATATCCCTTGGGAACGTAGAGATTAATTTCGATGTAGAATGGCTTTGGATAGTTCAACTGCTACTGAGAATCCGGTTCAAAAGGCCTTGCAGGCATATTATATACGATGATATTAGGGGGGAAAACACTGTTTGATAGAGTTGAGAAGAGGAGGGAGTTCACGAGCTAGACAAGGATAGTCATAAAAAGGGAGGGTAGGAAGGAAAGCTAGCTCGTTCTCCCACCAGTGTTGATTAAGCTGGTTGCTACAGGGGCTAAGACCGTGAAGTCACGCTGGCCCCCTTGAGAGGTCACCCGAGCTCGAGGATCTCGTGATATGTAATCGAAGGAGGGGGGCCCTTTGCAACGAAATTCAGGATGGGATGAGACATTACGTGTGATGACGGTGCGGGCTTCTGTTGCTGGAGCGTATTGTCGCCTGTCCGTTGGACGTCACCGTAGAATATTGTAATACTATGAGCGAGGGGGGTAAGATGGGATCCAGGACTGCTGGTTGTAGCCAGTGGTATAGGTGTCTATAAGCAAGGTAGGGACACTGGTGCGTCCATGTCGGTCAGTATTATTCATAGCGGTACCGTGCGAGTGGAGAAGGAAAGTCAGACCCTAGATGATTAGTTACGAGCTATTGGTATTGGTTTGACGGGCAAGACGGTGTAGGAGGAGCCTACTGATGCAAGCAGGGTTCCTCATGCACTCCACGGCCGCAGACTTCGGTCCAATCTTGGGTTCTAGAAGTGAGGTCTGGACCTAAGGGCTGCCGATCTTTTGAAAGTAAAAAGAGGTACGGGATTCGAGACTCAAGGAGGCGACCGGATTGCCAATCGAGTCCTCCATGTGGAAAAAGGAGCGGTCGAAGAGAAAGTACAGGGTAGCATCCACGGAGGAAAGGGATCCTGGACGGTTTCACGGCTCGTACTCCAAGAACAAGGACGTGCATGTGTCAGCGTGATGTGCATACCCGGACGATGGGGCGACCCCACTGTTCGGGGATTTGTGTGCTCTGGTTGCACCTGTTCCTAGTGCCCCTTGCATGACGTGGGATACCGTTCGGGGGCGGGTGGCTGGAGTTCGCGTCCTCAAGTGGCCTGGCGATTTTACTGGACCGTCGTAAGCTGATTCCCAGCCTTCTGTTTAGGCACCCCTAGTCCGAGGGAGCTTTTGCCCTGTCAATGGAAGCAATTATCGTAGTCGAGGGCACAGGGATAGTCCTAGCTCCTGGTTGGTAGGTAGATTGTATCCGTGGTTGTTGCTGGCAGATGACCAGACGCCATCTTCTGGCATATCTTCCAGGTTGCATGATCACGGCCTTGGCTTTGCGCCAGTCCGCATCTCAGCACCCTGGCGTGTTCGTAGAATTTGTGACAGTAATCTCCGAGATAATGCAAGCCTAAGCGGAGTGGGCATTCGTCATTACAACTTTTCCGAACAGCAGTTCGCATCAAGGCGCATGACGCAAGGGGCAGCCCAAGGCACTTTCAGGCCGTCAAAGCGATGGCTGGACTTGAAAAATGGAAAGACAGGGCGGGTTTGACCGGGGCTCCACCACTCCAAGGGCAGGAAGCAAAGGAAGACCGACAAGCGTCATTGCCATTGGGCCGATCTTCCGTCAATGGCCACATTCCATCATGTCTTACCATCGGAAAGAATGGAAGCGTGGTCGGGACCCTCCTCATGAAGTCAGGGTGATTCTCGGTGGGTCGTTCGATAAGATGGTAAGGTGTATGGAGTAAAAGGAGTGAGTGAGTGCCTGACCTAGCAAAATCCAGCCTCCAGATTAAATTGCATCACCTGAGGCAGCTTCCGGGGCTACGATTGGCTGACGCGCGAGGGTGTTTCGAACGCGCAATAGACGCGTTCGCGACGCGTCTCGCGTTTCAATATAGCCGGATCTGGAAAGAGCGGGGTGAGTCACGGGGAAGAAGATGAAGTCAGAAGATGAAGTCAGAGGATGAAGTCAGAGGATGCGAAAGAGCGATTTCTTATAGTATCCGCCGTACAGAGAGCCAAGATCTCCTGGGGAGACCTGCTGAGATGTCCTAGAGGGACTCAAGAGGAACCCGAATGGGAGGGAATCCAGGTCTGCCCCCTCGTCCTTGAACTGTAGACCAACCTGTATCCCGGCCAGAATAGCTCAACGGCTATATCGAATAAACCAGTGTACGATACTCCGGAGAGATGCCAGAATCAACTCAACTGCGGTCCATCAAACACCTGCAAGGCCGAACAATTACCGCGCATTGCAGCTGCAATGCGACTCCAAGCGCGTCCCACTACGGCACGGGCCAGCCATTATCGCGATGGAGGAAACTGGAAATTGCACTCCATTTTGACGGGAAAAGTGGGATGTCGCAGGTCGATCTCCCTAGTTTCTACCAAGTCTCGCCGTTCGGGAGGGATCCCCTTGTATCGGCGGTTTTTGTAGCAGTCCGTTATGAAGCCTTGCATGGTGCATCCCTCCCGGGTGGCTCTTCCTGCGCATGTCTCACTACCAGAACCCACGGAGGGGAGGAGACGTAGTCAGCCCTTCAAGGCCGTTGTAGACCTTCATAATAGAGCCAGTCCCCTGGATCCAAAGGAGAGAGTAGAGGAAAGGAGACCTGGCGGAAAGAATGAGGGCAGCAGGCGGCCAACTCATCCCAGTCATTCTTTGTTATTGCCATTGCCGTTGTCATTGTTACTGCCATTGCTATTGTTACTGCCATTGCTATTGTTATTGTTGCCGTTGCCATAGCTGAAACACCGGTCGAGAGAAAGACCTCATTGATCCATTCGTTCATTGACCGAATTCATTGACAGAGTGACGTTCTGCACGGGACGCCCGCCGTTTGCGGCCGCCCAGCCAAGGCAACCCTCCTTTTCCGGTTTAAACCCGCCCCGTCGCTCTTTTTCCTCCAACACTCTCTTTCTCGCGCGCTCGCTCGCTCTCCCATCCTCGTTTTCCATCCCACCATCCGTCTTTCGCCGTCGCATCTATCGCTTTCTCGATAATAGGAATCGCTGATACTCTCTCTCTCATCTGGCGCTTTTTCGACCCTCCGTCTGCTTCCCTCCTCGTCAAAACTTCCTCCGGCGCAAATCGCAGCGCCGCCTGCGCGCATCGCAATCACAATAATAATCCACCACCCCCATCGATCTGTCGCGGTCGCCTCTCATTTCCATCCACATTCTTTCATCAGCGGTTTCTCTCTCGCTTCGCAACCATGCTGCTCCCGTCCGCTTTACCTTGCGACACTCGTCGCCCCTCAACTCGGTCGCGCTTGACGCCCAGTCGCTTATTCACAACCCCTCCTCCGTCAGACGACGATTTCCCATCCAACAACGGCCTCGTGGGCACCTGTCGCGCTCTCCAATCACTTCTAAGTGGTTCTCCGGCCCCTTCTCCGCGACGCTCGAAAACGCCGCGCCTCCAAAGTCCTCTGCAGATCCAACCCAGATCTTCCGCCCGGTCGCGGAAGCAAAAACAGAACGAAACCTCCTCCATCCCATCTCCTAAGCCCCAGCGGCCTCGCGACGTGAACAAGCGACGTCGCGATTCCTACGAACTTGATTTCGAAGAAGAAGATGCTGGTAGCGCCGATGCGCAAACACCTTCTCGCAACGCCAGATTCTCCACCCCTAAACGCCGTCGGTACGTCCCCTACGACCTACCACTAGGACTTTCGCAATCCGATTTCTATTCTCTTCGCACCCCACCCGTCACACAATCGCCTCCCTCTCCTGCGCAACGGCGCAAACACGAACTCGATTCGAAACAAGGAAATTGCGCGTCGCCATTCAACCCCGACGCTGCACTCCCGTCGATCGAGGAGACGCAAGAACCTGCCGTGTCGGATACTGAGTCATGGACATCAGACGATGACCAGCGACTCGTCGAGCTGGTACTGGAAAAGTTCCAGCTGTCCAAGCGAGATTGGGATGATTGCGCGCGTCGCATGGGCAAAGATAATGCCAGCGTCGGGCGGCGATGGCAGGCCCTTCTCGGGGATGGCGACGTGGGGCTGCGACGAGGACGACGAATGGTGCGAGGGCGCCTACATGAGAACTGGATGTAACTTGCGTCCTCCTCTACTCTCTTCCCATTCCTCCTTTTCCTTCTACTTGAACACTATTCTTATACTTGATGGATATTATGTTGTGATGTATTCTATGGGTCTCACGGATTGTTTTCTTTTCTGTTTCTTTTTTTCTTTTTTTCCTTTTTCTTACTTCTCCCTTATCCTGGAGCACCACATTGTCGCACATCAGTGGTATGAAATCTGTATTATTATCTCTTTTTCTTTTGTCTTTGGGATCTGGTTGCGTGAACATCTTCTTTTCTGACCCTTGTGTTTGTCTATCACTTTGCTTATGCCGTGGCTTTGGTCTGGTACTCCCGGTTCTGTCTTACTATTATTATCTCTTGCTAGGGTTCCAGCTTGATCGCTTAATTCCGGGCGTTTGTATTCTACGATCTATCTACTATTTATATTGAACTCACTGTATTCTATGCATCTCTCTCTGTGGCATCATCTCGGCTACCAATCTATTGAAAGTTTCATCTGGTCGCATAATCATGTTAGCTGACATCTCTTTATTGAATCTAGACTGACATCATTCTTCACAACTTAAACTGCTGATTCGTCGTAACTGTTGCGGATAGCGAACCCTGATTCTTGCCTATCTTTATATTAAATTATGTGTTGGATCGAGCGCAGTGCCTGGTCATCTGTTCTTTGTCTTGCAGTTGTCTTCGTGGTTATCCCTGTTGAGGATACCGTGGCTAGGCTATGAGTTTCTAACAATGGAAGGCTTTGTCTGTCGAGCGTGGATCCTGGATCCGGTTATGTCTCTATCGACTCTACGGAATACTCTTTTTGAGGGTGCTAATATGATTCCGACTTGGTTGTCTTGTGAGGTGTTCATGTCGATGGCTTTTAGGACTACTAGTGTCATTTGCCTATGTTTTGGCGGCATTATAAAGATTGGTTTGTATGTAGAATGGTGGTAGAAAGGGTAGAAGGTATAGTGAAATGGTCAACCGTCGTGAGATGCAGAACGCCAAACACCGAGCTCATGGTAATGGTAAGGTAAGGAAGATATCAGGATTTCAATAGGATCGGGCCACTCTGCCTGCAGTAGACTAGCCGGCTAGAAACTGTAGAGTCGTTAGGATCTATCGGGCAAACGGCGTGTGCAGAAGCAAGACTTACCGAATTTCATAACTTCCCGCGCGAGTCATGTACCGCACCCACTTGACGCTGCTGTAGTTGCTCTTCTCGAACACCTTGAGGTATCGCACCAGCAACCCGCTACTCGTGAACATGAGCAGACTGAACGACAGGCTGAGCGGCGGGCGGCTCCACGCCTTCTGATGCGTCATGCTGGTCAGCGTCGCCTCCGCCGTGAGCACGTACTCGCTGCCGCCGGAGAACCGCGCGATCTTCCAGACGATGTTGTTGTGCTCGGGCTCGTATTTGGCACGGCCCTGGCTGGTGCGCTCCGTGGTCTTGGCGGTGTTGAGCGGCGTGGGGATGCGGATGACCACGTTCGTCGCGAAGAGCTTGGGGCTGTAGTTTGCCTTGATCGCCACGCTGTATTCCACCTTCGTCGTGCCGACCTCGCGCACGATCGGGTGCACTTTGAACGGGAGGTTGACGTTTTCCGTGGCGCGATACCGCATGAGCTCGAACTCGCCGTCCGGCGGCACAAAGGAGATGATCCGGTCTGCGTCGAAGCGACCCAGCTTCACACACTGATGGAACTGACAGTCCTCCAACGTCACCGACCCCGCCGCGGCGCGCGTCGCCTTCATGGCGCCGTCGCGGTTGCCCGCAGGCGACGTACTGGTCCCGTCGCCGTCGAAAAGGAGGCGGTCGTTGAGGCCAAACTTGCACTCCGGGGTGCCGGTGAGGTATGCCCGCATCACAATCTGACCGTTAACGTCGGCGCGGAGCACGGTACCGGTGGCCGACATGAGGAGATTGACATCTTCGATCACGTCCACGAAGGCTTCGTTCTTGCGGTACTTGATGTCGGAGCGACGCCACGAGAGCGCGCCCGTAGCTTGCATGGTGATCCGGCTGGAGTCGGTCGGCGAGTTGGCGATGGCGGACTTCACCCCCTCCGTCGTAATGTACATCTTCAGGGTGTCCGTCTCCGTATTCTGGGGGTATCCGAAGTCAAGAATTTCTGAGATAGTCAGCCTCTGTCCACTGGCAAATTTTTCGCCATCCCAAACTCACCATCCAGCAGCTCGTAGACCAGCACAAAATTGTTCTTGACCGCTTCCTCGTCGAATTTCCCAAAGTAACTCTTTCCCAGCATGATCAACCGATACAGAAACTCGAACACCAGGGCTGCATTGGCATTGCTCTTCGTCACCGCCACCAGATAGATATTTTCGTGTTTCACATGGCTGAAGGTCGTGGATCCCAGGGTCAAAATGGGGGAGCGGACTTGGGGGTTGGAGATGACCTGAATGCGGAAGATGTCGGCGAGGCGCGGGCGGCAGTCATTGCGGAAGGCGCGGAAGATGAGATTTTCGCCTTTTTGGTTGAAGATAAGAATACCGGAGAGCATGGTGAGGAGAGGGCGGAGGAGGGAGGAGGGCGTGAGGGGAGAAGAGACGACGAGGAGAGGAAAGGGGGAGGAAGAAGGTGGAACGGCCGTCGGAGATGCAGCGCGGAGCTTGTGCTTTTGCGGGTGGGGAAGGCCACCACCACTAACGACGGAGTCGTCCTACGGAGGAGTTTATGGAGGCAGTATGTGCTCAATACTAGTGCAAAGACTCGCGAGTCGATTATTCTGTCTGGCCGACTATAACTACTATTACTCTAGTTTGGTCTCGCACCCATCCTCCGTCTAAATCACATCCCGGTTTCAAATTTATCCACAACACATCCGCCCCAGACCGATTTTTATAGACAACAGACAACAGTCGGGCACGGCAAATAAAATAGATATCGACAGAAAAGAACGCACATGGGCAGCGTAGACCGCTCCCAAGGCCAAGCGAATGGTATCAACAGTCTGAAAACATGGACGTGGATATCGTAAAGTCAAGGCGACATGCAAAGAAAAAGGGGGGATCCAGGGTCACATCCAAAGTTCGCTAGAATCCATGCAGCTGCCACTTCAGGTGGGAAGAAGGAATTAAAAAAGAATAGAAAAGGGGGAAATACAATCCAATAGAAACAAAAAGAAGAAGAAGAAGAAGAAGAAGAGAAAAAGAAGAAGGGGAATAAAAAGGAAAAGAAAGGTCAATGAAGGACGGACAGCAGGCTCAAACACCGCTGCTCGGTCTGGTGCCCGGGATGGACGTCCCGCCCTCGCTGTGGATGATACCGACCTTGGGATCGGGGATCTGGATATCCAGGGACATGTAGGCCGTCCGTCGAAGACTCCAGATATGCACCCCGTCCTTGGCACCGACTTCTCGGTTCCACTTCTCGATCCAGTCTTCCACCCGCCGAAGGTGACCCTTGATGGCGGGCGCGCCGATGTCCTCCCACAGCCAGCCCGTGAGCAATCCCAACGCGCCATCCAGCCAGTTTCGGAAGCTGAACGGGTCAAAGGCCTTGATCAGTTCGTCGTTCACCGTCGCGATCACTTTGCGAAACTCTTGCTCCGGCAGCAACGGGTCTAGGATTTCCGGGTAAAGGTTCGAGAAGGTCGGCGCCAGGTCCCCCTTGACCATCCAATCGCGCCGAATGCGAATGAGTCGCGTCGTCATGAATTCATCGGATCCGATGGGCACATGGGAGTTGATATGAGGGAAACACGGATGGGCCGGGCCCCAAGCTAGTTCTTCCGCCACTTCTGGTTCGCCACTGGCCGGGGGGATGATGTTGTTGGAGGGAATCGAGGCGATCTGCGATTGGGACCGTAGGGAGGTCTGCGACTGCACATGTCGAGGTCGCTCATCATCATAGGGGCCTCGTGGACCGGCGGAATCGAGCCCGAGAAGGGCCCGATCGGGCGGACGAAGACTGCTTGCCTCCCGGCTGTCATTCCTGACCGTCGGCTCGGACATCTCCTGAGAAAGGCCGCGATGGTCAAACGCGCCACTGCGCCTCCCTCGAGGCAGTGCGATGCTAGAGCGCCCACTCTCGAGCTCCCCCTGACTGTGTTCGACGACCAAGCTGTTGGGAGAGGGGGTCAGTCGGCTGCGACGTTGCTCGGGGATGGAGAGGAGCGGGTAGGCGTCGCGATGAGCTTCGAGCGGGAGGTTGTCGTCGGAGATCTGGAACGGATGAGGCAGGGCAATAGGGGTGGCTCGCGGGACGTAGTTGACGGGGTTGGCGAGTCGCACGGAGGGCGGGCGAAGAATGGCGGGGGGGATCCAGGAAGAGTCTCTCGACCGGGGCAGGGATCGCGAGGAGCGATCGACCGAGGACAATGCAGGCCGGTGGGCCTCGAACGACGGGCGCGGAATGCGGTAGCCACGCGAGAAGCGAGAGCAGGGGGCGGCGGAGTCTTCAGCCTCGGACGATGAAAGCGGGTGCAAATGGGAGGGCGAGAAGGACGCCGTTTCCGAGGGGGAAGCCGACGGGGGGAGAAAAGGGAGACGAGGCGGACGAGGAGACGCCGTGGTGGACGATGAAGAACCTGAGGACTCAGGCCAAGACGACGCCCGACGGCGGAGACTCGCGGCAGAACGGCGGCGATTGGACGGCGCGCAGAAAGGGGCTCCGGGGTCACGGGACGGCCTGAGCGCAACATTCGCTTTTCTTTCTCTTCTTTCTTTGCTTTTGCTCTTGCTCTTGCTCTTCTGCTGTACACCAACAGGATAGGTCGATTTCAATGGGATGTCAGAGTGTGTCTGCTTTTTCTTTCTGTTTTGTAAGTACTCCGCAGCAGCTGTACCATTCAGGATTCAGGCCAATCATACCGGTGGATCTCTCGAGCTCTCCAGATATAGCTCACTCGATGACTTCACCTCATACCTCCCTCGGTCATATACGCAGTCCTCGGGGAGCCGAAAATCACACGATGGTGGGAAACAAAAAACAAGAACAAACCAAAAAGACCGGGTCTGAGCCGCAGTGTAAATAAATAACCCCAGCCATGAACCCAAGGGAATCCCTAGAGTCCATAGGAGTAATAATAAGACCATAATGAACCCACTATTAATCCCCATCCCGGTTCCCATCCACCCGTCGGCGAAACCATCGACCAAGGCTCCAACTTTGCGACTTCACCCTCTGCCCGACACACAATCCTCCCCTCCATGACATCATCCGGAGGGACACCCTGCCATGCCATGCCAGGTCTGCATTGCATGAGAGGGGAGAGAAATCGACCAACATTCTGAACGCGACGTGTAACGTTCGTGCATCTCCGGAGTCCTTCGATCGCGGTGGATGGCAAGATCGCGCCCTCGATTCCGAGGCACCCAATCATCGCGATGTAACCCCGGTCAAAGGAAAAATAAGCCGTCGCAGTGCGTCATGTCGGTGATCCTCGACCGGACTGCGTGGCGGATTGTTCGGCCCCCCCTGGCGTCGCTACTAAATTTACCCTAGCCTACCCTAGCCTTCGAAGGGATCGACCCTAACGCCAATAGCTTCGGGGAATCCCAACGCGCCCGCCCATGGGTCGAGACCGAAACTATTGATCCATTTTCTTGGGCCAAACAAAGGGACTGCAAGAGCTGGCGACGGGAACACAAAGAACGGAAATAAATTAACGTATCCACACCGGTCCAGGTCCATCGCGCTATCTGCCTACATCCAATCCATTATGGCCCGTTACAGACATTAGGTTCGTCGCAACCCTTTCATCGCCGGGCTCTCAAGTCATGACAATCAATAAATAACTCCGAAACATTCAAGGGACATCATCAATAAAGGGACGGAGGCCCATCCCGCAAAAGTCGGCGTCGGCGTCGACGTCATAGAGCCATCCGATACGCAGACCGATGCAGCATCATCACAAAGAAGGGAAGTACGGCGGGTCATTTCCCATTCATGTTTCGGTTGGCCATGGCTTGCATGCGTCGCATCGCATTCCGATGCAAGTCGCTCATGTCCCCGCGCCGTTTGCTCTCCGCGGCCGGGGTGCCGAATTTGACGGAGGATGCATTGCGCTCGGCCTGTACGAACGGATTCCGGTTTGCCGTCGCCGCCGCGGAATTGTTCGCCTTGGCCAACGGATTGCGTTTGTCGTACAGATCCTCGCGCACATACTCCCGCCACGCAGCCATCGTGGCCTGCGAATTGGTCGGAACAGGGGCAGGGGCAAGGGCAGGGGCGGGCGTCGGCACGGCGGGTGTCTGCGACATTGGAATGATCTGCTGGTGAAGCATGGTTCGACGTTGGGAAAGTGGCAGGTTGTCTCCCTCTTCGAGGATGGGGTAAGTAGTCTGCCGCGGTGAAGTCTCGACGGGTGACATCCCCGGATTACTACGCGCAGACCAAGGGTCCGAGCCGAGCGAGAAGGATGATAACCGGCTGCGCATCAGGCCCTCGCGCACATCCAAGAGCGCTGGTGGGCCCCTCCATTGCGGTTTAGGGGGTTCGACCTCCTCTCGGGAGGGTTCAACGGCGGTAGAAATCGGAGGCAGCGCGCTCGCTTGGATCTGAAGGCCAGTCGCTGGCCCTTGGGCGGCAGGAGGCTGGGCCGCTGCAGGTGGGTACTGAGGCAAGCTGCTTGCTGACGGGAAAGACGACCCTGAAAGGTTTTTGCTGGATCGCGACGATCTCCGTTTTGCCTTGGAGTCTCGGCGCGATTGCGTTTGCGATCCGTGAGACATCCGATGACCCTCGTTGGCATTGCTCGGCTGGCGCCCGAGGGTGTGCTCGATCGCAGGCGGCGGTCGTGCATTCAGGGGCGTTTGCAGCAGTTCTTCGACATTTACCGGCGCCGCAGTTTCTTGGGTCTCCTCTGGACCCTCGTGCTGTTCGTCTTCAACGGAATGGATGGGCTCGGGCTCGGGAATCTCCGCGTCCGCCAAATGTTTTGCCCATTCATCGGTGCGGTAGGACTGAATCATCCTGGATGCTCGATGGGGTAAATGTTTCACAGCCTTTGCATCCAGCTTGACTGGCTCCTCCTTCTTCGGCTTGGCTTTGGTCTTAGGTTCTGGCTTTGAGGATTTCCGCTTGCCGGTGCTGATTTCAGATTTCTTGGAAGAGCTCTCAGTCCCCGAAGAGCTTCTTGGTTCTTGCGCTTCGGGAGGCTTTGGGCCTTTATATTCTGGGCCTGAGTTCGTATCCTCTGAGACACTGGCCTGTGATTTGTTGTTATTTGGGTCGGTCTTCTCGATCATTTCACCTGTTAGCTCAGACTGTTCAGGATCTTCTTTGCGAAGTTCCTGTTTCTCGTCTACAGTGGTTTTATCCTTTGCCTGCGGCGTGGAATAAGAGGCCGGGCATTCGTCTCCTTTTTCATCCGGTGCGCCATCATTTTCCTCCTGTGTCGCATCAATCGCTTGCATTGGATGCAGCTTTTGGTCCTCCACTTCTCGTGAGTAGACACTTCGATCGTCCATGTTTTCCCCAGCATTGCCCCTCGAGAAAGACGTCACCATGGAAGGCGATGGCTCTTTATCTGTAGATTTTTCCTTTGCGTCTAAGGGTTCCTTTGTCGCAACCTCACCCTCCGCCGCTATCGTAGGACTGCTAGATGCAGCACCACTCCTTGCATCCGTTTTTTCATGGGAGGATGGGGAATTGTCCTTTGGAGGTATAAGCGCTTCTTGAGAATCAGACCTGACACTGTTCTTCACCGACGACTTGGCCCAAGAAGACCCTTCAGAAACCCGATCGGAGTCCGTGTCTGAGCCAACGATAGCTGTCATATCAGAGCTCTCATCGTCACGCATCTGTGCTGCAACTGTGCCGTCAAACATTTTGATCCGAGCGGCATTTTTATCATCAGGCACCTGACTCGAATCCTCTCCATCCAAACTTTTGGGCATATCGTCGTCTTGCTGTCGCGTCTGGCTGCCTTCGGTGGCTCCGCTTGTATCAGACGTGACCGAGGAGGCGTACGCAGATTCGCCATTATCCGCCCGCTCTCGACAATCAGAGCACCGGTATGACTCCCCGGAGGAACTGGAGACACTGTCAATCCCGTCGGCCTTCTCCATCTCGATATCCGCGAGACATTTGGCATCGCCAGGGAGCTCTGGCAGATTTGGCCCGGGGTTGTTTCCGTATTTGGCTTCCCACTCCATCCGCTCTTTCATGTTATCCTCCTCCAGACGCTTCGAGTTTTCGGCCTCAGCTTCCTCCTTTTGACGTCTCTCTTCGGCGCGCATTTCTTCGTCCTTGTGTCTTCTCTCCCGGATCACACGCCACAGTCTGAGTTGGGAAACAACACCCAGGATAGCAATGATGACCGTCGCGGCGAGTTCAACGCGAATGTTGCGGGTCACTGGATAGGTGTCGGTGCCAAGAGGAAAGATGTCATCATTGAGAGCTAGACAAACGGTTAGAATACGCTGTAGTATGCAAGGATCCTGCAGCAGAATGCTTACCCCATAGGTAGAGCCAGAACTCTTTCAAACCGGCCCGACTGTAACAGTCGATTCCCAAGGCAACGGCCGTGCCTCCGGAAATCCCGGTCGATGCCATCAGTCCATATGGGCGCGTGTATTGGCTGAAAGACAAAGCATAAAATGCCACCGAAAATGCTCCGATAAATCCACTTTTTGCGTCCGTTTCCGTCAAAAGGCCGCCTGGCTTCAGACAAAGGAGCCACATGCTGCAGCAGAATCCCCCTAGGAGACATCCAAGGCCTTCGCTCAGCTCTTTGAAAACAAGCGAGAGGGCTCCAAAGGTAACCCCCGTGAAAAAGACAGCGACAAGATATGCCCCTTGGATTGCGGTACGAACGGGCGGGTTCATTACATAGACAATGAGAACCTGGGAGGGATAGAAGGTCAGAGACGCTCGGATGCCTGCCAACATATCTATTTACTCACAGTGACCCCTAAACTGGTTAAAAAGGCGGTCGACAGAAAGACTTGAACTCTATGACTTTGTTAAGTATCAATTCAGGCTCTCTGATGGAATGCTGGAATTACCGCAAGTTCCGAATTCCTATGAACGCGAGAAAAGCACCGCTGGCTATGAGAATGACTCCACTCACACCTAATGCGGGTGTAATCAAAGGCTCCAGAGGCAGTTCTCCGGCAGCGGTCTGATCCGTTTCATCTGTGCAAGGTTGGCATCGAAGAGCAGGCGCGGAACCACAAGTTGCAACTTACTTTTCGATGGCGCCGACGTATTGAGCGATGCCACAGTCGTGGACGCGGCAGTCGTTGCGGCCGATGCTGAAGTCGAATTGGTCGTCGCTGTGGTATGATTCGTGTTCGTGGCGCTTGTCGTTGCACTGTCAGAAGTTGAGGTCGCATCCACTGTTGTCGAAGAGCTCGGGTCTGTTGCCCTGGCTTGTATGATGGCTAACCCTCCATGCGTATGGCGCCCACCGAGAGGCACCCAGGCTCCAATCACGCATAAGCATGACACCAGATAGACCACCAGCGCAAGCGCAGGGAATGCCCGCATCTTAAGAGATAAGATGAGCGACAGAAAACCGGGACACTTATCGGGAGCAAATTCCGAAGTCAGGAGTGGCCCGACTGGGTATCGTTGTGGTAGCCTCGAGGTTGCGCGAAAATCTCCTGGTGGTTATATTTCACATCATCTGCCATTCACACACAGGGCGACCGAAATTTTAAGCAGCAAACCGGGCTGTCAAGTCGGGCTTCAGACACGCAAGAGAGCGCAAGAAACGTGGCTGGAAGTAGTCACAGAACCGAAGAATCATGCAGAGCCCTCGTCCCCACTATGTATATGTCCACGAAAAGAGGTATTCCACTCCAGCATGCCTGCACGGGAAAGTGGGAAGGGCGTCGCAGCCTTTAGATCCTGCCTGCCGGTAACACTGGCCTGGGTTGGGAGTCCTCAGTAACGTCAGAGAATCCGTGGGTTATGATGATAAATAGACTAGATGCATGGAAGGCGCAGGCCGATCCACTCGACGTAGCTTGAGGGAAAAAGCAAATAGGTGCGGTGTCATGCATCGGCATTGGAATTATTGGGAAAAGATCTGCGATTTAAGTTCACAGCACTCATTAACGAGTGGTCTAACTTCGTATATGGCTGCTAACTCGACCCTTGGCGATACTCAAGGGGCAGGAAGGATTGCAAAAAGGATCAGACTACCAATCACGCCCCAAGCACCGAGAGGCAAGCCTGTAAGGTACAGGTCATAGATAAGCAGGGGCAGAGTCGTTATTGTCCAGTGAACTTGGGGTCGGCGACGGCGGGCTGTGAGTGTGGCCAGAATTTCACGCATGAGGAAACCGATTTACATCCCAACGGGTTAGCATCTTTTAGTCCACTGACGTGGTTTCATCAATGCAGGGTCGTATAATTCTGTTAGCCATGGGAATCTATAGCCATGGTCACTGTAGACCTCGTCAGCCAGGCCCTTGGCCCACGTCTCGCTTAATTAACCAACTTGCTAGCAAACTTTTGGGTCCAATGAACCCCGGCATTGCTGATCAAACTAGCAATACTAGCTCTCATTAGTCGGCCGGTTCGTGTGATCGGCTGCATGAAGCGACAGGTCTGATATTCTCTTTGCCTTTTTTTTTCTTTTTCTCTCGCAAAGTTATCGGCCTATCATGCTCTAGATCGAGGAAACAATGGCCTTTGAATCGCCATGTTTTGAATTCTAGTGGACCGAGGATGCGTGGCTAATTTCCGAGCCGGCCGCCGACTGTTCCAGGGACGAGTCTTGACAAACCCGTACTATATTTGGAGCCCGAAGGTGACCTGGAGAGGATCATCTAGGCCAGGGAAGTAACGGCGTACAGAGCACAGGGTTGCATCCCGACCTGCACAGCGACTCGAACATGAGTTCCCATGGGGTCGGTGCTGCCGACGAGCTGCATCCATTGATTTGAGTTAGTCCATGGCAATGAAGGCATTAAGCATACTAGTCGCAATGGCTCAAGCACAACGAATCAATAATGGGATGCACGGCACATGCGGTGAGAGAATTCTGGAGTCAAGATATGATTCAGGAATTATTTCTCCCAGCACATTTGAGTTTGGATTCGTGCCTTGCCGCTGATCCTATTCCCTGGGGCGAACTCGGACGTGACGTCTCACAAGTCACGAAACGCACGGGGAACGACTATTTCAGGAAACCGAAATCGGGTCGGCAGAGATTGCCTGCGGACCATTAAACAAGGACCAAATGGGTGCTTTTATGCATTGATCTGGTGGAATATGGTATATTGCATCGTGGAGATCCTATCTTGTGGCAAAGAGAAGCGAGTGGGATTGATAGCAGAACATGATGTTATGTATCACGCAACGGACGACCGGGGAGAGGTCCATCGTAGGACCTGTATCGAGGCGGCGACCAAGTAAGGATCCTCCGCGAGGATGACATCTTGAATTGATTCCTCCTCCTTTGGAGGGTGTTGATGGCAAGGAAAGGACCGACCGACGCCCTTCCCCATCCAGTCCGCCGCGGTGTCACGTGAGCCCCTCACGTAATGGGTGGTCCAAGCTGCCTCACCTCCGACCTTTCCTGCTCCGACTCCGCAGTCTTCCTTTCGACCCATTGACCCTCACATTCCCTTCCTTGACTCTCACATCCAACGTCTTTCATCCCCCAAACCATCAGAATGTCTGCCTTCACCTCGTCCCTGCGCCCTCTCATGCGCGCTTCCCACGGCGCTGCTTCGTCCGCGCGCTCTTTCAGCAGCTCCTCGTCGCGTTCCGTGTCCCGTATGATCCTCACCGGCCGTCTCGCGGCCGAGCCCGAGCTGCAAGCCACTTCGACCGGTCAGGACATCATCAAATATGCGGTGGGCACCTCTCACGGTAACCGGGACAATCGCCAGACGAGCTGGTTCCGCATTGCCAGCTTCACGCCCGAAGGGCCGCAGCGGGATTACCTCCTAAGTTTGCCGAAGGGGTGAGTTTACCAGCCTACCCTGGTTCTATGTGACCGCGCAGATTCCTTCCCGTATTTGCATAAAATTTGCATATTCGCGTGAGTAAAAACCTTGAGAAGGATCTTGGGGTTTTGGTAAAGCCGAAGACGTTCAAGGAAGGGAAAAAAAAAAACAAATAAATAAATAAAAGAATAAAGCGGCACACCGCATCAGGCGCAAAGAATTATTTACCATCGGACACAGAAAGGCACGATGCTAACCTACCTTCTTTACAGTACCCTAGTCTACGTCGAAGGCGACGTAAGCATGCGTTCGTACGAAGATGCCGAGGGCAAGAAGCATTCGGGCCTAAACATCGTTCAACGTAAGCTTCATCTTCTACCCGTCGAATGGGATGAATCATTAATCCCCCGGTCATCTCGGAGAAAACTAACGCATCCTGTCTTTCGATTCCAGGATCTCTCGAAGTTCTCAAGCGTGCCGGCTCCGATAACTCCAACTCGTCGGCTTAGGCTTTCGTGAATCGATTGATATGCGCAGGAAAATCTTATAATATGGGACGGTGATAGGAGGCGTCGGCTGTTCAGGTTCATTGGCTTGTTTTGTCTCTATTCTTTCTCTGGACTTGATATTTGCCCGGTCAAAGCCGGCTGTTGGCCTTCCGTGTGTCCCATTCGTCGTCGGCCATGCCGGTGGCCGCATGTATTATAGTTTCTGTAGTTTTTGTTGATGTTGTCGCTCTAAGTATACCCTCGAATGATCATCCTGTCGTCCTGTGGGTCGCTGCTCTGTTGTGCGTTGGACTTTTGTAGAAGAGAGTTAAAGCATACATATGAGCGATCTTCTGTCTCTTTGATCAGATCTCGCACTTCGAGACCTGTAGGTAGCAGCTAAGTTTGCCTGCACTTGTAGTGTGCGACGCGGACCATTGCGTACATCGTATATAAATAGCTACTCCGGGATGGCTTGGTAACGGTCTGCGGTTTAAAATAGCTTGCTGCCCTGCGCGTTTCAACAAGCACTGCGTGATCAGTCACTCGATGCAACCATTTCTTATAACTAACGAGTTCCCTCAACCGATGCGAATATGAACAGAAAGGGAAATTAATTCTTGAGCCAGACTATAGTACAAATGCAAAATCAAGATGGTTAACAACGGGTAACAGGAAGCATTTCAACGTAGGGCTAAATGGGAGGAGGGCAAGATAGGCGGATGATCCTTGAAAATGAGGTACAGGCCCTGCTGCACCTGGCCTTATCACATCTTCTTCTCGCTCTCTTGGCTTATGACTTGCTTGACCCGAATGAAATCCTTTCTGGTGGACGTTTTGTACTCATTGCTACCGCGACTGGTACTTGCACCGGCCCAGGCATTGGTCGCAACTGTGCTGGAAGGACCAGACAGGTCGTGAAGAGATACCATATCATCACAGCGTGGCGAGCGATGCCGGGAAAACGGAAAGAATCGCTGAATCCATGACAAATTGTGCATGTGACCGTGACTCTGAGGTGTCGCTGTACGATTCTCCAGGTCCACGTAGCTGCGGTCAACGGGATTTACCGAAGTAACATTGCTCACATAGACTCTTAGAAGATGAATCAGTCCAATGCTCGTTCCGCGCCAACGAAGGGATGGTAAAGCACACTGACCTTGTAGCAGATGAAGTCTTCTTACGGAATAAAAGCCTGACCCGACTGTGCATAGTTCCCACTGCTGTCGACGAAGTGGTTCCTGCCGAAGATGTTTGTCCGCCGGCAAGGCAACATTCCAAACCGAAGGAGCGGCAGATTGAGGCATACATATTCGAGGCATCCCTACCACAGCCGAAGAATAAAAAGAACATGAATCCCGATGCGATTGGTATCCATCTATCAAAGAAAACCTCGCCATTTGTTGGAATCATGGCTATCTCATTCCACATCGGCCCGTGAAGGGTATTCCATGAATATGAATGCCATGGCAGCGACAGTGTCACGTTCTTCCAGACCACAAAAGCCTGTGTCGGAAGGATAACTAGAAGCATGGTAAAGGACAATAGAAAGAGTCGAAGAAACCTAGACTTGCTGATGTTGCTGTTGGACGACTGAAGTACGTCCCCGAATTGGCTGCGATACTTGTGGAGGCGATACAAGACTAGGCCTATAATGAAAGGTCAGTGTTCAAGGCAGGTGGAATTGGGACATGCATCAGGAGCGGCATACTGCAATAATAGCCAGTGATCAAACAGATGATTGGAGGCCACACGAAGGACAAGACGAAGCTCACCCAGCTCTCATCAAAGCTGTTGACACACCCCGAAATGGCGAACAGCATGTATCTGTTGGCTTGGAAGATAATGTGGGTGATCATTGCAATGATTGGAATGATAACGCAGAACAGGATGTCCATGAAATGGTTCTGCCAACGCTGCTTCTTGCTGGGGACGAGGTTCGCACGGCTGGTGTCCAGCACATTGGCCAAGCCACGAAATATGCCCAGCAGATTGCCTGCTACGGCAACGTAGCTGGCGATCATGATCTTGACCTCAACATCGCAAAGACCCACGCCGCTGAACCAGGAATCCACGTCGTCATTGGGCCAAATGATTGCATTGACGATATTGAAGAGATTGAGCACCAGAAACCAACCAATCAGACACGTCGCAGGAAAGTTCCGATTCTTCCAGTGCAGGGCCAACGGAACAAGGCTGACTAGGATGGACACGATAGAGAGGACAGGAATGATCACTGCAGTAGCCGCAGTGCGATAACGAGGCTCCGACTCCGAGCCCATGGTGTGTAGACAATTTTGAATCGGATTGGGACGGACAGGATGTATGTACTAGGTAGTAATCCTTAGGCTTCGCCGTTTGGTTTGTCCGTGGCTGCCAGAATCACCCTTTTTAAGGAAAGAAGAAGACCGTAGATTTGGGATAGAAGAGCAACGAACCAGCATCGCCGTGATAAGAGGAGGGACGACGCAGAGGGAGTGGTCAATCCAAGGCGTTATCCAGAAACAGGAGTCCTTCAGATGTCTTATTGAGGGTGGGAATGCAGGGCCCAGAGGTATTCCCCGTTGAATCAGCAGAGACGGGTTATTTCACCGTTCCAGTGGCCGTACAGGAAAGACAGCCCCGGTTATACAAGGATCCACGCATGACGCCGGTGTCAATGGGGGACATTGAGACGGGTGACAGCATGGTGGTCTAACCGGGGCACGCCTGGATGGACCTTGCAGCGAGATGTCTCTAGGGAATGAACGGGGGGCTACCCCGGGTGGGTCAGAAGGCATGACGGATCTATTGAGATAGGCCATCATCAATACTCCTGATGCAGTGAAGACGAGAGACTGGAGACGGCAGGCAGCGTTGCGAAACCGGGAGGGAGGAAGGTTGAGTATAAGACAGCGCCGAGCTGCAGACCATTCCTGATCGGGGCATCAATGGACTCATCGTCAATACAACCAGTGCGCGTTCTTATTGAAATAGCACTGGTGATGCTGCTGCTTCACCAACCCCGGGGCGCCTCTCTCATCTGCCGGAGAAACATGATCTCAATTGACCGGGAACACGCCGATTGCGGGTTGATCGGGGGACTCGAGAATGGGACTAGACACTGGTCCCTCCTCGCTGGTGGTTTCTGGTCGGAAGAGATGGGCTGCCTGTGTGCCTGTCTGCCTGTGTGCCTGCGTCCTCAGGCCGACCCCCGAGGACCGCGCACGTCGCGTGACCGGCTCGATCGGGAAGTATATCCCTGGATGGTTATGAACTTATGTCGTATAGATCGAACAAGAAAACCAAATCCACGCGGGAATGAAGCTGACCGGCCGACGGATGGGACCCGGATTTCCGAGCGAGGCGAGTAGGCCGGGAAACTGCAGAAACTGAGGCATTGTGTTGGACCAGCTGAACAGGGCCCGTTGCACATGGCGTCATGCATTATTGGACGGGAGACTCGCATTGGATCTCTTTCCCTCCTTCCTTCGCTCTCTCTCTCCCTTCCTCACTCTCTCTTCCTCCCACACACACACCTACACCCCTTCAACTCACCTCGTCTCTTCCCTTCTCCCACACCCTCCCTGGCCCCGGTCTTCCTCTCGTCGCGCCCTCTCTTCGCCCCTGACTGGAATACTACCCCACCCCTCCATGATCGCGTGCCCCGCCTCCCTTACGATCCGATCCCTCTAACTACTACTTGGTTAGGCCCTGGCTAGCTGACCCTAGTAGTCCTTAGCATGGTTGATTCTCCTCCCTTCGGTTGCCATGTCCCGACCTGCGACGTCTGCCCTCCAGATTCCTTCTGCTAGCACCAAAGGCGAGAATCCCATGAGTCTCCGCCAGCGTGGTCCGACCCGCTCGGCCACTTTCGCCGAGGGTTCGTCCAGTCTGCGGAACGAACGACGGAACTCGACCTTGTCTGACTCTGTATCCGAAGCCCGAAATTCAATTCGCTCTTCGACCGACGATCTGTTTTTCCCCCGCGCCGCAAAGCAGGCCGAGGTCGACCTTCCCAACGAGGAGTCGCATTGGCATTCCGCGCCCCTGGGCCTGGCCCTTTTGCCGGCCATCGCCGGGGTCTTTTTCCAGAATGGAAGCGCCGTCGTCACGGACGTCACTCTGCTGGTCCTCGCCGCCATCTTTCTCAATTGGTCGGTGCGGCTACCATGGTACGATCTACTCCCTCGTCTAGCTTCGTCCGTTTGGAGTGTCGCTTTGGATACCACTCGATTTCGGTGGATACTGTTCATCACCTTCTGATCGCGCCTCTAGGGACTGGTATCGCTCCGCGCAGGCTGTCCGACAGCCCGACCGATATTACGACGCTTCGGAGATCTCGCCCGTGTTAGATCCAGACGAGGCTCAATCAACGCCCAACCCCCAAAACAATTCTACCACGACCGACCCAAAAAGCCACCCGCGTTCTTCAGATGCGGCGGGTGCAGCCTGTAGAGAACTGCAAGTCCACGAGCTTGCCGCCCTCGTGTCCTGCTTCGTGTTTCCCATGATCGGCACCTGGCTATTGCACACAATTCGATCTAAACTATCGCGACCGTCCGAAGGACTGGTGTCTAATTACAATCTCACCATCTTTCTTTTGGCCGCCGAAATCCGACCGTTTTCTCACCTTCTGAAAATGGTACAGGCAAGAACGCTTCATCTTCAACGCATTGTCGCGCTGTCGACGGAGGAAGAAGATGCCAAGGTCGATATAAGCAAGATCATTGATATCACGAAGCGCCTTGAAGAGCTCGAAGCCCATGTTTCCGAGGCTGCGGCAGAGCGTCTTGCCTCCGAATCCTCCACTCAATCGCAGGAAAATACCCAGTCGGTCGTTTCTCAGGCGACCGGAGAGCTGCGGAAAGGGTTCCAGCCGGAGGTCGATGCTCTGACTCGTGCCGTTCGGCGATACGAGAAGCGCACGGCGACAACGAATTTTCAAACGGAATCGCGGTTTCAGGCATTGCAGAATCAGGTCAATCAAGCCATCTCTCTCGCCGCCGCCGCCAATCGCACGGATCGCCAACGTCGCGTTGGATTCATTCCCATGCTATTTGACTGGATGTATGCGGCTGCTTTAATCCCCATTCAGCTTTTTATGTCGTTGACTGCCTTACCCTGGCAAGGTGCGAGGTGGTGTTTGCGAACTTGTCAAGCTCTCCTGATGTCACGGCCTTCGGAGCGGCCTGTCAAGGGAAAGACGCCGCAAGATCGGAAGTCGCGATCACCTCGGCAAACGAGACGACTGATTCCGGCCGATCAGTCGGGATCCAAAGGGCTGAAGTCCATTCGAGAGAACAAATTTTGATTTTCTCGCCCTGGTCCCCCATCTCTAGAATTCGACAAACCAAGATCTCACTGTAAATCGGCTAGAGTTCCCCATGTAATAAGCCACCGTTCGCATTTGTTTATTGTCTTTACTTGCGGTCCTTCCACCGAATGTGGATAAGGGCTTTGCTTGCCCGAGTCTTTCGGATGGTCTGGCGTTGACTCAAAATCAAGGGCTTGGTGGGTTTATGTTTGAAAATGCCGGGGCAATCTTTATGTGTATTATAGTAGTCAGCATGCACAGAAATTCGACCTTGGTTCTGGCCGAGGAGTTCATCATCTTTCTCATTCTCATTCTGTCTACCTTGTCGCGCTGTCATTGACTCCACTCGAAGGGTGGCTGACCTATTGGCGCAACCTCATGCCAGGGTCCGTCAGTGGACCGGCGCTAAAAGAACCGCCAGGAACTGCTTTGAGACGCCAAGTGCAGGTCCAAGCCGTGTCTTTTGCATTCCATTGAATTGCCTCTGGATTCCCGTCTCAAATGCGTGCATGTGAGCCTAGAGGAGTAGAAGCAAATCCAGTGATTCCAGAGGTAAGGCCGCACAGTCTATGCTATAGTCTGTCTGCAATCCACAGCAGTGGTCGCTATCGATTCCAAAGGATGGTCAATCAACATAACGTGATGGTGATGTCATAGCCGTCATCTTTAAGGAGACCTCTTCTGTCAGAACAGTGGGGAGAAGGGTTGAGTCAAGCATTGCGTACACCGAGATGGGGTTCAAGGCAATATCCCTGGATAAGTAGGCACGATTGCAGGAGTGATAATCGGTGGATGCCATGTCGGGTTGAGTTCCGGGCCGTGTCTATCATCGATCATATTGGCGGCTTGGGCAGCCGCATATGTATCTCATGCTTCCGGCAGTCGAGCCCGTGTGCGCATGACCTCATTGAGAACCCTCGAATCCGATTTGCGGGACTCAAGAGAGCCAAAGTCAATGGCGATGTGGAACCGTCGGGAGAATTTCGATCGATGGCGAGAGGACGTTGACGGACGAGACGGTCATTGGCAGGAAGGCCATCCGCTTGCCAAATCCGTGCCGGTGAGGTGCCGTTGCCTGAGGCCATCCAGCCCTCCTCCGTCTTTCTCGTCTGCCCTTCTTCGTCCTTCTTCCTTCGCGCTCCCTGTTCTTTGTCTCGGGACAACGAAGCCGTCGTCCCCGCTGATGGACATCCGAATGTGGAGGTCTAGACAGAAAGATCGTCACGTCTAGGCCGGAATGGTTCATAATGCGATGGGACTCGTCCATCTAGCGCCATCATATCATACTCCTAATCGCATACCCCTACGGAGTATTTCCTAGCTACACAGCCTCCGTCATTGGTGGGCTCTTCCAACTGCGAATGTCGCCACGATCCCCATATCTCCTACACTAGTCTCGCTGAGTGGCCCTGTCAAAAGATTTTTTTTTCTCGCGCGCGCGCAGAACTTCGCAATGACATCACTTCAGCGTGGTTCGTTCGAACCATGGAAAACCTGGTCGCCATACGGCTGGAATTGGACCGCAGTTGACAGAATGGAGTGATCTATGGATGTCGCAACCAAGGGCCGCGTTTCAACCTCCTGCTCGAAAGAGTAGTTTGTCTCCACGCAGAAGACTGGCGGGTCCGTTGAGGGTCATCCTTATCTGAGCTTATAAAAGTCTGAAGCCTCTGGGAGGTCTGCGGATCGCCAGCATGCCTTTCTTTTTCCTTGCGTCTTTCAATCCTCTTAATTAGAAACGTCCCTTGCTAAGGGAGTTGGTGAGTCCACCATCATGTCGGGAGAACAAGACCTTGGAGACAGTCGTCCTCCTGGAGCGGAGGACTTGCCCCCAATTGATGAAGAACCCGGGTACTTCCAATCAAGACCCTACAAAGAACAACCTAGTACTCGGTCAGAGCAACAACAACCGTCTTCTCAACCGCATCAAATGTCGCAACGACAAGAGCAGCCGCAGGATCAGTCAAACAACCCGCGAGACATATTTCTGCGGCATCCGACCGAACAAGCCAGCGTGCATTCTATGAGCAAACATCAGCAACTTTCCCGGAATCTGAAATCCAAGATGGGCGCCCGTCAGCCGTCTCAGGCGACCCAAGCGACGGACAAGTCTAAATTTCATAGCCTAGCCGGTTCCCAAGAAGGAAACCCGAATGACGTCTATGTCCACCCCGAATACCGCGAGATGAACCCTGATTACATGAAGAATCACGAGGCGCCAATATGGGGCTTAGCTAAACCACTTCCTCGCGTTGTTCGACCGGGTATGCGTCGTGATCCCACCAGGGATGACACGATGGCCTACCAGACAGAGACGAAAGGGGAATCGGAGCCTATTCCTGAGATGAAGATGACATCCAGTCGGAATAATGACCAGAAAGAAGGTCCTACTACGCCCGCTACACCCGCTACACCTGCCCAGAGAATCTCAAGCCGTGGTACCTATCCCGGCAGTACTCAAAACGATACCCCCGTCGAGCAAGGAATTATGAGTCCCGATTCTAGTGATCGGGTCAGCCGCCCGGTTGAAAGTGAGCTTGTAGGGCAATGGGACCAACCACAACCAGACGATCATGAACATGTGAACACATGGGCCTTGGTCCGGCATTGGCTTCGGGAGCCGCTCGCCGAGTATCTGGGGGTAAATTTCCTCATACCGACCTGGAGTACGCATGATCACTTTGCTAACTTGTTTTCACACAGACCACAGTAACTATGCTGATCGGCTTGTGCGCCACCCTTGCGATCGGCACCGGCGGTTCTCAGGCTGGGGATCGCCTCGCGCTGTACTGGGCTTGGGGACTTGCTGTCATGGTGGGCATCTATATATCCGGTGGTGTCAGTGGTGGACATTTGAACCCGGCCATTTCCATTGCCCTTTGGGTGTTCCGCGGCTTTCCCGGCCGCCTCTGCAGCTACTATGTCATTGCGCAAATTCTCGGGGCCCTCACGGCCGGGGGGCTGGCATATTGCATTTACCGTGACTCGATCCTCGCATTAGCCCCCACGACTCCCATGGGGGCAACTGGAATAGGCTTCTACACTGAGCCTTTGTCCTACGTTCGGAACGTGACGGCATTTTTCAACGAGTTTGTTTCGGCCGCCATTCTGATCTGTACCATATTTGCCATGGGTGACGGTGGTAACGCGCCGCCCGGAGCGGGTATGCATTCCTTTATTATCGGGCTGCTCATCCTCGTGCTGTGCGTTGGATTTGGTTTTAACACTGGAGGGTAAGGCCGGCATCCCATTATCTACCGCTCATCCGTCTTTTGCTGACGTGACGATCAGGGTTTTCAATCCCGCTAGGGACCTAGGGCCTAGGCTTGTTGCTTTGATGGCCGGCTATGGCGGAAGTACGTTCACCGAGCGCGATGGCTGGTGGTTCTGGGGAGCTTGGCTGGCAACCACCACTGGTGCCCTCGCCGGTGCAGCTGTATACGACGTCTTTGTTTTCATAGGCGGGGAATCGCCCGTCAATTACCCTCCCGCTCGACGCAAGAGAGCTTTTCTTAAAAGGGCGCTCAAATGGAGGAAACGACTCGGGCTGCGCAGGAAAAGAATTCCTCAGCTTGAAGAAGGACTCAAGGATCTGGAAGCTTGAAGGATGAACCAGGCCCTTCCAGGACGACTCAGAAGCCAGTCGGACCTGTTCTCTCGATGGTATAGGGATCTTGTGATTCCTACAACGGAGATCGAATGCGGATATCGTCCGTACACGAAGTGATGAAATCAACGCATTATGATTGAAGATGGCAAAAGTTTTGCATACAGCCTATTTAACCGGATTGTGCTGGATTTCTTTTTATTTGTCTTCTCTAATGTACAGTGTTCCATGTAATTATAGCGCATCAATTGACTTTTCATAACTCGACGTACATCTATCAGGTGATCTGGGGTTGCGTTAATTCGGGACGACCAACCTTCGTCGGACTTCATCTTTCTTTCCTCCTCCACAAGCAAGACAAATCACTACCTTTCGGCACACTCAAAGAAAAGCGACAGAATGAGCGCGTATTTGGTTCCCATCAGGCGCGGAGCCTTTCTCAACTGTCTCCTGTTCACGTTTTATCCAAGGATACCAAATTCCTCTGCCCAACTGCACATTCATGCTGGAACTACGCCATCCAATTAATCGACACCACACGAATGCAAACTAATCAAGCGTACAGTGACATCGGTCATTCTTCGCTCTTGCCTTTCGTCTTTCCTCCAAGCGTCCTGGACGATCAAATGGAATAGGGGCTCATAAGGCAATTGTATAGACCTCTTGATCTGCGAAAAATCACATAATACAGCAGTGTTGGCCTCATAAAAAACATTTGACGATAAATCACGGGTTCTGCTTCTTTCTACCATCAAACAAGCAGATAGGCGGCACTTTTACAGATTCGACCCGTTTGGAGTTATGTTGCAGCTGTCCAGTCAGATACCTACACAAACCGGGCGCGACCTAAGATGCCAAAGGTCACAGGGTCAATAGAGCTGCCGCGGGAAATGGTCCAATATACTTTGGACCGAGATCTTGTGTCTGGTCCTCAAAGGTTTTTCCTCCTTTTTATCCTTTTCCCCTTTTTTTTTTCTTTTTTTTTTTCTTTTTTTTTTTTTTTTTTTTTTTGTTCTCTTGGGGTTTGCCTTGTCCGGGGATTTTGTCCCATTTAAACCTGTTTCATTGAGGAAGTACTAGACAAAGCACTGATTTCTCATGCCGGACTTCATTCACTCCAAAAATTTTCAGATATTGTGACCCTTTCTATTGGATAGTTTCAATAATGAGTGTGGTGGAAACAAAGAAGCATACCAGATATGCCCATCATGGTTGGTCCCGTTTTTGTCTCGACAAGCAAAGTAAAGCAAATTCTAACCTCAACAAAGATGATACAGAATGTTTCATGCAAGTCATGAACATTGTGAAGTTGGCATACACTAGGTTTCAGATTAAACATTCAGTATGCTTGCCTATAGTCAACCCTGTCAGTGAATGGCATCCTTTGTGCCTAGAATAGTATGCCGGCAACTGTTGATTGTCTACAACAGGCTCTTACGCATCTGTTGAACTGACAATGACTACAGTCGGGCACGAAATAAATAGAGGGACATATCACCTTCGTCATTCATGTTTCTTCCTTGCGAAACTACCGGATAATCGACGACATTTGGCTTCCTTTCAGCCGGGGTAAAGCATCCTGTTTTTCAGTTTCTTTTCGACTAACTCCCTCCTTGTCAAGTCGCCTATTTTCAGCCTTGCACGTAAGCGTTGAGTTATCTAAATCAAAATGGCTCGCCGACGGTCCACCAAGCCAAAGGCGGTCATAGTCAGGGAGCGCCAGTTCTGGTCCTGGGCCAAGGTCAGACTCCCAAGAGATGTAAGAGATGGTGTGATCACGCATCTGATGGACCAGCTCTATGCTGAGGGTCTCTTCAACCTGGATATGAGAATAGCTCGCAACCAGGCCCAGATGGATGAGGCTCTTGCAAGACACATCGAGCAGATGCCTCCTGATTTCCGTGACTTACATGGACTTCATGGGGCTGAAATGAGACGTCGGGTCCGACTGTTGGTTACAGCTAAGAGAAGACCTTATTTGGCCGCTAAGAAAGGAGGCCCCCAGAGAGGAGGCGCTGCGCAGAGAGGTCGTGCCAGTGTGAGGGGAGCGCGTCGTACTGCGCAACAACAACAGCAGCAGCAACAGCAGGAGGAGGAGGTCGTGGCGGAGGCCCAGCAACAGCAGGACGAACAGATGGATGAGGCACCGCAGGAGGCCACTCAACGCAGGAGTTCGCTTCCATGGTCAGACTCGTCGGAAGAAAGGATGCGATTGGCAAGAGAACAGTGCGAAACACCGACGTTCGTATCACCAACCCTGAGTTCATCGAGCCCTGAAGAAGAGACTCAACAGATGGACGTAGATGCAGCTGCAACGCAAACGCCGCACAGAGGCTCCGAGGAGATCCAGTTGTTTTCGCCGAATTACGAAACGCCCAGGTCTCCAATCGAGAGTACCGGCTCGCAGGATGCGCCCTCCCCCATACAGGAACCGACCAGGTCCCCCTTCTTCCCGGATGAGACCCCATACACGCAGCCGGAAACCCTGAGTGACGACATACAGGCGGCTATAGATGCAGGGCGAATTCGTTCGCCATTTGAGCCGGACCCTTCGCGATCGCCGGGACCGGAGCCGGAAACGCCTCCTCGGCAGGAGGATGAGCAATCTGTGGTGTCAACGGAGCCGTACTCTAGTCAAGAAGATGCGATACGGAAAGACTTCCACCCCGATGAGGATTATGATGGTGCATCCGACGAACCGTCAGTAGAGGCTCCAGAGGCTATGGACGCTCCAGGGGCTAGTCAGGTTGAGATTGCAGAAACCCAACCCCCTCATGAAGAAAGTCTTCCTGAAGGACACTCTGGCGAACCGTCAGTGGAGGCTCCAGCGGCTAGCCAAATCGAGATTGCAGAAACCCCTCGTGAAGAAGGTATTCCTGAAGAACACTCTGACGAACTGTCAGTGGAGGCTCCAGAACCTATGGACGCTCCAGGGATCAGCCAGGTTGAGATTGCGGAAACCCCTCGTGAAGAAGGTCTTCCTGCAGAACACTCTGAAGAGCATCCCGAAGAAGAGCAATCCCAGAAAGAAAAACCCCAGGAGCACCCTGACGACCTTGAGGATTACACCTCCGACGATTATAAAGAGGAGATGCTCAAAACAGTGCAAAAGCACATTTCAGACAGAAAGCAACGACAAATGGAAGAGATACAACGTATACAGCGACAACTTGAAGAGAGAAGACGTGAAGCAGTACGGCGTATCCAAGAACCTCCTTCGCCCCCTTCCGCGAGTCAAAGTGCCGTCTGGGAATCTTCTCCCGAACAGCTCAGCCAAGAGCAATTCAGCGGGTTTCGCGACGACGACGATGACCTGCCGAGCATGTCGTCCACCGAGAAAGCCACTTCCTCCGAAGAAGGATCCCGGGGCGAAGAAGAAGAAGAAGAAGAAGAAGAAGAAGAAGAAGAAGAAGAAGAAGAACAAGAAGAAGAGCAAGAAGAAGAAGCCCAGGAAGCATCTCTGCCCGAACAATCCCCCGCCACCACCGCCACCAGCGCTCCTCCGGTCCGCAGCTCGGTCAACGTCCTCCAAGACGGTCCCGTCTACGTGTACAGCTCGCAGGCCAGCCCCCCTAGCCAGCTGGTCGCGTTCAACATTCACCAGGTCTCTACCCAGGTGCCTAACCCCCCTACCGATGGCCGCATCTACCGCAATGATATCAGCTTCGAGCTATTCCAGGAGCTGCTGCGTCCGCTGAACTACGACCCCGACCGCCATGATATCTACTACTTGAACTCCACGATGCGGGGACGGGAACCGGTGGTCATCAACTCGTCCAATGGTCTCTTCGGCGGGATGCTGCTGATGCAGATTCGCTACATGGCGATCGAGTTCTACATGAGGGAGACCGTAGACGCAGAAAGGGAAGGGGTAATGATGCAAATATGATTGATGTCGGTGTTTGGATTGTGCAATGTTCTGATGGGAGGAAGCTGGGGTTGCTTACGTGTGACCCAATTGGTACAGTTGAATAGAAGCTATGCTGTTGCCTGCTTTTAGGGCTTGGTTTTGCATTTGAGAGTTGTTTCTCGTTGGGGTCTGCTGGTTGGCGTGTGAGGGTTCTATTTGTATTTTCTAGAGTATTGCGTGTGTATGTTTGATGATATCCTTTTGGAATTGATTTCGTGTTACTATTTCTTCTAGCCATAGAACCCATTGCCTTGTGCTCATCTGCACGAAAAGGTGTGTATACTGACATTGTTACAATATATAAATATATGAGTATAACCAAATCCCACCGAGAACGAAATACAATACATAATATACAGAAAGTCCCAAGTCTATCAAAACAACCCCAAAAAGTTCGCGGTCGTCGACTCTCTTCAAAGAGTCTAAAGAACGCGGACGCATGTACACATGAATGTCTCTATGGAACTCCTCCAGAGGGTCCCTTGTTATCCACCCCCATGGCTTTTAAGAACGGCTCGACGATGCTTCGTTTGCGATCTTCTAGTGCTCTGCGTTCTTTGTCTTTCGTTGGGATGGGGATATCGGAAGAAATGAGAAGCGAGGAGAAGATCCCCGAAAGCACGGTTTCCACGGTTTGGCGGCGGAGGGCAAGAGGGTTGATCGTGGGCTCAGCAACACTGGATGAGGTGAACGTACGGGTCCTCCGACGGAGACTACCGCCTGAGATGAAAGATCCGGCGGACGGTGATGTTGGGGTGGAAGGTTGCGTGGTGTTGTCGGATGCTTTGGTGTTGGACTTCGCTTCTTCCTCGGAAGGTTTGTTTGACGAGCCCCGAGAAGGTATCGATGTTGCCGGTGCCACTTCATTGGCAACGCGAGCGAGCATAAACGTCACAAAGGTAAATGAGACACTGTGGGCGGGTGAATATGCCAGGCTTTCTAGGACCCAGGCCTGGGATTCCTCCCAAGTTAACGGCGAGGCTTTGGCCTTCTCCCGCGTGAGAATCTGTTGGTCCAGGTCTTGCCAGACCGAGGCTGTAACGATGCCATCTTGCAAGGAACCCAAGAACACTATCAGAGTCTCGCTCAATATCTCCAGGCGGTGGAGCGAGGACACCTCCGGTGCGAACAGATCATTGAATGACTGGCTGGTGTCTAATGCCTCTCGGGCAGATGCGAGAAGAGGCATCCGCTCATCCTTGTCCTTCAGGGTCCAAGTCTCCGGTGCGAAGGGCCAACCAGCCCCGTGGGGCTCTCTGAGCCATGGAGGTGTATCATCATCGGAGTCATCCCTCGTCATGCTCCACTCTGCGGCGGCACGCTCTGTCAACTCTGATATCGCCTCAGTCAGCCGAAAGAGCTCCCGAGGGGCGGAGAGAGGAACGTCCTTGTTCTGCTTGCCACGTTCCGCAGCTGAGATTCCCACAGGTGACATAGTACGCGCTCCCGCCTCTGGCATCAGGGTGAGGTCCTCCAGGCTGCGGCCGAAGCAAGTGGGAAGCCATTTCCCATAGGCCGAGATGAAATGGTCACGGCCACTGACGACCCGGAGTACCAGAATCTCTTCGAGTTGTGTTTTTCCATCGTTCAAGGCGCGTGCCAGCTCGATGTCGCGAACATAGGCGGTAAGCTCCACGTTGGCAAGCTCTCCTGGGTGCAAGACACACTCCTGTGCCGCCGCGACATACTTCCCTTCTTCGGAATCATCCCGGTGCGGCATTTCGACCTGGTATTCAAGCCACGACACCATCCATCCGTCAGCCCCTTCTGGCTTTTCAAGAGTAAAGGTTGCAGGAACGCCACTGGTGTTGGCAACCGTCATAGATCGCCTGACCGGCACGTCGAAAGGGATGTCACCAAAGTTGACTGCGTTGGGATCCCCGTCGGAGTCATCCTTGCTTGCATAGACCCCGTGTCTATCCACAACAACTGTCAGGCCCGGTCTAGATTCATTCTCGGCTCGGTCTAATTCGCGGACCACCTCTTGATGTACCTTCGCCTTCAGGTGGGGAATAACCGACTCAAAACTCAAGGTGAACCCAGCAGCCAGGGGCTTGTGGTCAGACGAAAGAATCTTTTGATGGGATGCGTAATACTCCAGTCGCAGAGGATCCTCAGAATCCGACTGTGACTGAAACGATGCGCCGTCGCTGGTCTGGTCATTAGTTGGGTCATATTCCTCGGCATCATCAGCCCCATCAACGTCGGGGTCATAGTCAAATAAAACATTGTCATCGGCAGCCGCTTTATCGAGACCTCGAGCTTTCATCTCATCGTCCCGTTTTCTTGAATCAGCGGTCTCGGCGACCAATCTTTCATACCTCTCCCTATCCTGGCGCGACCGGTAGAGAATGCGGTCACACCAACTGGGACCTCGTTGCTTTTCGCTCGAATCAAATCTGGCGACACTCCCGACATCATACTTATATGTTGGCAGGAAGGAGATGTCTCCCTCACGCCATCCATCATGGAAGGCCTTGTATTTGGCCTGTTGCAAGCGAAGTTGATCATGGGGCAGGAGAGAGGAGATGGTAGTTTGGAGAGACGCAGGGTCAGAATGAGGGTCCGTATCGTCATCGGAGTCCACCGAGGATGTATTTGACCGTTGCTCCTTGGTATTTTCGTCTTCTGCGTGTCTGGCAAGCACCTGGCGCACATCATCGCCAGGAATATCCTCGAGTCGATAGTTGAGATCGCCGAACCAGAACGCAAAGTCTTCTTTGCCGATGCTTTCCGTTGGCTCATCCCGGAGCGTGAGGTCCGAATCAATCGCATCAAACTTTGCGCGCCCAACAATCTGAGACGCATCCCAGTTCCGTCGGTCCAAGCTGCCCTTGTCCGATCCGGCCGCAAGATGGCAGTTGACGAACACTAGGCCCGTTGTTTCTCCCAGCAACAGGCGTGCCGCCACGCCACCTTTATTGCCCATATATCCCAACAACCCCGTGCCCACATTTGCGCAGCTAACCGACGACACACTATCGACAACAGATGGGGAGGCGTATATCAACAATAGTAACCCAACCAGCTGGGTCTCTGCCACCAGCTGATAGCCCGATGGAAGAGCCTTCTGCACCGCTGCTTTCCATTTACTGGCCGGTGCCGGGTCGACGTAGGGCCGCAATGCTTCCGCGGGTGAAGACACATCGACGATTTCCTGCAGCCCTAGTGCATAAAGTCCGACTTCATTGGGCTCAGTCTCGGAAGGCGAGGTCGCCTTGTCGGTAGCATCGTCGCCGTTTCCTTCCGACTCTGGTTCCTTATCTGAGACCCGTATTTCGGAGAACTCTTCGCTTATCCCTTTACGGTCTGCGAACCAATTGCCAACATCCTGTTCGGTGCCGGGGAGGGCCGCCACATTCCACGATCCCACTTTGATACGAATCGAACGCTGGCGAGTATATTCCGATCTCCTCGCTTTAACGGCTCGGGGGAGGGACGACGGGTCGAGGGGGGCATCCGGAGAGGGTTCGCGATTGTCGCTTTCACTTGGGAAGTCGCCTGGAGTTGCAGGGGGCTGAAACTGCGGCCCCGGGTGATCGGCGTTGGAGCTCATGTTGGAACGTGTATAAATTAGGCCAGCTGTATATATTCCATAAAATCCTGTCCGAGTATGATTGAGTTCGCTAGTCCTGGCTTGAGGCAGTTCGGGGCTCACCCACTGTCTAGCGCTAGAATGAGCAGTGTCGATGAAGGAAGCAAAGCGAGCTTCCAACGAGAGTAACCACGGTCAGAGTAATCACGGGAACGAGAGAAAAGAGACTGCGATCACTCAGGTGCCAGGTAACCGTCTAAGCATCACGCGCAGCGCTGGCGGGAAGTATAAAAAGAAGTAGATAAATGGAAGCCAATGAGGGCCGGCGTAGATGGCACCGAGTGATGACAAGGAGGACCCCACCGTGAAGTCCGACTCGACTGAACTAGGAGCGGTCGAGTCAGAATCTCGTGCACTGGACGGGGGGCTGCAACAACGAGGGGTGAGGGGGGTGGAGATGAGAAGAGAAGGAGGTTGAGGCTATTCCGAAGCTTCGACAAGGCGGGGGCTCCGACCGCTTCCCGGAATGGAGAGCTTTCATCACCTGAGAGGCCGCCCTCCTCTTCATCTTGCACTCTCTCACCTTCTCTCTCGCTCTTATTCTCTTATCCTCCAACACCCCCGCCAGTCCTTCTTTATTTCCCTTTCGCTGATTCTCACTCGCGTCCGTTCCTTCCTTCTCCATTCACTGGAGAACCACCTCCACAATGACGTCCCGAAAACCCCGACGACCGAACAACCAACACCGTCACAACAATCTGAACAGTGTCGCTCAGCCCTCCGACTACGATTCCGACTTCCAAACCTACATTTCCGATACCCAGCAGCTGCAACAAGAAGCGAACATGCCTGCTCCGCCGCTGCGCACCAACGAGGAGCTGAACCTCGCCGTCCTCCGCCGCCACAACCCCTCCGTGAACACGATCTTGTCGCTGGCACCTTACGCCGTCGTCTATATATTCAGTCCGACTACACGCCAGTGGGAGAAGAATGGTGTCGAAGGGACTTTGTTTGTCTGCCAGCTCACGCAGGGCAGTCTCGGCGAGGAGCGATACAGCGCCTTCGTCCTCAATCGGCGCGGGCTGAACAATTTCAACATCCAACTGACCGACGGCGAGAATGTCGAACTGACGGAGGAATATGTTATTCTAAAGGCGGACTATAATGCCGACACGGAGGTCACGAGTAATACCCATGTTCCCGGCGCCAATCCGCCAGGCAGCTCCAACGCCAATGGGCCCGGCAAGAGCCCCGAGGGCACCGACCTTCGGATCTACGGTCTCTGGATCTATTCCGAGCCTCCGCCGAACTCGACGGCCGAAACGCGCAGCATCAATGCCCAGATGATTCGCGAGTGTGCCGTCCATGCGGGCCACAGTTTGAATTTGGCGCGCGAGCGTCTGGAGGCGACGCGCCAGAACGGATTGCACGTCGCGGCCGCCACTGCCGCCGCCACGACCGCCGGGGCTCCGCTGGATGAAGAGCCGTCGAGCGTCCCGATGGGTCGTCAGATCTCGCTCAAGGATCTATTCGGGCAGCAGCGGGCACAAGATGACGGGTGGAGTGTCCGGGCGCACAGTCTGGGTCCCGACGAATGGCAGCAGCATCCGGGGACGGAGGCAGCGACGGCGCCACCCATGCAAGCACAACCGCAACCGCAGCCGGATGTACTGGGAGATCTGTTCAGGAGGGCTGGACTCGCTTACCAGAATCAAGCCCCTTGATCGAGGGTCGGTCGGGCTAGGCTTTGGGGGTCTTTTGTTTCTTTCCTTTCCAATGTGCATCTGCTACAGGCGTAATGTGATGACGTTAAGATACCCATGATCTCTACATATTGTTGACAGCATGGTGAATTGAAGCAGCAGTAACGATTGTGAATTACATACTGAAGGGAATCGTTCACTTGTGTCGATGATATATCAAGTATTAGTCTATGTAGGCGGTCAGTCTATAAACCCAAGGCGCACAAGTATCTCCGAATCTCAATCCCTGGCTATATCCATAATAATATCTGCGACTTTGCTCGCCATGAAATCGCTGTGTCCTTTGGCGTACATCACCAGCATTAGTACGACTTCGTTCCGACAAAAGAGAAGCGAAAGGAGGAAACACTCACTCAGACAAAACGCATGAGGCACTCCATCCTCACAAACAATCATCTTCGGCCCTCCCGGCACTTGGCCTCGGACTTCGATGATCTCGTCCCTCGTGCGCTCCGCGACCCAGTGGTCGTTGCGCCCGAAATAGAAAAACAATCGCGACGTGGGTTCTTGACTAGTCGAGATACCCCAGACATCGTCACTCCATTTATCCATGGTGATTGTTTGCATCTCGTCAGCCGCCATGTGCCTATGAAGAAGAGTTTCTGTTAGCCTTTCCCCATCTCTCTGTCTTTGTGTCCCAACTTCATCTCGTTGGAAATCGTTGGTAGTTCGGCAAGATTGCCATGAGAAGTAAGAACGTACAATGCCTGCTGCACCCCTCGCTTGCTCTTGAGGAATCCAGCCGTAGTATCCACCATCGTATCCGGTGCCGATGGCATGTAAATCCTAATCAATGACCGCAGAATAGAGGCAGGGACTAGAGCTGTAAGGATGCGAACGAAAATGCCAGCGACTAGGGCAAGTTGAGGAATGATTGAGAGCAGCTTCTGCTCCCCCAGCATGGGGTTTCATTAGTACGCGGTATAGTATGCATAACAGCAAAGAGAGTAAGAAACATACGGTCAACTTCTGCCCGGAAGGAGACTTCGCGATATCCACGATGGTTGGGAAGAGCATGGCTCCTCCAATGACATCGAAGTCGACTGGGAAATCACTTTTTGAGCCCTCGCGGTGCCGTCTTAGGACCTCCATGGCGATGTAAGCGCCTACGGAATGGCCGATGAGGATGACCTTGGGGCGGGTGGGTGGCGCCGTGTCGGATGGGGGTGATAGATGATCGATGCCATTTGTTCTGTCAACTGCGAAGTCGTGGATTTTGCTTTGGGCGAAGCGAATCTGCTCTTCCAGGTCATAGTAGTGTGGTTCGGACTCGGGCTTTTGTTCCTTCTGCTCTGGCTCGGGCAGCTCGAATCCGGCGAGACTGTGCCCGTAGATCTGGAATGATCGCTCCTTGTCCTGGCCTATGAATGATGATTTGGTCTTCTCCGATAAAAGGGAGAGAAATGTATGATAGTAGCCGATCAGCCCTGGATTTCCTGTGATGAAGTAGACGATCAGAGGGGCCTCCGACGGTTCAGATGGAGCGGTGGAGAACGCGTGGAGGAAGCTGTTGGGCGATATATGGGGTTTTTTGTCGGACGACATGTTGAGAGTAGGATATAGAATCAGGTGGCTCCTGATCACAGCCTGTGTGTCGAGCATTGGGTCTCCGCTGCAGGAGATTGGCGGTGTTGGAGGCCGAGGTTGGTGGTTGGAGCGGGAGTTGAAGTTCCGCGGTCCAGACTCACTACTCTCTCTAGGGCAAGCAAAGTCACGACGGGCCTCATACTGGTCTAAGTTCATACAGATCTACCAAAGTTCATGCCGGGTTCATGCCGGCATGCGTATAGAGTCGACGATGCCAGGTGTTGGGAATTTAAGCTGGAAAACAAACCAGTTCAGCCAATTCAATATCCTTATAATATACGCAAATATAGTTTGATCGTATTGCGTCTCATCCCACCCGACTCCATCCCGGTCAACCAGAGCTCCTCGAACCCCGGGGCGAATAATGGAAACAGAAAAAGAAAAGGAAAAAGCATAACAGGCCACTCATGAGCGAGATCCAGGCAAAGCCACGCCAATTATCATAGGTGGGAGGCATGCATCTCACAGGCCATATCCCTGATTCGGTCTGCAAACCCCCGTTTTCGCCGAACACTCAACAAAGAAAGAGATAAGATGAAGAACAAAAAGCAACAACAGAAGGCACATGAAAAACAAGAAGACATAATAGATATACACCAAGTCCCGCGATTCAAGGACTCGTCGGGGAGACAAGGGACAGGAAGTCGAGGTCTCGAGAGAGACCGAGCCCCAGATACATGATTTCTAGAAGGAAAGAAAAAAGAAGCCAGAAAGAGGCGACAAGACGGGTCAATGTATAAAGACATGGAGGGAATCGTACAGGGAAATACTGTAAATTCAAACAACAAAGATAGAAAAAGAAAATCACTTCATCTGGTATCTAGGAAGCTGTCATGGAAAAAACAACAGAAGCGCTCCTGGTACTCTGACAAGAGATCGATGCACGCAGAAAGAAAGAAAATAAAGAAAATGCGACCAGTACCATCAATGCATAAAGGGAAAGGTATAAGGAGTGTAATCATCAACCATTGTTACCATGGTCGTTGCTGCGATTCTCCTTTTCGCTGCTCTCGTGTGTCGTCGAATCCGCACGATCGTTGGCCGGTTGCGACGACTTGGCCGGAGCGGAGCCAAGGTTGATGGCGATCTTTTTAGGCGCCGCGCCGGTGGTAAGACTTCCCAAGGCACCTTGAGCATTTCCTTTGTCGCCGGGTGACATTGATCCGATGGATGTGCTCCTCTTCTTTCGCAAGAGTCCCGCGCTCCCAGGCCCGCTGCTGGTAGAACTTCTCCGTTTGGGGCCGGAAGTGAGTTTGATCAGCTCGTCGTCATCCTCTTCCTCGCGTCGGCGCTTTTCCGATAGTCGCTCCGGAGGTGTTTGTATCGTCAGGGACACTGGAGTCGAGGGAGACTCCTCGTGAGAGTTCGTATCAGATCCCTGCGAGTGGGAATCTTCAGGCTGCAATTGCTGCTGTTCAGGGCCCGGTTCCGCCTTGGTATCCATGGCATCGTCATCCTCATCATCGTCCGGGTAGTCAACCAATGGCTTGACGACCGGGGAGGCGCCACCGGTTTGTGCCTGAGAAGCCATCGCTTGAACCGCCGGGGTGTCTTGCTGTTGCCACTGAAGACCCAGATTAGTATACGAGGCGGAGTCACTAGGAATGGCGGGGTAACATACCTCCTCCTCATCATCTGATGTGTTGAAGTATTCCTCTTCCGCTGCATCCATCTCCTTAACACCCTGCCAGCGCTGGCCGTTGGCTTGCATTCTCGCAGCCGAGGTTCCATCGTCCTGAGCAAAGAGAGTCGAGTCCACCTCGGCTCCGTAGCCCTGCATCTGCTCGTAGCGAATTACCAGGTCGCGGAACGTATCGACATACGTAATGTTCTTGAGCTTCTCGCCGTACTTCTCCACGATATGCAGGACAATCGATTTGATGTTTTCCCGCTTGATGAACTCGAAAAGTTCAAGGCAAGCGGAGTTGAGGAGGTTGTCGCGTGGCATCGTCTCATAGACAATATCAAGGATCAACCCAAAGGTATTATTATGCGTCATTAGAGCTTGGTAGAAGGTGTCTTGGAGGCTGATGAGGGTGCGGAAGAATTTCAAGGCAGCTGGAGCCCGAGTTAGTCACTGGAAGCGAGCAGGTGGACAAAAGCACACTGCAAGGGTACTCACTGAGTTTGAGATGTTTCTGAGGCACTTTGAGGAGCTGGGCGATGCGAGGGGCAAGAGCCTCGTTGTGGATGACATTCCGGGTCCGGTATAGATGCTGTCGAACGAAAAAGGTGAGGATATCAACGAGATGCGAATGAAGGGCTACTTCTTGGAACGTGAGGTCATGCACTGCGGAAGCAGGAAGCGGTTAGTTGGAGATCATGGCATGCGCAGCAGGAGGAACTCACGGCTGGCCCGGTTTTCCAGCCGTTTGAGAGGCTGGAATAGCCTTCGGGCAGATTCGTCGAAATGATTCTGGACGAAGGCATCGGAGAGAATGTTCGGACGCAATTTTGTATAGTGTTCGGGACCAGCCCGACCCATCGCGTCCGGCAGCGGGATTTGTGGATCCAGCAAGACCTTCACCGCATCTGCTAGTTGGTTCTTAACACCCAGATCGGACTCGGTGTGGAGCAAATCAATGAGCGTGTCGGTCAACGGGGTCTTCTTTTCGTTCACAGCCTTGAGCATATAGCTACGCATCATGATCGGATCGTGGTCCAGTAGGGCGACCAGGATATCGATACCGGTCGTGCGCAGAGCGGGATTCGGATGTTTGATGGCGAAGGCGATCACGGCGAACAGTCCATGGCTGATAAAGTTGGCAAACAGATTGGCGCGCGCCGGGGCCTGCAGATTCTTCGCAATCGCAGCACATTGGTGGAGGAACTGCACTGCATCCTCCTTGCGTTTCGCATCCGCGTTTCTCGGGTCGAAGACCAAGAAAAGGTCCTTGAGGAAGGCGGCATTCGACTGGATGTGGTTTACGATCTCCACCTGGTTGTAGAAGATCAACGAATTCAGCACCGAGAACGTGGGATCATCCAAGATCCGAGCCAGCACAACATCCTTCAAGTATTGCAGGCGCCAGGTGTAGCGGATTTTGCGGCGAATCAGGGCATCCTTGATGGGAACGACTTCTTTATAGCGCGACTGGTCCGCGAGGTATTGTCGATGGTTGGCCTTGTGCGTCGGGAATTCGGGGTCATCTAGAGTCCGTCAGTACTCCCGCGTTGTCGGAGAACATCTACCAAGTCACGCACATTCTAAAGCCCCGACAACCCCGAGAATGATCGGGTCCGTGACGACGGTCTCGATGATGGTGTTGTCGTTGAGCAGGATGAGGGATTTCATAATGTTGCAGAGTCGGTGTAGGTCGACCAGGCTTTCGAGATCCTCTGCCATGGTGACTAGCGGGATAAGTTTCGGTATATACTCGTCTCGAATGACGAATTTCGACAGAGCGTCTCGACCGGCCTGCGTGATGCTCGCGGCTCGCATGACGTGATCAATTTCGGGCAGGTTTCCAAGTTCGGGCGGAGGGAGCATGATGGACTGGAAGCTTTCGAGGTCGTCCGACAAGGCATCATCTGTAAGGCAAAGAGACGAAACCGGCCAGTCAATACCGGACAGGAGAAAGGGGACAAGGAAGAGGAGCCTCACCTGCCGTCGACATATTAAGCAGGTGTTGCTGCACATTACTGACAAAATTCCTTCACACAAAAGCCGTCAGTATGAAAGGGGTGATGCCCGAACAGAGCGAGCGAGCGAGAGAGAAAATCGAAAAATCAAGGCCGAGTGCGATCGCAGAAAGTCGAGCTCACCAGATGACCGCGCATCCCTCCGCTTCCTGAAAGCTCAATGCCATGTCCGTTCCATTGGGCTCAGTCCAGACGATCAAGGTTTCTGGCGAGGTCGCACATGCGTTAGCCAATTCCTGCATCTCCGACGCTCTCCTGACTCTGCGATGCGACCCGGGTGGGCGGCGGCACCTTGTTGTTTCTGGTATCCATCATCCTTGGAGATTTTCGTCTCCAGCAGCACCCGATCGGGCTCATCTTCAGATTCGACAAAAATTCGCGGCTCGTCCTGGCAGGAGGGAATTGGGGCGTTAGCGACACGGACGCGAAGGCGCAGGTTTGCGCCCGAGCAGAGGCGCGCGGATGACAGCTTGCGCGGCGAGAACTTACGTCGAGGATCTGACCCGTACAGAAACCCGTGCCGCGATCGTACCAGTCGTTATCCTTCAGCTCGTAGACTTTCACCCGCTTGCGGTCGCTAGGCGGTTGCACCTCCAACGCCATGATCCGGCAGTCAGGCGAGGTGGCGTCTCGTCACTCCGGGACAACTCAGGCACGAGTGCACCGGCGCGCGGAGAGCCCCAGGATGTCGGGAAAGATCAAGGGTGGCCAGGGCCGAGTGTCCGGAACGAACGGGGGGGAGGGTAGAGGAGGAAGGAAGAAAATTCGGTAGGACGGGGGGCGGGAGGGGGGAAAAGAAGATGATGAAGCGAGGATGTCGGGCGACAAGAAGAAGGCGATGGGGAGGGGGGAAGGAGGAAGAGCAGACGAGATGGCGATGGATAACGAATAATGAAACGGAATAACGATGGATGATCCTGACTTGGGGGGGTCGGGCCACCTGACGGCCTCGGCAGCGGTCGGCGCTAAAGGGTTTTTTCTTCTTCCCTTGGGATTTGGCGCGACTTCAGTCTTCAGAAGAAAAAAAAACCCACGCGACCGGCAGAAAACAGAAGATGGAATGATGAGGGAATGACGCGCCGGCAAGTCGGGGGCCGTGGATTCTTCGAACACCTTCCGAAGCGTCCCTGGCGCCTGCAAGCTTCCTTTGCGAGCAAGGGAGAGAAGGCGGCCTAAGAATAGGCTGCGCTTAACTTCGTCCATCTAATCTTCTCCTCCCCGCGAACCCGTGGAACGCCGGATGGGACCCGGTGAAGCTTGGTCCCTTGTTCGCTATTGTTCCAGACGTTGGGCATCCATTCGTCCTGGATTGTCTTCCGTGCCTACCGAGTTCTACCGATGGCGTATATACGGCGCAGTACTCCTATATAGTACGGCGTAGACGTGGCTGCCACCAACACTTGCCATGCGCAATCCCGGCAGATCAAAACCAAAACACCTTCTGCCATCAAACCCTGGTCTCTCTCTTTCTCTCTCTCTCTCTATGGGTGTTTATGTGAAATGCAGTCAGGAAGATCCAATCCGATCGCCGACGATGAGATCATCGGCATGGCGAGGGCCTAGGGCAGCAATGCCGGTCATGTGACGCTCCCGTCGGTCTGGCAGATGAAGTAGTTAGTAGCAGGAGTAGAGGGGAGAGTAGAAGTGAAGTATGAATAGGAGTAGCCACTTCATTGTAGTTTATCAATTTACAGTATGGAGTATAGTTATTGTGTCTATATATATATATCGCGGACTGAGTTGGTGTTAGTGTCAAGTAAATAAATATACTATGGACCACTCTTCTGTACTGCCAGGGATCCTGCGTCGACCTCCGCGATAAGCTCAGCGTGTGTCGCGCCGACCCATGGAACAATCAACAAGTAACAATCAACAAATCATAGGTAAATAAGACCTACAATCAGCCGTTATCGAGTCCAGATGAAAGAAAGTAATTCTCGATGGATCCTAGGGTCCGAGCGCCCGGAATGTCACGCCCCTCACGCCGTCGCTGATTGGCTGGAGGCAGCTCTGGCGGGCGCTTCCGATCCTGACGCGCTTATGTCAGCAGCACCGGTCTCTCTGATTGGCGGGACTCCCACGAGGTGAAAAGTGCTCGAACAGGAAAGGTCGAAGTCTCGCCCGCCTCGACCTTTTTTTTTTTTTTCTTTCTTGCTTTAAAGATCTCGTTTCGACGTTCTGGTCGCATCGCCGCTTTCTTCTCTCCTCCGAGTCGATTCATCCTCTGACCTCAGGCGAGCGACTTCAGGGAGTTTTGCGCTCGTTTCGGTCATAAAACTCCCGTTTGCCATCTCCCTCGATATCTAAATCTACCGCAGATCGCACCCCCCCCGCTTCCAGGCCTTCACCGCGCTCGATTCGTTGGCGCTGTCGAGAGTCGTCCAACCCGTCCAATATCTCCGGTCTACACCCCTCCAATCGCTCCGTCAAGTCTACTGCCATTATGTCAGATACCAAGGACCAGGTTGCGGTGCAAACGTCCGCCAGCCCCAACGACCATGGCCCATCTTCCGAATCGGCCAAGCAACATACCTCGGTGACGGTCGATGCCAACACCCCTGATGCGGACTCCGGATCCGAGGTGCCTGCGGATCAACTCGATCAGAAGAAAAAGGGTCGCTTTGCGTATTTCAGGACCAAAGAGTTCTACATCATCCTGGTGCTAGGGTAAGTCGTCTCGTCCGATGCGGTGATCGATGGCAACCCCGCAGGCAAGTCGCTAACTCGAATCTTGTCGCCAGTCAGGTGCTCGCGATCACGAATACAGCCACCAGTACTTTCAGTACCCTCCTATCGGACGAGGGAACCTCAATCCCGGCTTTCCAGACCTTCTTCAACTATGTGCTGCTGAACCTCATTTTCACGCCTTATACCATGTACCGTTACGGCATCAAGGGCTGGTTCCAAATGGTGCTGCGCAACGGCTGGAAGTGTAAGTACACCCGGACAGCTTCGTGGCAATGGTGTCCGCTTTTATGCGCCACCCGCTGACCGTATTGCGCGCGAGCAGACATTATCTTGGCTTTTTGTGACGTGGAGGGCAACTACTTCATCGTGCTGGCATACCGCTACACTACCATGCTGAGCGCCCAGCTGATCAATTTCTGGGCCATCGCCGTGGTGGTTGTGATTTCCTTCCTCTTCCTGCGTGTCCGGTATCACATTACGCAGGTCCTCGGCATTCTGATTTGTATTGGTGGCATGGGTGTTCTGATCGGGTCCGATCACCTCACCGGCACCAATGGCGGTGACATCTCGCGCGGCGACCAGATCAAGGGCGATCTCTTTGCCCTCTTGGGCGCCACTTTCTACGGTCTCGCTAACACCGGTGAGGAGTATTTCGTCAGCATGCAGCCGGTGTACGAAGTCCTGGGCCAGATGGCCTTCTTCGGCATGATCATCAACGGGGTCCAGGCCGGTATCTTCGACCGGCATTCTTTCAAAATCGCCGTCTGGAACGGCAAGGTCGGCGGCTACCTGACCGGGTACACGCTGTGTCTCACCCTCTTCTACTGCATGGCCCCGCTCCTGTTCCGTCTGTCGTCGGCCGCCTTCTTCAACATCTCCATGTTGACCATGAACTTCTGGGGTGTCATCATCGGCGTCAAGGTCTTCCACTACGACATCCACTACCTGTATCCCATCGCTTTCGTGCTCATCATCATCGGCCAGCTCATCTACTTCCTGGGCCGCCGGGTGCTGGGCGAGGCGCGGAAGCCCTGGCTCGGTCGGAACCAGGAGCGCGGCGTCTCCGGGTTCTTCACCGCGAAGAAAAAGATCGACACCACCGTCGGCTCCTCCCATAATCCTAATTCCGCCGCCCCCGGCAATACCAGTGTCGTTTAGCGTTGTGGCGTTGGGGAACTCTGCAGCTCGCTTTTTTTCATTTTTTGTTGTTTCTGCACCTGCTAATGATTGCCTGCATTGACGTTGATCTATACATACTTATACACTTATACGCATGAGGGATGGAAAGATGATGCTTGTTGACGTGCATAATTTTTGAAAAGTTCTTGATGTTTTGATGTTGACGATTTACAATATCTATATACCGAGTTGGTTTTAATAATAGTACCTTGAGATTTACCCGGGAACCAATTTAAGACGCCCGTAGTAAGACAACCATAATCACAGGATACATTATGCACAAGTAGTATGTGACAAGGTGAAGTGAATTGAGAAAAAGAAAAAAGAAAAAATAGAAAGCATATATGAATAACAGAAGCGAAGAAAGAATCATAGACGAGAAGATTCAAGACCAATCCAAATCCAAATCCAAACCTGACGTGCCGGAAATTCAGTACAGATCAGACTCCAAGAACTCTTTTATGTTTACCTCCTGCTCCGTGTGTTCCTGTGCCAAATGTCCCCAGATGAAAACAAACCAAAGCAGAGACCACAAACGTCAACCTTCTGGCTCCCCAAACCGTAGCCGAACCAGAACCCGCATACCTCAACCAAAATCACAACCGGACCCGAACGAACACAGAAATAAAAACACCTGAAACTCTCCCTGGGTGAGGCGAAAACAAGAGCCCGAGACGTACACCACGCAAGCATGTAAATAAACTCCCCATCAACAATGACAGGCGGCAGAAAGCCCAAAAAGACAAGGTTTTCAGACATAAGCGCAAAGCGTCCAAAATCAAAAAACACCAAGGGGCACAAAATGCAAACGCACATGAACCAAAGACCAAAACCAAATGAAAGAGGGGAATACCGACTCCAGAAACCAACAGGCCGACCAAGTTCCCAGTCAGTAAACCAACCATGTACCAATTAACTGTCCACATATGACGGAGCGCTAAACAGAACATATTCTTGCACCACTTTTCCCATATATGTACCATGCTCTTTCCCAATATTTGAAAGAAAAAGAAAAAGAAATAGAGAACCCTCTCTCTGAAACGCCACAGTGTAGAAGCGAACGCGTGTTGAATGTACCAAGCGTGAATCGAAGTAATCAAAGGTTGTATGTTTTGGTCAATTAACCCCAGACGGAGGCCTGCACACCCAATCCATTCTTGGAGCCCCAGACACCACTGCTGTTGCCCCAGCCAAGTCCAACTCCACCAGTGGAGTCCTTGACGCTGGGGTTCAGCGAGGAAGCAGAGCTGGGCGGGTTGGAAGCCGTCGAAGCCGAGCGCTCGTTGCTGGCACCCGGAGCCACTCCCTCACCGGTGGTGAAACCGAATCCCAATGGGGATGGCAAAGGGGTAGTAGAGCGCTTGTTCAGAGCCGGATTGGGCATCTGCACGGGCCCGGCTTGCTGGAGGGGACGAGAGCCAATAGGGCCCACGGAGCCAATAAACCCGGCAGCGGACTTGGAGGGGGTCGGCCTCGAAGACGGGGAGTCGGCTCCGCCGGGGGAAGAGGTGGAGGTCACCGGCTGGTCGGCGCCGAATACGGGGTTGATGCCGGAGCCGGGGGAGGAGGTGCTGTTGGCTCGGGACGGGGACTGGAGAGTCGACGCGTTGGCAGCAGCCTGAACAGCCCCGTCGGCGCTACCTTGGACCGGGGTTTGGACGAGACCGAAAGGATCAGCGCTGCGGGGAGATGGGCCACGAACGCCAGTCGCAGAGGAAGGGGTGCCTCCAGCCTGGCTCTCTGGTCGCGAGTGATCATCCAAGGTGCCTGGAGGGAAAAAGGCCGGGCTCTCGTTGCCGTAAAGAGCCCTGTGCTGACGGGCCAGGAGATCTCGACGGCTTTCCTCACTCATGGCGGCAGGGCTGAGCGAACGGTCGGATTTGTTTCCAGACATCTCGGCAAGGAGGCCTTTGAGAAATGAAGAATATTAAAACCCATGTTCAAAGAAAGAACAGACAACAAAAAGGAACAAAAAAAAAAGGGAGAGGATGAAAAAAAAGGAAGAAAAAAAAAACTGGAACGTTGTCCCAATGTATTATACAATGCAACAGATACATGTGGGCAAAAAAAAGATCACGGGGAATCTTGGCAAAAGAAATTGCAGAAAAACAGAAAGAAAAAAAAAAATATCCGGAGACAAATGCTACCACGTACTTCGGTTGTACTGTTGCTCCTGGTGATAGTTGCGGAGCTCCCTCTCACGCTGCGCTGCCATCCGACGTTTTGCTTGCATCATCTGCTCTACTTCATTGGGGCGGCCCTGGAAACGCTGGGAGGCATAGAAGCCTTGCACGTTCGGGTTCGGGTGCATACGGGATCCATCGAAGTCGCTAATCGAATGGTGGCGTTGGGCCACACCCCCCATGGCGCGAGGATCGGCTAAAGAAGACAACGTTAGAATCCGGCGCGGTCAACGCACATAGCCCAGGATCTCATACCATAGTCAGGGTACGGGCGACCCATCATCATAGGCATCGAGTCTCTTCGCGGAGTAGTCCACAATTTTCCACTCTTGACAAGATTATCAATGGCGCGATCAACCTCTGTAGCGAAACGTCAGCGAATGCTCAGTACCAACCCATCGACGGCACGGGGCCAAATCAATCATCGAGAACGCAGGCCGCTTCAACTTTCCGCTTGACCGAGGTTGTGACCATAAAATTCCAACGTCTGGCGGATGAGGGAAACGGCAAGATCCATTGACGAATGAAGTACGAGAAATTGGGGCAATCAAAATATCCATACCGTCGAACTGGGAGGAAAAGGCCGGGATCTCGTCGCGTTGAGAGACGGAGCTCGATCCTACACACATCATATCAGCTCGACTGCACCAACAGACCAATACTGTCCTCCAAGAAGCATGTTGTGATCGTACCGGATCGCGACGGGGGAGCAGGCTGTTCCCATGACACCTGGCGCGCAGCAGGGGCTTGCCAGCCCTGGGGTTCGTAATAAGACATTTTCACCGACTGAGAAAAGTGATCGAGGAGCGGACCGATGGAGGCGCCGACGAACTTGGTTCCGATCGCGAGGTATTAGGAGAGACCTGATGGTGTCCAAAAAAATAAAAGCGTAAGTTGCTAATTCCAAGAGAGCAAGAAAAAAAAAAAAATAGGACAAAGATAATAACAAATAACACCGCCAAAAGTCAATGCCAAATGCAACACAAGCGCAGGATCCCAATGGGTTAGGTGTCCAAGTGAGCAAAAAACCCGACGTCGACTAGCGACATGGATCGGTGAATCGCAGATTGTCCGAATTGACACTTCCAAAGGTAGGCAACCTCTCGCTCGAAGATTGCGGGCACGGCGGGTTTGGTTCGGCAGAAGTTCGAATTGGAATCACAAATCTCGAAGAGGAAAAGAAAACCAGACCAAGAGTAGGTGGAACGAGACGAGTTGAGCACCGTCTTTTTTTTTTTTTTTTTCTCGTTTCCCCTTCGGGAGTGGGTCGAGGGCGCAGAAGAAAGCAATGCGTTGTTCGGTACTGGAGGTAACTTACAAGAAAAGGAGTGATTGCCTTCCCAACAAAAAAATCCTCTACCACGAGCGAACGAGGCAGAACCGGGAGGATAATAGCAGCTTCTCACCCTCGAGGCACGACAGACGAGGTCTGACGTGTGGAAATTAAATGGGGACGGAGAAGGCGGGAGGGAGGGAACAGAAGGAAAGGGAAAAGGAAAAAACAGGGGAGCGCAGAGGAGGGGTGGGAGTGGGAGAGGGAAGAGGGAAGAGGGCGAGAGGAGGGTAGAAGGATCGGGTAGCAGAGGTGCAACCGTCGACTGGACTGGACGGACCGGGGGGTGTGAGGGGAGAGAGAGCGAAGAGGGGGGCGAGAGAGAAGCGAGAAGAATCGTGGATTATTATTTTTCTGACCGGGGATAAGAAAGCAGATGTCTACAGGACTGGACCGGGTCCCGTTCAGGTAAGAAATGGAGTACTCCTCGGCCGGTCAGAAAAAAGTCTTGGGGCTACGGACGCTGCGACGAGCTGCTCCAAAACACCAGGCGTCGAGATGCGACGATGCTCCGGCCAGGGATCTGGAGATGTTCGTCGAGCGAGACAATGATCTTGAGCAATACCTTCTAATAATAATCATTCCAATATAAATCAGAATCCGAATCCCGCACACAATAATAATAACAATAATAATAGGTAATGTCTAGCCGGTACTCCGTACAAGTGACGGCAAAATTAAAAAAAATAAAAGGACCTCCAATTCATAAAAAAAAAAAAAAAAAAAGAGAGAAGGTGGGGAATGGAGGGATTCCGTCTCTTCTGGTTGGTCGTCACCTCTCGCTATCCGGCCCGTTTTTTTTTTTTTTTTTTTTTTTTCATTTCCCTCTTTTCTCTTTTCTTACTGCGTATACCTCCGCGTGAATAATAATAATAATTAATCTCAATCTCCTTTTGAAAGTTTTATCTCAGTTGGTCTCCCACCCCATCCTCTCCTACTTGCACTGTTGAATAATTAATGCCAATTCCATCGACTCAAGCAGCGAAGAACGTCTGATGTCGATGTGCGGAGTATTCAAGTATCTTAATATCCACCTTGACGGGGAATTGGATTTGCCTCTTAACTTCTTAAGTAGCATACGGAGAAGTCGATTCCAAGGACCTCATGAGACTATCCAGAATCCTTGTACTCCGTAATGTCAGGGGGTCCCACTCTCCCACTCCGGGTTTGGCCTTGGCTCCGTTCAGGGATTTCTCCCGGCGTAGGAGTACCTCCAGAGTACTACGCCGTTCGGTCCTGCGCAGAGCACAACGAAGGCAGGAATCGCGGGGAACGAAAAGGGGGAAATCAACCCATCAACCCATCTGGGTGAGCAGTGGTAACTATTATTATTGTTTATTGTTTATGAACACCCTCGGTCTGATCCCAGCGCACCGTGGCGTACTTACTCCGACCGAGTATTCGTAGTTTATTTCTTGTCCAGCCGGTACCCGGAGATTTGAAGAGCACTGGGCAGAGTGGGCATGGGCCTGATCGAATCATTTTCATCCGAGCAGTCCAATTGTACTAATAAATGCCTCTTAGCGCGGCCCGTCCACCTTTTGACTTTTCTATTTATTATTATTTGGCATTTTCTATTTCGACTGCCCGGCATCGGTCCGTGTTTCCCTGTCTGCCGGGGGTAACGGGGCATACTAAAATTACAGCCCGCACCATGCGGAAAAGCGGGTAATCTACGAGAGATTTCCACCGCGAAACGATACGCGCCAGAGGAGGGCCTCGTGGGGACTCCGTCAGCCCTCGCCCGTCTGGGTTTAGCGCCCTGTCGCCGTCGGAAGACCAAGGAAAAGGAGTCGACCAAGTTTCACGGAGGGGACATTTGAATACTAATCACGAGTGATCAGGATGGTATCGCAGGTGCCGCAGTGCCCTCCAAACTGCTCTCGTTCGTCTTGGTCCTCCATGCTGTATTCCAATGCAGGACGGGGTAAGAGAGAGTTGGACATGGACAGGAGGTATGCATGCTTACCGAGAAGATTGTCGTTGCCCTACTCCGGAGTAACCACAAGGTTCTTCCTTGACTCTTCACCTACCTACCCCGGCGTACTGTGCACGGAGACGTTTTCTCCCTGTCTACTACCTCTCGATTTCCTGATGCACGATGACTTTCGGATTGGAAATTGCTCCACGAAACAGGTTTTCCCCCGTCCACCCGGGGGGAACCTCGTATGGAGCAAGACAATGGCGCCTTGGCCGCACACACCACCTCCCAGTCCCGACCGTCTGACGCCCACGAGGACCTGCGGAAGGATGGAGGACGGACGGAGTATAGTCTAGCTGGGAGCTACTTTACGATGGCCACCATCCCCAGAGCTGATTAATCCGGCCTGGCCTGCACCGGTCGTTCACCAAGGAGGTGGGGCATGGCTGTCCAGTGGAGAGGTGACCGGGATGGCACTCGGACCTTCTGCGCCGGGAAAGTCCATTCACATCACAAGGTGCTCTCACCGTCGTCATTGTGCTGCCGCCGGGCTGGCGCCTGCGTCCCTTCGTGGGGGACCTCCGGCAAGTAATCGGGCAGAGAGATGCCCTGGATCTGGTCGCCCAATGTGGGCGTGGACGGGACTGGACTGGACGATGCATGCCGTATGCACATGTACGAGTAGTTACGGCCCAGGTACATCCCTACCTACAGAGTACAGACAGCCATCCAGTCGACACTGGATCGGCATTGGCTCGCTGGAGGAACCCTTCCAGCCCCAGTGCTTGAGACGTGATACAATCGATGCAGCAACATCCATCGCTACCACAAGTATGTATGCACCTGACATGCAAACCGACGGTATACGTCATTTCCTCCGCGACCCATCCATCTCGACAGATGGTGCGCGTGGTCGGTCTACGGACTCGGATGGACCATTGGATCGGCCGCCATCACCGCCACCTCCCATACTTCAGGATAGACTCTGCGCGAAACCCCTTCAACCCTTCAACCCGGCAGGGTGTCCGTCTCGTTTAACTGAGCTTGATTCTGGGTGGAATTAGGGAACTGCGCCGGTGGCTTGGTTCCCCAGACGATTGTTTATTCGGGACCACTTCTGCAACCGTGTCGATGCTCCCGGATTGGGCTAGAGCCTCCACGATGCCATGGTTCGACGAGGAGCGACAGGTCCGGGGAGATCCAACGAGCATGCCTTGAAGGGGATTTGGATCAAAGAGCAACGTGTCTCGAGTTGGCGGGGGTGTAGACTCGGACGATTCATCCAGTCGTGCTCTTCTGACAAAGGAGAGTGAGTGTAGAGGGTTTGAAATGGGGGTTTTCTACTCCGGACAGGGGGACGAGGGACGCCGTAGACACTACTCGATATCCAGGCAGAAGACCTACACTCTCCGGATCGGAACAATGATCCGCGTCGAGGATCAACGGAGGGATGACGGACGGTGACTAAGCTCGGCGGCGGGGGGATGCCGCCAGAAGGTGGACGGAAAGCGAAGGGAAGAAGATGGAAGGAGCAGAAGAAGATGGAAGGAGCAACAGAAGAAGCCGCCGAAGAATAAGGTTTGTTTGTTGCGAGGAAGGGAGGAGCGGATCGGCGTCTCACTGGCGGGCGGGCACGTGCCCCCAGTCGGGGCCGGGGCCGAGACTGGCCTGCGACGCCGGAAAACGCGGGGCAGCAGGACAACCTCGAGAATCAGGGCGACGGAGGCACAATGAAAGGAGGGCCTTGGCAGGTTGCATCCGGTCTAGTCGGCGCCAGCACAAAGAACGAGGGCGGAGGGCCAGCGCCAGGGGCGTCTGCTTGTCGTTCCTGCCGCGGGGCCCGTCCAGCACATCCTACTAGTCCTCCGTACGCACGGCGCAGTCCTACGCACTGCGGATGGTTCCCTCCTATCGAGCGCCGATGCCGATCCATTGTGACTATTCCTCAATAGTCAAGGGATTATTGACCCGGGAACTCTATAATTATTCAGTATTCACGGCCACCCGTTCGCCTGCCGGTTCCTGGTTGGAGCGTCATTCGGCCTGCATTGCATTCGGGACGCATCATATGCTTTGTCTCCGATAGGGGACCCGACTACAGGTCATCATTTTCCCCTGAGCGGAACTGGATGAATGGGGTCCATTCCACTGCACCTCCCTCTGTCAGTCCCTACTCCTTAGGTATTAATTTGGCGGGTGTGGGAAAACAAAGAAGGCAAAGACAAGACCAGACCAGACGAGATCAGAATAGAGACTCGTCGCGGCGATTGGCATTCGGAGGAAGGGATCGATAGGAAGGGCGCATGAGTCCGCTTAGTAGACGCCGCAATTGAGGCCGTACGGGGTAGATTAACAGCCTGCGCATCCTTTCATTACTTCAGGTCGGAACCTGGAACACATGGGCGCCAATAATCAAACACCGCCGGGACTCGACTGACCGCCCCCGTGGATGGCCCCCTGGCTCAGGCTGCCACGCCCTCCTCCCCTCCCGTGGTTTTTGCCTTTGCTTTGCTTTGCTTTGCTTTGCTTTGCTTTTCTCCCACTCCAAGCAAGTACCTGGCATCGATCTCTCTCTCTCTCTCTCTCTCTCCCCCCCTCTCGTCCTCGCTCCGTCTCTCTGCTGGCTGGTCCTTTCATGGAGATCTAGGTGGTCCTCCTCCTGCCCTCCTCCTTATCCCATTGTCCGCTTGGCTTGTCCCCGTTGTGTGGTTTGGCCACTGTGCCCTTCCCGGCTCGACTCTATCGCTCTCTCCCCTTAAACCGCTCTATCGGCCTGAACGATCGACAAGTATCCCATTGGCACCCCGACATTCCAGACTCACCACAAACAGTTGGTCTGCTTTTCCTGTTGGCCGGGAATTTTTTCCTTTTTTTTTTGTTTTGATTTTTCTTCTTTTCCTCTTTGATTTTTGAGGACGTCGTCCAACCAAAAGGCCGTTTTTCGTTTTTCTCGAGGTGGAGCGGAGACTCAATTTTGCTGACCCAGCGCCGGCCGGATTCTGCGTTGCGTCCCCTGGTTGCCCCCTCCTCTCGCGGCTTTTCGCCTCTACTATCGCACTCTCGTCCACGCCGCGTAAATCTTGTTGGCAACGTTCTTTTGTGCAGTATACATTGGCTACCAGGATACTGTGTCTTGCACGGTCATTGAACAACTCCGAAAAAAAAAAAAGAAAGTCGAAAAAAAATAATCAGGGCAAAAAAAACGGCAGTCGGGAGAACCGAGTTTCTGGGTGGATTCTGCACACCAGAGCCCTCGTTTATATTATCAAACCGGAACGCCAATTTTTTTTCTCCATCCTAAACCCCGTCGTGGAGGCCAACGTTGGCGAACAACGTTGAATACGCTATATGCTCTCAGAACCCCATGGGAATGCTAAATTGTCCTCCGTTCCAGGTGAAAAGTCACCGATAACGTCGGAAAAGGCCTCGACGATGCCGTGGAACCTATCCACCGATACGTCCTCTGAGGCAACCGCTCGTCCGCCGTTGACGTCGCAACAGTCGAACTCCCTCCCTTCGACGCCGTATCAACATGCGCGAAACCTCTCCTTTCACTCCCGGTCGCCTTCCCCGCCTCACGGAAGCACCTCCCCTCGGTCCACCCACTCGGAGACGACGCACATCCCCCCCTCCCTGCGGAAACCGTTCTCGGGCTGTAAATATGAAACCGCCATGGCCTTTTTCCGACGAAGAATGCCGTACACGCTGGGTGCCGATCTGCTGCCCGAGGAGAAGGAGGGGCTCAAGGAGCGCTTGGACCCGGAAGAGGAGGAGAAGCTGAGTGCGGATATGCTGGAGGTGTACGATCGATTATTGCCGTCAGCGGAGAGCGACGATCGGCGCCGTCAACTCGTTCGCAAGTTGGAGAAACTCTTCAACGATCAGTGGCCGGGGCGCGACATCAAAGTGAATGTTTTTGGCTCGTCGGGGAATAAGCTCTGCTCGAGCGACTCGGATGGTATGTGGTCGTCACATGCGGACAACGGCCAATGGTGCTGATTGCGAGACAGTGGACATCTGTATAACTACAACGTATAAAGAGCTGGAGCACGTCTGCCTGCTGGCGGAGGTACTTGCGCGACGTAAGGGATTCCGATTCTTTTCTACCCCCACCAATCGCTGACATCCAGGGGGTCCCCTCTGTGGCAGATGGCATGGAGCGTGTGGTCTGTGTTTCACATGCCAAGGTTCCCATCGTGAAGATCTGGGATCCCGAGCTGCGCCTGGCGTGTGACATGAACGTGAACAACACCTTGGCCCTGGAAAATACGCGCATGATTCGTACGTATATGGAGATTGACGAGCGCATACGACCATTGGCTATGATCGTAAAGCATTGGACGAAACGAAGGATCCTCAACGATGCCGGTAGGTTTACGCTTCTACGCCTAGGAGGCCGGACTCGCCCTTGCACTCTTGGATGTTGACCGCTGGCAATAGGTCTTGGAGGCACGCTCAGCTCCTACACGTGGATATGCTTGATCATCAATTTCCTCCAAACTCGAGATCCTCCCATCCTCCCTAGTCTCCAAGCTCGGCCTCATGAGAAGAAGATATCGGCGGAAGGGTTCGTCTGTTCGTTCGATGACGACCTCGGTAATCTGGCCGGGTTCGGACGGAAGAACAAACAGTCTCTGGGAGATCTGCTGTTCCAGTTCTTTCGATACTACGGTCACGAGCTCGACTACGAGAAATACGCTATCTCCGTCCGAGAGGCCAAACTGATTTCCAAGGAAGCCAAGGGCTGGCACCTGCTACAGAACAACCGCCTCTGCGTCGAGGAGCCGTTCAACACGTCCAGGAACCTGGGGAACACTGCCGACGATACGTCGTTCCGCGGTGTTCATCTAGAGATTCGTCGCGCGTTCAAGGCCGTGTCGGAAGGTAACCTCGAGCATGCCTGCGAACAGTACGAATATCCCCCCGAGGAAGAGCGTTCATGGGAAAGGCCGCAACCGCAACCGCGACCCATCATCGCGCCTCCACCCTCCTCTCGGGGTGGCCGTGGAGGTGGCCGTGGCGGGCGGCACTCGAATCAGTACAACCGCGGCGGCCATTCTGGTGGCCGACGTTCATCGAATACTCCAAACAAGTCGAATAATTTTCGTCAGCCCAATAACGGCATGAGTGCGTCCGAACTCTCCCTTCAGGCCCAGCAGGCTCAATACCTATTACATGACCACCTCTACCAACAAATCCAGATCCTCCAGGCCCAAGAGCAAGAACTGCGGTTACAACTGCAAAACCAGGCCCTTCTTACTGGAAGGCCTCCCCCCGTGCTGATTCGCCAGCCTTTCATCCAATTCCCGATGCCCCAGCAACAAGAATCTACGGGTGACGACACCTCTCGGACGAGATCTGGAACGGCGAACCAAACAGCCCACAACGCGCCCGTGCGCCAACAGATGTACTACGGTTCCCAGTATCTCCCGGTGGCAGTCACCGGCGTCCCAGGAAGCACTACAAACCCCCCTTCCCCCTCCGCTGCCGCTGCCATGCCGGATCTTCGCCGTAACCCCCGTCGGTCGTCCGTTGCGAATGGATCCCCAGGCGGGTCATTGCGGGCGCACTCGCAGCCGGCACGATCCGTGAATTCGCTCCCAACCTACGCCCCGATCTATTCCATCGCGCAACATATGGAGGGCTCCCAGAATTCGAAGCCGCGTAACGTTCCTGGATCCCCTGACGACACGCAAAGCGAGGAAGACAACCCTTTCATGCCGAGCAGTCTGCCCAATGGATCCCGCGCCGCGTACTTTGATGAGAATCGACCAGCTGAGTACATGGGATACTACCTGGCCACTTCACCGCAATTGCAAGCGTATCATCAGAACTCCATCCTATCCCCCTTGTCGGCACCGGTCGGATTGGCCTTGCAGAACGGTGGTGTCGTGCCGTTCGTCACGAACCCCCAGGAGTACCTGGCGTCCGTGGCCCAGCATGAGGCGGCCGGCCTGTCACCAGAGAATGGCGCGACGCAGAGCTCCCAAGCGGGTTCAACGCAACCGCGTACCACACGGCATGCCGCCTCCGCTGATCGCGGCGGTCCCTTGATTGTAGATGGTTCAGTGCCGCCGACCGAACACCGGGCTTCCCTCGCGGTCGAGGGCTATGATCCTTACGCTACTATGAGCCATTGTACGTCAAATTCCGATGACCACAACACGGACACACCTGCCAGCGTTTCCGATTCATTCTCTCAAGATCTTCAAGACAACAGCTCGGTAGACATCGACCAACCGACGTTCTATAGTAGCCGTGCGGGAATCGACATCCACAAGTCCGGAAACTCAGACGTCTTTGTGAATGGACACGGCGGCAAACAAAGCCTGCTTTCGAGTCGATTGCAGAACCTGCATCTCTCAAACAGCGAGAATGCCTCTGAGCTCCCGCCATCATCAAAGACGGGATCAGAGAAGCCACGGCCCGTCCATTCCCACCACGAACCCTCGGGCAAAGACAACTCGCGACAGAGACATCCTGCTGCAGGAGACAAAGGCACGTCCGGCTCTGGGCCGTCATCTGTGACTGAGTCACATCCTCCTTCGTCGACTGGGAAACGCCGGCCTAACGGCGTCGAAGCCTCTGAAAAATCGAACGGTCACGGCCACGGCCATGGCCACAAACCAAGGCCGAAGGGCCGTCCAGATGCTTCTCACACCTCTGCAGGACCGGGCGACAACAAAGAACGGAATAATCATCACCAGTCACGAAAATCCAACGGCGCAGTTTCGACAGCACAAGACTCTCATGCCACGCATACCGGTAGTGGCTGGCAGACCACCAAGAAGAAAAATCGCAAGAATGCCAAGTCGTCCATGGACCACCATCGACAAGGTGCCCATGCTGGCGCGGAGCCGCTCCCTGCGGACGAGTCCCTGCGAAAGGGCGGGTGATATCCATCGCAATCCAAATCTCGTCTACTTTTGTGTCCCATATTGTTGGTCATTATATTCCATTCCAACGCATCCTGAACGATTGGCGCACGTCGTACCGTATTATATGATGTTCCGGGTTTCCGATATTTCCGCAAACTTATTTCTCTCCATTTTTCCTCCTGGCGCCATTGCTAGGATCCACCAAGCCCCTATGCTGAGGCTTGTATGACATTGTACAGTTTATAAAACACACTTTCGAGATGTTCTTTTTTGTTCCTCTCAGGTTCAAACCAAGTTACTAAACGGCGTTCTGGGTTACTTGGTTTTGTATAAACGAGGCGGCATCCTCTTGAGATTTAAAATGACATGAGTCCAACAAAGGTTTTTCTTATTCTGGTTTCTTTTGCTCGCTTTTGAATGGAAGGTATATGATTTTTTTTTTTCGCTTTTTTTTTTTTTTTTTTTTTTCTTGTTCAACTTTTCAACATCTTTTATCCATGCCCTCGTCGTCTTTTTTCCATGTTCAACATTGGCGTTTACAGGTCCCCAGAATGACGCTTGGCAATCGATGGCCTTGCCAGGTTCAATACTTGTGTGAATGGCATTTGTGTCTCAAATCCTTATATTTTCATCCCTTGATGTGTTGAGGCTTTCGACTTTGCTTTGGTTGCTCCCCTCGTTAATTCAGACTGTTTGCTCACTCCCCTGTGGAAATTGTCGTTATACTCTGTCACTGGTTTGTGTCCGTTTCATCTTGCATACAGGATATGCTTCTCACTCAGCTCGCTTGTTCCATCTCCCGCCCTTCGTTCTACCGACTCACTGACTACGGAGGTTGCGGAAAGGCTTCAACACTCGGTGTTGAAGCCGGGCGAAAGCAGGTCTTCGAGAGAGAAAGAACACTCTTCCAGAGCGGTATACGGACTCCCGAATTGAACCGGAGCATTCTCCTCTTTACCTCCAACACTTTGTTTCTTTGTGCAGGCTATGGATTTCTTTCAACGTTTATATCCCATCGGTATCATCAACATACTCATACTCATCATCATCATCATCATCATCATCATCATCATCATCATCATCATCATCATCATCATCATCATCATCGTCATCATCATTGTCAATATACCATCATAGCAGGGAGCCAGGCGAGTGGGTTCATTGTGCATTGCGTTCTTCCTTTTTTTCCTTTTTCCTTTTTCCTGTTAAATATCATGTCTGTCAATCGGGCCGGAATCGGACCGGGATTGATTGATTCTGCAGATGTAGAATTGGGATTTACATAGGGGCGTGTTCAGAAGAATAAAGATAAATGAAATCAAAATGTTGACTTGAGACCAAGGTTGTCCTCTATGTGCGGTTGATTGTACATGTAGTTGCATGCCTGCCGGTGGACATTATGGATTGATTGTAGGACACTGGATGTATCGTTGCGGAATGAGCAAAGTTTGTCACGTGCTAGGAGCGTTCACTTCTTGCTAAAACAAATCTCTATCATCTATGAAGGGTTCCTCTGCAGGGTATCACGAAGGATAAGAGGGATGTCCGGGAACTGAACTGGTTTAAGACTTGGCTTTTTGAGAACATTTTCTCTTCTAGAAAGCAAACACGTTGAGGTAGTGGAGAATGCAGATGGAGCATAAGAGTGAGGGCAAGGGAAAATAAGATACAAAAAAAAGTATTATGATATGAGAAAATTAAAAAGGAGTAGACGGGGTAGGGGGTGTTCAGAATGAAAAGATAATAAGACATCTCTCCTCCAAAGAGGTCGTAAACAATGGAAGGTTTAACAAAACGCTTCAATCAGCATGTATGGGAATATAACAACACAAGCAGTCCAGAACACCATGACACATTGCCATATCACCATGGGGAGTTTATACAGGGGTGCTTCTTGAATGAGCATCCAGAGCGAAAGAAACGCGACGGTGAAAAAGTGGTTGAAGAGGACGACGGGCTTCTTGATTATTCCACCCAAAAGGCTGACGGGGCCTTCGATCCTTCCGATTTGGAAGTACCGGAAGCAGCCCCGTTGTAGAGCTCGTAGGTGTTCATCTGAGAAAGGCTGTTAGTTATGGGATTCAAGGAAACTGCAGAGAATCGAAAACCACTCACCGTCGGCGGCGAACAGAGAGTAGAGGGCCTGGGCCAGGATATTGATGACCGAAGAACCCTTCTTCCTTTGCCAATGAAAAGACGACAGCTGCCGCAGGACTCGGTCGGTGTCTTCAAAGCTGGGGACCTTCTCGGGACTGAGTAGCTCGCGCAGAACCACCACATCGCTGAACGCGACTGTCATGCCTCCGCCGGTCAACGGATGGCGCATGTTGAGCGCATCTCCTAGTATGACCAACCCCGGGGTCTTGTTCTGCGCAGCTGGCAAGTAGGAATTCGGCATGGACCTCAGTTGGCCCTTTTCCAGGGCGGCAAGGAAAGCGGGTTGGACCGATTCGGGGAGGGACGGGAGGGTGACGCTGCGAAGGTGATTTTTGACACCACCGTTCTTCACCGAGGCAGAGGGGAGGTTCTCCGGGATATCGACAAGAATCCGAGTCTCGTGGGTTCCGATCTGGTAGAGGAGAATTGGCGGCGCGTTGTCACTCAGAAGCACGTGCCCGTAGTGGCGAACAGGCAGTTTGGTATCTATCAGCTCCAGGCCCCAGAACCTGGACCGTACCTTGGGGCTGCGGTCGTGGTACTGTTTCCGAAATTTCGAGGCGTAGCCGTCGGCGACTACCGTGAGGTGACCGAAGTAACAATCCCGGACCTCCTTGGTCATACACTCCACACCTAGAACCTGCTTGGTGTGCGGGTCTGTGACCAGATCCGTTGCCTTGGTCTCCACGATCGTGACATTGGGACACGCCAGAGCAGCCTCCCGCAGCTTCATGATGAAGCGCCCATGGTGGAAGCAACGACCCTCCGGCGCTGGCGCCGACGGCGAGGGTTTGGGATAGGGGATGACCACCGGTTCTCCGAGGTAGGATACATAGTAACCCACCGCCGGAACGGCATCAATGCCCTCCAGGCAGTCCTGAAGACCCAGCTGTTCGAGGGCCTGAACACCTCCCGGTTGTAACAGCTCACCCACGATGCGATCGGGTTCTTTCATGGAAGCCTCCAGCAGAATGACACTCCGTCCTTGTCTTCCTAGTGTGACGGCGAGAGCACATCCCAAAATGCCCGCGCCCACGATCACGACGTCGCCATGGTGGTGCAGCCGTCTGCGCTCTTCGGCCGCAATTGAGGAGGCCGTGGCATGGCCGTTGGGGAGGGCGGTGGCGGTGGCCATTGTGCGGGGAGGAGAGATCAGCAGCAGGAGGAGGATGGTTGAGGGCCACAGAGCATATTCCTCTCCCGGGACGATTGCGGAGGAAGCGGGAAAGGCGAAGGGAAGGAGGCGAGACCGGACGGAGGAGGACGAAGATGGAGCGAGAGGGAAAGCGAGGTCAAAGGAAAAAGGGGGACGCGAGTGACGGAGAAGAAAGAAGAGAAGGAAAGGAAAGGAGCGGGAGCGAAAAAGTTGGCGGAGAGTCAGTGGCGTGACATGTGAAAGCTTTCCGCCTCCGCGCTAAGGCACACCGTACGATCGGTGGACTGATGGACAGATCTCGACGCAGGGGGGCGCCAGGTTTACGAAGTACGCAGGATGCTTGGCTGCATTGGACTGAGTGTTTCATGGGACTCCCTTCGCTAACTATACAGAACCCGGGGGGAGGAGGCGCTCTCTCTATATACACGTACACTAGATTGACTGCTGCTACTATACAGGGAAACCAAACAGAAGACACAATAGAAAAAAAATAAAAAGAGGAAAAATTAAGAATAAAACCGACGTCCCTCTCTCACTCATCATTTGGCCCTGGAGCCTGTCCCGCTAAATACTGCGCCTCAGTGCATCGGGTCACAACGGTCTTGGGATTCGATTCGATCCGACCCAGCGCTGCTTCCAACTCGTATTCCTCGTCCCAGGCTTCGATGGTCTCTCGGATGTCACTCTCCTTGTATAGACGCCGGGGGTCTAGAGGTCGCTTCAATCGCCGACGATATGCCCGTTTGGTGGCCGGCAGCGATTTCATCTCCCACGCCGTGGGATCCCCCTCCGATTTCTGCTCCAGCAAGTCAGCTATGCGACCCAGATATGCAAGCTGCTCGTCCTTTCTGGTTGCCTCCCTCGCGGAAAGGGACCCGGGCTTGAAATCGCGCTCCAGGGTGCCTATGATCCGACGGACCTCGACCACGAAGTCCCGGTTGACGGCACCCCCCCGGGCAAGACCGGTCAGAATGCACCATCGAATCCCGGGGATGTTGTCCACCGCCGCAAACGCCCGCACAAACATCTTCATGCAAACCCCGTCAAAGGGGGTGGAGCGTCGGTAACGAGACTGATACACCGAGGCCAATAGATCTAAGGCCCACTCCGGCCTACCGGACGCGATCAGGCGCCTGCAGGTGGCTGTCGTGATGTGATGCTTGACGGTCATCTTCTTGTTGGACCAGCAGAGTTCGTAGAACCGAAGGACCGCCAGCTGGACGATCTCGCCCTCGGAGGGCGGGTCAATCTGCATGATCTGACGGAAAAAGATCGGCATGAAGCGCACCAAGTGCTGGATATTCCGCCACTCCGCCTCGACCAGCGCGCGGGCGGCACTGAGACCGTGTTCAAGCAGCGTGGCCACCGCGGCCAGCTCGACATGAAGCTGCTTGACCTGGAATTTGGCATTCTTAGCATTGTCGAAGCACTTCAGGGCGTCGGTCATCTTGCCGACGTGCATGTAATGTGCCATTTGCTTGTGGAGCTTCTGGTACTGATCGACGGGTCGCGACGGAGTCACCGCCTGAAGTGTGCGGTTATACCACGCCAGCGGTTCCTGGGTGTGAGGCATGTGGTTGGCCTCCGACATGGGGAATGAACGCTGGTCATAACCAAGGATATGCTGGGACGTGGCGGCCTGTCCGTATTTCACCCGAGCTGCCTGGAGCATTTGCCAGAAGCCCACGGGCGCTCCTTCGAGGGCCAGACGACGGGACCGCAGTATCTCCATGAATTGCTGGTCGTTGATGGGAACCTTCCAAGACCGCTCGCGAGCCATCCCGGTAAACTCGGCGATCATGCTCTTATCGCCCTTTTCGACGAACGCCTCGAGAATGTGTTTGTACAACACTCGATCGGGAACGATGTCGAACTTGTCGATATAGCGGAAGACAAAATCACGGATCTGGGGTCCTCGATGGGACACCCAGTACTCGAGGAAGATGCGGTCGAAGATGGGGGTAAAATCCCGCCGCCGCGAGGTCAGCTTGAGATCATGCATCTCTTGGAGGCCCGCTTCCACTCCCTCCCAGTCGCATGCCAGGGCCTTGCCGTACACCAGCAGGCCCTTGGTGCGGCAGCGAAGCGGGAGGCCATAGATCGTCTTCATGTCATGCACCAAGGCTTCGGCATCCGCAAGTCTACCGAATTCGATATAGGCCTTGACCACCGGGTTGAAAAGCTTGTCGCTGGGGGACTTCTCCAGACGCGGGAGCATCGTCAAGATTTTCTTCAATTGGCCATTGAGCAGTTCAATACTCCTCGTTTTCTTCCAGAGCCCCGACAGATAGGCGCCACACAGGCCGCAATCTCGATCCACCTGAAGATTCCGCAGAAGGAACCACTTTGCCGTAGTAAGTCGGTGCGATTCAAGCAGGCAGCGGAGCACAACATCCACCATATCTGGCGAGACCTGGAATTTATGCATGTAGCGGGTGTAGATAGTAGCGACCGACTCAATACAGCCTTTCTTTGCCAATGCAAACATCAAGACCTTCCACATGGCCGGGGAGATCTTATCCACCTCTTCCAGACGCTCGAAAACGCTCCTGGCAACGAACACGTTGTGTTCTTTACAGTTGACGTAGAACGCCTGCACAGCGAGCTCCCTCCTGTCCGAAGATATGCCTTTCAGCGACGCAGACTGTGCATCTAAAAAGACTTGCGCTGCATCAATGGGCCTGCCTCGGTCGAGAAAGTCTTTCATTTGTTCCGTGACAGAGTTGTTCTCCGAGGGTTCGTGGCTTCCCCGGGGGAAATCAACGCCGGTAGTGGCTGCGGCAAACCTGGGTTGATCGATGGTTCTCGGGATTCGTAAGGGGTCCGTCCGTCCATGGAGAGTGACCGGGTTCAAACCCGGATGAGCTGGGCCCCTCAAGCCTGAACGTGCAGCTTCCAAGAAGGCCTCTGCTCGCGTCTGCTCCTCCGTGGATTCTAACCTGGCACTTGCCGACAGCCCTTCACCGAGCGTGTCCGGCGTATGTTCAGTATGCGAAGCACCCGTCTGTTGCAATTGCCGATGCTCCTCCTCCTTGAAAGTATCCATTCCATTGAATTCCCCCGCCTCGGCCGCCTCCATCATCCGGGCCAGCCTGTTCGCCGCTGAAGTCGCATCGTAGTTGGGTGCGGAGGTTTGTAGGGCCCGTTTGTTCTCGACGATTCGCTCGGCGACTCGGACTCGGCGATGGACGTCGTAAGTGATGGCCGCGACGGTACAGAAGCTACCGACGGTCGAGCCGGCGAGGGCCAACCTGCGAAGGACACGCAGGGCATTTCGAGAGGGAACGGCCGGGGTGCCGTGTGTGGTAGACTTAGATTTCATGACAGTGAAACGTCTGCATCGCCGGTGGATGAAGTAGAGAATGGACGATCGATCATAGAAACGGGGCGAATGACATGAGGAGTCCCAGACACGGTCGGAAGCAGCAGTCCAGACGACCAGCGGGGAGCAATGGACTGGATCGTGGCGTCGAGGAAAGACTTCAGGACATTTTTTCGTCGGCGACGGGAAGGTTTGCAGCCCGCACGGTTGGTCGCTGTGCCGCGCCGGACTGGCCCGGGCGGCTTCCGGGTGAACCCACTCCATCCACTTTCTAGTTCCTACACTCTCTACTCTACGTACAAGGGTGTCTGCCAATATCCCGGACTCTCGTAGATACTCTCTATTCTATTCAGGAAAGGGTCAAGATTTATTGCTCGATCGAACTGATCGGCCCGTCAATGCAGGAAACTCTCGTCCTCCTCGGCACCCTCTTCATTAGCCTCCCCAGCAGGAGAGTCTCGAACGTCGTTGTCGAGACCAACTGCTCAACCAGAACACGTAAGCCAGACATACAGACCGAGGGATCCAGGGACCACGTACCGTTGGGTTTCAGGTAGAAGCTCGTGCACAGCGCGATGCCAAAAATACCGACTAGACACACAAAGACCGCCGGGGTATACTTACCAACGGTGAGGCTGTAGATGAGGTTGAAGATGGTGGGGGCGATGACTCGAGAGAGCGCATGCAGGAGGCCTTTGGCCCCGAGGATCTGCCCGATCCGTTCCCGAGGCACATGGTGAGTAATGGATGACTGCAGCGTGGGAATGCCCATCCCTCCGAGCGCCGAGAAGGCTCCAAAGAGAGTCATGACCGATCCGTTCTGGGCCAAGGCAAACCCGCAAAATCCGAGCATGTCTATAAACAGCGAAATGCGGATCAGGTTTATCTCAAGCGTACTGGAGCCCGAGATAGTGCCCTCCGGCCTGGGTTTGCCGGGGAAGAGCCAGCTCACGGCGGGGAAGACGGCGAACAAAGTGATGACCCGACAGGCGCTGACGACGAAGATGAAGAAACTGGACTCGACATTGCCCCAGTTGAACATGTATCCGGCATAAATGATGAAGATCTGAGAGACCCCCAGGGTCACGCCAAATCCAACGGTGTCAATGCCGGCGAGGAGAACGATGTTTCTGCGTAATGCCGGACTCGCGCCTCGACGATTAGGAAACAGCGAGCTGGCCCGTCCAACAGGTGGGAATAGAATCGATAGGGGAGTGAAGATGTTTTTGGGGTTCCACCGCTGGAGAGAAAGCCAGCCGACAGCGTCTTTGCCGGCAAGTTTCATCCGATACTTTTCGCGGGCGGATTGCTGTCGCTCCTCGGACAGTGACTCCGGGATTACGAGCAACACGGCCAAGAGAAAAAGCACATGTAGAGTCAGCATAAAGCAAAAGACGAAGAAGATGCTTCCCGCCATTTTCAGGATGAAGGCCACAAGAAGAGGACCGGTTGCGGTGCCGATGAAAATACAGCCGTGGATGTACCCAAATGCCACACTGCGCTTCTGCGGGACAGTGCAGTCGGAAACGTAGGAGGAGGTCAGGGCATTCATGCTAGTAAAAGAGCCCCCGAGCCCGTCGAACAACGCAAACAGGAACAGAACGTTGATGGGGATGGTTTCCGTGTTGGCTGCAATGATAACGACGACTAGTTCTGCTAGTATCATCCCTAGAGCTGTCACGGCCATGATGCGCGTTCTCCCATGACGGTCTGAGATGTGTCCAAGATGAGGACTGACTAGGGCCGACAAGATGGCGGAAGTCAAATTGAGGTAAAGTTGGAGCTGCGCAACTTGCGATTGAACCTCTGGTATTTGGCACTGGGGATTTTGGTCCCCAAAGACCACCGGCAAAAACGTGAAGTTAGGATCTTGAGCCGCTCTGTCGTTCAAGTAATCTCGGCAGACTAGGGCGACTGTCAAGTTGATTCTAGGAACCACTATGCCGCCGAACGCAAGCATAAATAGGAGAAGGAACGGCATCAACCACATGATCTGGCATAATTCAGAACAAAATACTAGATCCGAGCGACACGGCTGTTACTCACGCTGGGCTGGCGCCATCGGCTCCAAAAGCCACCGCCACTGTTCGGGAAACTCGAGCCTTCCCCGCGTAGGATGGAATCTGTCGGTGCCAGTAGGGGTGTTTGCTCGTGGATGCGCGATTGCACCGCGTTTTTGGTGCCGTCGGCTGAATCATGGCGAGAGAGCGACCTGGCGCGCAATTCCGCGTCGGCATCGACGCCTCCGCACAGAGGGGCTTGGGTATCCATTGTCGACGCTATAAAGTCGAAAGGCACGGTTGATCATGACAGTGCTCGAAGTCGAGTCGGACTCGGTCAGCATTTGCGGTTTGTCCCCGATAAAAGGCGGAACTGGTTGGTTCTCCCTCGACAAAAAAATGCGGAATGGAAGCAAGGGCCGGACGCTAGAATGTAGATCCAGGAGCTATTTCAGGCGCTGAGCTGGCTCCGCTCTTATCGTTGATTACCAATGCCTTCGGCGATAGCTGGGTAAAGTCCTGCAATCAGGATCCAGGAATGAGACGGATTGGATGGCAATTGACTACCCGGTCATGGCGTTGCACTGGCGTTCTCAAGTGATAACGTTGAATGGTTGAGAGAGTGACAGGGGGAGTTGGGAGTCGGTCGGTCGATCAGTCAGAGTGATGATGTAATTCCCGTCATGCCTAGAATTGCCATGTTTACCCTTTACCAAATCCATGTCGATTGCTTCCTATTGTACAAGCCTGAAGTCGATTCTTACACTATGACAGAAACCAAAAACGCCGGACATGAATCCCCAGATCCCCTGTATATATACAAATCCAAATCTATGGCCCTTTTAAAGCCCACAAGGAGAGATACGACTTTCAAGCGACAAGCGACGCGGTGTTTTCCCCGGCGAAGAATTTCTTCTGCTCCAGACACCTCTCGCTTCGGCACCCTTGGCAGCGCAAAGTCATCTGCAACGAGCATTTCTCATCCTTTTGCAGGTGCTTCTGGGCGATGTCTGCAAGGGCCTCGATGAAAACCGGGTTTCCGTTCAGGCTCTCGGCTCGTTTGACACCGGGGTGGTTCGCCTCTTCCATCACCTCGAGGTCCAGCTCATACAGCGTCTCGATGTGATCGCTGGTGAAGGCAATCGGCACCAGGACGATGTCTGTCTGCCCACGCTTGACATACTCCTGGACCGTGTCGCTCGTCTGGGCCCCAAGCCAAGCCTTGGGTCCCACCTGGGACTGCCAGCACAAGCGGTAAGGGTTGCTAAAATTAAGTCGCTGCATGACTGCATGAACGGTTGCAGCAACTTCGGCCGGGTACGGATCACCTAGTCTCCTCTTAGTTGTCATCTCTCGTCTCGCGGGAATCTGTCATTCCTACCTCGGTTCACAACGCTCATGGGCAGGCTATGCGCGGAGAATAGCAAAACCACCCCCTTCCGTTTGTCTTCGGGGTAGGTCTTGAGCTGGTCTTCAATGTTCCGTGCGAACGCCTCCACCAGTCCGGAATGAGTTGGCCACCGGTCAATGACACTCCACTGAATCGCCCCGGAGGGATCCGCGTTGCCATTTGCCCTGACGCCCTCGAGACGGTTTCGCCATTTCCACAGCTCGTTGAGCGAGCTTCCCGTTGTAGAGCAAGAATACTGGGGATATTGCGAAAAGGCGACAGCCCGACCGCCCTTCCCGTTTCCAAATCCGTCCTCGAAAAGTTGGGTGTACATTTGTTCCGTCAGCGGTTGTGCGTAGCGAAATGCCACGTAAGGCTTGTGGGGTGCGGTCTCGGGATTCAATTTGTCCAAGATTTTGCACATCTCTTCGCATTGATACTCCGACCACTTTCTGATCGGCGAGCCGCCTCCAATGTCCGAGTATTGCTTAACGATCTTGGGCGTTCTTCTCCGAGCAATGAGGGGGCCAATGTAGGATTGGAGTCGTCCTAGGGGAATCAAATCGCCGTCCGCCTTCAAAGCGAGCAAGAAAGTTAGCAGTGAGCGAGGATCTGCTGATGAGAAGTCGGTGGCGTACAAATAGCCTGCTTAGAAAGTCCTCCACCTCATCCGTCGTCGACGGTCCCCCCATGTTCAGAAACACCATTGCGGTCGGGCCCTTGGAGCCGGTCGAATCCTGAGTGACGGGAGGCACTGCTGTTGCGAGGCCAGCTCTGAAATCTTTGCGGTAACCAAGCGGGCTGCGAACCCTCGGTCGCATTAACTGCCGAGGCAGTGTGAAATGTCGAAGAGCCATGTCCAGAATCCGTGAAGACAACCAGAGGCTCTGAATTGTGCAATGAAGAGGTAAACGCGCAGACCCTCGACAGTTCTCAGAGGAAATTATAAGCGCCTAGAGAAAGGAAAGGAAGTGGTGCGGAGGTACCGGGGAGAGGGAGGCAAGAAGCAGGATGGAAAAGAAGCCAGGAAACTAACGACGGTCCAGAGCTGGAGTGATGACGGATCTTCGACGGGCGGCGGCCGAGCGCCAATCAGGAGGGGCCCGGCGTCAGCATGTCTTGGCGCGGTCACCTGATGTTCGTGTTCCCCGCGCGTCATCGGCCTGGCTGCCTCGCGTCGCAGGCATCAACAACCAGGCAGGCACCAGGCAACACTTCCGTTGGCGGCCTGGATCCATGGATGCTAATCTCTACTTCGCCTTCATTTAATCCCGGCCTCCCATGTCACAATCCCTCTCTCTGACCATCTATTTCCCTCAAACTCACCATGGCGGACGATAATCCTTCTCGCGAAGACGAGCAGGTGGAGGAGGAAGAGGAGATCGACGAGACCGTACGTCATTTCGGCTGGAATGCATGGAGAGAATCAAGCTGCTCACAGATGTACAGGGCTACAAGACAGTGAAAGATGCCGTGCTCTTTGCGATTGAAGTCAGCGACTCGATGCTCACCTCCCGTCCATCGCCGGATCCCAAAAAGTTCAAAGAGGAATCGCCCACGACCGCAGCCCTGAAATGCGCCTACCACCTAATGCAACAACGGATCATTTCGAACCCCAATGACATGATGGGAGTCTTACTCTACGGGACGCGGGCGTCCAAATTCTACGACGAAGACGAAAGTAGTCGCGGCGATCTCTCCTACCCACATTGCTACCTGTTCACGGATTTGGATATTCCTTCGGCACGGGAGGTCAAGGAGCTTCGCGCGCTCGCAGAGGACGAGGGCAAAGCTAGGGACATATTGGTTCCGGGAGATGAGCGCGTTTCCATGGCCAACGTGCTCTTCTGCGCCAACCAAATTTTCACGTCAAAGGCGCCCAATTTTCTGTCTCGACGGCTATTCATCGTGACCGACAACGACAATCCCCATGGCGACAACAAAAGTCTTCGCTCCGCTGCCACCGTGCGAGCCAAGGATTTGTACGATCTTGGTGTCACTATCGAGCTGTTCCCAATTTCTCAACCGGATCACGAGTTTGACGGCTCCAAGTTTTACGATGTAAGTCTGGCCTAGCGTCTTGTTCATCTATGAGATCTAAACTCATGAATTTCATGTAGGATATCATTTACAAATCGTCCCCGAATGATCCGGAGGCTCCTACATATCTACAACCCGATTCAAAAGCCCTGACGGCCAATAGTGATGGGATAGCATTGCTCAACACTCTGCTCTCTAGCATTAACTCGAGATCTGTCCCGCGTCGTGCCCACTTTTCGAACATGCCACTGGAGATAGGGCCGAACTTCAAAATCTCTGTATCGGGGTATCTTCTCTTCCGACGTCAAGCGTCGGCAAGGAATTCCTACGTCTGGTTAGGGGGTGAGAAACCTCAACTCGTTAAAGGAACATCGACCCAAATCGCAGAAGATACGGCACGAACAATTGAAAAATGGGAAATCAAAAAGGCGTACAAGTTTGGTGGGGACCAAGTGTCTTTCACGCCCGATGAACAGAAAGCCTTGAAAGACTTCGGTGAGCCGGTGATTCGGATCATCGGGTTCAAGCCCCTCTCGGCGCTCCCATTTTGGGCCAATGTCAAGCATCCATATTTCATATATCCGTCGGAGGAGGACTTCGTGGGGTCGGCGCGGGTATTTTCGGCCCTGCACCAAAGCCTCCTGCGAAACAAAAAGATGGCTCTTGTCTGGTTCATCCCACGCAAGAACGCAGGTCCTGTGTTGGGTGCCATGTTGGCTGGAGAGGAAAAGCTGGACGAGACCGGAGTGCAGAAGTTCCCTCCCGGCATGTGGATTATTCCCCTGCCATTTGCCGACGACGTTCGACAGAATCCCGAGACCAGTCTGAACGTGGCACCGGAGCCGCTGATTGACCAAATGCGAATGGTCGTCCAGCAGCTTCAGCTCCCCAAGGCATCTTATGAGCCGCTGAAATACCCCAATCCATGTAGGTCTTTCTTTCCCGGTGTGGCTGGAGCACAGGCCTCAAGAGGACTATACTTACTTGCTTACAGCGCTGCAATGGCATTACCGCATCCTGCAGGCACTTGCTCTGGATGAAGATCTCCCGGACAAACCAGAAGATAAAACGACGCCGAAATACCGCCAGATCGACAAGGTAAGAACACTCGACGTCATCTTCCAGGAACGATCCTAACGGTTCTTTTATTAGCGAGCTGGTGACTACGTGCTGGCCTGGGCCGACGAACTTGAGAAGCAGTATGCGCAGACAGCGCCATCCGGCCCCAAGAGCACTCTAGTTAAGCGGGGCGCAAAATATCGCGCTGCCGAGTCTGAGGACGGAAGCGGTCATACATCCAAGAAGGTGAAAACTGGGAGTGGATCGGAAGGAGTTGAAGACGAAGTACGCCTTCAATATCAGAAAGGAAGTCTATCCAAGGTAAGACTCCTCCTTGGGTTATAGGACATGTACAAGATCGGTTAGCTAACATGAGTTTTGTGCAGCTTACGGTGCCTATTCTTAAAACCTTTCTCACTTCTCATGGCCGCTCAGCTGCTGGGAAGAAAGCAGACCTGGTTGAACGGGTGGAGGAATACTTGGAGAAAAAATAATGGCGCCAAGGATCGGAATCGGCTTCTTGGGCGTAACGAGGTAGATGAACTTACTCTATTATCTAATGAAAACATGCTTGATATCCAAGGACCTCTCCTATTGTGCAGTATATACTAGCTAAGCAAAACGTCAATTAAGATTCATGGTGAACCCCCTTTCAATTACTATCTAGCATTCAACGAAACAAGAAAAAGGGACAGTGATAGGAGAGAGAGCGACACTATTCGGATCAGAAATCCACAAACAAACGGACAATGAAAGAGCGTCGTCGCTTTACCATTTTTCGGTATGACATGCCCTGCGATCTCGGTGCATGCGTCTTTCTTTCCCATGAACTGACCTCTCTCCTCACTTCTTCAGCACTTTGCCATAAGATATAGAGGTATCCGCTGGGTCAGGACCCTTTCCCTCAGACTCCTCGGGGCTCGTCGGATCTAGTTTCCCCCCGGCGTTTATTTCCCTCTGTCTCTATCACTGAAAACTTGGGCGTGTCCGATATCTCCGAGCGAGACTCAACAACAGGGTCGCCGCCTAGTTCAAAGATAGCGTCGTGAATCGGGCCCGGTGGATACGCGGTTACTCGACCATCAATCTCGTTGATGGAATTTCCGTGCTTCTCCGGGATTTCAGGACTAGTGATCAGGGGTAGTGGCTTCGCTTTATTCTCGTTGCCCTGCTGGTGAAGCGCTCTTCTTCGACGGATGACGCAGCATCGTAACGCGATCAAGAGGATTACGCAGAGCAAGACACCGCCAATGGCTATTCCTGCTATGGCGCCTGGAGAGAGACTTGTCGAAGACTTGGGGGACTGGGTCGCTTGCGGCAATGCTGAGGATGAGGTTGGGGTTGGGCTGGACTCGGTAAGGGTCGAGGGAGAGGCCGATGTGATGAGCGATGTAGGAAGGGGGCCATTTGTAGTTTTCTGCGACGAGGCACTGGGGCTTGTGGTGGGCGGGTTTGTGAGCTCTGTGAGAGTTGTAATCTTGTGGGTTGGCGAGGCGCTTGTGATTTTGGGCGGCGCACGAGTTCGCGTATGCCCTTTGCCTGTGGGTGTGTCGGTTGGCGGAGTGATGAGGTCCCTGCGGTAGAGCCTGTTCTCGTCGAGGCTCAGGCTTGAAGTATCGACAAGCTGGCATAAGCTGACTAGGGTCTGCGTGAGGTCTGGCAAATAGTCAGATGAGTCTAAGAAATGCATCTCTTTTTTTTTGGGGGGGGGGTTACGTTGCTCATCCTCCGGATCAGAGCACTGACGAAGGCAGGATTCAGGGTTTGGATCATCCAGCTCAGCGCAGAGACGGTCGTACACCAGAACCTCCAAATCAAGGCACTTCAACTAGTGATGTAGACCATGTTAGCTTTTAAGTGGGGGGGGGGGGGACAATTGGCAATAGACATCGTACCGTGCAGGAGACAATCTCAGTCAAACCTTTCTCTGAAATGATTGAATATGCCCCGTGAATGGTAGCAACCGACGAGAGCAGGTCTCTCACGAAGACCTTGACGTATTCAATGCAGACTCTATAAAGATATTCAGTCGCCATAGCTCTTGATTTCTCTGAGGAATTGCACAGAAGATGACAGACGTGACCATCGGTGCAACGCTTTGGAAACAGAAGCTTATATGTTTTCTGATCGGTTTCTTGCTTTTGGGAGCGAGGTCCATGCTATTAGTGAATTGTTCCTGTCATTGGCTATGGAAGTTGCCATGCTCTCCCAGCAGATGCTGTTTGGGATCGCGGAACCTTGCGTCCCATTGGTCCATTTAAGGGAGTCTTCCATTGGCATTCCATTATCTTGCTGAGCTACAACCCCGTCCATGAAAGTGATCATCCTGTGACTTAATGAGCATATCAACAAAGAACATAGTTCATACTGAGGAACAAGTCCTTGCGATAGTAGTGTATTGATGTTAATTACCTCTTTGAGATCCTCACAAGTCTTAGCAGACAGTTAGGGCTGCCACTGTGTGTTTCTATCTGCATACACGATCCATCTTCGTTGACCTCGATTGCCCATAGCTTTAGAGAAGGACGGACAAGTAGAGATTGTGGATATGGAAAAGATAAAAATACTTATCTGTGTCACCATAGCTGTAGCTGAGGAGTGGTGGCTATAGATTTCGTGGACTATGTCACCGAATATATATCCAGGTGCTATGTCAATTTTTCTAACTTGACCAGTTCAATCAGATTTTTAAGCAGACGTTTGACAATAAGAGCCCGCCAAGACCATCCAAAGGACTGCATCTTATAGTTTGATGCTGGTATGAAGTCGAAGGAAATGGAGACTCGGAGGACCTGCCGTGAACCGCCCCCACGTGCCACTGCGGCGGCGTTCCGTTGGCTCTTCCTCGTGACCCGCTTTTTAGAGTCTGACGGGTTCCATTACAGAGGAGGCTTCATCGAATTTTTGGGAATATGTCCAGTGGATTGGCAAAGGGTATATGGCAAAACAAAACAAAGAGATCTCCCAAAATCAAGCCCGAAACCGTGAAATCATCTGACAACGCCGTTCTAACAAGAACACCCGTAAGATGGGATCATATGTATCAATGGGTTGACAGGAATATGTACTAGAGTCATGACAGTATATACAATGGCACAAGTGCCGTCATCAGTCGAATCGATAAACGCTTCGAGAACATTCAACATCTTCCGTAGACCTGACAGTAGCAGACCTCCGGATCTGGACAGCTATCGGCCCGAGGGTTAGCTGGGATGGCAGCCGGTGGGACAGAGGATAACTTACTACACAGATCCCTTGCCAAAGATGACATGCCACAGGAATTCCATAATCCGCCCGCTGCTGGAATCGTCGCGGTCTGTGTCTATAATCCATTGTCGGAACTTGACGTAGTCCTCTCGCGGTCGCTGCAGCACCTGCTCTCGCGACACGGCGAACTGCGCGCAACAGGCAGCCCCGATTTCCTTGGGTTTCGGCAGAAACTTTTGGTTTTGCGCCGCATCCAACGCTCCGTTCTCCGCAAGACCTGCTGATACTGTGGCGTTGAGGGGCGGCGTGCTCGTCCCTTCAAATACCTCCTGCCACACGGTCTCGGTAACGTGCCGATTGATGCGGTGTGCTTCCTTGCATCCGGGATTCCAATTGCAGCGCAGGTTGACGTATCCGTTTTGCTGGACGAAGTCGAGTTGCAACGATCGCATGGCCGCGACGTTGTCGTGCAGGGGCGCGTCCACATGCCATGCCATAAAAAACCCCCCGCGGTGGGCATGTAAAAAGGCGATGGTCGCAGGGAGCTGGTCGTAATGGTCGATCAAGTAGGTGAGGTAAGCCATAGACTCGTGGCCTTTATTGAGGGGCGTCTTGAGCTTGTGCTCATCGGCCGCCGTCGCTCTCGTCGGATTGACAATGTAGATTGCGCGTTCCCAGCTGGCGACATAATGCGATTAGTTTCTTGACATGCTAGCAGGGGTAATCGAGACCACCACGTACTCTGGAAGTTCTGCCTTGACCCACTCCGTAGGCTCCTCCTCCAGCTTCGCCATGACAATGACCTTGTCGCCCGAAGGGTCATGTTTGGGTAGCACGCCTTCGTATTCGGGAGAGTTGATATGCAGCCAATCGACCAAGTATGCGCCTGCGCGATACTGGTCACAGAGGTCCTCCAGGTGGACCTTGACCAGATACAAGGGGACCAAGAGCACCAGCGAAATGCACAAGGCAAGGCGAAAACCACATTTCATGGTGAAGGGGTAGGATAGACAGAGAACAAGACCACCCAGGCTCCACGGATCAAAGGTCTACCCAAGGAATCCAGTGGTGTATAGACAAGCGGGTGGATGTTCGAGGAAGGGAAGGACGGTGATTTAAGGACGTGAAACGAAGCAATGACCCAGAAAGCACGGCATGAAGTACGACAGAATCAGAATCAAATAAAATCAGGTCAGAAAAAATAAAAGAACGGGAAGAAGAGATGCACAGGAGAGACGGAAGAAGCAGATCGAGATCACCCTGGGCATAGATTAAGGAGGAAAAAGGAGGAGAGATGGGTTCTGGAAGCGCAAGTTTGGCGGCAGATCTGTAAACTCATGGACGAAAAGCGAAACATAGGCCCGAGCGGGCAGGGAGGTCCGCACGTCAGAGAGAGCAAGATTGTCGAGAGGGCGAAGCATGGCTGTACAGTCCAATCCCACCCAACGCCCGGGTCTCATTGGACCCTGAGCGGGGGATGTCGAGCAGTCCCACTCGGTGCGTGGCCGGGACGCGTTAGCCCCGGTTTAAGCTTGAAGGACCCGGCCAAGCGGCCCTGACGACGCCCGTCACGGGCTCTCACTGGCTCGACCTGGCGGGGGTTTCCTGCGCGAACTTTAAGGGGGGTCCCTAGCGGCAAAGCTTGGCGTCCCCGACCGTTTTCCCGGTGAAGAAATCGGAAATCCATTGTTCTCGCCACGCCGTCTTCCATGTTGGAGAAAGTAGACAATGCATGCTGCGACCTGGTCAAAGGAAAGGATGCATGACATTCTATTCTTTGGTCAACCCAATCGGTCCCTGGGAAAGAATTGGGTGGGGAAGGACGAGGAGAAGAAGTCGACGAAGGAACGAAAGCCACAGAAAAAAGGGTCAAACCATGGACGGCACGTGGCGCGCGAATTACCGCCGGATTAGGATGGTTAGGCGAGCGGCATGACGTCGCTGCCACTCGGACTTGGACCCGTTTCCCCAGTGTGGCGATGCCGGAGTGGAGGATTGGATGGATGTTTCACGCAGAGAAATGAGACCCCGGGGTTGAGAACATACCGCACCTACGCTACTCCCCCGGAGATCTTTTCAGAGGATCACGGTGCGCCAACCACGTCCTCCACTCCTATAGAGTTTCGTGAGAATTATGGCCATCTAGAGACGCACAAACATAGCGACTGCTGCCAATCCCAACTTCATTCCGGAATCATTCATTCGAGGTATCTGAGCTATATAATACATGACAGGATTGCAGACCCGCTGCAACTGTTGGCGGTGTTCATCAGTCTGAGGAGGTGGCCCGGATCAGGAGCTCTCGGCGCCCTCTTCATCTTCGCTGCTAACTTCCTCGCCCTCGGCAATGGCCTGCTCCCGCCGCTTGCGAGCTCGCTCGCGTTTCTTTTCTAGCAGATGGTTCAGCTTCTTGGCCGTGTTGAACACACCGCCAGTGCCAGCCCCGCAGGCCGCACAGGAAGGATTCTTTCGATATCGTTGCAACGCGCAGGACTCGCAGAAATAATGACCGCACTTGGTGAGGATCGGGTTTTGATAGGGCTTCTTGCAGATGATGCAGGCAAACGGGATATTCTCGAGCATCTCGTCTTCGTCGTCGTCGTCGTCCTTGGACGCGTTGCCACCGCTCCTCTGCGACGTCACCTTTCCGCTCAAAGTCTTGCCCTTGGTGTTGATCTCCCAGTCTCGGTCCAGCTCCCAGCCTTGCTTGTAATCCTCACGCGCGTGAAGATAAATACAACCGTCGCCGAAGCCACAATACCCCGTGAGTTTGTAATCCTTGCAGACATTGGGCATGTAGTCCGTGAAGGTGATGGTTCGCACGTTGGTGGGCGCTTTCATGGGACCGAACTTTTTGCTGGGGGCGTCGGGGTTTTTCTGAATGAAGGACTGATAGTTGGCCGCTCCTTTGTACGTTCCATCGGCCGCAGACGACTCGGACGGAGCGGGTCGAGCTCGCGTCGTGCCCAGCAGGTTCTTCTCGTTTAGGTCCTCATCATACCAGTTGGACTGCTTGGTCGCATCGTTGGTCGACGCCAGCGGAGCCGGAGCAGCGGCGGTCGCTTGTTCATCCTGCGTGGCATCCCTGCGGGGGGCGTTGGCAGCCGACGAAGCCGTCACGGCCGCCGTCTTGCGCCGTCTTTTGATCCTCCGGCCCTCGTCATCATCGGAGGAAGTGAACCCAGAGTCCGAGTCCGAGGCGGGCGGAGGGGTGGCGGGCTTCTTGCGGAAATTGGATTTGGCCTTGGCCGATCGCTTTTTGAAGGAGAACTGCGGCACGTCGTCGGCGACTTTGGTTTCGTCGGCCATTGTGAGGGGATGGTAGGTCTCGGTGGGCAGGAGGATGCGGTGATACTTGACATCGATGGATATTATTTCGGGCGGTGGCGTTGCAGCTCGGCGCGGAGGGTCCACGTGACCGATGACCAATCCGTGGGTTCATCTATCACGTGACGCATCAGGTGACGGCGATGGAAGCGAGCCGAACATCCACGTGATCTCGGCTCACCACGTGACCCGCGGGAGGAACCGCCGGCCGGCGTTACGTGGTTCCGGTACGAGCGACATACGGGCCTGGTAAGTAAGGCGGCGGTTGACAAGTCATCTTTCGTCGCTCGTCGGCGATCCTTTTGTTATTGTTTATCGCCCCAAGTCTGGTTCCAGGGAACCTTATTTGGGGTTTATACCGGCCTGCAGCTGTCTCGATCGAGCTCTGCGTTATTGGAATGCGACTGATCGATCAGATCCCATGATATAAAACACCCTGGACATTCAATAGGCGTAGACCAACACCTCCCAGCTCCCCCCATCGCCAGAGGATCTAGAGTCCGGTCTCCCCCTGACTCTTGAAACAATCCGATTAATTACGTGAACCCCAGCAAACAAACCGAACCAACCATCCCTTCGCCTCCCTCTTGTCTCGCTCTCTCTCCCTCTCTTCTCTTCCTCTTTCCTCCCCGCCCAACGAGTCGCCCTCGTCTCGTTGTCCACCCCCTCCTCGGCACCCTCTGGATTCCCTAATTTGTCCCTCTCTTTCCCCCCCTCACCCCCTTCCTTCCTTTCCATTTTTTCCCTCTCTTTTTGCCCTTTTATTTTATTTGATTCTTTTTTCTTCCTTCACCTTCCCGACTCTACTGTCCTTCCTTATCGTGATTGATTGATTGACTTGCTTTTCCTTTTTCTTTCCTTTTTTTCTTATATTAATGTCATATGTGTTGTTTGGACGTCGGTGACTGTCGCATCCGTCGAACCAACCCTTCCAGTCTGTTGTTGTAATCAATTGCCCCGTTGCGATTGCCATTCGATCCTCGCGGTGGCGGTTCGTTCTGGTTGGTCCACATCCTTGTCGACCGGTCGTCCACAACGCGTTTGTGTTGTCTCGATTTCTGGCGGTACGTCGGGAACTCCGCTCCACGGCCGCCCTTCGTCTCCCTCGCTGACAATCCCGAGTAGCCTCGCTCTCGACCCTCTGCGGTTGAACTCTTTGTTTTTGTTTTTCTCTGTTCTTCTTCCGTCGCCTTCGTCGGTTTTTAATTTCACGTTTACTCGCCAACGACGAACACGGCCGTCCCTCCCAAATACCGAAACACGGTGCCCATCGCCTGGCACTGTCGCATTCCACGTGGGGACTGTGTGAGGATTGCAGAAGCCTGGTCGCTGGTCGGCTAATCGAACGCCTGGAGAATACCGAATCGAATCGCCTCGGATCAAATCGCCTGCACTATCAAGGGTCGACTGGCTCGTCGGATGATGACTGAGGCCTGAGAAGGGATACGAGAGGCACGAGGCGACGAGCTTTGCGGGTTTTTATCGGCAGCTGTGTCCTCCCCCGAGAGGACCAGACACCACCCGCAGGCTATTCCATCGAACGATGACTACATCTTTGTCAGATTCAACAGGTAACGGTGCGACCGAGCAGGGCCGAAGGATGTCGACGATCGAGGATCCCTTTGTTTCCCCTTCCGAGGGCCACGAGGGCCAAGCCGCTCCCCGCGAGTCGCATAGGTATTCGTCCTTCGACACCCAGTTGTTCAGCCTGGATGCGTCTTCCCCGGCGCAGGCAAAGCGGGCCCTCGAGGCTCACCTGGCGGAGACGGAGCGCAGGCTGGAGGAGGCGTCGAAACTCGGCACGGCGCTGATCGAGCAGCAGAAGGAGCTGGAGGACAAGTTGAAGGAGGTCGAGCAGCAGCAGGAGGAGGGCCAGATTGGGCCGGACCTGCGTCGGAAGCTGGCGGACCTGGAGCGCGAATACAACGAGATTGGCCGCGAGACTGCCAGGGCATTCCTTGCCCCGAAGCGCCTGGCGGGTGGCGATGAGCCGCACCTGGGCACTCCGTCAATGGACCAGAAGGTACATGTGTTGCATATCCACTCGGCCCACCGGCCTCTCCGACGTAACTAACACCCGTGAACTTTGCAGTCGCCCCTCAGTCCCGCCTTGTTCGCCGGCCAGGCGACCAACTCTCCCAGTAAAGTGAGCGTACCATCTCGAAAGCAGCGGAACCAGCCCTCGAGCCGCGTTCACGACATCGAATTTGCCACCGAGATTTCCACGTCCCTCCTGGCTCAGGTGCGTCAGCTGCAGGCTCTCCTTGCCGAGCGGGAGGAGACGTTGAAGATCGTCAATCTGGAGAAGTCGCGGCTGGAGCTCGAGGCGGAGGGCTATGCCCAGCGCATTCGTGCCTTGGATGAGAGCGAGGAGCGCTACAAGGATGAGAACTGGGCCCTGGAAACCCGGACGCATGAGTTAATGGCCACCGTCAAGGAGGCCACCGATCGAGAAAGCCGACTTAATAGCAGCTTGGGCACCCTCACCACCGAAAAGAACGCCGTGGAACGCGAACTCGAGGACTTGAAGCAGACCAATTCCAAACTGATTGAAGACCAGACAGCGGCCCAGAAGGCAAACGACGCCGAACTTCACCTCTTGCGCAGAAACCTCAACGCGGGCGACCTGGAACGGCAGTCGTTGCAACAGAAGCTGGAGGAATTGAACTCCCAGAACCAAGAGCTTGCGAAAGCGGTAGCCATGCGACTGCGGCAGCACGAAGCCGAAGCTACTCGCGATTCTCCTCGGGATGACGACTCCGATGATCAAGGCCGAGCGACCCCGGACAATTCCCCGCCCCCATCTCCGAACAAGTTCACTCCTCGTCACAACCATCTCGAGACGGAGACGTTGCGAAGCTCCCTGGGTCATGCCCACCGAATGATCCAGAACCTCAAGAGCACCATCCATCGCGAGAAGACCGAAAAGATTGAGCTGAAGCGGATGCTGCAAGAGGCCCGGGATGAAGTTGAGCAGCGTCGCCGTGAAGGCGCCGGGCCGGCAGGCCCGTCCAACAAGCGCCAGAAAACTAAAGCTGAGGCCCAAAGAAAACCGGCCCGTCCGGATCTGCTTGGTGCCGGTCGACGCCAAGCGACGGAGATTGAGGTGCACGACACTGAATGGGAAGACAACGGCGCTGATTCGAGTCCGTCGCACAAGGCTGCCCTGAACTCCTCTCGGGGCCCTGCCGGCGGTCAGTCGTCTGACGAGCCCAGCGATACGTACCACACTGCCACCGAGGCGGACGATGCCTTCGAGACCGCAAACGAGCGCGAGACCGCGACGGAAAGTGACGCGTTCCAGACTGGCATTGAAAGCATGGCCGAGAGTAGCAGCGACTCGGGTGATGCCACAGAAACCGAGGACCGCCTCCAAAGAACACCTCGCGGCCGTGTGTCGTCTTTGACTCTGACCAAGACTCGCGATCGAACGTCGTACCAGAGCACTGCTTCAACTTCCGGCGATGAAGATGATACCGAACCCGAGGAATTCCCGTCCCCTAGTCAAGTCTCGACGGCTCGCTACCGCCTGAGGAAGAAGCGAAGCGTCCAGCGGAGAATCCGTCCTTCCGGTGAGGCTCCCATGGCATCTACAAGCCGGCCATCAAGTGCTCGAGAATCCCCGGCGACAAGCTTCAACGAAGAGCTGGAGTCATCGGAAGGGCAAAGCTTGTTTGCAGAGCTTGCTGAACTGGATGGCGAGGATGACGAAGGCGAGTTTGGCCCACCGATGCAACGCGAGCCCACTTCCTCGTCTTCCACCCCGCGAATGATCCCCATGTCCGATTCGAGGAGACCGTCAGAGGCTCCACTGGAAGCTCCACTCAAACCCACCATGGTCGACTCTGGTGTCATGACCGATCCCTGGGAGCCCCTGGCGTCCGTTAGCCAGGAGTCGACTGGCGACGAGATTGTCTCCAGGGCGCCGGCAACGCCAAAGAAGGCGGCAATGTCCGACGCGGGCACTGCTACCGAGGCGCCCGAAACTCCACAGGTGGCCCATTCGGCAACCCAGTGGACGCCGCTGAAAGCACCCCTTGACCGTGATGGTGATCATGTTCCTGATGTGCCAACTCCGCCTAAATCGGTGTGGGATGATCAGGTATCAGACGCCCAGCGTGATGAAAACGACCAGCCTGCCCTGCTACGACTGGATATCTCATCTATTTCCACCCAGGAGACCACGCCAGTTGCGCCCACCCGTCCCGATTTGAGCACGGCCTATCTTGTCGGAGGCCTGACCGAACCAGTTGCGCTTCCTACTGCTGAGCCCGCAGAAATCAATTACTCGGTGATCTCCTCTCAATCGACGGAGCCGCTCGTGGCCACACTTCCCACCCCCGAACCGGTGTATGTGCCAAACATGGTCGTCTCTTCAGTCCTTACGGAGCACACTCTACCAGTCGTGGCGACGCCCGTCGAGCCCGTGGTTGAACCTCCGGTCTCCGTCTCAGAGCGTGGCACTAGCACGGACATCCAACAGTTGGCCGTTTCGACCCTCTTCTCTGAGCAGACAGAACCGGTGGTCGCTACTCTGCCCGAACCGAAACCTGAAGTCGCCGTTGTAGAGCGCGCTGCCCAATGTGACCTGCCAAATATGACCGTTTCTATTCTCACCCCAGAATCGACCGAGCCAGTCGCTCCACGAGTGCCGGACGTTGCCCCAGTCCCGGATCTTGCTCTTTCACTTCTGACCCCTGAATCTACCGAGCCAGTGGCGCCCCAAGCACCAGAGGCTGCCCCAGTGCCGGATTTGGCTCTTTCACTTCTCACCCCCGAATCCACCGAGCCGGTAGCGCCACAAGCGCCGGAGGTCGTCCCCGTACCAGAATTGGCTCTTTCACTTCTTACCCCAGAGTCAACCGAACCCATCGCGCCGCAAGTTCAGGAGGTTCTTCCAGCGCCTGAGGTTGCTGTTCCAGTGCCTGAGCTGTCACTTTCTACAGTCCACTCGTTGGAAACGCTCCCCGTCCAGTGCACGCCAGCCCCAGCCCTTCCTGCAGTGGCTCCATCCGACAACATAGCGTATACCACCCAAGATCGGGGTGCTGGACCTGACACCGAAATCCCCAACATTCCATCTGTGGTGGTCGCCCAGGACGATGCGACGGAGGACTCCGTTGATGTCAATGGCACGAAGGAGCAGGAGACGGAAAGTGTGCTACCTTTGGGCTCCATCTCTGGAAACGCGGGCCCGCGCCACGCAAGACGCCTGTCCTCTTCTCAATTGGCAGACCAGGGCGCTCAGACAATCCTGTCCTCTAAGCAGATTGACCAGCTGCTCCTTGACCGCGTGACTTCTCGCCCCTTATCTCCCCCAGACAGCGATAAGGCCAAGGAGCTGAGCAACTCTCCCTTCGCCACGCCGAAGGCGCGACCTCGACCCGTTCATCAGGCTTCGACAACATCTCTCCACCGGCGGCCAAGTAGCGCCAACAGCCTATCTTCAAGTGTGCACAGCCATCCCCCGTTGCCTGCCGATCACAAGGAAGCCATCCTGGCTGCCGAGAAGAAATCACTCGATCAGCGACCCGCATCCCCTGCCCTCATGGGGCCTCCGCTTGCCCCCGCGTCCGCCTACAAGACTAACGCTTCACAACGCCCGCGAACTCCGAACGAGCCGACCGGCTATGTTCACTCAACGAAAACCACCTCGTCGCGTGCCAAAGGAAGGCGCGAAAGTCAGGTGTCGCGAAGGTCGTCGGTTTCATCCTTTGCTTCCGAGGTTGAAGAACGGTTCAATGGGCATCCCAACGCAGCTGGCTTCCCTTACGGGCATCCCGCTGGTACAGATGCGCGGATGATCCAGGCGATCACCCAGACGATGATCGGAGAGTTCCTTTGGAAATACACCCGCAAGGCTGTTTCCGGGGAGATCTCGAACACCCGACACCGCCGATACTTCTGGGTGCATCCGTATACCCGCACGCTGTACTGGAGCGAGCACGATCCGCAAACTGCCGGCAAGACCGAAACCCGGACGAAGAGCGTTCCCATCGAGGGTGTCCGAGTTGTGGCGGATGATAACCCATACCCCCCTGGCCTTCACTGCAGGAGCTTGGAGGTCATTAGCCCGGGTCGTCGGATCCGGTTTACGGCCACCACTAGCCAAAGACACGAGACCTGGTTCAACGCGCTCTCATATCTTCTGCTGCGAAACCCGGCGGACGAAGGTGAAGAGGAGAATAACGTGACCTTGGAAGATATCGACGAGTTCAACCCTGGATTCCGCTCGCGTTCCCAACAAACGGCACGCATGTCAGTTTCTTCCTCCCAGAGCCGTCCTCTTCGAAACCCACCGAAGCAGCGGGCGGCATCGGCCATGTCTGTACGCAACAACAACACCTTGACACCTGGCCGCGTTTCTCCCGCCTTGAGCACGCCCTCTCAGTATTCGGATCAGGTCCGACACAGCTCCACATCCCGGCTAAGTACGATTTTGAACTCGACGATCAAGGGTTCGCTCGGCCGACGAGGTCCGGGCTATGCCAGTTCCAGCCTCCATGATGGTAGCCTCCATGACCACGATAGCGAAGAGGATCTACGACATATGATGGAGAGACAAGAGCAGAATGATCGACTGGAGAATGTTCGCGCTTGCTGCGATGGTATGTAGATGTCCCCACACTAGATATGACCCCCGGCCGCGTTGCTAACCATCGTTCACTTGCAGGCAAGCACGATGTCAGTTCGCTGTCAAGGATGAGTCGGTATAGCCCACGGGCCAACCGTATCCACTCCCACCATTAGCCCCGAATCTCTTTTTCATGCATCTTCTGGAGCAACGACTGTTTCCGGCTGCCTGGAGTTTGTACTCATATCGCTGACAGATTTCCTTCTTTTCTACCGCCCGCTATGTTTTTAATCCTGGGGTTTTCGAGACCTTTTCTTTTTTCTTTGGTTTCTCTCGCCGCTCTAGTGCCTGTGGACCTTTATTTCCTGCCATTCCTTCCTGCCTGTATCACAGCATGATTTAGTGATTTCCTTTGTTGATACTCATTGTCAGCCCCCGCATAGACCCGGGTCATTCATTCGCATCGGCTTGGCATCTTCCTCTTTCTCCTTCCTATCTCCTGTGCGATTACTCTCGCCTGCTCGAGCATCTTGTATCTTTGATTTGTCCCGGATCTTGGCCTTGAACTGTAATGAGCGAGATTGACTGATTATCGGGTTTGCATCCGCATCGTTCACCGTGTTCGTTATTTGGTTTTATCTTTTGTATTTTTTGGCCCGCCCGGATATTGGACCGGGTGCCATCCTTGATCGAGGCAATCGAATTCTTGAAGACAACGAGCTCTCCGTCTGATTCTCTGGAGGGTGATGGGTTGATGCCTGTCGGGCGCTTAGTCAGCCGAAGTCTCCGAGGCTCGGAGACTTTTCTCCACGCCAAACCAATCCACTCCGCCATACTTTCTCTCCCTCTCTCTGTAGTTGCGCCCACGATGGCTTCGGCAAACGAACCAACAACGCGACAATGGCTGGCGTCGCTGGCCGAACCAGGCGTGCTTCTGGTGTGGGCCATGTCTTGTAGGTGTCTTGACCTGTGGTGACTTTCGAACACCCCCCCCACATTCCTGCGTCCCTTGCTCTATACCGTATCAGTTGGCATCGCACTTGGACTGATCCGAGTCAGACTATGTGAAAACCAATCTGGAAGCCGTTTTCCAACGAGGCCAGATCCTCGCTCCACTACTAGAGACCAGCCGCCTCCGCGATGAGGCGTTCGGCAAGTTCTGGCTCCAATTCAGCTGTCAGTGTTTGCTCCTCTTCTACTTGGCCCACTCTTTGGCGGTCCCAGTCGCTAATCACCAAAGCGACCCCGTGCAGCCCTCCGAGAGGATTCTATTCAATCCGCTCAGCCGGCCGCCGACCAACCTACTCCCCCCACGCAAGGCGAAATCCAAGGCTCCTCGGACCTGATTCCACCTATTCTGGCCCAGGCCTCGGGTCTGGTCCTGGACGTGGGACCCGGCACCGGGACCCAGATGCCGCTGCTACGGTCCCCGGCCATCAAAGCCATCTATGGCGCCGAGCCTTGCCACGGACTGCACGAGGAGCTGCGCGCCCGGGCCAACGCCAACGGTCTCGGCGAGAAGTACCACATCCTCCCCTGCAGCGTTGCGGGGTCGCAGCTGAACCCCGTCCTGCAGAAGAACGGGCTCGACCGCACGGACCGGGGAGTTTTCGACACCATTGTCTGCGTGCGCGTCCTGTGCTCCGTGCCCGACATGCAGCAGACCGTGAACGAACTGTATGCCTTGCTCCGGCCCGGCGGCAGGCTGCTCATCGTGGAGCACGTGGTGAATCCGTGGCGGACGGCGAAGGGGTCCGTTGTGGCGAGGGCCCTGCAGACTCTGTACGGAGCCTTGGGCTGGAGCTTCTACGTGGGCGATTGTTGTCTGAACCGCGATACGGAAAAGGCGCTGCGGACCGCTGGCGAGTGGGAATCCGTCGACATAGATCGGTGGTTTGGCCGCACCGTCATGCCGTATATCTCGGGGGTTCTGGTCAAAAAGGCGTAGATTACAGAGGTGTATTTAGATACGATGGTGGTGGAGAAGAGAGGCCTCGTTGGTGCTCCGGTTGGACAGTTCCGATGACTTTTGGCTTTTCGGTTTGTTAAGCTGTGATAAAAGCAGACTGTGAAGTTGATTTCTGGAGGGGATACTCTTCGCATGGAAGACTAGAGGGTATCAATATCATTCGTAATTTCTTGAGGCGATAAATAAACAATATGTAAGCAGGACCGATGCTCTACAGCCATAGCAAATGAGGCCTGGAACATGCCCGGGGTATCTTCACAATGGAGCTAGCCGGGCTTGGGACGTCCCGGCGGCCAGAAATCAAAAAGATCGAGAGCTTCGGTCGTCCATGGACCTTGCTCGTGGTTGGTATCATCATTGTGCTGGTTTAATGGACTTTTGGAGCAGGCCGTTCGACGTTGAAAGCTAGCGCTTGTTAATGTGGTAGGATCTGAATACGATTTGCGAAGTCCGGTCAGAGATCTGCTCGGCGGGAGACCCTGTGCCTGAGCACTGTGACAGACTGCGGCTGAAAGCAATGGAGATGGTGCCGATGGTCCAGAGGATGTAGATTTTGAGGGAGTCGTGGTCTTGGATTGTACCGAGTCATCAATCATTTCATCAAGGACAAACTGCGTGGAGGCGGATGGTGTGAAATCAAAGTTTGTCGCAATGCGATCGGCGCTCGGTGCTGGGGCATTTCTAGAGAGTCAATTCCAGAGTCCGTTCACGTTCTAGAGCACATACTAACTGCGACTTGCCCCACGCGAGCCCATTTGTCCTTGCCGATACCGCTGCCGTGGTGGGCGCTTTCGAGGATGCCTGGGTAGGCAAAAGCGCGCTGTACATCAACTTTTTACGCGGCTTTTCGTTTGACAGACGTAGCTTGTTAACAGGTTTGTCTGGCGGAATCCGTGATGAAGCCTTTGAAACGTTACCAGTAGCTGACTGGGGTCTCTCAATCCCAAGGGTCTCGGCGGTGTCTCTCGGCTTGGGAGCGGACGTCGACAAAGAACTGGACTTGACTCTGGAGGGATTCGGATCCTTCCGCGGTTTCCCAACGTGAGAGGGGCCGTGTTGCGACGCTGGGTCCTGCTCTGTAGTGTCGAGTGGGTCGGATAGGTCGATGACCTCAGGATGATCTGGACGTGAAGCATTAGGCAGTGACTCGCGCGGTCGACTGTCGGAGCAAGCCGTCTTTTGGCGCTTTGGAGCTGGCTGAGACACTTGTTGATCAACCTTCTGTGGCCTTGGCGGGGTTCTACCTTCGTGGGGAGAAACTAGATGCGCGATCGGGGTCTTCTTGATCCCCAGCAGGTCATTTAACGACCGCGACGGTTGCGAGGAGAGCGACGATCGTAAGGGGGTGGACGAGCGAACGGAGGGGGTCGGCGGACCTGCCGGACGTGACGGAGATCCTTGACTAGACTTCTTCGCGTAGAGAGCCGAGAGATCTGTCTCCGTTTTCTCCATTGGCTCGCAGACCTGGATTATCACGCCTCGGTCCAGCTCCAACTCATCGCCGTCCTGAATGCTTTCCTCATGGCGCCAATGCAGGTCTCCAACGAAGTTGCCCGTAGTATCGTAAACCATAGCCCGCTTATTGAACGTGTGAAACCTCAGATATCCATCCTGCCAGCGTTTGGCTTTGCGCCGCATATCATGGGTGAACAGGCATCGGAACTTGATCACGGGCGCGGTGTTCTGCGTAGTCGGGACGCTCAAGCTGGATGCGACGGGGGTCGACATGATCGAGGGGACGAGGGCCAAAGCTTGGCGACCCTCGGACTGAGGACCATCTGGGCAAGGATGGGAGCGGGAGGAGGGGGGCGTGTGTGAGATGGAAATGGAAGGAGAATCAAGCAGGAGACGAGGGAGAAAGACGAGGGAGAAAGACGAGGGCATGGAAAAAGAGCGGGTCCGGCGTGGCTGCCTGAGGCCACCCTCCGCGGGAAGGCGCCCGTCGCGATCCTCGTCGTCTACTTCGACTTCTTCTGCTCCCCTATCGGCTTCCATTTGGGCCCTCGTCGCTGCACTTTCCAGTCTCCAGTGCGTGCAGAATCCTCTGGGATATACTGTCGTCCACCACAGCACCAGACCGAGTAGAGTCTGGACGTGTCGGACGGCCGATAGAGACCTGGCCGGACCATGGTAGCAGGCCGCTACCAACGCAGGAACCAATGGCCGCCCGATCTATACAAACAGGAACACGCTTCATGCATCGTCCGATGGCAGACAGGAAGGCACCACAGGGGCTCCTGGTCGAGACTCGAGGGTCCGACTCCGATGGGGCCCGAAACTCCACGTCGGTTCTTTCCTCTGTCGATCGCGTCGACTAGAATAAGGCAGAAATCCAGCTGAAACGCCGTTGACAAACGGGACTCCAACGAGAGTCGGACAGGCTGCGTCATCCGATCGAGGCTCTCTTGTCCTTCGTCCTCTTTCAAATCCGCCCCTCTTCTTCCTTCTCCAATCCTCCCCTTTCCCCCTTTTGCATTTCATCGCGCTGTTCGCCTTGGGCTCTCTCCCCCCGCCTCCTTCTTTACCTGCCCACTGCGCTCTCCCCGCCTTTCTGCTCGTGAATTGACCATCGCCCTCCCTCCACCGCTGGTTGAGCGAGCGACACAATGCAGAGCGTACAAAGACACTTCGGGAAATTCATGAAGAGGTCGGCCGATGAAAGCCAGGTGGCCATTCTTCTGAAGGATTTCGATGAAGCGGACAAGCTGCTGGGCCGGGTAAGGAACTCTTCTCTCTGCCTGCCGTTGCGTCGTCCGTCAACTGATCGGCATCTGCCGTAGATTATCGATTCGACCAGTGCCTGGCGCGATGCCTGGTCCGGGCTCTTGACGCATCAGAGTCGAATGATCGGCGAATTCGAGGACCTCTACGCTCCCATCGCCGGCTCAGACCCTTCCCCACACAATGCTGCCGCCACCCCTGAATCGACCCTGGCCCGAACAAATAAACTGCGCGAGGAGTATGAGGACCTGCAGAAGGAGCTTCTCACGGAACTCAGCGCGGTGGACCAACGTATGATCCAGCCGGCGTCGGAGGCCCGGGAATGCTTCATCCCCGTGAAGAAAACCATCAAGAAGCGAGATGACAAAAAGGTGTGCCATCATCGGGTGGAAAGGACTGTTCTGGAGTACTAACGTCTTCTCTCTCGGCCAGTTGGACTACGAGCGCTACCAAAGCCGCGTCGACAGCTATGCCAAAAAGACGAAGCGATCGGATCGTGACAACCAAAGCCTGGCCAAAGCGGAGAGCGAGCTCTCGAAAGCGACCGAGGTATGCACAAACCGAGCGCTGCCTTCACAGTGCTAGTCTAACAGAACCAGGAATATCATGCCGCGGATGAACATTTGCGACAGAACCTTCCGCCGTTGATCACCGCAGCCTTCTCGATGCTCCCTCGCCTGCTGGCCACGCAGGTCGAGCTCCAGAACTCGATGCTGGCGAACTACTACACCGCCATCTACAACTATAGCCAGGAGGAGAAGTTTCCGTCGCCGCCCCTGCCCATGGAGCAAATTGTGCTGGACTGGCAGCAGGTTCTGCTGCCGGTCCAAGAAGAAGTCGAGGGGTTCGGCTGCCTTGCTAACGGCAAAGTTGTGCGAGGGTCTCAGGGCACCGACGACCATCGCAACGGCAGCAGCCATGGAACCGGCAGTGCATCCGTTGGAGGCTTCTCTCGGCGTCGCTCTAGCGGCCAGCTGTCGTCCACGCAGCAACGCGCGACTTCCCCAGCCCCCAGGATCCCTGCCTCGTCGCCGGCATATGATACGAAGCCCCGGGTTAACGATCTGGCACCCTCCTCGTCGTCTCTCAGCACTCCTTCTACCCATCTCTCCCCCAACAGCTATCGTACGCCGGCGTCCGAGCAGATTCGTCCATCTTCCTCCTCGGGACTTTCGCCTGCGAGTGCCCGCACCGACTATTTTGACCGCAATCCCTCCCCGTCCGGCAGCGGAGCCACTTCTCCCGGCTACAGCGTCCTCGCAGCTGCGATCGGCAAGAAGAAACCGCCGCCGCCACCAAAGCCCCGTGCCGCCTCGAATCCGGCCCTGTATGTGACGGCCCTGTATGATTTCGGCGGTCAGAGCGCCGGGGATCTTGCCTTCCAGGAGGGGGACCGAATTCGCGTTCTCGAGAAGACCGACAGCACGGACGACTGGTGGGAGGGCGAGCTGCGAGGGGTGAAGGGGAGCTTCCCGGCCAACTATGTGGAATGAGCGCGTCCTGGATGATGCGGGCGAAATTAGATAGAGTGGGTTGATAGCATTTCTTGACAAGGCATGCTTATGGGGAAAAATGCCGGGCTGGGCGGTGCCTTCCAGGCATAGTAGTACAATTATGCAACTAATCAGGACACAAAAGTCACCATCCAAGCGAACCGGAATCAATGGAATATCTCTCTGTATCTTTTCGATTGCTTGGGCCTTTGCTATGGGAGCTGGTAACACTAGATCGTTATGTCTGCAGTATACTATTGAACGACAAACACCTCGACATCGTGATGCAAGGAATGGAGAAAGCCATGGGATAAGAATACAGCCTCCTCCGGCAGGGTCATCGTGGAAGCGTCCTAAATAAAAGCCCCCTCGGAGGTAGTGTCGTCGTCCGACATGCCCGTTCCCATCTGTTGACGACGGCTGTTCAAGAACAGTTCCACCATGCGCTTGCTGGAGATGGGGGACCCCATGCTCGGGGGCTGACGCAGGGAGTCTTTGAAGTCGCTCTGCTCCTGCTCGGCCTTCAGGTTCTCGTTGGTCACTCGCCCCCCGTCGCGACGGCCGCGGGCGGATCGCACGTAGAGAGTTTTGCTGTCGTGAGGAACCGGGGACCGTTTCACCTGGTATCGGTCGTACATTCCGCCGACGGCCATTCTTTGCTGGAACTCACTCGCGTCTCGCTTGGGGGTCGGCGAAACGGAGTACCAAATACGGTTGCTCGGCCGCAGCTGCATCGGGGCCGACGTGGGATTATTGTCTCGCTTGCGACCTCGAACAGGCGAGAAGGCCTTCTCGGGGGTGCCGCCCGATGGTTTTTGGAGAATCGGGATCGAGGACGGCGAGGACACGATCGTACTGCCGGTCTGCTCCTTGGGAACACCCACGATCGTGCGGACACTAGATGATCGGCTGAAAGGCCGAGAGTAATTATGAGCGAGCCGAGCCGAGTCTTCCTGCCTGGTCAAGAGGTCTTCGGGGTCTCTTATCCGCCGAGAGATGACTCTCGGCAAGACATCGTCCTCGCCATATATCTGCGTGTCCTCTCTGTAATGGTCTCTCCGCGCCGGCAAATCCAGATCCTCGATTCTTTCCATCTGAGACCGCACCCACTGCTGCCAATCGGCGCTGCGTCGCGCGGAAGGCTCTCGTCGGGGAGACATGGAAGCTCGGGTCGGGGAGCTATAGGCCGATCGCTGACTGGCGTATATCGTTGCGACACCCGGTTCGTCTTCCGGTGGCGAAGCGTGGGAGTCGGCTCGTTGGTCCTTCTTGGTGGGTGTATTTCCACTCGTTGTCCGTGAATAAACGCTGGATGAATCGGAAGTGCTGAGCCGGGGTTGCATGTCGACAACGACTATGCTGCTCGAATCATCTTCCTGAGCCTTGGTCGCGCCCAAGATTCCGTCCTGGGAATCGGTCAATTTCCGCTCGCTGGCTTGAAGGTATTCGAGGTCTTGCGACGGAATAGGATTGTGAAGCTGCCGGGGCATCGGGTCCCGTGGAGTCGGCGCCTCGGCGCGGGCTGTCGCAAACGATTTCGGGGAGGTGACCGACTCATCACTAGGGATGTGGCGGATTGTCTGTCGACTGCGATGCGGACGCAGCGAGGATGCTCGTGTCGGAATGGCACGGTGCTCCTTGACGTGGCCAAAGACAACGTCCTCGGTCGAGCCGTTTGCGCCATGACCGCGGATCCGTTTCATCAAAGCGGCATACAATCGCCGACTATCAACGGAGCCGTCGGGAGTCGGGGACGAGGTCAGAGTAGTCGGTTGGGGATTCCGACTGGATACGCCCTTCTCGTCGATAACTGACAAGGAACCCCGATCTCCTCCCTTCCCGGCGGTGATGGTGTTGGCGACCGACGAGTCAGCCCAACTAGTCACGCGCGAGTGCGTGGTAGCAAAGCTTTCAATACTCCGAGCGCTTCGAATGGTCGCCGGTCGACAGCTACTCGGACTAGTCCATTGACGGAAACCATCGGCTGAGTACGGCTGTGCGTTTGAAGAATGGTCTTCTGTCGTCGACTTGATCGGAGAGGGGTCGGCGTATTGGGGATCGGAGGAAGAGGGCGAGTCGTGCGCGGTCTCTTGCGCCGCGGCGGGCTTCGACAGGCCCAGAACACGTTTGATTCCCCTCTTGATGGAAGACGAAAAGGATCGGGTTCTTGCATGAGGGGAACCACCATTGAACGAACTGCGCGGAGAGGGCGTGCTGGCCAGGTCACCTTCGGCCGTGCTGAGGGTGCGAAAAGTTTTCCGGAACGGTTTGTGCTCTCGTTTTGGTCTGCCTGCGAGAAAGGACGACTGGCCGTACCTGCTCAGATCGGGCACAGATTGCTTCTGGAACTGGCTACGGGCTATCTGGACTGCGGCGTCATGGCTCGTGGCGTAGTCCAATGTGTTGAGTGCGCCTTGATCGCCTCTGAAAAAAGACCACGAGCGCCTCAGAGTTCCAGATGTGCGTGGTACCTCGGATGAAGATTGCCCATCATTTGCAGGCGCGTAGGAATGGGACGATATCCCGGTGCTTCGACGGGAGAAACGTGGACCGGTTGTAAACATCGATCGAGTCTTGCGAAGCCGCCGATATGACGACGGTAAGGAAGAGTCACGACCATCCAGGCCTCCGAATTCACTGATAGGGGGCAGCATTGCAAGCGACATGGGATCATTGTCATGGGACGACATGTCCGTCATCTGCGAACGAGTCTGGAGCGTATCTGAACCATTCTCGGAAGGCGGATGGTGTCTTCTTCGAGGCACGGCCATGTTTCCCGGGCCTCCCAGACGATCGTACGAGCGCTGGTAGTCCAGAGAGGATCTCTCGGTGGAACGTCGCATGGCCAGAGACGCGGCCGCCGTGGCATGCTGTCTCGCAGTACCCACGTCAAACGGTTCGGTAGACACCGAGTCCGGGCGAGCTCTACGGATCGAGCGAGTTGATCTAGTCCTCCGAAGACGGTCTTTGGATGTCAGAGATGCGGAAGGAATCATGGTGTTTGGGCGAGAAAAGAATGCTTGGATAGATCTGTGAGCCAGGATGGGGGAAGAAAAGAAGAATGCCCGAGGGGCTGCCCTCTTGACGACTCCATCGAGAGGGCGACATGTTTGGTCTGTCTGGGAGATTCAGGGAAGGAACGACCGATGGATGGAGGGAAAGAGAGAGAGATAGAGAGAGAAGGAAGGAATGAAGGAAAGAAAGAGGAAGCAGAAGGAAGAGTCATTGCGTGAGTCACGGGGGAGTCACGCATTGTCGGCCACGTGAGACCTTTCAGATCCAGACTGCAGGAGTATAAAGATTAAGGAGCCAATACAAACTATCTCCATCTCCATCTCCATTCCCATTCAACACCAGACTCCCGCCCATCATCGACTTGCGCCGGTCTCCGTCTCTCACTAACGGCCCCACGAACCTCAGTACTCACCATGATCCGCCTCGACGGCCGCACTCTTGAAGGAGGCGGCCAACTCGTTCGCATTGCAGTTGCACTCTCTGCTCTGACGGGCAAATCGGTCAACATTTCGCACATTCGTGGCAACCGCAAAGGGAAACAAGGCCTCAAGAGATCTCATCTGGCCGCCGTTCAGTTCCTGGCAGAGCTAACGGGGAGCTCGGTGTCCGGTGCTGAAGTCGGTTCGTCTTCGCTGAGCTTTTATCCCGCGCGGTCTTTATTGAATGCCACTGGGGAGCCGATGAATGACGGCCTGCAAGTAGAACGAGACATTCACATCGAGCTGTCAACGGCCGGCTCGGTCTTTCTCGTCGTTCAAGCCATCTATCCCTATCTCCTACATGCCGCGGCAGGCCCGACGCGAGTGACCATTACGGGGGGTACCAACGTCTCGTTCGCCCCGTCGTTCGATTACGTCTCTCAGGTTCTGGCGCCCAATCTCGCGAGGCTCGGCCTGCCTCCGCTGACCGTCCATCTAGAGAAAAGGGGATGGGGCACCGGCCCCGTCAGCCTGGGTAAGGTTGCCTTGGAGATCGAGCCCCTCCGCTCGCAGGATCGGTCGGGTCTGCAATTTCCCCAGATTGATCTCGGTCAATTCCGACGCGGCCAAGTGACCCGGATTGATCTCACCGTCCTGGCCCCAGATGATCTGCTGGAAGAAGAACCCCCGGACCGAGCCCCGGATCGCCCGCAAACCGTTCGCCAGTTCATCGAAAGGGCGGCGCACCGACAGCTCCGCACGAGGCTCGCGGCATTGCCTCCGTGGATTTGCAATGGTCGATCGGATTCCTTCTCCGAGGCCGACGCTCTTCCTATCCGCACCTACGCGTCGGAACCCACCCGCCATCCCTCGCAGACCTACCTGCTTTTTGTGGCGCACACGTCGACGGGGTTCAAGATCGGGCACGACGCACTCTGGGCAGGCATCAAGACCGACAAGCGTCAGAAAGCGCGAGGAGACCGCGCCAACCGAATTTTGGCGGCGACCACAAGCCTGGTCGAGACATGCGTGGATGGGTTCATTCGCGAGCTGTACGATGCGTCACTGCAACCCGACCCCGTGGCGGCTCTGCGCCGGCCCTGCGTGGACGAGACCATGCGCGACCAACTGGTGGTGTTCGAGGCGCTGGGAGGGAACTTCGCGGACGGACAGGTCGAGGACGAGCGGTTCTGGAGCCTGCATACGTTGACGGCGCAGTGGGTGTGCCGAGAGATGCTGGAGGGGTGATGCGCTAGGGTTTGATGCCGTCCGGGAATCTATCGACTACGTTCCATCGCGAATCCTTCGCACTAGCGTGACCCCCAGTCAAGTATTAACTCAATAAATTCGTAGAAACGGTCGAGAGGGTATGAGGAATCTCGACCGATATTAGACAGTGGCGTATACATCACAACAGAAGCCAAGATGACCGAGCGACCCGAACAGAGCAGCAGGGGAAAGCACCAGTGCACCTGCGCCATCTGCGCCAGCCTGCTGGCAGACCCGATAACCAGGAGACTCTGGGGCGATCCGAAGACATTCCGGGTCCTCAGTCGCCGGGTTCCCAGTGCCGCCAACCAGCCAGCAGCGATTGAGACGGAGAACGGGAAAGGACGTCTATCCCTGCCTTCTGCGGAGATGCTCGACATGAGAGAAAAGAAAAGAAAAGACAAGAAAAGAAAGAAAAGAGAGAGAGAACGAGAGAGACAGAAAAAGTGCCGGCCCCGATGAAATCCACAAAAGCCGCCCTCCAAATGGTATATGCCCGTGATCGATCACAACTCCCAACAATGCATCAAGTCAGAGCTCCCAATAATGATAAGAGAGAGAAAAAAAAAGAAAAGAAAAGAAAATCGAAGAGAAAGAAAGAAGCAACCAAAAGAAGTCAAATGAAATCCGGAGACGAGCGCGCCGACGATGTGCGCGACTCGGTGCCAGCCCGCGGGAGGCCGAATGACGGCAGTTCCCCTTCGTCTCCGGTCAATGCATCGTAGCGGCGTGATCACAGATCGAGGACGACGTCCTTGAAGGGCGAATCATTCAGGATTTCCGAAGGCAAGGCCCGGCGGTAATCTCGGGGCTGGGCGAACGGCGAGGGTGATGTCGGGCGACGGAGCTTCAATTGCTACAGAGAGGGAGCGTTAGCTGGGATGGTTCGCATGCGCCAGGAGGCGAACGCAGGAGGGAAAATGACATACCACGCAGTCGGGGCATTTGCCTCCTTGAATGTTGACGCGGCCACGGCAGCCGCGAGGATAGTTGGCGCACGAGTACATGACGAGAGTGGTTTTTTGCTTTTTTTTTCTGGTTCGCTTTGAGACCACACGATGTCTGGCAGTCGATGAGGATAAAAAAGAGTAGGAAGTTTTTTTTTTCCCCTGTCCCGGCAAAGGAGCTATTTTTTTTGCTTTTCTTTCTTCGTTCGTTTCTTTGATTTGACTGGGGAATCCCAACTGAAACCGAAGGGGTTAAAAAATAGCCACCAGCAAAAAAAAAAAAAAAAAAAAAAAGGCCCCAGGGGACGACAGTAATAAGAAGCAGAAATCCGCAAATCCGCCCCCGAGCACGGCAATTACGTCAAGATCGTTGGGCGACCGTTTTGTCTTGCAGCGAGGCGCCAAAAAGGATCGCGAACTAAGGCGCCGGTCGAAGTCCGTCGAGCTTCTAGCGCTGACCGTCGCTGCGCCACTGCGCCAAAAGGGTAAGTCAAAGGAATGGAAAAGAAGGGAAGAATCGGTCAACGATCAGGGAGATGGGCAGGAGAAAGAATTCGAAGGACGAGAGACGGGCAGTCCTCGAAGGGGGCGAGTCGAGGGTTTCGTGCGGTTTTTATATCGTCGATCCCAGCGAGAGAAGAAAATGGGATTTTATTTTATTTATTGAATTCCATTTGATTTTTTACGGAGTCGGGATTTTTTTTAATTTTATTTTATTTTATTTTTCAGTTGCAAAATCAGTCCAATTATTGCAGAGGGAATAAATCCCCAATAATCAAAAGATCAATCAAAGGTAATCAGGCCTAATCTAAGAACCTCGAATGAGAATTCTAGAATGCCGGAACCATGTTTCTTTTTTTTTTTTTTTATTTATTTTTCTTTTTTTTTTTTCTTTAATTTAATTAATTGCTCTGTTAATCAAATGATACGCGCCAATAACGTCAGGCCGATTCCAGTTCTGACGGCCACACGGCTCGGCCTGACGAGATGGCAGTATTTTCCATCCTCCTGCTTCGTTTGCCCGCCTGATCTGAAAAAGAAAAGAAAATAAAAGAAAAGAAACAAAAAAAGGACATCGGCTACGGAGGACGTCTAGCTGAACTCTGCTGCATCCCCCAGTGGATTCCCGCGGGAAGCTGTTCCACGAGGGAAAGGCACAAAAAGAGAAGAGAAGAAAAGAAAAAGCCTACCGACCCACTTCGCAGTCTGACTCCGTCGACCGTTAGTCTCGTCCGACGGAGTACTACTGTGTACTGCGTAAACTGCGAAGCCGAGGGCTGGCATGGCATGGGTCGAGGGGGCCAGCAGAGCCGGTGAGAAGGCAGCCTCAGCCTTTCACAGGATGAACACAGCGAGGCATGTACCGTCTGAATGACTCGCCGGTTTGGCCCCTGGCATCGGATGATATTCCTCGACTGTGTAGGCGGGATTGCAGGGGGCGTGGGCCCTGTCAGAACGGACAGCACGATGCTCAATCTTCCAGCTTCGCTTCGCCGGGGGCGTTTCGGATTGAGAGGCCGCATTCTGGATCTTTGGGCCGCGAACCGTCGCACCACCGAAGTTTCCACTGTTTCTGGAACGTCAACAATCGGCTTCTTCTTTTTCTTCTTACGCAGTATTATTTTTATTTTTTTCCCGCTTTCCTGCCGTTGGTGTCATTCCTCCTCCGTCCTTCTTGACTCATTTTTGGCCGCGGTCTTTGCGAGGGCGTCGACTTGTCGGAAGACGCGGAATCGACTTGCCAATGAAGACCCGAAAGAATAATTCCTCGTCTTTGTTTGCGGGATGCATGTCGAGAGGCGTCGATCCGATCCCCCTAGATTTCTTGCCTTAGCCCGAGATCCCAAGCTTTGGTTTTTTTTCTTTTCTTTTCTTTTTTTTTTTTTTTTTTCGCTCGGCCTTTGCCTGGACCATGACATTGGGGCCAATCCGAGTATCCATGAATGCGGTATGCGAGGCTCTTCTGGCCGGGATCACGACGGTCGTTGGAGCAGCTGAGGTCGGTGGCGGCGACGAGAAGCGTCACTTGACCCCGTCAGGTGCGGACTCTTGGATCTGCTTCGGAAGATGCTATCGTACTTCGTATATTCTAAATTCTAATCTGCTCGAATCTCTATTCGCGACTGGCGATCGTGGAGATCGGGCACGAAGCCTCCGCTCCGTGGAATCCTACGCAGTATATACGAAGACTTAATACTTCAACGACGGCCAGGATTGCAGTCCGGCCTGCCCCATGCAGTAACCCCGAGAGAGTCGGGGATAGATAATTGCCCTCAATTCCTCGGGAATCCGAGCAAAATAAATCCCTGGGTTTCACCAGCCGCCCCAAGCGGGGCCCCCTAGTGGGAGAGGGTGCCAGCCCGATACTCGATGCAGTGACGGAGACGAAGGGATTCGGGATTTTAGATTGCTTTAGTCTGTCCGCTCTCTGCTGTCCTCCGTAAGAGTCTCATCTCGCCTCTTCGTGCCAATCACACCGATGCCTCGTCGATAACCGACCTGGTGCCCGTCTCCACCGCATCGCCAGCCAGTCCCGATTCTTTTTAACCCGGCGCCCTCTTCTGTAACGGTCGGTCGGTGGACGGACTCGAGTGATCGCAGATTCAGGAGGCACCGAGGAGAGAGAATACGAAGTCTCCCCCTCTCCCAAGCCTTGTCCGGGCAAGGCATCCTCCCCCGGGCGCGCCGGGGCTGAAATCCGCCAGATCCTTCGTAGTTGAGCCGCCTCGTCCGGGATCCTGGGATCGACACCGCCGTTTTCCCGTTTGTTCGACCGTTTCCAGACCGTTCTAGAGCCCGTGGCCAATGTCCGGCTGACCCGGAGGATACGGCGTCCTCCGCGCTCGCGTTTTTGGGAGGCCCAAAGTCGGGTGACGGTCGAGAGCTCTCGCGACGCCAAATGTCACATCGCCGCGCTAGAAGCGAACCACCAAACAGAGTCGATCGGGGGAAAATCGGTGCAGACCCACGATCCCGGCAGCAGGATCGGAACCCGTCATGCAAGCAAGCCAGCCAGCCAGACCAGACCAGCCAGACCAGGCCAGGCCTGGCCACCTCGTCGGACCCATGCCAGACGATAGCTCCCAAGGTTTGATGGTGAAACCCCAGCATCTACGGTTCGTGCCTAGATTTGGGTCGGAGATCAGTATGATCGACATGGGGCAGGCGTTTCGAGGTCCCCCCGATCCCGACAATAATGCATGTAACACGGGCTTTCAGACATTCAGCAGCGATCGAAGCACGAGCCAGGCCCCGAGCACGCCGATGGCCGACGCAACCAGCAGCCCGTTGCCTTCCCACGTCAACGCCAGATACGCCAGTCCGCCGACCGCCAGCTCCTTCCTGCGCGCCACGTCGCGTTTGCTCTGCCAGGCCGGATCGATCGGGAACGGCGCGACCGGCGTCGTCGTGGCATCTGCGCCTTCTGGTCGCACCGAGGCCACGGGTACCGACACCGAGAGCGCAACGGCGCGGTGGTCAGAGGTGGGAAACAGCGGTAACGCCTGGTAGCCTTCTGCGCGGACCCGGGCCTCCTCCCTGTCCACGCCCGGCGGCGAGTCCAAATACAAGATGCGGTCGCACCAGCTGGGCCATCGGGTTCTCGTCCACAGCCCGTCCGGCGAGTCGTCGTCCGCCGTTCCGTCCCGCGCCGCCGCCCGGCGTGCAGCATGGGTGTACTTGTACGTGGGCGCAAAGGTAACCGGCGCCTCTGACAGGCCGTGGAAACTTCGGGACTGTTTCATCTCGCGCGTGAGCTGATCCTCCCGCAAGAGATGCGAGTAGTGCCGGGGGCTCGTCGGTTCCACATCGTTCCGCGGAAACCGGGCCTGGTCCTCCTGGCGCGGCGAGACGTCGGCCGTGCGATAATTCAGGTCCCCGGCCAGGAAGAGATAGCTCGTAGGCGCAAAGAGGCCGTGGTGCTCGGTGCGTCCACTCGACGTAGGACCACGTAGCAAGGCCGCCCTCTCCGACTCCTCGTCGTCTCCCGCCCCGGAGGGGGAGGGGTCGCGAGCAAAGACCAGTCTCTCCACCATACTACGCCAATCCCTGTTCCTCCGTTCCACCGCGTCCTCCATGGGGGCCAGGTGAGCGGCGATGAATGTGAGATCGGCGGTGTGGTCGGATGCGTTGGGCATCGCGACGGCCAGCCGTGCGCCAACGGCGCCTTTGTTGCCCATTTGCTGGACTCCCAGGCCGACTCCGGCAGTATCAACAGATGCGACGTCGTCAGCTACGTCCGACCGGGCAAACACCAGGAGGCCTGTCATGCCGACATTCTCCGTCGCGACCGTGACGTAATGGCACGCCCAGTGCCGGGCCACCGCGCGATCCACCAGCCGGGAAAATGCGCTCAAGTATGGGGTCAAGAAGGAGCCGCCAAGGAAGGCATAGGCGATCGGAGCGACCTCCTGGAGGCTGAGCACGATGAGATCGGGCGGCGAGAGCGAGCTGGCATCGTCGGTCGTAGGGAGCGCATCGAAGAAATGGGGGGCGAACCGGTCGACGTCGACAGGGTTTCGGGCGCAGTTGAAGGTGAGGATGTACAGGGAGAGGGTGTCTTTCATTTTGGGGAGTTTATAGAATTTAACACAAAGTCGTAAAAGTCGCTAGAATCGTGTAGAGATGAAAACTGCAGAGGGAGACGGAGGAGAGAAGAGAAGAGGGAGAGGAAGAAGGAAGACAGACGGCGGCGCGTGTGACGATCAGTGGATCTTCTTCTGCTTTCCGCCGTCATTTTCCTCTTCCCTTCTCTTCCTCTTCGTAAGGATTCAACCATCACCATCTTCTGTCTACCAGTCTCCAGTATTTTAATCTCCAGTCTATAACTTCCCCCGCATCTCCTCCAACTCCACCAGCAACATCCCCTCCGCCACGTCTTCCTCCTCCTCCATCTCATAAACCCACCGCGCTCGCCCTGTTCGCGGACTGCGCACTTCGAGCTCCATCTTCATCTGTCGGACAAATGCCACGACCTGGTTCTCGGCGATCATCTGTCCAGGCTCAACCAGCACCTCGATCAGCTTTCCCGACAACGGGAGCACGATTTGTCGAGGGTTGTCCGTGTCGCCGCGTCGATGAGAGGACGAAACCAAGGCAGCCGTCGCCGTCGAGGTTGTCTTCAGCTGCAGTCGATATGTCGCCTTGGAAGAAGGCGTGGTGTATTCGACTTCCGCCGCCATCGAGGCGGGAAAGTCATTTTGGAGAACGCGAGTGAGCTGTAGATGATGTTGCTCTCTCGGCTCGGCGACCGTATTTAATGGCTCGAGGGCAAGAGACCAGGCGTCTCCGCGCCGGAACAACAGGCTCGAACTGGGAAGGGTAGGGGGTGCAGTAGTCCGTGACGATGGCTGGGAGACCCCATGGCTGATTGCCTGTGAAATGTTTTCCCCCAGTTGAAGAGCTGGGTGGAGCTGTCTCTCGAGCCACTGCGTATCGGTGCTGCCCCCTAAAAAGTCTTCGTGCTCAACAACTCCGCGCAAGAGGTCGAGGTTGGTCTGCACCCCGGAAACCCTGGTATCGGTGAGCACTCGGCGGGCCTTGGACACTGCTGCCTCCCAGCTGAATGCCGCGACAATGATCTTCGCCAGGAGATTATCGAATTGCGCACCCACAACCACCGCGCTCGATCCGGTCGTACCTACATGCGTGTCGAGACGGACGCCATGTCCAGTAGGCACCAGAAACTCGGTGATCTTCCCCATACTGAGCGAGAATCCCCTACGAGGATCCTCCGCACATAGTCGTAGTTGAATAGAATGTCCATGTTTGGGGACTGCGGGATTGCCTCCCAAGCCAATTTGAGACAAGGAACGTCCTTGAGCGAGTTGGAACTGGGCCTGCACCAAATCAAACCCTGTGATGGCCTCGGTGACGGTGTGTTCCACCTGCAGACGGGGATTGATTTCGAGGAAGTAAAACTCGCTGCGTCGTTCGTGGACCAGAAATTCAACCGTCCCTAGCGACCGATAACCAATCGTCTTTGCCATGCGTAACGCTGCATCGATGACCTGCTGGAGCAAGCCTCGGTTTGGGATTAACGACGGTGCGATTTCCACGCTTTTCTGGAACCGCCGCTGGACGCTGCAGTCGCGCTCCCAGAGATGGCGGGCGTCAGTACCGTCGCCAATCACTTGCACCTCGATATGATGGAATCCGTCGACGGCGGCCTTCTCTACAAAGACTGTTTCGGACGGCGATTCGTTCGTTGCTGCGCGAATGGCGTTCTCCAGTTCGTGCTCTTGACGGACCAGGCGAATTCCTCTCCCTCCACCACCATCCACTGCCTTGATCATAACAGGGTAGTGGACCTGATGTGCGAAGGCCTGGATCTCCGCCATGTCGGAAGTAGCGTTTGGGATGGCTGGCAATACAGGGACACTGCATTGCACCGCCAGTTGCTTTGCCTGCAATTTATCGCCCGTGCGCCTCAAGATCGCGGCTCCAGGTCCTATAACCGCAATGCCAGCATCGCTCATACGACTGGCAAAGTCAGCACTCTCGCTGAGGAACCCGTAGCCTGGATGGACGGTGTCGATGTCATGTTTGCGAGCAAGACCGACGAGAAGCGAAACGTCGGAATACGCTGCCGGGGAGGGCAATGGCAGAAGGTGATGAGGATGAGCAATATCGCAATGAGAGCGATCATCTTCCGTGTACAGCGCAAAAGTCTCAATCGACGGAGAGAATTCGCGCGCAGCCTGGATAATTCGGACGGCAATCTCGCCTCTGGCTCGTCAGCGTACATGGCGCAAGTCAACGAGGTGCCAATTACCTGTTGGCGATCAACAGCCGCCGAATCGGCTGGTCGGTCATTTTCAGCAGGCAAGAAGATGGGGAAAGACAGGATGGAGACGCAATGGACAACTTCTATCACTCATTGGACGTCGTTGCTCTTATGTCTGTTGGAGAATCCCTCGGACCTCGGAGAGAGTGGAGACCCCCTCAGAGCGCAAAGGATGTCGATGTCCATTTACGACCCCGTCCACGCCTCTTGACTCTCAACTACAACTGATTTTATGCGCAAAGATGCCGGTCGACAAGTCGTCCTCGGCGAAGAAACGATTGAACCAGGTGAATTCGCACCTGACACCCCCAAAGCTGCCCGCGGACTATTCCGACGTGCTGGGCCAGATCCACACTCTCCGCACGATAGCAGCTACCCCGGACCCCACTCGAAGGGGGTATGTCCGTCAAAAACAAGCCGGTAAACTCTGGGTTCGCGAACGTCTAGATGCACTTCTCGACCGCGACAGCTTCCAGGAAATCGGTTCGGTGTCCGGCACGGTGCTATGGGAGAAGACGGGGCCGATGCGCGAGAAGCCCGCGTCGTTCACCCCCAGCAACAATGTCCAGGGCATAGGAAAACTGCGTGGTCGCCGGGTTCTGCTGACCGCCGATGACTTTTCTCTTCGCAGTGGGCATGCAGATGGCGCGACCGCGGGCAAGACCATTTATCTGGAGAAACTCTCCCTGGCCCTGAAGTTGCCCGTCGTCAAGCTGGTGGACGGTAGCTCCGGTGGTGGCAGCGTGACGACGATTCGTACGGCAGGCTGGAGTTATTTGCCGTACGTGAGCATGTATAAGTACGTCGTGGATCAGTTAAACCAGGGGATCCCCAATCTGGGTGCAGTGGTTGGACCAGCCGTATGTGTTTCTCCCCTTTCTTGGTCTACGGCTCTACGTCGTCTTGTACCCATCCGACAGACGTAGTTAACCAGCTATAGATTGGCCTCGGCGCCGCACGCGTTGTATCGTGCCATTTTTCGGTCATGGCCGCCGACGTCGGGGCGCTTTTCAATGCTGGACCGGAAGTGGTGAAGGAAGCAACGTTCGAGGAAGGCCTGGATTTCCAAACCCTGGGCGGTCCCTCGATTCATTGCACGAATGGCACCATCGACAACCTTGCCGCTAACGAAGCCGAGTGCTACGAACAGATTCGCACGGTGCTCAGATTTCTGCCCAACAGCGGCCGAGAAGCACCCCCGGTGATTGCTAGCGACGACCCGGAAGATCGCGAAGACGAGGCGCTTCGGCGCATTGTCCCCCGTCGAGCCACCAGGATGTACAACCCGCGCGTGATCATCACGAGCGTGGTGGATAAGGACTCTTGGTTTGAAATCGGTCCGCTCTGGGGTCGGACTGCTATCGGGGGACTGGCCAGGCTGGCAGGACGATCGATCGGGGTGATCTCTCTAAATTGCGAGGTCAACGGGGGAGCATTAGATGCTGCCGGGAGTCAGAAACTGACGCGGCTGTTGAAATTGTGCGATGTGATGAACTTGCCGATTCTACAGTTTATTGACGTCCGTACGTTATCTGGGGCCCAGTGCCGTATCCTGCCATCTAGATTTCACAGCAGACGAGCTAACCCTGTACACAGCTGGGTATGCCATAGGCACTGCAGCCGAACGCGCCGCAACGATGCGCTGGGGAGTTGAACTGGGCAAGGCGTACTTTAGCACTACCACGCCCCTGTTCAACGTGATCACTCGACGGGCGTACGGCGTGGCAGGAGGACTCATGTTAGGCGCGCGCGATCCGGTTATGCAAGTGGCCTGGCCATCCGGACAGTGGGGATCTCTGCCACTGGAAGGAGGCATCGAAGTCGCGCACCGACATGAGCTGCGAGAAGCAGAAAAGACATGTCAGAAGGCAGCGCGGTATGGGGAGCTGGAGGAGGAATATCGACGGCTCATGAATCCCGTGCGCACGGCCAACGCGTTCGGAGTGGAAGAGATCATTGACCCGAAGGACACTCGGCGAGTGTGCTGCTCGTGGGCTCGCCAAGTATATCAAAGTATGATTCCGGAGAGACTGGAGAATCGGGCTGCAGGGAAGATCCATCCGATCTTCGCCTGATTTTACTGACTGCGGTGTATACCCGGGCCCCGGGGACATAGAGGGCATGACCTCCGGTCTCTAAATATAGCTCCCCAAGCTCTCCCTATCAAGAAGGTTTAAACCCGCAAATTATACAAATATAGACATTAAATACATTACATGGTACGCTATACATGGGCCCATCCCCACGGCCTCAAAACTTGCATCTCGTCGATTAAACAGAACGCGCCTCGTTCTTCTTGGCCATGTTCCCGTTCCCAACTCACCACACGTTTTTGAGTCTCTCTTCTGCTTCGATTGACACTACCCCATCGTCGCAGTCGATTCGACCACAGGCCCGCCCAGATCTTCCAGGACGTGAGCCACTGCTCCCCGGGGTGGACTGCGTCGTATGCGGCGCCGTGATACCCCACGCGCACCCGGGGGTTCAGATAGACGCCCGAAAGGCTAGAGAGGGGGTTGTCGGCGTGAATGAGACAGCACTCGGAGCCCTCCAGGTGCTCGCGAGCCAGGGAATCGTGAATCCCTCGGAACCGGAGCGGGTTCTCGCGCGCGACGAACGGGGATGCGCGCATGGCCACTGAATCGGTCAGTAGACGTTCTTCGAACAGGTTGCAACGTCGGGCACGACGGATCAACTTACCAATACCATTCCAGCAGCTTGCCACGGGGATGGGCTCCATGCGCTTCAGCGCCTGGCGCGATGCGGACGAGCCAAAGTACGGCCACGTCTGCATGATGGGCTCGTGTCCCTGGATATCGCGCAGCGCGAACGTGTCGTAGTAGGCCGGCGGATGCGAGAAATCCAGGGCGCAAGCGGCGGCATACCTGCCATCCTTCGTCTGCAGGAGCTCGAGGACATCCTGCGTCTATTGCGTCGTCGTTAGTTAGGGCGCCCTCTTTTCGGGTCTACCGAAGACGGGAAGCTAACGCACTGTGAACACAACGTCGTTCAGAAAGAGAACTCTGTCAAAGTGGATTCCTTGCTTCGCTAGGTCAACTAGCGGCTGAAGGCTGAGATTCCGCAGGCGCGAGAGATACGGAATGCGCCGAAGCTCCTTGCCTGTCTGCTCGGTCTGCAGCCACCCGTCGTCCGTAGACGGCTGAACGATCTCATCCTGGTGCGTCACCTCCGACAGCGTGATATTTCGAGGCACGCCGAGGGGGTCCAGCATGCGATCCAGCTCGACAAGAGCCCCCTTGGTGTTATCGTAGCTGCCGCTCTCGTAGATGCTGAGAAAGACATTCTCGGGGCCTAGGGTCTGTGCCAGGTCCGTGACGGCTTGGTTCCAGTAATTCCGCAGAATCCATTCGTTGTTCCAGTGGATGCCGACGATGAACACTCGTTCCGTGCGCAGGTGTGATTTTCGCAAGATGCGCTCGTCAACGGAGACCAGGGGATCGAGGCGACGCTGGACGGCGGTGATTTCGGCGGCGGTCCAGATGAGAAAGAGAACGAGCAGCGTGTACAGGACGCGCCGGTAGAGTCGAGAGCGACGGAGAGGGTCCGGGCCCGGCCGGGAGATCAAGCGCATGGATCTGGCAGGAATCCAAAGAGGTGGACGATCAAAGGAGGGTGTGCTTGCGATTGGCAGCCATCGTGAAGATGATCGCCTTCAAGGGATGGACACAGGGGTAACGACATGGTGGCCGGTCCCCACCTCGCCAAGGGGGTGGATGATTATGGCGCCGTCAGCGCATCTTGGATTCGAGAAGCCGTCATCATGGTGGGGATCCTTCAAAAGAGGCGTCGTTGCACGTTGATGGTGGTGGTTTAGGAGTAAAGAACCGTAGACGAGCCGGTGGAGGTTGGGACGGTGAAGTCGACGGTGGATCATGGATCGAATATAATACTAATAATATACCAACTGGATTCCTGCCTGCACCGTCACTATCCCTGCTCGAAATTAAGACGATTGCCACCGTTGGGAAATCTAGACCCGGCCGGAAATTAGTCCAGGGGCCAGGCTATTAAATTGCACTGCCAGACGCGAATCTCCACCAGTCGGACTAGGGATTTTAGAAGTCATCGCCCACGAAGTGGACCCCCCGGAGATTGCTGCTTGGCGCCCTCGAGGTCTGGAGGGCTTCACCCAGACTCGTTTGGGTATTTCAGGAGGTGCTCAGCCCTATCTCGCGGGCATGGGCCATCATCCATTGCCGTTCACATCCCATCATGGCCTTCACCGTCGTCAACGGCCAGGTCTACACCCCCGGGCTGGCGATTGTCGACGCGCCCCAGCCTCATACTCCGCTGGGCGGAGGCAAGTACTGCTTCGTTCTTGTTCATTATTCTGGTTCTCCTACTTATCTGGCGTAGACACTCTGCACGTCGCCATTGACGTCTCCGGCAATGGCCAACTCTCCAATTCGTCGTTGGACGCCGAATTCCACTACATTAATCTCTTCCTCACCTCGACCGACACCTCCAAGAACTTCACCATCTCCAACGGCACCTCGTCGGACTCGGACGCCTTCGTAGGACCAGTTCTCGATTTGGAGCCCTCGTCCACCGTGAAACACGTCGACTGGACCTGGCCGGAGTGTCTCGTGGGCGACGGCCAAGGAGGCTCCGATTCCGCACGAGGCGACTATAACATCTCGATGCACCAATCTTTCCGGTGGAAGGGGACGGACTACTACACCGTATTTGATCTGCCCATCTCTGTGTCCAATAGCATCGACAAGTCGGATGATCGAGTCGATTGCAAGTGGGTGGAGAACGAACTGTTGCAGGCGCACGAGGTAGCTGCCAGTAATGCTTCCTTGCCCAGTCAGCCCTGGATCAGCGGGGGAGCCAGCAGCGGAGACGACGATGAGGACGAGAATAAGGATGAGACCAGTCGCGCCAGTCATTTCCAACCCGGAGTACGGCAATGGGGGTTGTTTGCACTGGTCGCTGGCGGGCTGCTGTGGCTTTAAGCTGTAGGTCTTGGAGGGTGGATGTATATATAGAAGAATTGGGACCGTGTACAACCGACGACGGGGACAATCATCCGGCACAGTGTGAGAGAATCGTGAAATCGTAGAGCCCTCGACTCGAATGCCTTCGTAAGAGGTATACTAGTAGTACTCGCTATAATAAGTCTCCTAAATCAAGAGGACAAAGTAGGGCTCCACCAGTCACGCCTCACCCGCACGATCGACAACGGAATTTCCCCCGCGTTTCTCCGCCAACTTCCTCGGCGTCACAGAAGGAAATCCTATCAATGATGCCTCGTGGTCAATGGCAGTGCAGCGTCTGTTCGGCTCGTCTCAGCCGTCTAGAGCATCTCAGACGCCATCTCAGGTCCCGTATGATGATCGCCCTGCACGTCGGTCGCATCACGAACTGACCGAGACAGATGACCAGAAGAGACCGTTCGAATGCCCCTTCTGCCATCAATCTTTTACTCGAAAGTAGGTTCATTGATGGCTTCCATCTGTCACATCCCGTGCTGATGTCACCGACAGAGATGTTATGAAGCGCCATGAACGAGGCTGCAAGTTCAAGGGGAACCTTCCCGCTCAGCAGCATTGCATGGGGAACGAAATCACAGCAGTCGAGGGCACCAGCTGTACCAACGGGTTCCCGGACCTCCCGTCTTCCATGGATTTCACTGCCCTCGACTGGTTATACACGCCCCACACACCGGACAGCATCGAGACTGCCGAGAGGTTAGAGTATCTGGCATACTTTACCAGTGCGAGAGGCATGGCCACATTTCTGGATCGAAAGACGCTCGAGCAGAGACAGAGACTAGTGCTAGATCATGCAGTGCATGCCAGCGTCCAGGACTGTGGGGGAAAGAAGCCCCAGCCGGAGCCATCCTATCTAGATCTATTGCATGATCTAGACAGGTCGACCAACGACATCTTGAACAATACTCTCGAGCTCGCGGCTTCCCACTCGGTCTCAGAAGAATCGGATCCTTTGCTTTCGAAATCCGAAGAGATCGTTCAACTCCTGCGCTCCGTCATTTCCGAGAAACAAAACACGAACACAATTGAGTTGACCTGGACGTCAGCTGTACAGGAACAGTGTTCCTCCTTCTTCGCCCCTCCAAGCATCCGCCGCTTTCTGGAGTACTTCTGGTCTCTATGGTACCCTAACTGCCCTATTGTGCACCGGCCGCTATTTGATCCGCAATCTGCACATCCTACTCTGATTTGCGTGATGGTCATTATCGGAGCGTGTCTATCGCCGCATGATGACGACGGTCGAAACGCCAGAATATGGATGGATTCTACTGAGGAGCTGGTTTTTAGCAATGCCTATCATTGCGAGGTTCCTGGAGATACCACCGAATCCACCATCGCGGCTCACAAAACTAGATGGACTAAAGGACACCTGGAATGCATCCAAATGACCTATTTGGTTTGCTCGCTACAGAAAAGGGAGGGCTCGACGGATGCACAAACGCGCATTCGAAGATACCGACATGCGGCGATGGTCACGGTGAGCTACGGGAATGCCTGGCTTTCTTCCACGAAACAACGAGAACTGACAGAGGGTAGCTGGCACGAACGATCGGGCTTAGATCTGCAACCCATCGGGACCTCAATTTGGATCGTCCTTCTGATGCGTGGTGGCGAGATTTTATTGCCCAAGAAGAATTAATCCGGTTAGTATCCAGCCAATGAAGGATGAGCAGATGGTGGAGTCCTAATATTGAATCTAGAGCTCTCACATATGTCTTCCTATTTGATGCGGCGCTCACCATCTTTCACAATTCTCCTCCTCGCATGGTAGTCTCCGAGTTGAAGATGAGCCTGGCTTGCCCAGAAGCATGCTTCCAGGCTGAATCCGCCGAGGAATGTTCTACACTTCTAGCAGAATGGGAGGGGTCCATATTCTGGGGCAAGAGGCTTTCGGTATCGGCGATGCTTCGGAAGATTTGTCAACGAGATTTGGACGAATGGCAGGTGTACGAGCTGGCTAAGATGGGAACGTTGAATCTATTCACTACTGTTCAGTGTATGTCCTCCTGGTCTATATTTCAATCTGTTTGCTGACGATCAATATCCATTAATTAGCTTTGCATTCCCTCACCTTCCATCTGCAAAACTCCTTGGTCTTCGAGTCATCCTTAGAGCCGGTGCGGACTGGGCTACGAAATTGGAGGCGCATCTGGAACAAGCGCGAGCCAGAAGACAAAGATATACCCAATATCCCCGAGGCGATATGGAAGAAGATTGGGTTCGTGTGCTACGCCCCGGAGTTTTGGCAGCTTGCCCGGATTATTGTAGGTAGGATAGGGTCAACTGCCACCGTTGACGAGCATCCGGTTGCTGGCATCGAGCCAGGCTTACCCAGATACGACCATGTCGACATGAAGGGAGTGAACGAACTGATCGTGGAATATCAACAGCTCAATTTAGAAGGCGCTATTGCTACATGAACGCTAGATAATCAACCCTATTATTCAATTTACACGGATGTCTGGACTGGTGCTCGCTTGGTTACGGTGACCTCAAAGTCGATCGGCTTCACAAACCAAAAGTTCTCCGTGTTCCACTTCTGGTGTTTTATGCCGAATTCAAAATCGCGAACTATCCGAGGGATCAACTTGGACATTTCGAGAATCGAGATGTGTTTCCCAAGGCACGTTCGGGACCCAAGACCAAACTGTTACGCGTCAGTGCCATCCGCTCGGGGCTCGCAGTCAGGTCAAACTCACCGGCATATACATGTCGTTCATGATCTTCAGTCTCTCGGGGTCGGTCTCCGCTTCTATCCACCTCTCCGGTTGAAAGGATTTTGCGTCCGGAAATATTTCCTCGTCATAGTGCGCCACCCAAGTATTCACACCGACCACCGAGCCCTCGGGGAAGAAATAACCGCTAATCTCGGCTCCTCCGGCCGGGACTTCGCGCCACAAGGGCAAACCCGTGGCGCTGTGCATGCGGAGAGCTTCCTTGATGACGGCCTGGAAGTATGGCATCTCTTGGCTTTCCTTGAATGTGACGCGGGGACTGCAACGACCCTGAGCGGTAAAACCATCGATCTCCCGGCGCAGCTTCTCCAACACGGCCGGAGAACGCAGCAAGAAGTACATGATCGCCGACAGGCTGATAGCCGTGGTATCTGACCCGGCAATAACGTTGGATTGGCCCATCATAAAGAGATGATAGTCGGTGACCTTTTCCGGGTCTTTGTCTCGCGCGATTGTCATTTTCTCCAGGAAGTCCTGGGTTTGAAGCGTCTCGCTTTCGGGATCTCGCTTCGGCTGGGCGTTATGCTGTTGGATTCTCTCCCCAACATAGCGCATAATGTATGCTCGACCGCCGGCTCCAGACCAGCTGAAGCGACTCAACGGGCCAAAGAGTCGGGGATGCCATTGAGGATAGATGCCGACCAGCGTGCTGTATGCCATCAGCTTCTGGAGTGCGTCCATGGTGCCTTCGATGTCGTGTCCTTGGTCTAGAAAGCCTACGTGGTTGTCAGTCTTTCCAGTCCTTCCCCCGTTGATCCGTCGGAACTCACCAAATCTCTGTCCAAAAGTAATCTCGCCGATGACGTCGAACGCATAACACTGGAACCAATGGCCGAGGTTGAAACCTTCCCCACGCTCCGTGAACTCGGTCAATCGCTGGGTAAAGATATCGGCGCAATGATCCACGAACTGTTCATAGTGAACCAGGGAGGTCATGGAGTAGAGGCTGGAGAACCTCTTGCGCGTTTCGGCTGCATTGCCCCTCAGCACGCTTTCTTCCGGGTTGGGCCGGGCAGCAGGCAGACTCACCGTGTCTCTTCACATCGCGGTCGGGAAACAAGGTCCACCGGTCGGGATCGGGGTGCTTCCAGCCCTCGTACCAGGCGGATTTGGCGAACTTGCTGCCGGTTCCGTAGACGGTCTTAACGGCCGCCCGGTCACTGATGCTATAGTGGTCCGGGGCGATGCGGACGACGGGGCCGTATTGACGGTGAAGGCGAACGTTGTCCTCTTCGAAATGGCCCCGACGCACGCGATCAAAGTACCAGAGCTTGGTCAGGCGAGTTACCCAGGGTCCTGGCACGGAGGAAAGCGAACGCAAGGTGAACGCTGTATGGAAGAGACGGAGCAGATGGTAGAGGAGGCAGAGGGAAGGGAGGATGAAAATGAGATACATGGTGCGAGAGAAGCCCAACGCACTGGAGGGAGGGGAACAAGTTCAGGGAGAATGGAATACGAAGCCTGAACTAGAGGGTGAGGAGTGAACCAAGTCTTTCGTTATATACTCCCCCGGGTTCCTCTGCGATACTCGGCTCAGCGATCGGCGGGGGTTGCGGTCCGCCCCCGCCCCCGCCGCCACTGCGGAGATGAGCTACGAATCAGCACCAGGCCGTGGTAATCAAGTGCGCTTCATTCAAGACATTCAAGACATTCAAGACCCATACTCCGGACCTGTTCCTTGGATCGCCAATATACATTGCATGGCCATGCATTAGACCCCGAACCCCCTCGGGGCCACCAGACAGAAAAGATGTAGAGAGAAAGACACCGAGACGACAGATTCCAACCCGCAGTGAAGCATAGTATAGCACAAGTCTCCGTCCAATCCTCCGCTAGGACGAACGATCCCCCCAGAGTCCAACGATGCCCATCGCCAGGGCCAGCCCGGAGAAAACCGCGCGCACTCGCTGGAAGCGCCGCTCCGTGTCCAGTTCCCGACGGACGCTCTCTCCGTTCACATTCTCGTCGGATTCCACCACCACGAGGTCATCCTCCTTCTTGGGCGCCGGCTTGCGGGACAGGCCCAAGAATCCCGTGTCCTGGATGAAGCTCTGCAGCCACGGCTTGAACCCGGCGGCCCGGTGAAACCAGTAGTCGACGGCGTAGGTGCCCAGGGCCGACGTCACGCACATCCAGACCAGGTAGGGATGCTTGCGATGTTGGGGGGAGATGCCGTAGGCGAAGAGCAGACAGCCGCTGGCCAGGTTGGACAGACGCAGGCCGTGTTTCCGGTTGAGCCGTTTGACTTCGTGCAGCGACCGGGCGGCATTGGCGGAGGTCGGCAGGAGATCGAGCGCAGGCACGGTGATGGCCGAGGCGGAGTAGGAAAGACCCTGGATTGCAGCGCGTTAGGTATCGAGTCGATAGAGACCTTCGAATGGGGGATGTCGGGGAGGACGTACCGTCAACAGACCCAGAGAGACGGTGCCGACAAATTTGCTGACGGTGATGGGACACGCCATGATGACGAGTGGCCGGGATTTTTTTTTTCTTTTTATTTCTTGAATCGAGAAGACGAGACAGTAGACGAGACCGAGTCGAAAGCGCGGGACGCTACCCAAAGCACGATGGCAGAGCAAAGCGAGATGGACGGATGAAATCAATGGACGGTCGGGCGAGGCGAAGAAAAAAAAGGAAACGCGAGTGACGTCGCCGGCCGAGGCCACCGCCTCAACACCAGAGACTACAGTCTATACAGAAGAGGAGGACACCGGGGTAGTCCAAGGCTACGGGTCTCTGATAGCGACCGGATGATACGGGCATCAATTATCCATTCTACTTTGACGGAATTGAAATGCTGGATGCTCAGAATACTGTGGACTGTGGCCCTTGCATCTTCTTGCATAACGGGTGTTATGCAGGGACTGAGTCATCATCACGGCACTCAGGCACTCAGGCACTCAGGAGTCAAGGCATCCAGGCAAATCGGCCTCCCTACTTTACCTTCTCCTTCTCCTTCTCCTACTTCTACTCCTCGACCAGCTGCAAATACGAGGTCCTCCGTGGCTCTTGGCCAACAGAGTTCACTCCCCTGCATCCCTCGCCTCCCTGGGCAGTACTGCGTAAGTGGAAGTAAGTCTGTCCGCCCGGAGCAACTGCTCGATCTCTCGCGCAGTCCGATGAGTAAACCGTCGGCAACTCGAAGCCGAGGTTGCTTCGGTGGGGAAACCCCGTGTCGCTGACTACTTCATCTTCATCTTCCTTTCTTCGCTCTCACCTCCATCTCTCCCCCATCCAAGTCGCCCAATTGCCGCTAGTATGTCTCTTCCTAAGTCCCAGTACCTCAGCGATACCTGGAAGGATGGTCTGTTTGGTAAGTGCTCTGATTCTGCCCGTCTGTGGATCATCATTCTTCTCCCAGACCTGTCCACTATTCCTACTACACAACGATCAATGCTGACCCCCTAACCCAGCAAAGAAAGTGGTGTTCTGCACCGGGGGTGCCGGCACCATCTGCAGTGCCCAGGTGCGCGGTCTGGTCCACCTAGGCGCCGATGCCTGCATCGTAGGCCGAAATGTCGACAAGACCGAAAAGGCCGCGCGCGACCTGGCGACGGCTCGCCCCGGGGCCAAGGTCATTGGCATCGGCGCGGTGGATGTGCGCAAGATCGAGAGTCTCCAGAGTGCCGTGGATCGCTGCGTCAAGGAATTCGGGGGCATTGATTTTGTGATGTATGTCAATCCGTCATCCCGGGCGCTCTTTGTCTGACATGCATCGTCTAGTGCCGGTGCGGCGGGCAACTTCCTCGCCTCCATCAACCAACTGTCGGCCAATGCCTTCAAGTCCGTGATAGACATCGACGTGTTGGGATCCTACAACACCCTCAAGACCACGCTCCCCTACCTGGTGGAGTCGGCCAACAAGCACAAAGTGGACTCGAAGACACGTAAGATGACATCCCGATCCCCCTCTCTCCTCCCGGGACCTGGCGCGTTCAAGATGAACTCATTTTTCCCCGTAGTGGACCCCTCGCCCCTCGGTACTGGAGGCCGCATCATCTTCGTCAGCGCAACCATTCATTACAGGACCATGCCCTTCCAGACCCACGTGTCGGTGGCCAAGGCCGGGGTCGACGCCTTGTCGCACAGCGTGGCCATCGAATTCGGTCCGCTCGGAGTAACCTCAAACATCATTGCCCCGGGCCCCGTCGCGTCAACCGAGGTGAGATCGTCCCCGGAAGAATGAAGACCTCCCAAGATCGTCAAACTAAGCGTTACACAGGGTCTGGATCGCCTGCTTCCCTCCGATGCTTTCGAAAATTATATCAAGTCCCAGCCGCTCGGCCGGGTTGGCTCCATCCGTGATATTGCTGACGCCACGGTATATCTCTTCGCCGACAGCGGAAGTTATGTCTCCGGTCAGACGCTAGTCGGTAAGTCTTTTCGCTCGCCCCCTCTTGGCTGGGATCTGGACTCTGACGGTTGCCCTAGTGGATGGAGCATCCTGGCGCATGTCTGCCGGGGGTGCGGCCCAGGGGAAGCTGAACTATCCCGATTTCCTCTTGTCGGGAGATGCAGTTCCCAACGTCAAGGGACAGAAATCGAAGCTGTGAGTGGTCGTTTTAGCGTTCGTGTTGTGAACAACCTGTACATATTCCTGTAGCCTGGACAATACCTGCGGTAACTGCTTGGATTCCCCCCGCCTTTGTATCTTTGTCTCGTTCTTTTGTCTTTGTTTGCATCTGCACTTCTCTCCGCGAAAGCGCGCGTCGAAGCAATTAAACAAAGAGTACAGATCTTAGAACAATGGCCTTGTCTCCCAGGCGGAAAGCACCAGATCCCAAACAATGACCGTATCCCCAACCATACGCTTGAATGCAGCGATAAATATCCCTCTCCCCCCGCCAGCTCATCCTGAGGTCTGACCCTGCGTTCAGCAGCCGGGGGCCTTCCGCCAAATCGACACAAGTTCCTGTTAGGTCCATTGTGCATCCCCGGCGTCAAACTGCACAGCAACAGCGCCTTTGTAATGCTCCAGCACAAGGGACAACTTGGTATAAATTAACCGGCCCGGCGTCCTCAGCCTTTCCCTGGTTGTTTTACTCAGGAATTATATACCATCACATCGCTATTTCAATCGATTTGGATTAATACACAGTAGTTCACCACCATTAACACCTTACACACTTTTACAACTTCATTGGCCGCATCTACCTTCTCAAGTATTACATCGTATTCAAACCTCACCTCTACCCTAAACCCAGAATCTAACCTTCTCTGTGAGGTACCACCGCAGCACGCAAGAACGACAAGAACCAGAAATTACCAGTGACCGCACGATGGCGCACCGGGAGCGGAGAGAGAGGGAGGAGCTCAACGATCAGCTCACGGGGCTGTCTGAGCGACTTGAACGCACCGAAATAGAATCCGATTCGCTTCGCCAGGCACTGGCGGAGTCGCGGAAGGAGGCAGAGCACTACCGAACCTTGGCGGCTGGCAACGAAGTCCGCTTCAAGGCGGCCGAGGAGGATAGGGAGCGGCAGTACGAGGAGAGCCAAAAGCACCGGGCGATGTTCGACGAGGCAATGAAGAAGGCCAGTCGGCTGAAGAGCGAGGCTCACAAGCGCGATAATGTCATCTCTGGCCTGAAGACGGACTTGTCCACCTCGGTGGAACGCACGCAGTCTCTCGAGGTCCAACTGGACGGCCTGAAAACCACCTTTTCGAAGGTCGCCGATCATGTGAAAGGCCGACAAGGCCCAAAGACAGACACTGCAAGGTTGCTGATAGACAAGATGGCGAAACTACGCAAGCTCGAAAGCCAAGTAGAGAATGACCTTTCGCGAGGAAACGAGGCAGATGAGAGAGGGCAGGAAGAAAGGCAAACCAGACCACATACTGTCACGACTCGAAGAGAAGAGCTGCGACATGACTGGCAACAGGCCGAGGAGGAAACACTAGCGGTCGAGAGACGCAGAACGCCGTCAGAACCCGATATCTTCGGATCGTCCTTGGAAGGCGAACTGGATCAACGACGACATTTGGACGACGACAACGACAACGACAACGACAACGACAACGACAACGACAACGGCGACAATAGGTCCGAATCCTCCGTCAGAACAAGACCTTCCAGCTCTGATGATTCCACAAATCTGACGGATCTGTCCGATGACAATCCAAGCCCCAAGGTGAACGTTGCCCCCAGCCCCGTTTCTGGCTTGGAGCCCAGCCCGTCGGTGCACCAGAAGCAGGAGCATCCGGAGTTCCGCCTGGATCTTTTGGAGCAAGGCGGACCTCGGAAGCGCGTTCGAATCCGTGAATATCGAGACAATACCGTGCTGAAAGAGCCCAACCCATGGCAAGTAACCAAGAAGTCCCGCCTTCCGGTGGCCCTGGTGAAGGACCTCTCGCGATGGACGCTGCAAGAAACGCCAGACAAGAAGTCGACCAAGACAAGCATGAACCAGGTCAAGTCCATTTTGAAGAAGCTCCCGGGAAACTCGCAACCCGAAAGATTCAAATCACACCGGCCCGATCGGTTTAAACGATCCAAACGCGACAAGCCGCCGGTCAGAGAGTCCTCGGCTCCCATCGAATATACGGTTCTGGTTGACCCGGCCATGGCTCAGGATACCAACATGTTTGGCACTCAAGACTCGGCAAATCGGTCTGCTATCCAGCCTACGCAGACCGGCCAGCAAAATTCTAACAGCATCCACGGGAACATGTTCGCCCCTGAAGTGCTCGCTCCTCCCAGGCCTACTGCTCCCAACGACGCCAGCACTGCCACTAGGAAAGACAACGTCAACAACCAAAATATTCCTCTCCTCCACTGGGGACCCTCGGCGACCTCGTCGAAACGACCCGTCGCCAAACCGCTGCGGAAGTACAAGGCACTCGGTGCGCCGGTCAAGGACAGTGTCAAGCTGCCTCGGATCGTGCGCAATAACTACCCAGGAGCCATATACCGTCCGACACCGTACGGACAGGGATCTTCTCGTCTGGATCTTCCCTGGGCGGCATGGATGACGAAGATGCGTGCAACCGAGAACAAGCGCCCGGCACCAGCCCAGGACAACCAGGACTTCGACTTCAACTTCGACTTGGACCTCTTCCAGCGGGGCGCGGGCACCACGGATTTACTGCCCGAGCGAAAGCGCGTCTTGCGGAAACGGCGCATCATGTTCATGCTTATGGTACTGATCTTCGTATGGTTTCTCTTTCCCAGCCCAGGGAGTATCAGCGATCGTGACATGTGGATGCAGGCCAACGACGTGCCTGGGTCGGTTCTAAGGCAAATGCGCGGCCGACCGACCATGAACTATCGATGGATGGATATTTTGGAATATGAGTTGATAACAAGGTCTGGAATTGACCGGGTGGCTATAGGATAAATGGTAATCTGGCCTTGGGTATTTGCATCGTACCGATCTAGTTGAATTAGGGCTTATGGCGTCATCCGCGGGGCTTCAACCGTTTCCATCTTTCCCTTCTCTCGCTCCTTTTCTCCCACTCTCATGCCCTCCAAATAGCTCAACTGTCCAGACCAAGATGACGGCAACGACTCATTCCGACTCTGCTATCCACCAGCCCGGTACCAGCGACGGATGGCACGGCGTCATCTCCGAACACGGCCCCTTCAAGCCAGCCGCAGGTCGCTACCATCTCTACATAGGTAAGGACACCGAATGGATGATCCGACCATGTCGCTAATAGTCTACAGGCCTTTTCTGCCCCTTCGCCCATCGGGCCAACCTGGTGCGGCACCTTCGAGGCCTCACGGGCGTCATCTCCATCTCCATCGTCAGGCCGTATCCCAAGGGCGACGCAAATGGCTGGCCGGGGTGGCGATTCCCCGAATCCGATGACGAATACGAGGGCGCCACCATCGACCACCTGTACCGTAGCACCTTCTTGCACGAGATCTACTTCAAGGCCGATGCGAATTACAAAGGCCGCTATTCGGTCCCCGTGCTCTGGGACAAGGCGACCGAGACGATTGTGAACAACGAGTCGGCGGAATTGCTGCGCTGGCTTCCCACAGCGTTTGACTCCATCCTGCCCCCGGATCCCGCGTTCAATCTGTATCCGAAGGAACTGGCGCCGCAGATCGACGAGCTTTCGCCGTGGGTGCAGTCGGATCTGAACGCCGGCGTGTATAAGGCCGGGTTCGCGGATTCGCAGGACAGCTACGATCGGGCGGTCCCGGTAGTCTTTCGCGCTCTGAATAAACTCGAGGCGCTGATCAGCCAGAATGAAGGGCCGTACATCCTCGGAAAGCAGCTGACGGAATTGGATCTACGGGTTTATGCGACGATCGTTCGGTTCGATGCGATTTACGTTCAACATTTCAAATGCAACCTGGGCATCATCCGTCACGACTATCCGGTGATACACAATTGGCTGAAGAACCTTTACTGGAACATACGGGGTTTCCGGGAGTCGACGGACTTCAGACATATCAAGGAAAATTGTAAGTGCAAGAAAACTGAATTCACCGATTGAAGTTTTGTTGACTGACGCGAAGTAGACACTAAAAGCCACGGCGACATCAATCCCAAGGCCATCACCCCGATGGGACCGATTCCTAACGTAGAATTGGGCGTTGAGGAGAATTGGAGTAAATTGCGGGTGGGTCATATTGACATCTAGGGATTCGGGCTCTCCATAATAATTCAACTATATACATACCATCACTTTTTGGAAACATTGTATCTCCAGGATAACATATCAATAACCGACGACAGAAAGATCAAGAACCTCTACCTGCGTATCGAACTACAACCCCAGAAACAAGCCCACACGCACTATCGGTGGTGATCCCCACCTAGCGGCGTTGGAAAGCTAGGACCGTAGGCCAGCTGCTCGAGGTGAATGGATTCGGCCGTATCGCGCCGGCGCTGCGGCAGGATTTGCTCGATGCTGGGATGACGAGATCCGGACTGCCGCGTCGCCTCGCCGTCACTCACGGTCGGAGCCGACGATTCGAAATCCTTGGACGCCGGCTGCATGGCGGCGCGCTCCGCCGCCACGGCGGTGTTGCATCGGTGATGAAGGGAGAAGATGGCGGTACCCAAAGCCACGATCCACCAGGAAAACATGATGGGAAGGGCGCGATGAAGCTGGCTCTCGCAGCCGTCACTCCAGATCTGGACGAGGACTTGGTAGGTCTCGTGCGCGGGGAGGGCGTATCCCCAGTGGAAAAATCCCGGGCTCAGTTCGAACGGACTGATGGTGCTGGCCACGTTCAAAATGACCCAGGTGAGAACGCAGAAGGGCATGAATTGCATAGGAACGAAGGTGGTGAGGATGTCCATGATGAGGAAGTTGATATGCATGTAGAGCCAGATGATCATCCATGACAGAGCGAAATGATTCCCGTTAACCTCCCAGGACTCCCGGAAGGACCAGATGTAGGCGACCATGCAGAGGGCCCCGACGAAGGTGTATGCGGCTGATATGCACATGCGTAGCAGCCCGTTAGCGTGCCAGCCTAGCCTAGTCAAGATCTGGAACTGGGACGAGATGCCGTTCAGGGCCATCATAAAGAAAAACTGCTGGATGATGGGCATGACGATGGACACCGTGTTGTAGAGAACTCGTGTCCCCTGCTCCGTCACTTTGAGATTGATCTCCGTGGCCTGGATTGGGTCGAGGAGAGCCTGCAGCGCAGTCGGACTGGTCAGGTTGGTGAATGGAAGCACCTCGGACGCATTCCTTGCGTAGTACATCGAGCGGGTTGCGGCGAACAGGGTTTGTAGGCTGGAGTAGACGGCACTCATGGACATGGCGGGATATCGGGCGCCGTTCCAGACGTAAGTGAGAGCGCTGTCACTGTTGTACAGGGCCTGGTCACCTTGCAAGGCCGACGTAAGGTTCGATGACGCCTGGGAATTGGCATACACGGCACCCCAGTAGTCTCCGCTGCAGACCGCCGCCCTTACCTCCCGAGGAGTAGGGAATGCTGCGGCGTCGGAATGCTGCAGCGTCGGGAAACTGTCGCCTCGAAGATTGGCATATGCATCGAGCACGGACTGGCCCACAGCACCGCCATCGTAGTCCACATATAAAATCTTCATGTTGTGGAAGCGAGTTGAACTCCGGAACTGGGTCGCATAGAGATAGCACATATTGGCAAGGAACAGGATCTGGAGCAGGACAAAGCTGCCCATCAGGGCCGAGGCAAATTGCTTACGGATCCCCATCTTGGATAGCCGGAGTCGATGTAAGTCGCAGTTCTTGCGGTGGTGTAAGTTTCGACAAGGAGCGTCGGGGAAATGACTTTTGATATATATATATATATATATATATATATTCATGGCAGTATCATATATACTAGACCATCAGCTATCGGGTTAAGGGGGTTCGGCATGTCGGAAGCCGAACACCGACCACAAGGTACTGGGGGAGAGAGTGTGGGTGGGTTGACCCTCATATCGAAGGGATTTAAAGCAGAATCGTTCCATCGTCGACATGAACGGATCCTCCACACTATCGCACTAGACCGGATGCGGGCTAGCGCGCGAGCTTATCACGGCGATCCCCCGCTGAGTCAGCGGAAGGCGTTCCCCGGCAGCCGCAGATGCGCACGGGATTTGTGCGCGAATTATGCCGGGGCTGAAGGCCGAGTACGAGTACGACTGGGCCCAGGGGCCGCTGAAACTGCAGGTGTGACGGCGATCGACGATGGACTGTCCGGATGGTCCGGGACGGAGGGCTGACTCCGTAGAGCGTACCTAGAGGACACTCTGACCTGGAGACAGCCTGCTCACCCACAGATGCCTTGACAAACCACGCGACGCCGCACAAATCCAGCGGCGGAGGATGGTCTGCGCCAGATGCCTGAGGGCCTGAGGCCGGCAGACGGTCTATTCCGGGCATTCACGTGACCAGCCCAATCGGGGCTCCACGCGTGATGCGTCCGCTAAGCCCGATCGGGACAAGCGCCGAGTAGCCGCTGCGTCACCTGCTCCGCCCGGTGCCGGCTGGAGCCAATCAGCGCGGGCCCTGCCACCCCTTCATTCAATCCGGACTTCCAGTCGCCCCCTCCGTCTCGCTTTCTTTATCGCCGCTACTTCTTCATCATCTTCATCTGCTGCTTCATCATCGGGACCTATCCACTCGACTATCTCCCTGCTCTTCTGTGAATCTACACTGGTCTCTCGTTTATCTCTCGCGGTCCTAGCATCGTCGTAGGTACCATTTGCAGTTTCTCGCCACCATGATCGTCCGTCCGTTCCTGGTCGGGAGCGCCATCGCTCTAGGCGCCAACGCCTTGCTCGTCGTCCCCGAAGCCGAAGCCGACGCCGTCGCCCCTCTCGACGACTTGAGTCTTCGTCCGTTGGAGTCGTTGGCGGCCAGCCAGCAGGAGGTGGTTCTTGGCTGCACCGAATGTCCGTTCCGCGAGGTCGACGACAGTGGGAAGGTCAGCTGGACTGATGGCTTCGAAACATCTCTGGTATGTGCACCGCCGAGGGGAGGATGGTGGAATCTGCTCCGCTTGGAGAACGTCCTACTGACCGGATGCAGTCGTTGAACTTCTCGGTGGAAAATGGATTTTTGCTGGCCAACGGCCGCCCCATCTTCCCTCCCCCGCCGCCGACTCACCTCACTGCCGTTCAGCGTCGCCTGTCCGACGGCGAGGAGTCGGATCCCATTCAGCTCGGATATGCCGTGGAAATGATGCCGCTGCCGACTCCCCCCGACGAGCCCATGGACATGGTCGCCGTCCGCTTCACCGTACTCGATCTGGATGGCCATCCCGTTCCCCTCGACACCGTGGCCCTCCACCTCGTCCACGATTCGGCCGCCAACCTGTTCCTGGCGAAGGCTACCATCGAAGAGACCACCCCGTCTCGCGTGTCTTGGAGGCAGTGCCGGGGTAAGCCCAAGTGCCTGAGACGGCTCTTGTTCGATCGTATCCGCGCTCTCTTCCACGCCGCCCGGACTCGCGTGCTGGGACTCGGCGGGCCCCGTCCGCACTGCGGAGGCCGGCCCCATGGATTGGGACATCCTCCCTTCCCTCCTCACCACGGCCCCGGTCCGGAAGAGCCCTGGGCGGAGGGCGACATGGAGCGTCCTCCTCGTCCTCACCACCATCATCACATGCACCACGGCCACTGGGAACGTACCTTCTCCCGCGTCGTGCGCTTCATCGTCGTGCCGGCTATTCTGGGCGTGTTGGCCGGACTGGCTGCCAGCGCGCTGGGCATGCTGGTCGGCCAGGTCGTCGTCTTCCTCTGGCAACGCTACCGCCGCTCCGGCTCCAAGCGCTCGGCAGAACAAGGTAGCGTGGGCGAAAAGCAGGGCCTGATGACCGAGGCGTCGGATGAGCTGCCTCCGGCTTACAGCGACGAGGAGATGGCTCCCGAGACGGTGCCCGCGGACAAGTCTTGAGGCGTGGCATCTTTTCTTTTTTTCCAAGAACGAATTGAATAGGCTCGACCGTAGGATTTTGGCCGAACCGGACCAGGCAAACCGGGAATTGGGACAGAATGCGTACCTGGGGGTCTTTTTCTGGTTGTGTGATTGATTGACATGATGCAAGAACTTTTCCTCCTTCCTTTACAATGTATTTCGGGTTTACGTTTGTTTCATTTTCCTCCAGCTACGGCGAAGTTGTCTGTAGACAATTCCATAATTAATAAAAAAAAAACAATTAAATCAAAAAAGGGCAACGACGTCACGATTTCTCCGAGCGCAGGCCCGTCACGTGCGGCCCCAGGCACGAGGCGCGACCGCCTTCAGGCATCCCATTTGATGCAATTCCCCTCTCGCTCTCCCTCCCTCTCTCTTACTCTCTCTCTCGTATCCTCCTCCCTCTCGTTTTCTTCCCTCGTCTGCCATCCACCACCCCTCATCCAGCATGTTGTCTCGGTCTTTACGATGATTCCGGTCTCTGTCGTTCTCTACCCGTGCGCTTCCGTACATGCTCGCCGTCCGACTCTGATTCGCTCCGTCTGAGCTCAGCTTCTGCCGGGCTCGGCCATCAATAATCAATCAGCCTTACCAGCCACTCCTCACCTCCGCTAGGCCCCCATTTCCACACCACAGTCGCCAGGGCAAGAGACTGCCTCTCGAGCTCGTCTCGTCACCATTCCTTCTCATCGCTCATCGGTGCCCCCCTGGTGGAGGCTGCCTATTCCCCGACCGGCACCATGATGCAATGGTCGTCCTTCGTTCAGAAAGCCCAGTCATTCATTGACCCGGCCAACTTCAATCTTCCTACCCTCACCTCCACAGATCGCAATCCCTCGAAAGCCTCCTTGTTCCGCCAGCAATTTCGCCTGCCCGACTCTCAGAACCCGTTGCAGGAAATCACCGCGGAACTGGTCCTCCCGATCCCGCATACCTCCTCTCCGACCGGCCAAGGGGGCGCGTCGCGCAATCTCGACCGCGCGGGTAACCGATATGCGGGGCGACTTCACCTCAGTGAGCGATATATATGTTTCTCCACTCAACCGACGAGCTTTGCGCCCTCGGCCACTCTGGGGGCGTCTACTTACTGGGCCGGCCAGACCAACGGCACGGGCCCGTCAGGAAATGGCTTCACCATTCCGCTGTGTTGCATCCGCCGGGTGGAGCGGCTCAATAGCCTCAGCCACGTCTTCTCCCTGGCACTGACGACGTGGAACGGCGCGCTGGGGAAGCAGCAGAGCTCCGGCTTCGCCCCACAACGCTTCACCATCCAGCTGGTCGGGAGCAGGCAGGCCTGTGAACGTTTCTGTGATGGCCTGAAGAAGGGACTGCGCGAGGGCATGAAGGAGATTGAAAACCTGCGAGTCGTGGTGAATGATTGCTACTCGGAATACCTCCTTTCCGGAGCCAAGTCTAAGGGCCAGGATGGAGAAGGCTCGGAGGTGCACCAGCCACCCGATGCCGGGCTGGGAATGATCTTCCGCTACCCCGGCGATGCCCGCAAACTTCGGGATCGAAGTAAAATGAGATTGTGGGGCGAATACTTTCGAGGTACGACCTGCCGATCCCTTTCCCCTCTTCACTTCCAGAGCGTGTGTTAACTCCCTCGATCGCACCGGCAGAAAATGGCCGCAATGCGACTCTCATTCGGCAGCCCACTTTTCACAAGCTGATCCGCGTGGGACTTCCCAACCGTCTCCGCGGTGAGATCTGGGAGATCTCCTCGGGGTCGTTGTATCTTCGCCTGCGGTCTCCCAAGTTGTACACAGAGACGCTCTCCAAATTCTCCGGGCAAGAATCCCTCGCGATCGATGAAATCGAAAAAGACCTGAATCGCAGTTTGCCGGAGTATGCCGGATTTCAGAGCGAGGAAGGAATCGGACGGCTTCGACGAGTGCTCACGGCCTACAGCTGGATCAACGCCGAAATCGGCTACTGCCAGGCTATGAATATCGTCGTTGCCGCTCTATTGATGTATGATGCCATTGGGTTTCTTGCGCCATGACTCGGGCTACCGGCGCTGACACGTTCTAGATATATGTCCGAGGCGCAAGCCTTTTTCCTTCTTTCGGTGCTATGTGACCGTCTCCTGCCGGGTTACTATTCGACGACCATGTACGGCACGTTACTCGACCAGAAAGTTTTCGAGTCCCTGGTGGAGAAGACGATGCCGGTTCTGTGGGATCATCTCGCCAAATCCGACGTTCAGCTTTCGGTCGTCTCCTTGCCGTGGTTTCTCTCCCTATACATAAACTCGATGCCGCTGGTATTTGCGTTTAGGGTCCTCGATGTGTTCTTCCTGGAAGGACCCAAGGTCCTTTTCCAGGTTGGCCTTGCCATTCTCCGCGTCAACGGCGAGGAGCTGTTAGATATTCAGGATGACGGGTCCTTCATCTCCGTATTGAAATCATACTTCTCTCGCCTGGACGAGTCCGCTCATCCGCGATCCGAGAACCCCAAGCTGCGAGCGATTACTCGCTTCCAGGAACTGATGGTGGTGGCTTTCAAGGAGTTTTCCGGCATCACCCATCAGACCATCACAGAACAGCGTGACAAGCACAAAGATGCGGTGCTGGAAAATATCGAGAGTTTTGCCAAGCGAACCTCCATCCGGAATCTTGGGCCGGAAAGCAAAAAGTTGAGCATGGACGACCTGGGTGTGATCTACGACCGGTTCTACGAGGTTCTCTACGATCGGCAACAACGACAAAAGCTCTTGGACGAGGAAAAGAAGCGCCAGGAGAAGAAGCGAATCGAGCGCACTTCGATCTTAGGCCCTCCGGTGGACCGGGAAGTAGGTCGCGTTGGTCTGGGCCCCAGTCCGACTCACATGGACTACGACGCTTTCCGCGACTTCCTTGCTGGCACGGCCAAGTGGGCGGTGGGCGACACGCCTGGACCTTCTCGCAAGCAATCGTCGGGCGATCTCAGCTTGAACAGTCTCAGAGGGTTTGGGAAGTCTGCCGCGTCGTGGAACAAGCAATCGGAACCCGCCGATCATGAATTCATGCAGCGTCTGTTCCGGAAATGGGCCACGGATCCATCCGAGGGACTCAGTCTGCAGAACGTGGTCAACGGACTGGCGCGTCTCAAAGGACCACGCGATATCATGAATAATATCAACTATTTCTTCGACTTATATGATGATCACGGCAATGGCCAGGTAGATCGCGAAGGGATTCTAAGAATCTCCGAGGCATTGCTTTTCCTTTCTCGTCGCGGCTTTGACGGCACGATTAAGGCGACCCAGTCTATCGAGGAGCTTGGTGCTGCCAATGACCGTGAGCACCCAGATCATGACCGGTTGAGTACCGATGAAAAGTTCCTGGGAAGTGTCAGTTCGTTCATTCGCCGGTGCTTCGAGTATGCCGATCCCAGCAAACCGGAGGAAACGGAGCCGGAGAAATCCACAGACACGGAGGAAGCAGCGGACAAGCTGGGCTCATTCAGCATCGGAGAAGACGAGGAGGACTTGATCGACGTGGGCGAGGCAAAGACCGAGCCGCCCTCAGGGAACGACAGTCCCGAGGAGCAAACGAAGAAATCGGCCTCCGAGCCCCATACGCAAAGCACATCTGAAGCAGCAAATCCCGCCCTAGATCCCAACAACCCTCTACATATCACCCTCCCCACCTTCCGGATGGTCATTTTGGCCGACGAATTGCTCGAGCAATTCTTTGACTCCTTCTTCCCTCAGTCCTTCCGTCTTTCTGATCACCCGCACCCTGCCTCTGTCGCCAGTTCTCTCTCTTCGAACCTCACAACCTTTTCCAACATCAACGCCGCCAAACCACATGTTAGCGCGGCGTCGGGCGCCTCCGTTGCAGGCGCGTCGGGAGGCATCGTGCCCCCGGGCAAGGGTCTTCGCGGTGTTCTGGACAACATCGTCACGGACGGCATCCGCATGGCTGCCGAGGTCAAGAAACGAATGGACGAGGCGCAACGCGAGTTGGAGCGCAACGCACTCAGCCGCGAGGAGGACGAAGAAGAGGAGGACGACGACTACGACCCTCGTAATAGTTCGTCTACCCCCGCCATTGTGGGTGGCATCTCGAGCTGGGGAGCTGGCGCGTACGGCGCCGACCCCGAACGCCGCAGCGTCCGCGAGGCAGACCGTGATCTTCTGGAAGGGGCCGAGGTTGTCAGTATCCACAAAAAGGACGAAACCTCCCTCTTGGACGAGAAGGAGGGACACCAACCCGGTCCCTCAGAGGCTGGCAATAGTGGTGATGCCCAGCGGCAGCAGCATGCCCACAGCGATGTCAGTAAAGTTGAGTTCGAGTCATAAAGCACTACATCCGGCACATTCTGAGTGGGCTGAAATATTGCCTGTCGCAGCTCACTACTTCCCGCGATCCTGTTTCTTTTGCCTTCATTTTATTTTTTTTTTGTGATATTATCGCCCGACTTATACTGCACGCACGCCATTATATCTCCCATCCTAGACCCTCTTTTGTTTGCCTAGCCTGGTTTTCCGTTCTATCAGGAAGACCGATCGATGTATGTATGTACCGTTACGAACCGGAATTTCTAGAACTGTAGATTTTCTCTTCTGGGCGCCGCCTGTCTTGATCATTGAGGATCTCATCTCATAGATCACGACTTTGTATTCACCAAGTAAGCCTCTATTCTGCTCCTATGTAGTACCCGACTCCATTGACACATTGCCCCACGTTTGCAAATGTTCGACGTGCACGATTAGACAAAATATTTAAGTATGGTTGACCATTCGTCAGCTATATCAATCAACCCGGAGCAATCGAGGCACACTTCAATCCCTAGACTATATTCGGGGGCTCGTCTGCTGAAGTCGGCCTAGAAAGTTCAGAGCGTATGCGCTGTCAGGGAAATCCCAAATTCATCCTACAGAGCGCTGTTCTCATCCATGTGTAAATAGAGGAGTCTTTGATATCGAACATTCCGTCACTCATTTCGCCCCGGCTCGCCAGGTAGAGTACAACCGCTTCGGAACACAGCTTGTTATGGGGGTCAATGTTTGATACTCAGTTACCATGAAAGACACAAGTCTGTGCACATAAGCGCAGACAATAGAGAAGAAAGATAAAATAAAATGTACTATCCGTGGAACAAAATTATGTACAAGGGGGCAGTAGCCAAATCTTTCAAGATCTATACCGTGATATGAAGCAAATACAATCCAATATAGCCAAAAAGAAAAGAAAGCGGGAAAGAAAAGCGGGAAAGAAGAAATCAGAAATAAGAAACCTAGCAAGGAAGGAGGGGGTATAAAAGTTAGGGAAAGAATAAGAAGACATCGACCGATAAGCCAACCGCGAGTTCTGATCAGGACTCGAAGAAATTGCAGTGAGATGCTTGGCATGAACGGGCGCGGGTATAGATAGACATCAAAGTAAAAAATAATAATAAAAAAAAAAAAAAAAAAGAATGAAGAGGGAAGGGAAGAAATGAGAGGGAAGGGATGGAGATAATTCCGGAAGACATGCAGCAGAAGCACGCAAGGCAAGGACTCCAGATCAATCTTTCTGGTCCTCGTTCTCAATCAGTTCGAGAATGATCAAACTTCGTTCGTGCTCGGGGTGCTGCATGCAGATCTTGACCGTTCGTCCGCTGCTGGCCATGGAGCCGCCGTTAGACAAGCCGCTGGACAAGTTCACGGCACCGCCTGCAGAGGTGGGGACACTGTTGGCTCCGGAACCAGGCATGCTGCTGCCGTCGTCGAGGAGAACGACGTTATGACCCGGGATGACCTGACGCAGACGTCCATTCATGGCATTGCGGACCTCGACAAAGTCTTCATTGAAGAGAATCAAGAATTTCCCGTACAGACAGGCGGAATGAGACCGTCCCACAAATTCCATGACCACGCTACGGGAGACGTCGCCATGCTTGTTCACGTACACAGCACATTCGGTATAGACAACGAGGAACTCGCTGTCGCTCAACCGGAACATGCCCAACGGCCGGAGGTTGCTGATCCGAGTGGCAATGCCGGTCAGATGGGCCTGCGCCTCCGGAGCCTCCGATCGGAAATCCGGGACCGACCAGGTCTGTTTCTTGTCAAGCGTGAGGATCTCGATTCCGCGCTGGGTGGAAATTGCTAGCGAGGAATGGAACATGTTGATGCCGTAGCTTTCGGCCGGGATGTAGAACTCGTCAAACTCGCGGAAGAACTCCGTCTGCGAGCGACGAGAATGGAAGAAGCGCGTCTTGCTGGAGGACGATTTCTGCAGGACTGGTTCCATAACCTGGATGGGGGAGGGGCTGCGTTAGCGACTCGGATTCACAGATCACACCAAAACGGCGCATCAGACATACCTTGAACGTGGACGACAATCCATCCCGTTTCTTGTACATGACCAGGGTACGATCCTTCATATGGCCTGCAGCGAAGAAACCCACTTCTCGGTTCCCCGAGAGCTTTTGCGGTGCGCGTCGGGCAGAATCGCTGGTGGTTTGGTTTTGGACGCCGCTGGCAGGGCATACCACGTCCAGATGGTAGGCGATCAAGGACTTGTCAGCGATAAGAAGTAAAACGTTGAATTCCTCAAAGACGGCGATCTGAGTCACGCGTACAATCGGGATCGCCTGAGACAAGTTAGCATGGTGGTCCCGAAGAGTCCACGACGGAGTTATCTGGGTCAAGGAAGCATACCCGAATCCAACCCCGAGGGTCATTGTAATCGGAGATGTAGACCCCATAATCGGTGCCGATGGCACACATCATTCGACCGGGAGGCTGTTGAAAAACGGTAGCACAGTGGACGGCCGTCCTGCAGACTGGTTGAGGCCGGGGGCTGGCCGCGGGATACCGCAGCTCGACTTCCTTGATGGCGCGGTCTAGGGGGGTGCCGTCGATGGTGACCGACCTCGAGGGCGAGAAATCCGAGTTGGCAAAGGCCGTGTCCGCCAGCACACGAAGCCGGAAGGGCTCGGCATTCTGGGTGTAGAGGGCGGCCGCATGCTTCGTCTTCGCCTCGGTGATCTTATCACACCAATCCTGCCGGCTCTGGGCAGAAAAGGCGTAGAGGATGTACGTGCCCGCGTTCCCCAGGTGCTTGATCTTGAAGGGGTAGAGGATCTTGTCGTCCTTGGAGTTCTCCAGCACCGTGGTGGGCACCAGCGCCGACGTGCCGCCGGCGGCGTAGGGAGAGGGCACGGCACCGGTGCCTCGCGTGGCGGCCTGGGGCGGCGTCACCGTCGCGACGCCACGCACCGACGATTTGACCACCGGATCCTCGTTGGCGCTTTCCAGGACCAGGAGATCCATGGGGATGGGCAGCTTGGAGACGTCGTAGCTCTCGTATTTGACGGTGCGCGAGGGGTCCCGGGCCGTGACGGCCTTGGCCAGGACCAGGTAGTGATCGAGGAGGATGGCATGGGTGTCCACCAGGAAGCGGGTGCGAGTGCCCGGTCGCTGCAGGTCGCCTCGGAAGATGATCTCGCGGCCCAGATGCTCCAGGTTCAGCTCGACCTCATTCTTCATCTCCGGCCGCAGCTGCAGCTTGGACGACAGCTCCATCAGGTCCACCTTCTTGCTCATCTCGCCGACCTTGTTGTCACACTCCAGCGCGACCAGCTTGATCTCCTCGATGGCCTGGGCCACGTTGGCCTTCTCCTCGCTATCCTTCAGCATGTTCTTGTGGACGGTGGAGAGCAGGAGGGTGTAGCGCTGGATCCGCGTGATGGGGGCCTTGAGGTAGGTGTCCCAGCTGAGCCGGTTCGAGAGCTTGTGGTCGCGAGCCTGGTTCAGGAATTGGCGGAAGTGGATGTTCCGCTCGGCCTCCTTGCGCACCAGGTAGTTGGCATGGGGAAAGGTGGCGGCGTAGTCGACGTAGACGGACTTCGCCTTGCGGATCCACTCGCGGAAGATATCGCTGAAGCCGACGATGAAGGGACCCTGCTCCTTCTGGCGGTACTTGAGCTGCGCCAGCAGGTGGTCCTCGTTGACGCGCTTGACGGAGTCGACCTTGCCAAAGACGTCGTGCAGGAACTTGTTCAGGCGCTTGGGCGGGATGATGGAAGGCTGCATGCTGAGCAGCTGGTCGCGGTAGAGATCGCGCAGCACGTCTAGCTGGCCGATGAAGGAATCCTCGGTGGTCACCACCTCGTGCAGGTTGTTCTGGCGGTCGATCTCCTTCTTCGGGTAGGGCTCCCAGACCTCCTTGGGGACCTTGTAGAACGTCACCCAGTCCTCGGCCTTCTTCTGCGGCTCCATTATCTGCGCCTTCAGGTTCACCTTCTTCAGGGTGCGCATGCAGTGGTAGGAGTAGCAGCGGCCGAAGGCCTCGCCTTCCTGCTCGTGCAGCAGGGACGAGTAGCAGCCGGTGCCGGTAATCTGGAAGAGCACGCCCGAGAGAGAGCCGGGACCGAACTTGACCCACTCCTCCTCCTTCACCAGGGCCTCCTCGGCCAGCATGTTGGCGACGACGCGGGCGGCCAGCGTCTCGGCGTCGGCCATGTTCATGGTCGGCACCTTGTGGGTGAAGAGCGCGACGAGGGCCTCGACGATGGCCTGCTCCTTCAGGTCGGTCTCGTCCTCGCTCAGCTCGCGGATCCAGGCCAGCACGGCGCTCAGCGCCCAGGGCTCGGTGCAGCGGCGGAACTGCTCCGAGCTCAACTTGGTCGGGTTGAACTTCTTGCGACGGCCGGCGGGGATGGTGGGCAGGTCCAGGGCCATGGCGGCCGCCGTCTGCGCGTCCAGCTGCAGCGAGCCAGATTCCGGGCGCAGCGACAGCAGCTCCTGCTCCTGCTGCTGCTGCTGCTGCTGCCGGTACTTGGCCCGATCAGCGTCGGTTTTGGACCTGATAGGGGGGTCAGTACGCGGTCCAATCGGATGGCTCGACAAGGACGTCGACCGTGGAACTTGAGAGGAGGCGGACACGGTCGGCCTGTACGAGTCTGCAGCAACTGGGAGGTAGGAGGGAGTATACTGTGAAGCCGATTGCCAGTCCTCTTGCTCCGCGTGCCGGTACGTGCCGGCCGGCATCAGATGCGGCATCAGGCGCGCGTTGTTCGCCGGTTCCACAGGTGCGGGAGGCAGGGGTCGCATGCCCGGGTGAAAGAACAGATCCTCGGGCTCGTCGCCACGCTCCGATCCCTCGCTGTCCGAATGCTGCGAATGTTGGATGGGCGGCGTCTCCGCCTCCTCACCGTAATCGAAGCTCATGCGGCGCCCGTACGCCCCCGGCTCCGACAGGCCGCCCGTGCCGCCGGCGTCCACGCGCGCGTGCGAGGGCAGCGGCTGGAAGGGGTAGGCGGCGGCGGCGCGATCGTCGTCGGCGACGGGCGGATAGTCGTAGTCGTCCGAGTACTCGGCCCGATCGTCGGACGATACGTTGGAGCTGCGCAGCGAGCCGGACGTGGCCATGAGGCGGTCCCGGTCAGGGCCGTTTGCCGCCGGCACCGCCTCGTCCCGATGATATCCCATCTCGCCGTACTGGGAGCGTCGATAGCCGGCACCATATAGGGCGCCGTCGTCCGGCCGGGTGTCCGGGTGTGGCGAGGCGGCGCCGCCGGACGGATGCGATGCGTAGGCACTGATGATCGAGGCGTTGGTCTCGCGGCGAGATCGTTCCTGCAGCCGCTCGGCCTGCGCCTTCTCCTCCTCGTCCGCCATCTGCAACATGGCCAGTCCGGCGGCCGCCTCGGCGTCGCTGTCGTCGCTGTAGGCGTCGTAGTTGACGTACTGGCCCGTGCCCGTCGCCATGTTCCCATTGGTGTGCGTGTGACGCTCGTCGGGCGACAGGCGCAGGCCGGTCGCGTCGTGCTGCGCTATCTCGCCATCGCCCCGGAAGGGGTTGTGCTGCGTGTCCACGTGGAGGGGTCCAATCCTCTGGCGCATGGCCCCGGACAGCGGACGGTCAGCGGCCTGGAAATCGTCCGCCGCGTCGTCGAACGGCGAATGGCCGGCCCCGTTCGTCCTCGAGGTACTAGCGGCGTCGGCGTCGACAGGAGGCCCGGGCAACGGCCGGGCCTGCGGATGCCGGGTCAAGGTCTCGGCGCGGCGCGGCGAGTGTGGCGAGTGCGGCGACTGACTATGCTGCGTGGGCGGCGTAGGAAGCGAGCGGCCGGAACCTGGACGGGTGAAACTCAATCGCTTGCGAAAGGGGTCGTCGCCGGCAGTGGCATGAGCGGGCGGCGGCGGCGGCTGATCGTCCCCGACGGCGGCAGCGATTGTGCTCTCCGAGCGACGAGGTGACTGAGGCAGGTAGGGGGAGTGACCGGTCGAGTAGGCCGTCGAGCCGAGCCCGCCCGCGGCCAGGGCTCCTCCAACGGCATAGGCAGCACTGGGGGTGGACGGCGAGCCCAGGGGATACGCGGACGGCAGCGTCGACTGCGGGGCAGAGAATCCGTAGGAGCCGGCCGGGGGTGGACGTCCTCCGTAAGGATGCTCGGTGCCCCGGGGCGGCGGCGGCGGCGGCAGGTGTGGATGTGGCGGGGGGTAGGTCAGGGGCGTCGGAGGAGCCTGCGAGTAGGCGGCGGGATTGTAAGGCTGATGGCCGGCAGCAGCGCTGCCCCCGGCCGAAGCGGCGGCGTAGGCACTGCTGCCGGAGCCCGAGTAGGCCAGCGGATTGTAGCCCAGCTGCGACGGGGTGGACGGGACGGCGTACTGCTGCGGGTTGTAGGCGGGCTGGGTGGGCGAGGCCAGCGTCGAGGTATACTGATACTGGTAGGCGGAGTGCGAGGAGCCCCGACTCCGCGGCACCTGGGGCGACGTGGCCGCGGGGAGCTGGGAATACCGGGGGTCAGCCCGGCCGTAGCCCTCGGCAGCCCAGGCGCCGTATTGACCGTTGGCGGCGTCGGCGGAGCGAGCGTTGTGGGCAGAGAGGGCGGCGTCGTCGCCGACGTCGTAGCTGGGCATGCGGCGCAGCGGCGGATTGTGGTTGGAGGCGTAGCGGGCAGGTTGGGCGGCGGACGAGGAGGGACTATTTGGCTGGCCATAGACCGGATGGCCATTCTGATAGTGAGCCATGCTGACGGTCGGCAGGCGAGGCAGGCAGGCGAGGCTCGGGGGAGGGAGAAAGCGAAGACGAGAGAGGCTCAACAGCGGCCAGGGTCAAAAAAAGCCCACGTTCACTTCATTCCACGGTGGGGAAATCAATCAATAATAAAGTGGAGATGCGAAGGGCGGCAGAGCGAGTCACGTCGAGGGGGTAAAGAGCGGCATTCGCGAGGAGGGAGATGAAGGGAGTAGAAAAGGAGGAAGCGAGAGAGAGAGAGAGAGGAAGAGGGAGATGAGAAAGAAAGAAAGTGGGTGGACTGAAGAGACCGAGAAGAGAGGAGAAGGAGAGGAGAAGGAGAGAAGGGAAGAGAAGAGAGAGAAGAGAGAGAAGAGAGAGAAGAGAAGAGAGACGGTCGAGTCAGGAGGATCCGGCAGAGCCGCACCTTCGCCTTTCCGCTTTGCGTCTTGACCACTTTGGAGTCTTCGTTCTCTGGCGATTTGGCTCTTTGTCTTTGCTTTCTTTTCTTCCTTTTGGTCGCTCGTAAATGCCCCGATTCAGGCCGCAACCCGGTCGGGACTCGCCGGTGACTTGCGCTGCCGGGCGGCCACCCGCGGCAGCGGCGGTACCCCGGAAGTACCTGCAGGCAGCGAGGCAGCGAGGCATGAAGGCATGAAGGCATTCGTTTCAGACTCAGGCACCCAGGCACCCAGGCATGAGAACCGAGGCATTCAGGCATACAGGCATACAGGCATTCAGGCATGCAGGCATGCAGGCATCGGCCTTGGATGGTTTCATCTTCAACAGTCCGTCTTCTTTCTTCTTTCTTCTTTCTTCTTCCTTCTTCCTTCTTTCATCTTTCATCTTTTTCTTGCTTCCATCTCCGTCGCTTGAAAGACGTCCCGAAAGCCAATTCCATTGTCTTTTGTCATCCACAATCCATCATCCATACGACTCCGAACTAAACCCACTCTCAATCCTCTCCATACTCAATCTTCCCCACCCCCTTCTACACGCCTACTGCTATCCTTCATGCGGGGTGCCAAGATCCCCCCCGGAAAGTCGGTTGAATGTTCAATCAATTCCTTCGCCTCTGCCTTCTTCACCCCGTCGGAGAATTGCGATATCTGGATGCCCCGTCCGCGATCGGCAGCTCCCCTCCCTTACAGAGCTTCATGCTCCTGCCTCGCTGAGGGGAACGCCGGACAATTTTTGCATCGCCTCGCCTTGGCGATTGCATCATGCCACGACTCGATGCCCGCCGACGCATGCTATAAATATGCCTCGGGGGTGCGTCCTCCTCATCGCCTGCATCACGATCCCAGACATCAAGACTGCCCGCGACGATGAAGACCCTTGCGACCTGCATGACGGCCCTCGTGGCCCTGGCCCCCTTGGCCCTGGCCATGCCTCGACCCTCGACTGGCGCCCTTCGGAAGAAGGCCGATGCCGACAAGGTGGGCTACCTGGGGGTCTACTGGACCACCGACGACGAGAGCGTCTACTTTTCCCTGAGCGACAACGACGCCCCCTTGGATTTTGAGACCATCAACGGTGGCAAGCCCGTCCTGTCGCCCACCCTGGGCTCTAAGGCCATTCGCGACGCCTCCATCATCGCCGGCGTCGGCGATGACGCCGGCAAGTACTACATCATCGGCACCGACCTGGATATCGGATCGGTAAGTCAGCCTCGGGGACGGTCAGTCGATTGGATGGGAAGACTGACGAAAGCAGACCAACTGGGGGGATGCCGTGCGGACGGGGTCGCGCGGAATCTTCGTCTGGGAGAGCACCGATCTGGTCAACTGGACCGACGAGAGATTGGTGACGGTCGAGGACGAAACGGCCGGCATGGTGTGGGCTCCGGACGCCGTGTGGGATGCGTCTCAAGGTATGCTCCTTGGATGGGAACGCCGTGATGAGGACCTGTAATGAGGCTGACGACGACAGAGCAATACCTGGTGCATTGGGCATCCCAATTTGTAAGTTCTCATCTCTCATGCGCCGGATCCGGCTGCGAAAGGATATCCAGCTAACGAGGCTGATGCGTAGTATGCCTCCGACGACCCGGACCACACCGGGGATCCGACGACCACCCACGTCCTTCGTTATGCATATACTAGCGACTTCCGCACCTTCGGCGAGCCCAAGACCTACATCGATCATCAGACCAGCACGGTGATTGACCTGGCCTTCCTGCCGGTCGATGACGATACTTTCCTGCGCTTCTACGTCGACGGCAACACCACGAGCCCCGTCGTGGAAGTGAGCAACGACGGTCTCTTTGGCGACTGGGCCGCGCCGACGGGCAGCGTGCGGGACAGTGCCAGCTACGAGGGACCGTATGCCTTCTGGGACAACGTGGAAGAGGGCAAGGCGTATCTGCTCTGCGACCGAGTCGGCAGCAGCCCCGGAATTGCGGCGTGGGAATCAACCGACGTAACCTCGGGCGAGTTTGCCAGAGACTCGTCCAGCGATTTGACCTTTATGAGACATGGATCCGTGCTCCCCGTCACGCAAGAGCAGTACGACGCCTTGTCAGGTCTCTAGCTGTCAGAACAGATATAACTTGAATTCATCCTTGTCTACGCCACGCGCGGAATACCCGCGATGCACAAATGGCCCAGAGAAACCCATATTGCATCCCTTAAGACTATGCATAAGCGCAATCAGATCTGGCCTATACCCCAAGGTTTTGCCTGGCCGCTCCACTGGAGTTTTCATAGAAGACCGTTCTCTGTGTTCATATCGAGACTCAGCTCCGAGCGTTTATTCGCGACGTCCTAAAGCGTCGTGCCTTTCGTGGTCTGCCCCTGTAGTGTCAATGGACTGCGGGTTTGACATATAAATTTATTCAAATTTGAATTCTTGTTTCTATTTGTGTATTTGCGAGGAAGAACTAACGAGGACTGGTGGAGACGGAGAGGCGCGAATAGTCCACCCAAGTGTCCAAAACCGACTATCGAATATCTATCGATCGAACCCAGGTTCACCAACCCTTTGAGGCTTCGAGTCAGGGACACGAGCCCAACCAATACACGGATCAACACGGGGGAAGACGATCACTTCCTGCGCCGTGCTTAGTGGCATGAAGATCGCGAAAAGTTGCGGAACGCAATCTAAATAAGATCCACTCGGTGAACTCCCGAGCGGACCGGGTCGACGATGACTTCGGGAGTTGAGTTGTCTGTCTCTCAGATGGAGTGAACATGGACAGTCAATCATCACTGTCAATGGGGTCAACGGTAGCCTTTTGTTCCTAGGGAGGTGGACAGGTGTCGGGTAGGTCTCACGGAGATATAATCCAACATCGACCGTCGTGGAGACATCGACCTGGAGGCCCAATGAGACTTCAATGGAAACCATGTTGTTTGAGTTCGACTACCTGATCGATCTGCTATAAGGCTCCACGCTCGCCTATACCGCAAAGTCTGCTCTCCCTGAAGTTTCTAATCCCAGCATTTAATTTTCTTTCGTTCATCATGACCCTGTAGACCTCCCTTCCTCTTCAGTATCCGTGTGATTTACTCACCCCTAGTCTTTCATTGAAATCTCACACCCGTCCCTCCTTTGCTTCATTTCGATTACGATGATTATCAGTCTGCTCCGCGCAGGCCTGTGGGCCGCGTGCCTGACATCAATGACTTCGGCCCTTGTTCCTCCTAGTCAAGATCCCTGGTATCGCCAACCCGAGAACATCAGCGCATACGCACCCGGCGAAACGATCCGTGCTCGTCCGGTTGCCAGCGAGCTGGAGCCCTACACGCCGGTGGGCATGCCCATTTCCGTGGAGCTGGTGCATCAGTATCTCTATCGCACGACCGACAGCGTGGGCAAACCCATTGCCGCCGCAGCCACCCTGATCGTGCCGCACAATTCAGACCCAAGCAAGCTGCTGGCCTACGAGACGTTCTACGATGCGAACAATCCGGATTGCAGTCCCTCCTATACTCTTCGCCACGGGTCCTCCCATGGCAATGGAGACCTGATGCCCAACATGACGCAGCCCATGGATCTCGCCTTTGTAAGTTGTTTCCTGGCGGAAAAAAACCGTTCAAATACTGCCTTTTCCGGGCGCATTGGCTAACGGCGGTCTCTGCGTAGCTTTCGGCTGCTCTACAGCAAGGCTGGTGGGTGATCACGTCCGATTACGAAGGTCTGGACGCACAGTTTGCGGCGGGCTACCTGGCGGGATACGCGACGCTAGACTCGGTGCGCGTCGCCCTGCGCGAGGGCCCGGCGCTGGGACTTGCGCAGAACGCTCGATATGCCATGTGGGGATACTCCGGGGGCGCGTTGGCCTGCGAATGGGCGGCCGAGCTGCAGCCCTCGTACGCACCTGAGTTACACTTCGAAGGTGCGGCGATCGGCGGGCTGTTGCCCAATCTCACCTCGGCCATCGACACCATCAACAAGGGTCCCTTCTCGGGCGCCGCCTTCGTCATTGTGATCGGCATCGCCAAGGCCTACGAGGAGCTGCACGGATGGCTGGGCGAGAATCTGATCGAGGCTAGCCGGCACCAGTTCTACGGCTCGGCGGACAGCTGCGTGCTGGGCGAATTCGCGGGCGGCATGTTGAACGATATCTTCCGCTACTTCCTGCGCGGCAAGGCCTCGTTTACCGACGCCGTACCTTCGTCCATCCTGGGTTCCGCCGGCCAGATGGGCTCGGCGGGTGTGCCCCGGATGCCGATGTACGTCTACAAGGGCGCGTTGGATGAGATCAGTCCGATCGCCGACACGGACGAGCTGGTGCACCGCTACTGCGACGACTCCGCCAGCATTGAGTACCACCGCATCCTGGCCGCGGAGCATTTGACCACGGCCGTGTTCGGGTCGGTCAACGCGCTGCAGTGGCTGGCAGATCGATTGGCCGGCCACGAGGTTGCCAACCCCGACTCTTGTCGCACGACCGCCGTGCCGCTGATGGACCTCAAAGGTAGCGCCATTTCATATCTGGGATCGGAGGCCGTGGGCACTCTGACCTCGGTGATTGGTGGTCGTCTGAACTCGCGGCCGTCCAGGTGAACGTAGTCTACAGCTGCCTTGGTAGGAGGCCCGATGGTTGCAGTCACCGAAAGCCATTCGGTCTCTTAGCATTTATAAATACACACAAGTAATATCAGTTTTTCGTGCAGTTGGATGCGGCAATATGCTCGCCTCCTTATTCCTGCAGGATGAATCGTTCTTCTCTATGAAATCGAAACTAGCATTATATATTCAACCAACAACGGTCTGTTCGTGTTCCTGGATTACAGCTTGATGGCCACGACTTTGGCCGGCTCTTGCCTGCCCTGCGGAGGAGCGATATGTCCGCCACAGGTCACCACGTACAAGATGCTGCCATCGGCACTGACCTGGCCAGCACTGGGACCGGCAACCAGCGAGGAGTCCTTACTCCCTGCCAGCGTGGACAACTCCCCCGTGGACGAGACTCGTTGAACCAGATTGTTCCCGTTCGCCATGAGGTATGCGGTCCCGTCGGACGCCAGGGCAAAGTCATCGGACGGAGGGTCACTGGCAACCACGGTTTCCACAGGACCGGCAGCATGCCCTTGAGCGTCGAGAGCGACTCGGAAGAGTGAGCTGAGTGAACTGGAGGTATAATACACCGTCATTCCCACCGCATGGACGCCATTCACCCCCAGGGACTGGGCATTCGGCTCGAGCGAGTGACCCGAGAGCGCGACTTCATATTCTCCAGACGAGGGCTTGACTTTCCAGATGACCCCGTTGCGCGAGTCGGCCACTAGCAGTGTACGCGACTCGTCGTCCAGGCGAGTCATTCCGTTCAACCAGCCGGCTTCGGGGATGGCCACAATCGGGCTGATCTGCGGCGCGTCGGCGGCCAGATCCACTGCCCACAGCGAGAAGGATCCCGGGGTGGGCTGGCCGATGTCAGCGATGGTGACGTTTCCCACCACGACGGCGTAGCGATCGTCGTGCAGGTGTGTGATGCCCATCAGTGCGGTGGCCTGGTCGAATCGATGCACCAGCGACCCCGAGCCGTCGGCCGGATTCGCCCTCCAAAGCTCGGGCTCGTCCATGCGCGTGAGTAGCAAGTCGCCGCCGGGTAGGATGGCAAGATTTTCGATCCACGTGCCGTTGGCTTGGAATTGGAAGACGGTGGTTGCTTCTGCATCGCGCGAGAGAATCGGGGAGGCGGCGACGGCTGTGATAAGAATAAGAGAGACGGCAAAGCCGGTCAACTGCCGCACGCGCGACAGGATGGGCATGACGGGGTGGAATGAGACGCAGAATCAACTATTTAGTTGCGGGTTCCGAGAACTGCATTGCTTCCCCGGCGATTTCTCTCTTCTTATATGGCCAGGATGGAGACACGGACGGGCCAATGCAAGGGCGACAAACTATCGATTTACTCCCAGCCCCGGTGGATCCTTGCTTCCCACGCCCTAGGCAGCATTGCTGTCTACTCCGGAGTATGATCCAATATCTCGAAGACCCATCTCGATCAGGCTCGCAGTTGCAGATCACTGGGAGAAAGAACGTCGTGATTCTCAGATTGACCGCGGCGTTGGGGTAATTAACGCTGCCTACTCCAATCTCCAACTTCTCCAACCGTGGACATCGCCAGCATTCTTAAGGCCTCATTCTCTCCGTCTACAATCTATCCCAACGATTCGACACTGCAAGCAAGATGGCATCCATCCCCGAAACCATGTGGGCGGCTCATATCAGCCAAGTGCGTTTCTGTCCAGTCAACGACGACGAGGATCAGCTAACGGCTTCAGTTCGATCAACCGTACACGATTACTCGCGTCCCCGTCCCACGCATTCGGCCTAACGAGCTGCTGGTCAAAATCGAGGCGGCGGGATACTGCCATTCCGACGCCCAAGTGCTGCACGGCGAGATGCAGAGCGCGCTCCCGATGATCCCTTCGCACGAGCCCGTCGGCGTGGTCGTCGCAGCGGGCGATGCGGCGGATGGCTGGACGGTCGGCGATCGCGTGGGCATCTTGAACTTCAAGAATGCCTGCGACCAATGTGCCGGCTGTCGTGCCACGCATCGACGATGGCGTCGACTGGATGCGCGATTCTGCGAGCGCCGCGAGACGAGCGGCTTCCACCACGACGGCGCCTTTGCAGAATACATGGCAGCCGACGCGGCCACCACCGTCGCCCTGCCGGACTCGGTTTCCTTCGAACAGGGCGCGCCGTTGTTGTGTGCTGGGGTAGGACTTGTCTCCCGTTTCTCTCTTTCCCTGCGTCGTTCAGAACTTCTCTACGATGGCATCGATGTCTATAGCTAGGCGGATCATCTGAACTGACGCGATCTATGGGACATAGGCGACGGTCTGGGGCGCCTTGATGAAGGCGCGGCCCTTCCTGCAACCGGGGGACACGGTGGGGATCCTGGGTATCGGAGGACTGGGCCAGCTGGGCGTCCAATTTGCCAGAGCACTGGGGTATCGCGCAGTGGCCATCGACAATCGCGACGAGAGTCTGCAGCTGACGCGCCAGGCCCCCGCGTCCCTGCAACCCGATCTACTTGTAAATTCCTCGCACGACGATGCCCGGGATCACATCTTCCGTCACACGGACCACGAGGGCCTAGCGGCGGTGATCAACTGCGTGGACTCGCTGGCCGTCAACGCCTGGAGTCTGGAGCTGCTGCGCGTCGGAGGCGTGGCGGTGTTGCTGGGGCTCCCGGCGCAGCGGTGGCAATTCGACTCGTATCTCCTCGTCTTCCGCGAGCTGGTGATTCGGAGCTGTTATGTGGCCGGGCGCGACGAGGTGGAGGAGATGATGCAGACGGTGCATCGCCACGGCATTCGGTCGCAGCTGACGGTCGTCGGTTGCCAGGAGATTTCGGGCGTTCCGGAGAGATATCAGACGAAGGCCTTTCGCGGGCGGTTGGTGGTGAGGATGGAAGGGGAATGGCAATAATGAGCAACGAATAGTAGGCAAAGTCTGGCATTCCTAGCAAAATGACTGCGTTTTGGCCCCGAAAAACTCCGGAGCAACGCAAACAGAATGCGAGCATCTGGTGGGTCCCTGTGGCGTCACCCGACGGAATGATTTCCGTCGAGCAGAGCGTTGGCTGTAGAAGATGCAGACCGCCAGAGTCTTTCATGAAGTTTAACCTGCAAATGGAGAGATTGAGAGATTCAGAGATTGAGAGATTGAGATAGGGCTGCGCAGGTCAGCAGACCCGGCACGAGACACCTCCGCCGGAAGATCGTGAGGACTACATTCCAGCTTCCATCTTCCATCTTCAATCCTCGAGATTCAACATTCGGGAGTCTACGCTGCAGAACAGTCCAGCAAAACAAGCTCCGGCAAAGTCTGAGCATGCCGACTATCCGACCGGCGAGGATCCACCGGCGTCCAAACCGCGGAATTGAGCCACGGTGGACTGCCAACCCGACCGATCGATTGGCTCTATTCTTCCGACCCCAATTCAATGGCTGCTTTTTTTTTCTTCTTTGCTCCCTGCTTGGACAGCGCATTCGGACGCTATGTCGCCAGAGCCAGTCATAAGACCGAATATCTTCCGTCATAAGGGTCGGGTGAAGACGCCATCGTCGGCTTCTTAACCTCGGGAAGACGCTTCTTTTTCTACGACTTTTCCTCCCCTGTCGGTCTTTTTCCCGCCGCGACAAGCTTTTCTCGGTCGGCATCATGAGTCAATGCTCCGAAAAGTCGGATCCCGACCTCGAGCGATCGTCGGTTGACGCCGTCGACGATCGTCCGGGCGACACCGCGCACGAGCTCGAGCTCGAGCGCATCCATACCTATCGGCTGCAGCAGCAACAGACCGTGGGATCGACTCGCAGTCGCACGCCGCGCGACCGATGGCTGCCCATGGGCGCCGGCAAACCGTATCCGCCGTCGCTGCCGGAGTCGGAGGGATTCGTCGTCGAATTCGAGGGCGCCGACGATCCAATGCACCCGCAGAATTGGCCCATGAAGAAACGGTATGTGGACATTCGTGACGCTGCAGAGAGGGAATCAGGAGACTGACCGTGCGCCGTGTCTGTCTGCAGAGTGACGATCGCCTCGCTGTTGACCTTCTGTGCCCTGGTTACGGCCTACGCCAGCGCCGTCTTCGCTACGGCCGGCCCCGGCGTTATGAAGGAGTTTGGATTCGGCAAGGAGGTCGCCGCCCTGGGCACGACGCTGTACGTCCTGGGTTTCTCGGGCGGTCCCACGATCTGGGCGCCCGCCTCGGAGCTGATCGGCCGGCGATGGCCGCTGATCATCGGCATGCTGGGCTTTGACATCTTCACGATCGCCTGCGCGACGGCCAAGGACACGCAGACGGTCATGCTGACCCGCTTCTTCTCGGGCTTCTTCGCCGCCAGCGTGATCGCGCTGGTGCCGGCCAGTCTGTCGGACCTGTTCAACAATCACCATCGCGGCATCGCCATCGCCATGTACACCATGAGTGTCTTCACCGGCCCTTTCACGGCGCCCTTCGTGGGGGGCTTCACGGCCGAAAGCCACCTGGGCTGGCGCTGGACGCTGTACGTGCCCGCATTCGTAGGATTCTTCAGTCTGATCCTGATGGCGCTGTTTGCGCAGGAGACTTACGCCCCAGTGGTGCTATCGCACAAGGCCAGCATCCTGCGGCGCCAGACGCGCAACTGGGGTATTCACGCGCGGCAGGATGAGTTGGAAGTCGATTTCCGCGAGCTGGTCACCAAGAACCTGGCCCGTCCTTTTCGCATCCTCTTCACCGAGCCGATCGCCTTTCTCCTGACCTTGTATATGTACGGTTTCCCTCGGCCCCGTGCGAGTCGGGGTACGCTCTGAGCTGACGCTGTCTTCTTAGGTCGTTTATCTATGGGCTGGCCTATGCCCTTCTGTCGGCCTACCCCATTATCTTCCAGGGCGTGCACGGCATGGGCCTCGGCGTCGGCGGACTGCCGTTCATCGGCTTGGTCTTGGGCGAGATTGCCGGAAGCACGTTTGTGCTGTCGCTGCAGCCCGCGTATGCACGCAAGCTGGAGGCGAATAACAACGTGCCCGTGCCCGAGTGGCGTCTGCCGCCGTGCATCGTGGGCGGCGTGGCGTTTGCCGGCGGCTTGTTCTGGTAAGATCCGTCTTGTTTTTTGTCGAAGCCGAAGTCAATGCTTACGGACTCCATGTAGGTTCGGCTGGACAGGCTATAACCCGTCCATCCACTGGATGGCGCCCACGGCAGCCGGCGTGCTCGTGGGGTTTGGCATCACGTCGATCTTCATGCAGGGGTTCAACTACCTGCTGGATTCGTATTTGAACTTGTGAGTGTGCAGACCCTGAAAGAAAACCTAAACGAGGAGAAATAAAAAAGAGAGAAAAAAAAAAAAGGAAAGGAAAAGAAAAAAAAGACAAAAGCAATGAGCGAGGACAGAAAATGGCGCATCGGATGCAGCTAACATGTCAATAGCGCCGCCTCGGCGTTCGCCGCCAATACGATGATGCGTTCGATGGTCGGCGCCTGCTTTCCGCTCTTCACGCGTCAGATGTTCAATAATCTGGGCGTACAGTGGGCCGGCACGTTGCTGGGCTGCATCGCCGTCGTGATGATTCCCATCCCAGTGCTGTTTCTCATCTTTGGGCCGCGACTGCGCCGGAAGAGTCGGCTGGCACCGTCGGGCGATGACGGCGTCAAGCGGGCATAACGCTGCATGGATCGAGATCCCGGATTCGCCGGGATCGGATGAGAAGATCGAATAATCCCCTAATGTGCAATAATAGACTAGAAGATAGACCATACATAGGAGACAGGCGACGTCAAAGGCATGACAACGGAGTACTACTATTATCGGACCGTCGGACACGGACGCAGTCTGGCTTTCATGTGAACTTTTTCAGCTTCAAATTTCAAAGACAATCATGCACCCCAAGCCAAACATAGGAAAGAGTCCGAGGTCAGGCACGGTCCTGGCGGAGTCACAGTGGAATGCAGGATTCCAGGGCTCCATTCCGGCGAACCCGAGCAGAAGGGATCGTCGTCCGGCGTCGTTCTGATTGGCGTCAATGTCTGGAACCGGTGGAGACAAGCCCTAAGTTTGGCCTGGCGATCGGCTGGTTCCTGGAAAGATTCCTGGTCCGTCCTCGTCCCCGGTTTCCAGTTTCGCAGGCGCAAAATGAGATCGCGGTGGAGAGCCACGCGCGTGGAAATCTCAACGAGGTCCAATTCTTGAGTCCAGGAACAAGAATACATGCTTTCCAATCGGTGCCTGGATCCCATGATGGGTGTGTCCATGGTTCTCGCATGGCGTCTGATCGATCAACGTCTCTTGCTCAGTAAACTCCTTTCACTCAAGGCTTCGCCCGGCGATCTCAAACTCAATCCGGACACGAGAATCCTCCCTGGCACGCCGTTTCCCTGCGCGATGCCGAGGTTGCTGGCTGTGGAGATTGCTGATCCCCGGATGGCGCTGCGATGTCTTGTTTCATCCGGCTCCGAGCCCGCAGCAGAGGTCTTAAATTGACAAGACGACCTGCCAACTACCAGGGGTAGACCAGTCTCTTGAGGTGACACTCGCAGGAAGCTTCGGAATCCGACCATTCCTCCTCCCCGGCATCATGTACTCTATTTCGCGCCTGTTGACTGTGTTGTCTGCGGCCACCGTGGGCTACGCGCACCCCACGGTCACCTCCAGAGGTCAGATGAACCATTGCCCCCATCGACGCCCTCTTATCTGACTTGCTTACCGCCTGTAGACGTCCCCTCGTCTCAGCTGGACGATTTCGCCTTCTGGGTGCAGTACGCCGCCGCTGCCTACTGCCATGACAACTACTCTCCGCCGGCCGGCACGAAGCTGAGCTGCTGGGCCGGAAACTGCCCCGACGTTGAGGCCAATGGCGCTGTCACGGACATCGAGTTCTCCAAGTAAGAGGCAGCCCGGGGGACGTTGTCGATGGGTTGGAGGCATAAGACTGACGCATTCCCTAACAGTACGACTCTCAGTGACACGGCTGGATTTGTGGCCGTCGACCACTCGCGCTCCAGCATCGTCGTCTCCTTCCGCGGCTCCTACTCGGTGCGCAACTGGCTGGCCGATGCCAACTTCCCCCTCGTGGATCCGGGACTCTGCACCGGCTGCCTGGCTGAGGCGGGCTTCTGGAGCTCTTGGGCCTTTGTAAAGAAAGAGATCCTGCAGAGCCTCAAGGAGTTGACGGGCCAGCACGCCGACTACCGCGTCGTCGTCGTGGGACACAGTCTAGGTGCCGCCGTCGCCACCGTCGCGGCGGCCGACCTGCGCACGCAGGGCTACGAGGCCACGCTGTATGCGTACGCCTCGCCACGCGTGGGCAACGAGAAGCTGGCCGAGTTCATCACAAATCAGAAGAACAACTACCGCTTCACTCACAACAATGACCCCGTCCCCAAGCTGCCCCTGCTGGCAATGGGATACAAGCACGTCAGCCCGGAGTACTGGATCACCTCGGGCGACAACGCCACGGTGGCGGCCACGGACGTGCAAGTGCTGGAAGGGAACGTGAACTGGAAGGGCAATACGGGCACGGGGCTGCCGTTGCTCACGGATTTCCACGCGCATCACTGGTATTTTGAAAAGGCTGATGGGTGCAAGGGGCCCGGACTGCCCTTGAAACGATCTCAATAGAGGGCGCTGGTTTGGGAAGGAAAGCAGGGCAGATAGCATATCGTGTAACCTAAAGGACCTGGGATCATCACAAGAATCGCCCGAAGCCTGAGCATTCGCCCAAATCAACCTGTTTAACAAACTTCATCCCTTCCTGGCGCGCATGCCAGACGGTGGTGGACGCCCATCGCTCGTACATCTCCGACTCGATCTTTTATTGCTCTCCATCTTCGGGCCGCTGCGCAGATCCACCGTCGGATCGTTGCCCCTTCATTCCAGCAGGACCATTACGGAGATGGAATCCGACGCGATGCTGCTTCGAGTGCTCCCAAGTCCAATCGCCGCAAGCAGACGGGGGCGATACACCCGCCACGCCTTTGCGTGTTCTTCAGTCGGAGAATAAAGATGCGAATGAGTCCATGGAAGCGAATGTTGAGCTGATTTGTCCTTCTCCTCAGCCGGTATCTTTGGATGTGATTCTGTACCTTCTGCCTCTCTGCCACCATGTCCCCTCCGCGATATGCCCCGGCGCAGGTCAGCCTGCCTCGTCTGCTCCCGAGCGTCACCTCCTTTCTTACCTTTATCCTGGGAATGCTGCTCTTGTTCGCCGGCACGCAGCGTCAATTCCTGCCTGAAGCAGATCTGCTTACGGTATGACCTCTCCGGACAGGTTCTTCCTGTTATCGCTGGCGGACGGCTCATGATTTCTAGTTGAATTTGCCCGATACTGACAAGCCAGACGGCGTCCCCGACTTCTTCAAGGTGTATCTCCTCGCCTATTGCCAAGGAACCAACGAGGAGTGCCTGACGGAGGACACCAACACGACCAGCATCGTGACCAAACTGACGGACTGCTCGGACCGCGATCTGCTATTCAGCTTCAATCCCGGCGATGCCGTCGCCACGGCGTTGGGACTGTCCCCGGACGACCCTCTGCCCGGCATGGAGTGGCCCGGCTGGATCGACGACGACTTCGACGCGATAGGGACGACTGCCCAGGCCATGTCGGTGCTCTACGTGATCGGGACGACGGGTGCTGGCGTGTCCATCGCGGTGAGCCTGTGGACGACGTGGAGCGCGTCGCCGCTCTCGCCACCGTCGACGATCCAGTTTCTCGTGTTGTTGGTAAGTTGTTGCTTTCTAATCCCCGTGAGATCATAAGCTGGATGACCGCTAACCCGTGCAGACGAGCATGGTCAGTCTCGGTATCGCGTCCATCATTGCGAACATCATCTCCACGCAGTTCGTCAGCCTGATCAACAACTCCGGAGAAGGCCCAGGTATCACGGCTGATCACGGTAAGGCCTTTCTGGCGCTTTCCTGGACGGCCATGGGCTTCCAATCCCTGGGCACGGCGGCCAGTCTCATCTCCATTCTGGTTTATCGCGCCAAACATTGTAGATGTGACTGGGACGAGGGATCCGCGGCATCTCCGGACATGGGGGAGCACAAGCCATTGGTGGAGGGATAAAACGGGATTACCTCTTGTATGATTAGTTATTCAAGTGCTTATTTTTTGGCGTCTTCTATGGGTGGCTCGTGTTTGATTTCGTGCAGGGCGTTGTGCATCTTGGCGGGAGTCGCGGATTAGGGCTGGTGTTGTATTCATTCTCGGTCTGGTCTTGTTCTTTTTTCAATTCTTTTTCATTCGTAGCTGGTCTGGATAAGGGTCCATTGCCATTCAATTCCTGCTCTTGGCTTCGTATTCCTGATTCAGGCGCCGAGTTGAAGAGTCCAGTAGCCAGCCAAAGTCCAACATTGAGGCTCCTTCGCATTTATCCGCCACCATAGTGGGATGATGCGAGGTCTAGTGAGTGCTCCATTCATCCAGACTGGCCGATGTCACGCAGGAGGCCTTCCAGGGGGCTCTCCCCTCAATTGACGTCGTGCAGACCGGCGAATGACCCTCCGGTGTAACCTTCTGCCCCTCTCTATCGATGCCACTGAATCGAGGCAAATCAGCGGCCAGAACGGTCGGTTGCGATTGCTATGCACCTGCCGGTGGGCGCACTCTGCTGGAGAGTGTGATGGAGGTACTTTCGGGGCTCGTATTTCCCCGTTTCTCCTGCATGAATCTGAGTCCCGGCCAATGGATGGGCTCGTCAAGGACGGGGAACTGAACTGGTCAGATTTTAGTTTGCAGTTGATCCGCCTTTCCGAGACAAATCCCGATTTCTGGTAAAGAAAGAGACGAAGAAAAAGAAAAGAGAATGGGGAAAATAAAATAGATAGCGACGAGGGAGAGGGAGATATAAATTTGGAATTGCTGCATCCGAGTCAGACTCTCTGAGACAGCCACCGCGCATCATCACCATGAGAGCCGTACTGATTCTGTCGCTCCTACTGGGAGTGCAAAGCTCCCCTGGTCAGTAATTAATCTCACTCTCCCTTTTCTGTCTTCGTTGTCGGTCCGGACACTGACTTTTGTCACATAGTGCCCGACGCCACCACCAGTAAACAGTGGCTGATCACGCTGAACACGACCATCTTCTGGCCCACATCCACCGACTATTTCTACGGGCCCACCGACGGTCCCGAGGCATCGGTAGTCTCTTGTAACGCCGAATGGATTGAGTATGAAGCCCGGTCCACCGAGCTGTGGTCGTTGGGCCCGACAGCCACCACGACGTCCTTCGGCTCCTATCCTAGCAGCTCCGGCGCCTGTCGGACCTCCTTTTCCGACGAACGTTGGTCCGATACGCATACGGGCCCGCTGACCACCCTCTGCGACGGGGCGCCGCGAGCCCTGGGACCGCGCGAGACGGCGACGGGCTACTATCCCGGCACCGGGCCTTGCAGCTCGTTCGACGTCACCTACAGCGAACGCAGCTCGCTGTATCGCTCCCCTTCCCCCATGCCGACCTGCACGCTGGAGATAGAGGACTGCGTGGGCATCTGGGAGACCTACAGCAGCCGGTCTAGTGCCTGGCGCTCGTCCATCAGCACGTCGACCTACGGGGACACGGCAAAACCCATCCGGCCGTGGTCGTGCCCGACGCCTGCCAGGGAATATCCCGAGGAAAATCCCTGTTCGGCCTGTCATTTCCTGCCCGCCACGGCCACCGTCTTCTACTGGCCTGTCGAGACGGCCGACGGCGACCTGTGCCTGCAAAACGGCACCACGATCGAGGCGACGCCCACAGCACCCCCGGCGGCCAACACGGCGGTGGTAGATGGGCACACGATGGAATCGCCAAGTGTATACATCTCCTTCACCTCCATCTATGCCTGGAGCAACCGGCGGGCGCACCCGGGGCATCAGTGTGGTGAATATCACTCGAACGAGTTGATCGCGGTGCATCCGACCGACGTGGTGTCGATGCGCGGGCATCGCAACGCGAAATACCCATCGATCGGCGAGGAGTATCCCTTCAACTTCGCCGAATTTGCGCCGCAGACTCTGGGTGAGTACACGCAGACGGTCGTGCCCTGGCCGCAGTATCGCGGCGGCTCGCAGTGTCCGTTGCCCGACGGCAACACCTGCACGATGGTGCGCGACGACTACGTGCCCTGGATGCAGCTGCCCGAGGCAGTGCGCCAGATCGATGCCTCGTGGTCCGTGTGCCATCGCAGCTGGTATATCCCGCCGGTGACCCTGGTGCCTCTGATCGACGGCACTGCCAGCTGGACACCGGCACCGCCAGATCCCACAGACGTCGAGGACGTGCAGTTGCAGGCAGTGCCCCAGCCCGTCGGGGCGCTGGCGACGCCGACGCCAACCAGCGAGAAAGGATGGTAGGGAGAGTTGGTGTGGACAATGAAGCATGTGTCTTGGATTAGGGTCCTGAGTAGCAGCAGTGACGGAATGAATATCACAACGAGGAAAAGGATATATGGAGTAGAAGCAAATTTTGCGATGAAGTAGTTGATTCTTACTCAAATCGATTCCTAGCTACTGGGAGATCCTTGTCGATTGCTCCTCCCAGGCCGTCTCATTCACTGCTATTCTTGTCAGCGTATTCACTCGACGACTTCCAGAACGGCCCCCTGAAACCCTCATTAGACATGAACGCCACTATTGGCAATAATTCCCGACAGAGCCCCCAGGGAGACTGCAAGCAGCCGTCTCTGTGCAACGTGAAGAACAATATCAATGGCGGGCAACGGTCGCCTCCTGATTCACAGCCGTGGGAATAGCCTCGTGCGGTCCAATGGGCGACGGGCTTCCCAACGCAACGAACAAACACACGGCAGAGCGTGGGCTGAGGTTGCGCATACTCATTTCAGACCCTGTTAGACAGAAAGTGGGGAGTGCTCCATCCCCTGTTGTGTTCTTATACTGATGCTGTCCTTCGACTCGCCAGGTAACAGCAGACCACCTCCCATCTGATCGCGTCAGACGAGATCATAACACACCATTCCACGCCAGAATGAGGGCTCTCACCATGCGCTACGCCTTGGTATTGGGCGCATCTATCTGTTACACCTCAGCTCTCGACATTCTCGAACAAACCAGCGGCGGCCTGTCCTACGAGCTGCTGAACATCACTTACTTCGCCAACGCCGCCCACCCACGAACCTCCCTGGCGGTTTCAGACTGCGATGAGGCGGCCCAAGTGATGCCTCTGACTGTCGTGGCCACCAACCAGAGCTTCGTCACTGGCGAGGATCTGCAGGCGACCGTCTTCAGCTATCTGGCTGACGACGACGTGTTGTCTCCGGGATTTCTGCTTCACGCCGTCTACCTCACCTCGTTGGTCGCCAACGCCACAATCGATCCAATGGCCTTGTCTCACCTTCATTCTCTGGGAATTCAGACCGTCTACCTCGATACCGATACCTTTGCATCCATTCCGACGGGATTTGACACGGCGACGGACACATCTCCCGGGGACCTTCAGCCCGGCCCGTACACGGCGATCGTAACTCCCAATGCTTTGGAGCTGTTGGATACCTACCGACTGTACCCCGACGTCTACCGGACCTTTGTCACCGGCGCGTATGCCACCCAGGACGGCAGTGACGCCTTCCGGGCGCTCCCCCTGACGTGTCCACGCCACTGGGCGCCGCTGATCCCCGTACCCAGCCGCATCCCCTTCCGCCACGATCCCCGACCGTTGGCCGGCGTGCGAGTGGCCGTCAAGGATCTGTTCGACATGCGCGGACTGCAGACGTCGGCAGGTAGCCTGGCATGGGTGCGCATTACCCCCGTGGCAACGGCGACGGCCCCGGCTCTGCAGCAACTGATCGACCAGGGCGCCGTGCTGGTAGGGAAGTACAAGCCGTCGCAGTTTGCCGGCGGCGGCAGTCCTTGGACCTGGATCGACGCCCAGTCGCCTTTCAATCCGCGCGGCGACGGCTATCTCACCTGCGCAGCGTCGTCCTCCGGCGGCGGATGCGCGGTGGCCGCCTACGACTGGCTTGACGTCGCCGTGGGCACCGACACGGCTGTCTCGATGCGTCGACCGGCGGCAGTGTCGGGGACATACGGGAATCGTCCGAGCCAAGGAATTATGGCGCTGGATGGCGTCGTGGCGCAGAACTGGGCCCAGGATACGGCGGGCGTCTTCGCGCGCGACCCCCGGCTGTGGATGCGGTTTGCCAAAGCCTGGTATGTCCCCGAATTGCAGCAAGAATCGAACATCACGGGCCTGTCGCCGTTGGTCGTGCCCGACGCCCGCACGTTTCCCACGCAGATTCTGTATCCGGTCGAGTATTTCCCCTTAGCAAATCCGGCCGCCCAGGCGCTGGTAGACCGGTTCGTGGCTCAGCTATCGCGACATCTCCATCTTACGACGCGACGTATCAACCTGACGCAGACGGTAACCACGGGGTCAATCTTCGAAGGAGGAAACAACTGGGATCGCATCTACAACTCGTCGACGGTCTTGACGCTCTGGTCGCAGCACGAGGCAGTCGCTAGGCCGCTGATGACGGCGTGGGCCAACCTCGAGGCCGGCCGATTCCCACCGGTGGACGCGCAGTGGCGACGCGAATGGACGCAGCTGTTCGACCCGCAGGTCGTCAATGGGCCGGCCTACACTCGAGCTCTGCGTGACAAGGCCCGGTCGGTCGAGTGGTTCGAGCGCGACGTTCTACAGGAGACGGAGGCCTCGTGCTCGCAGTCGGTGATGCTCTGCCACGCAGCCAACGGCGGGTTGCCCAGTTTTCGCGAGCAGGAGCTCAACGAGGGCCCCAATGCCACGCTACTGGGCGTGGCTCCGGATCCGACGGCGATGCCCTGCGATCTGTTCTGTGCACTGTTTGGGTAAGGTGTTCTTGGTGATCCGGCCAAAGCTGCTTTCCTTGACTAACGAGCGAGCTAACGCGGCCCCGTAGATGCGCCGAATCCACAATCCCCTTGGGCCAGGTGCCCTATTATTCGCCGGTCACCCGGGTGACGGAGCAGCTGCCGATCACCATCGATCTGGCCGTGCGACGAGGCTGCGACCTGGTGCTGTTTAATCTAATCGACGAGCTGGCAGCGGTTGGCATTCTGCGGGCTGTGAAAACGGGCAGGGAGGCGTTTTGACGGCGGGCGCGCGGAGGAAAGTCGGGGATTTTTGTTTCTATTTGGACTGAGGCTGCAGGCGTGCGGCTCCAGTCGTTCTAAATAACTGTCCGATGGTTAGTCGAGTCGTGAATGCCACTGAATTCTTTTCATCCGAACCTCGCTCCATCCTGCCAGAAGCACCGCCACGACGCAGCCCAGCTGCAGCCCCATGCACCGGAAATCCCCAAGCTTACGCCTCCTCTGAGGTCATCCGAATCATCGATGGGAAAATGGGAAGGAAAGCCCCAGCAAACGGGGACTGCTGCAGCGATCGACTGCTGCGCGTCCCCTTCGTGGAAATTACCGGGTGACAGCGCAGATGGAACGTTCCACCGTCGGGCCAGAATCCCTGGACTTATCGGCCCCCAGCTGTTAATCTATTTATACAGGCCGGCGTCTTGGCCGGACCGGGGGAGCAACGCAGCCTGGGGGTCGTTATTGGCTCTGTGCTGACTCCGGCGTTGGCTCTAAACTGCATCGGCCTTAGCCATCAGCCCTAAGTCGATGCTAAACGACGACATCGGATTCTCGCAGCGACAAAGAAAGAAAAAAGGCCCTGGACTGCGCCACACGTCGAAATCCTGCTGGTCACCGCAATTGATTGATCATAATAGTGTCCTGGCCCCCTGCCAGCTGCCCCCGTGGGCCTTTTGTTTCTTTCCCTTTCTTTCCTTTCCCTTCAGGTCCCGCTGGCCCTCCAAGAGCCGTCCATTGCAGTTCGTCTTCGCGTCCGCAATGTCCGACTCGCATCGTCAGAGCCAGTATCTGCTGCCAGACGCCTCGAGGGCGGACTCGCCGGCCCCCGACCTGATCTCGCCCGAGCACGAAGGCGCCACCGCGTTCTGGAGCCCGTTGGGCCGCCATCCGTCCGTCGATCGAGGATATCTGAACGAGTCGCCGCACGATCCGGCCTCGCAGCCGGCCATCGGGCTCGGAATCACCTCGCATGCCCCATCGACGACGCCCTCTACCCTCCCCTCACGCGATGCCTCGCCCGCTCCGCCGGTAGCCTCGACGACGACGCGAGAACCGGCGCCCGACGACAGCCCCGGGTGTCGACATGCCTCACAGGCAACCCTGGTCGCGCCGATGATGAAATGCCCCACGCAGCGAGGCATTCAGCAGCGCCGTCTGTCGTGGGTGCCACTGACCATCCTGACACTGGCCGTTTACGCCACCATTCTGTCGGGCATTTATCTGGTCATCGCCCTGGTGCGACCGCGATACGGGCGAGCCATTGGCGAAGACGGCGCGGTGGTGCCGGCGACTGCGACGCTACTGAGTGCTTTGTTCGCGAAAACCATCGAGTTGGCGTATGTGACGGTGTGCGTCGCGTTTCTGGGCCAGGTGCTGAGTCGGAGGGCGTTGACACAGGGCTCGCGTGGCATCACCATCTCGGACATGAGCATGCGTTCGTGGATCATGCAGCCGGGCGCGTTGATAGTGCACTGGGAGACGTTGCGCTACTCGGCAGCCACTGTGCTGGGCGCCATCACGCTGACGGCCACCCTCGTGGCGATGCTGTATACCACGGCCGCAGAAGCCCTCGGTAAGTTCTTTCGTTGCTCCCTTCGCTCTCGTGAGCCACCCTCGGTCTTAACTCGCTATCTCAGTGTCCCCCAAGCTGCGGATGGGACCGTTGCAGGACCGTCTGCTGGCTGGCAACGTGTCGACCACCTTTGCCAATCCCTTCTACCTCGCCGATACCTGTCCGGCCCTGATTCACAAGGACCAAGACCCCGACTACCAGGGAACGACATGTCTGGACATGCAGCATGTTGGCCAGGCCTACCACAACTACCAGATGTATCTGAGTCAATGGGGCGCACGCAGCAACACCTCATACAACGTTGAACATCGTCCACTGCCGACGGGCTCATTGCACGACAACACGACACTGACGGGCAGCTGGATCGAACGCACAAACCTGACGGAGCTCTCGCAGAAGCACGGCCGGCTGGTCAACAACGTCACGGCGGCGATGCCGCACGGGGGCATTCTCAGCGTCACGTCGTACGACGCCAACAAGCTGCCCGACCCGCAGTCGCTCTCGGGAGAGGGCAATTTCGAACTGGAGGCGTCGGTACTGGCGCCGGCCGTCAACGTGCTCTGCGTCGGGATGACCAAGTCGGAGCTGAAGCCGCTGGTCTACAACGAGTGGCCCGATGTGGGCGACAAATTCGACGCTGTCAAATGGACCAACGATCCGCCGGACAACATCCCCGTGTATCCCAGCTGGCTTAACAGCACCGTCGTCGACGACCTGTTCGGCTGGGGCCCCACGTATGGCCAGCGTCCGCCAGTGTTTGGCAAGCTGCCACGCCCCTACAACACGCTGTTGAACACCACCGGCCGCTATCCTGCCGACAGCATCTACCTGCTGGGCGCCACCGCGGACGGTTCGAATCCCCCCTACGTGCTGTGTGCCCTGAAGGCCAAGCAGAGTCCACGCTGTGCCACGCAGTACAACGCCACGGCCAGCGGATCGCAGCTGAGCACGCGGTGCGAGGACTCGTCCAATCCGTTGCAGCTGAATCACCGCCGGCCCAACGCCCCCGACGCGCAGTGGGAGCCCGACTGGAAAAACATCGCGTCCGAGTGGGCGATGTCGCTGAGTCTGGGGACCGGCATCACCGACAGCCAGGCCAGCAATGCGCGCCTGCTGATGCAGTTGGTGCCCTTGGGCATGGCTCTGGATCCCACGCTCCCCTCGGTGGCGGAAGCGCTGGCCGTGCTGGCGGGCAGCACGCTGATCATGAGTTCCACCAGCACTCCCTTCGAGCCTGGCTGGAACTCGTCCGAGGCGTCGCTGGCGACGCCCGTGCCACAGTCCTTTCCGGCGCACGTTCGCTCGATTGGATACGCGTCGGGCAGCTCGCAGCGGTGGCAGGGGGTGTTCTACGTGATCCTGGTATTTGCCTTCATCACCAGTGCCATCTGCCTGGCCTTCATGCTGTTTGAGGTGCGCGGCCGGCAGGTCACCGACTTCACCGATCCGCAGAATCTCTTCACGCTGGCCATGAACAGCCCGGCCACGCCGCGTCTGCAAGGGGCCTGCGGTGCCGGTCCGCAGGGGCCGCAATTGAAGGAAAGGTGGGTGGTGGCCATGGAGGAGGACCACGAGCATTATTACCTACGGACGCCAGGCGAGGATCCCCTGGGACCGCCTAAAAGAACGATGACGGCGACATCGATGGCGTCGTTCGAGGTCGAGGACCCCAAGACGGTCAGTCCGGCCATGGATGAGTATCGGCAGCTGTCGACGCAGCGCAGCTTTCTGTCGAGATTCTATTAGCATAGCGTGTTTGAATAGAAAACTACTTAATGATCTAATGATAATCTGCTGCTTGCAACAAGTTGTCCTTCCTGGTATGGTCGTATACTGAAGACGCAGTGAGATCGACAAGACGAGATGACAAATGCCAGCCATGATGATATGCAGGATGACGTTTAGGCTCGCTCTGGCGTCTTGTCTGTCTCACCATTTTGCTTCTCTTCCCCTCTCTTCCCCTCTCTTCCCCTCTCTTCCCCTCTCTTCTTGATCACTCTATTCCTTTACTGTAGGGCCAGGCATCATGGCATTCGGAGTCGCTCTTATCGGCGCAGGTGAGTCGGTCATCTCTTTGGTCTTGTCAAGCTCATGTCAATTCTGCAGGCTTGTTTGCCCGCGATGCGCATTGCGTAAGTATACTATCCACCGGATGGCTCCGGCTAAAGATGATATAGCCCTCCATCAAGGCCTCGCCGGACCTGGAGCTCAAGGCCGTCTACTCGCGCTCGCTGGAAACCGCTCAGAAAGTGGCCCCCGATCAGCCTCTCGACCGCTACGCCGAGGACGCCGATCAGGGCCTACAGCAGCTGTTGGCTCGCCCCGACATCCACGGCGTCATCATCGCGTATGTTCCCGGGTACTCCATGGTGCCGGCGTCTTGGCTGACTATATATTATATAGCCTGGCTATCGGAGTCCAGACTCCCTACATCCGCGCTGCCTTGTCCGCTGGGAAGCACGTTCTCTCCGAAAAGCCCATCACAGAGAACGTGGCCGAGGCCGTGGAACTGATCCGCTGGTACCGGTCGGAGATCAGCCAGACTGTGAGCTGGGCCGTGGCTGAGAACTGGCGCTATCTGGATAGTTTGATTTACGCGCGACAACTCGTTCCTCAGCTGGGACGCTTGTCCCAGTTCCGTACGCTTGTCTACGCCAACATCGGCCCTGAATGGGGGTTAGCTCAATACTATCGTGAGTGCTTCATTCCTCTCCCTGATGCTGGAATCATTCTCACGGGTTGACCACGATCGGGAACAGAAACTGCCTGGCGACAGGAGGCCATGCATCAGGGCGGATACTTGCTGGACGTAGGCATCCACTTTCTTGCCGGTACACGCTACCTGCTCGGCAATGAAAGCATTTCCCGCGTCACTGCCTTCACTCGCGGTGTGCGTCCCTCGCTGCCGCCACTGGACACGTTAGACGCTGTACTGCAGACGGAGTCGGGCCTCCAGGGAAGCGTTCAGATTGCCTTGAGCTCCTCCCTGAAGGACTCGGGGTGGACAGTCGTGGGCGAGCACGGCCATATCGTCGTCACCGAGGTCAGTGTCACCTCGATCATCCGAGGCCGTGAAGAAATCAAGGAGTTCAAGGCCGACGCCCTTGCCGTGCCATCGGAGGTGCGTGCCTGGGGCGAGGCCCTGACCAGGGGAACGCCGAACGCCGAACAGACGCCAGAGCAGGGACTGGCTGATTTGGAGCTGGTGAGTCTTTCGGAAATCCCGCGAGAAGAACGCTCACTGATCCGGACCAGGTTGAGGTGATGCTGCGGAGTGCAGCTCAACAGGGCCAGCCACAGTCCACAAAGCATCAGGTGGAGGGATGAGCGTCTCCAGATTGATGCTCGATTGAATGGATTCCAGAGGTTGCGTTGTGATGGGTCTTTCATCTAGTCTGCGAAATTGACCTGTGCTTTTTTTTTTTTTTCGCCTGAAGCATTTCTACCCAATGCACGAATTTGACCGAGGTGTAGGAAAGTATTTATCGTAGTCGACGCCTGGTGCTTTAGTCCGTATTCAATGTACAGAGCCTTGTCTCCGAATCCAATCGCGTGAACCCTTGGAGCCACGAGTCAATCGGACGACGAAGTGGCTGCTTACCCTCGACCAAGCAGGTCGCCTCCGTTACCTACACGGGACCATCGTTAAAACCGCTCCTCGAGATTTTCTTCCTCTGACATGACTTCCTACTGTCACAATCACTTGAGATGGCTGGCAAAAACACCAAGACGGTCGTGCAATGGGCCCTGACCCTGTCGTGCTGGTTCATACAGTTGTCAGTTCTCCCTCTCTCCTTCCGTGCGTCCTGGCGAGGCTGATCGACGTAGTCAAAAGCTGGGATATATCAACTGTTTGCGCTGTATCATCGATTTCCTCTTAACCCTCACCCCGACTTTGTGGTCGCCCCGCGAGTTTTTGTTCTTCCAGTCTCTCACGTTGAGAGAGGCTCCTCTGCTAGATGACGACACCTACCAGTGCTGGCGACTCCAGGATGCCGCTGGACGCTGTCAATCCTGGCAGCAAAAGCGCGAAGCCACCTCAGGGCCTGTGTCGGTCGTGTCTGGCTGGTATGGGCCCGGTGCTTATCTGGCTTGGCTACTGACAGCATTCATGACGGCCATTTCTGCCATTTTGGGGGCAGACTGCGCGCCCTCGCGTGCCGACGCGCATCGACAGGACGGCGAGCTGCTACTCACGTTAATTTATCCCCTCATTGCCATGGCTGACGTGGTGCTGCGACTGGCGCGCTGTCAAATTGACCCCGGCCACGCGGCTGTCCTGGCAGGTTGACGGGCAGGACGAGGATCTCGGCATCTTTCCGGGCACGACGCGCGAATGGGCTTGGAAGTTAGTCCGATTCTTGTGCCACGGTGTGCTTTTCACGATCTTGGGCGAGCCTCACGGCTTCTACAGAGTAACCCCGGCCATATACGCGCCATTGACGAGCGTTTTGCTATGTTCCGAAGTCCGAGCTGCATCCGATTTGGGAGTAGTGTATCGTCCCCGTGCAGAGCGTCTAGCGATATACGCGCTGGTCCAGATTATCTTTGCCATCGTGTTGCATTGCAAAGGCGTGTCGCTGTGGCCAGCCACCGACGCATCTTTGGGGGACATGGACCAGGCGGCGGGATTGTTTGTAACCGTTGTCACTCTGGTTTGGGGTCGACAGCAGGCGATTCGAGTAATTTGGCGAAGGGGTCTTCAATTTGAATTCCAAGGTTGAGTAGCAACTAGGAGCTTGGGATACCCACATGGCTGGTCTAAATATATATCTCTGGATTTTGGAGGACCCGATCAGGTTTTGAGTCAGGTTGACTGGGGGCAGTGAGCCAATATATCTCATATTGAATGATTACTTTGATTCAGATCGCAAGCAAAGACACTACTTCTCCCGAACAAAGGAGATGGGATGGAGATGGAGATGGAGAAGGAGAAACACGAAGGACAAAGTAGAAAGCTTGCGGCTGATGCAAATCCAACAAACCCAACAAACACAACAAACCCGACAAACACCGGCTCGATCCGTGACGTCATGACCGCTGCGTCGCTTCTTTCTCTTCTCTTCTCTTGTCTCTTTCTCCTCTCTCTTCGCCCCGTCGCAAATGCAATTCAACCCTGGCATGCAATATACCCCGCAAAATGGGGGGAGGTCCTCAATTTCCCGCCTCTGTCCAGCAGAATTCCCCCGTCGACACCCGAAATGCCAAACATTTGTATGCTGTCGTCGACATGGGCAGGTCAGCTCTCTCTCTCCCTCTCCCAGGACCACCAGGCTCACTCTCTTCTCGACTTTAGTAATGGCATTCGATGCTCCATCACGAATCTCTCTGCCCCTACGACGCGAATCCTACCCACAGTCTACGCCCATCGCATTAATATTTCCCTCTACGAGACCCAATTTGATGACCATGGCGACCGGATTCCCATCCCGCAAACCACCATCGAGGCTGTGATCGGCGCTATTCTGCGCTTCCAGATCGTTTGCCTGGAGATGGGCGTGCTCGCCCGGAATACTCGCATCGTGGCCACGGAGGCGACCCGCACCGCTCTCAACGCCGCCGAGTTTATGCGAGCGCTGCACGGTGCCACAAGCATCGCCGTCGAGACCCTGAGCAAGACCGAGGAAGGCGTCGTGGGTGCCTGGGGCATCGCCAGCGGGTTCTCGCAGCTGGCCGGTCTGGCGTTGGATCTCGGCGGCGGCAGCATGCAGATGACGTGGATCGTGTCGAACGCCGGCCAGGTGGTAACGAGTCCGCACGGAGCCGTCAGCTTCCCGTATGGTGCCGCCGCTCTCACCCGGACCCTGGCGGAGTTGGGAAAGGGCAAGAGTAAGGAGGACGCTCGTCGGGCCAAGAAGGCCTTCCGCCGCACCATGGAGGACAACTTTCGACGGGCATGGGCGGCGCTGGACATCCCGCAGTGGCTCCTGGACCAAGCGAGGCGAGAAGGGGGATTCCAGGTGTATCTGTCCGGTGGTGGGTTCCGGGGCTGGGGATATCTGCTGTTGTATCAGCACCAGATGCGCGACGAAGACTATCCCATTTCCATCATCAACGGATACTCGGTGCCCAAGGAGGATTTCGAGAACACCGAGGCTTTGAAGAAGATCGCGCGCACCGCTCGCCAGATCTTCCGCGTGTCGGATCGCCGGCGCCAGCAAGTGCCCTCGGTGGCCTTCTTGGTCAACGCCTTGGCCGAGGCGGTGCCCTTTGGCATCCGCGAAGCGCACTTCTGCCAGGGCGGCGTGCGCGAGGGTCTGCTGTTCCGCACGATTCCTCCGATGGTACGCCAACAGGATCCGTTGACCGTCGCGACGCGGCCCTTTGCGCGACCCTCTGCGGAGGCTCTGGCCGGCTTACTCGTCGCCTGCATTCCCCGACCGACGGCCGACCGTCGCTTTCCGCCATCCGTCTCCGGGCAGGTGCTGCAGGCGCTGGCGAATGCCCTCTACGTGCATGCTGCCCTATCGACCGAGCTCTCGTCGGCGGCGGCCTTGTACAGCACCGGCACGGGCGTGCTGTCGAGCGCGCACGGGGTCCCGCACGCCGACCGGGCGCGCCTGGCGCTGATGCTGCAGGAACGGTACGGCGGCGAGCTGCCGCGGCGGGAGCAAGTGTTTCGCGACCGTCTGCGCGACCTGCTGACGCCGGAGGAGGCCTGGTGGATGCGATACGTGGGCAAGGTGGCGCTGGTGCTGGCGCGCGTCTATCCGCTGGGCGTCATCGACGCGGCGCGACCCCGACTGCTGCCCCTGGCGAAATGGGCCGACGATCTGGGCTCTCGCGGGGATCGCACCGGCGTCGCGCTGACGTTCGCCGTGCAGAAGGTGGCCTTCGATCCGACGCGGCTGAAGCAGGAGCTGGCGCAGGACATGCGCAAGATCCAGAAGGTGGGCAAGCGGAAACACTGGATCGGGGGCCGCGACGGCTGGGGGATGAAGGTGCAGGTGAAACTAGTGGAGGAGGATCTGCTGTAGACCCTGTGTCAAAACAGTGACGCCTGCCACGCTGGCGCCTGGCACTGCCCTACGGCCGCGATCGACAGGAAAGGATCGTCGGCGATGGCGACGCCTGGCGATGACTCAGCCCTGTCAGCGAATGGCTCGTCGCCAACTAATGCGCGTCGGCGATTGCGTCAGGACGAGAGGGGCCAAGAGAGACATGGCGACGTCAACCGTGGTTCTCTGGCCCCTGGTTGGGTTGGGGGCGTCGATGGTCGGTCGCGGCCCATCCCCTTCTCCTGCGCAGCCCGCGATGTGAAGCCTTTCCTCGTCAACGGACCGGACCGTCTCGCGACGTCCTCATGCTTTGGTCTGCTCCTCCGTTGCACCGTTCGGCTCGGTGCCCGACCCTCTGGCGTCGTCTCCTCCAGCTTTTCGCCGGGGTGGTCGTCGCCGCAAGCCTCTGGGAAGCGCTGGGCGTTCACCACCAATTCCGGCCATCGCTCGATATCCCGGTCGACCAACCGTCTCCACGCGGTCGCATCTACATCGCCAGCATTCAGACCAATACGGAAGCACTCTTGCGTCGCCACTGGAACCATGCCGTGGTGGAACTGGCGCGAACGCTGGGCCCTGACAACGTCTTTGTGAGCGTGTTGGAGAGCGCCAGCGAGGATGATACGCAGGATACGCTGCAGGATCTCGATCACGGCCTGCATCGCTTCGGCATCGCTCGAAATATTACGCTCGGCTTTCCGACACTGAACGAGGATTCGCGGACGGCAGCCAAAGAGCACGGCTGGGTGGCTGACGCGCATCAGAACCAAAAGCAGAGGCGCATACCATACTTGGCCCGCCGGCGCAATGCCTCGCTACAACCTTTCTACAGCCTATTAGCAGACGGAATCACCTTTGATCGGATCCTGTTTCTAGAGGATGTGGTGTTCTCGGTAAGCGGAATTGTTGCCTATCTTCCATCGCTGCTGTCCCGTGTGTCCGCTCACCAGCCGTTCCAGACTGCTGATGTCCTTCGCCTTTTGGACACTAACGGCGGCGATTATGCGGCGGCGTGCGCCCTCGATTTCTTCCAGCCCCCACGATATCACGACGCCGGCGCACTGAGAGACTCGCAGGGCCATCGGCCGATTATGTCCACATGGCCGCTGTTCCGGGCCGCCGACTCGAGACGCGCCATGCAAATCTTGTCGCCCGTTCCCGTGGCGAGCTGTTGGAATGGAATGGGTGCGTGTTTTTTCTATTACGCTCCTCACGGGGCATGCTAACGGTCTGTCTGCAGTCGTCATGCCAGCACATCCTTTCATGGCCGAAACGCCACTGCGATTCCGAGGCATTGCCGACCACTTGGCTGCGGCCCGACTTGAAGGTTCCGAGCGCTGTCTACTGCACGCCGACAACCCTCTGTCAGCTACCCGAGGCGTATATGTGAATCCCCGAGTGCGCGTGGCCTACAGCGGCACGGCGTATGCAGCCGTGCAACCCGTCCGGAACTGGCTGTCCTTTTGGCATGTTCTGGGGTCGTTATGGGAAAGTCGTCTGCGACGCGGTTTGGCCATCCCGTCACCGACTGAATGGAGGATCCGCCGTCGCCTGGCGCGATGGGAAAGTCGAAGCACTTCAAATCGAGAGCCCGGTGGGTTCTGTCTCCTGGACCAGTCACAGGAGTTCCTTCTCTCCGGTGATGCACATTCATAATCTCATGCCTTGTACCTTTGACGGCTCGACAGTCACCGGTGGCTGACTGATTCTTGTCGTTTCTCCCTGGGATATACATTGCTCTTCGGTGACAATCATTATACCATCGTCTTTGCTCTCGTTCGTGGACTGAATATAGCGTAAGATACCCATTTTGATGCCTGTCCTGTCGTGGCTTTAGCAATGAAGGGGTTTTAAACCTACAATAGAGTGTCCACTGGTTCTTGGTGCATATGCACACGGGGCGGCCAAGGCCCGAGGGGGCAACCGAGAAGAGAGCCCAGGACCCACCGAGCATTGATATATGAAGACCAAACGAAGGTGGAATAGAAGTTTAGGCGACGCCGGGCAGATCTGTACGACCCTATTGGCGCCAGCGATGTGAAATCAGGGACATGTTTTGCATCAAACCACGGGAAATACTTCGGATTACCCTCCGACCCTGACTCCTGGCGCACACTAACAGGGCGCCGGCTAAAAATAACCGGCATGCCAGGCAACCGACATGATCTTAGCTATAAAGATGTGGTTGCACTGCATTCATTACTCGCCTTACCGTCCATTATCCCAGTCATTCGTTTCTCCTTTCGCTCGTCTCTCCTTGCCTTTTCTCTTTGCCTCGTCTTTTTGCCTATCATGGTCTCTACCGCCACCACCACTGGTCCCGCTGCCAGCAGCACGAGCTGTGGATCGTCGGCGCAATATGAACTCCCCGTGAAAGACGCTGCCTGCGGTGTCCCCAATACGAACAAATATAAACCTCTCCTTGAGAAGTGCGTCCAACCGGCCGGGGTCCTCGCTTACAATCACGATTGTGCCGTATACGGGCTGGCGGTCGATCAGTCCGTCCAGGATCTCACCGACTGCTTGTATGACGCCGGCGTAGCCTGGAAAGACGTCTGGTGCTACGGCGATACCAATGCCACGGCCACAGCCACTTCCTACCCGACGGCCACTACGACCTCCAGCAAGACTCGCACCGCCAGCTCCTCGTCCGCCAGCTCCACGGAAACGTCGGCGGCTACGTCGGTGCACGCCTCCAAGGGCCCGATCAACTTGCCGTCCGTCGTGATCCTTTCAACCCTTCTCGCGTCTGTTGCTCTGCTTAGCTTGCAGTGATCAGTGTTGGTTTCTATTGGAATATATTGAACGGGACGTGGGCCATGGCTTGTTGCGGTTACTCGATCTTTGTATATTAACGCTTTGCACTTGATTTTTTAATCCGGGTTTCTTCTTGCAATATATATTGAGTCTTCTATTTGTCACGGCGTTTCTTGTATTTGATCGAGACTACTGTAAAGACCTTTAGCTAGCCAATACAGAAACAAAGCTTGCATGGTGGTTATAGGTCTTATTTGCACATCCACGGTGAATTGAAGACTGGCTACATACCGTAAGCTATTTGGAGGCAACCCCACTGGATCGTGGACCAGATGTCTCGGGTTATATGAAGTCTTAGTGTGTAAGGATATCTTGAAAAGCACTGCGACAAATTAAATGGAAACAATGGAAACAATGGAAAGAAAAAAAAAAGTTCAATTCTTAGCAGAAAGACAGCGACTATCTTCGACTTCCACTGCTCGACCTACAAACGCCCCTTTGGTTATCGCAACGTCTTCTTGCAGAGTGACCTCGTGGGCTGCCAAATCCATCTTTTCCTTGGTCGCTGGCAGCTGTGTCGATGATGCAGACATAAGATAGATCGGAAATCGGAAGTCAAAGACAACCAGCCGTGAAGGGAGTGTCTGGACTCGTGAGGTGGTTAGCCAGCTCTTTCCTTCCCATTGATTTCAGTTCGTCCTTACCGGCGATGTTTGAAAGCGAAATCCGAGCCGCACTTCCAGCCGATGCGTCCGGCGCAAATTGCAGGTCTCAAAGCTGGACGTCGCCCTGTCCGGCAAAGAATGCGAGCTCCAAAGGTCGCTCGACACCCACACGGGTCGGTTGCCGCGCTCGACCACCATCGATCGGCCCAAGTTCGCCACGGTTTGCACCACCCAGACCTGTGCCAAGTGCTCGGCGCCCTCCTGCACCCGGGCCTGAGTGGTTTCGACGAGCATCGTTTGAAAGTCGTCTAGTCGCACGGAACACGGTGTGGAACTGATGCGGGTGAGGGCGACTTGCAGCGGGATGGGATGTCTGCGCAGGAGGCCCGGTCCATGTGATAATCGCGTCTCGATGTGGAACGAAACGGGCTGAGTGGTCCCGAGAACCTCGGGGTCCAGCGTTACGGATTGAATTTGTTTGGAAGGTGGCTGCCGAGGAAGAGGATCTGACAGAGGCTGGAAGGTGATGGCACAGTTCTGGTGGGATAGTCAGTCTTTACCAAGCTCTTGTCTGCGTGGTACCTCCGACTGCAGGGCGTTCACTCAACTGTTCTCTCGCACCGCTTGAAGCGCCCACCGGGAATCACCTCCGCGTCGAGTCTATATTGAATCTCGCCGGATGTGCCAATAGTCCCCGTCGACGGGGGAAGCCGTCGCAACAGGTGCACGGCGGGAGATCGAGGACGCCGCATGCTGGCACAGGTCACCTCGGATGTCTCGCCACGCTCCGTTTTATAACATTCCGATACTTGGGAAAACTTGATGTTCATCAGTATTGCATAAAAAGTCCCGGTCGCCGAAACAAGGATTTCAAGATCTCGAACCCACAGGAATTGAAAACGGAAATCGATGCGTGCCTGCGCCAATCGTTAAGCCGGGATGGCCGGGAAGCTGGGCAATTGCTGCAGGAGGAAAGACTCTTTGGCTTCGGCGAAAAAGCTGCTCCCAATTAGCATGCTTCTAGAACAGTGCGGGCTAAGCGCCGAATACAAACCTCATGATGCTCGTTAAGTCGTCCGTCTTTCAACGAGGTTGTTGCAGTGCCTGACAATGTAACAACAACGCCAGATATCTGTAACGGAGTGGCGCTGCACAAGACTAACTGACCAGACACCACGTCGTGGTTGCTATAGACGGGCTTGTCTCTGCTCAGTTGAATGTGAAGGTTCATGGTGGACGTCGAATGTGTCAATGAACGACCAATTCGCATATGTCCGCGTATTCTGGGGATCTATTCTCGTTCCTAGCACTACTTTTTAACGGGCAGTCCGTGTTCAACAATGAGAATATTCGGGAAAGAAAAAAAAAAAAAAAAAAAAAAGGACATACCATGGTCCGAGAAGTGATGACACGGCCTGTCTCAGCTAAGCCTTCGAGTTTTCCTCTTGGACGTGAAGCCATTGAGACGAAACAACATTGGCAGTAGACCACGACTATTTCTGACCGGCGGACTCTAGCAGAGCATCCGATACTTCGCCTTGGGACTATGTAGTAGTCGACGGAGACGATGGATGCCATGATAGGCTGACCCCGGATCCCCCACTAACCCAGTCTGCTCGGACAGGGCGAGCCAATGGCCATTGAGGCCGCTGAGGCCGACTATAATTAACTGGATTCCACGGAGTCCACGGCGTCCACCGGTGCTGGACAGTTTCCACTGTGGCTCCGACGAGGCCGAACGAGGGCTTCCGATTGCTCCGTGACCGAGACAGCCCTAGCCCTAGCGGCTCTTGGCCAGCCAATCAGCGCCCCCGCGAAAACCCTGAAGTGGCCCAATCGGGAAGACGCAGCGACATGGAGAACATCGTGACATCGTGACTATCGTCGACCAGGAGCCAAGCTGGCTCAAACTCTGCAGCTGAAAGGGACACGAGACAGGGCAGTGCTCGATTCAGCATCGGAGATAAAAGACATGCGCTGGCCTCGTTGATATGCACGCCATATCTGCCATGTCCACGCCATCGTCGGTGGACTCTCGACCCCAACATCCTGCAGTAAGTGGCCACCCCCTTTGTTTTCCTCTCTTCTGCTCGGCTTTCGTTCTTGGGATTGCAGGAGCCCTGTGGAAATGACGATTTCACAACTGACCCAACTATCGCAGTGCGACCTGTGCCATGCGCGAAAGGTACTAGAAGATAGAAGATAGAATCTACAATCTACAATCGGCTGAAGAAACTAACGGTCCTGCAGGTACGTTGTGATCGACAGGATCCCTGTGGGAACTGCCAGGACGCCAATACGGCATGCCGTCGTCAGCGACCTCCTCGCCGGCATCGCAAGGAATTAGTCCGACGCAGTCCTAATCCGCAGACCCGTTCGTCTCGGGAGTCGCGACCCATCCAGCCGGCTCTGCAGCAACCCGAGGAGCCGTCGTTGGACTCCGGGGCATCCCATGCGTCTCGCATGGATAAGGGGCGGCATCCGTCGCACGCGCCTTCGGAGCCGCAGGGCTGGATCTCGCTTGTGCCCTTGACCGATGCCCAGATCTCCGGCACCTTGTATCAGTTTGATTGCGTGCCTGGTCTAACCCTCGATCGGCGCCAGGCTCTCGAATCGGCTCTGCGCGTGGCCAGCAACGTCTCGGAAAGCGTCGACAGCGCAGGCGAGGGGAGTAGTATACCTCCATCTGGAGCAGACGGGTCGTCTAAGATCCCCGGTGCGGAATTCCTGTCCTGGATGCTACGAGGTACTCGATCGATCCCCCGTTCTATCCGTGGCAGGTCTGACACTAGCGAAGACATCGAATGCGATCGATTCGGCGCATTCGTGCAAGATTATTTCCGCCACGTCTCCCTTCCTTCACTCAAGAAGATGGGCCTGGCTCTCTTGCGTCGAGAGGTGTCGGCCCCGACTTCGACCATCTACACCGTCTGTGTTAATGCCGTGGCATACAAATTCTTGACTACCGTCCTGACCATCGACGGTGCAGAAGGTCTGACCGAGGAACTTCGCGCCAGTGCGCAGGAATATCGAGCCAGCGCGCAGGCCGCGTTGAAGCAAATTCCCCTGGTGGCTCCGCCATCTCTAGCCCTCTTGCAGGCCATGTTATGTGGCGTAAGCTCTCTCTCTCTCTCTCTCTCTCTCTCTCTCTCTCTCTCTTTTTTCATTTCTTTTTAGCCTCTGCCTGGATCTACTTATATGGGTGTATTTGGACGAACTGACTGGTTTACAGATTTTCCTTCATCAGGGCTCTGGCGACACGACGTTATGCTGGGGCCTGACGAAGGCAGCTTGCCGGGCGTGTCTGGACCTGGGCCTGGATGCCGCCGTCCTGCAGGGCACCAGTGTCAGCTCGGAGGCCTACTACTGTTTTCTGTGGTGTTATATGCTCGATAAAAACTACGCCTCCAAGACCGGTCGCTGTCGATCCTCGCTGAACGTGTCGCTGGGGACGGACCTGCAGAGCTCGCCCTTTCCCGGCGTGCCCATGGCCGGCCTCCTCGAAGTCTACGTCGACCTGGCACGCATCCAAGCCGTGCTGCTCCCGTACTTGGAGGGTTCATCGGCCAACTGTCGGGAGACTGCCGTCTTTGACGATGTGGGCGACGAATTGTTATCGAAAATGAACCAGATCCATTCGAAGATTGACCATGTAAGCAAGTCCAGGCGGTGCCATCTTCCTCCACCCTTTATGCAGGACCTAATCAGCCCACATAGATCGCATCTCCGTCGCCTCTCTGGAAAGGCCTGGACATGCAGAGCGAAATTGCAGCACTAGAGTTCTCCTTCCACTCGGTCATGACAGCCATCTTTCATCTAAGACAGGTCACTTCTAGCCAGACCGCCGCATCTACCGAGCTATATCTGCAGTCGGCGCGTCAGCCCTTGTCAGCACTCGTGTCCATGTGTCTGTCCTGCGACAAGCAAAGCACGGTGGCCTTCCTCCATTGGTATGCGACTGTTCCTCCCGCGATCGAGAGCAACGTGACTGACTTGCTCCGTTCCAGGACCTTACTGTTCTACCCTCTCACGGCGTATTTTGCGCTATTCTGTAATGTCGTCACGACGGCCAACGTGGCAGACTTTCAACTCCTTAGCACCATTGCCGACTGCTTGGTGCACAGCGGCGCGATCAGTCCGCCGATTGCGCAGCTCCAGAGTCTCTTTCGCAAGCTGGTCTCGCTGGCCCAGTGCTTCCTCCCGGGACATCGCCGTTCGATCGCCGACGAGGCTGCCACGATGCCAGCCCACGTGCCTTCGGAGGATGCTCGCGCCTGGCCCTCCTGGCCATACTGGGGTGAGGCCGGTGCAGGGTTTCCCGCCGCTATGGTGGCACCGGGGAAGGATGACAACGCGTCTTTTCTGGACTTTCCTGCCTGGGATCCGTTTCTTGTGGTCAACGAGAACCATACATTCATCGAAAATGGTCTAGGGAGCTGACATCAGTCGTCTTCATCGGTGACTATCTATTAGAACACGGTGGGGGCGGCGTCCTTTCTGTAAAAATGTCCTATTCCAGATCAATCTACCCTGTAAGGAGACCACCAGATGTCCAGATGTCCAATTTGGTTGCCAGATTGTGTCATAGGCTCGGGTCCCCTTCCGCAAAACCACGCCCAAGGCGAATGGAATGAACTATCATCCATTGCTATTTACAACTTCTGTCCCCCATCAGTGCACCTGCAGCGACGCCAAACCTCCATCCAGCACCACCTGCGAGCCCGTCGTGAACGTGGCATCGAAGCCCAAGAAGAGAACGGCGCGGGCAATTTCCTCGGGGTCCCCGATACGTCCCAGCGGCGTCGCCTGGACGCCCTCGCCCTCGAAAGCCGCGCGATCGTCGGCGGACGCGCTGGCCACGCCCATGGTCGGCGTGCGCACGAACCCGGGGGACACGGCGTTGACGCGAACGCCGTGTCCCGTCAGCTCGGCCGCCAACGTCTGCACCAGCGATTGCACGGCGGCTTTTGCGGCCGCGTAGGTGGCCATGCCGGGGATGCCCACCTGGTTGGCCACGGAGGTGGTGAAGACCAGGGCGCCGCCGTCTTTCACAAGAGGCGCCAGCTTTTGCGCGGCAAAGAAGGCCCCAAAGACGTTGGTGTCGAAGGTTCGTCGGAAGGAGTCCTCCGTCACCGTGTGGAAGGGCTCCAGCGCCGCATACCCGGCGTTGATGAAGATCAGATCCACCCGGGCTCCGGGACCGAAGAAGGTATCTGCCACGGGGATCAGATCAGCGATGGCGGTCACGGAGGATATGTCGCAGGCCACGACGTGAGCCTGATGTCCGAGTTGCTCCTGGGCCGTGCAAATGGGGTCGGGACTGCGGCCGGTGACGAGAACCTGAGCTCCGCGGTCGACAAGGAGCTGGGCAGTCGACAGGCCAATGCCGTGGCTGCCACCGATTATAATAGCTTTCTTGCCGGAGTAGGACACCATTGGAATGGTCTCTATACAATGAACGTGATTTATTCGAAGAGAGCTTGGGATGAGCGAGTCTGGGAAGCTCTCGACCCCGGCTTTGCAGGCACGTTAATATACTCTCCAACTAGAAACCCCGGAAGCAACCATCCCGCGCTCTATTTCCAAGCAGTGAGTCAAAGAGAGAGGCATGCATGATGCCACGGTCGTTCGGGCCCTTGTCGTCTTCGTATCCGGCGCGCCGTGTCCCTTGGCGGCGTCACCTTCTCGCCAGGGACTCAGGCAGTTGACAAATGCCATACCAGGAGGGGTTGGATCGTAGACTTGGGTGGATCTATTGTTGTTGTTGACCTCATGGCGAGTCTGGGTCGTGTCTGGGGAGCCAGCTTAGGGCAACGGCAGTCACCTGGCACTCTTCACGATGCGTTCTCCGGGCTTCCCCCAACGACGAGGGTTACATCAAGCAACGACTGGATGTCGTTAGTCATCGGAATGGCCCAAGAATCGACGCAGAGTCTGATTGGCGACGGCTGACGCTAGGAATGAGTCGCCCGACGTCTCCGCCCGCAGTCGAGGGGGTCTGTCGTGTCCACTTCACGTCGCAAACCATGGAGCCCCCCGAATCGCTGGTTGATATCGGATCCCACCGTCTTTTTCTCTCCCTGCAGGGCACCCCACGGGCTCTCGGCAGCCCGCTGGTTGTCTTTCTGGCGGGCGCCGGCGACGTGTGCGTTTCGTTCGGGGCCGTGGCGCGAGTCGTCGGCCAATTCGCGCCCACGATGCTGTACGACCGGTCGGGGCTGGGGCGCAGTCAGGATGGTCCGGATCCGCCGCGCGCGACGACCGCCGCCCGGGAACTGCGTCGGCTGCAGGAGCGCGCCGGACTCGAGCCTCCGTTTCTCCTGGTGGCACATTCGTACGGCGGCATTGTCGCCCGCGAGTACCTGGAGCGGTACCCCGACGCGGTGGCCGGGCTGGTGCTGGTCGACGCGGCGACGGAGCAGCAGGTCGAGCTGATCGACGACGAGCATCGCCAGGCCATCAACGCCGTCATGGGGGACGTGAACTTCGCCCGGGTCATCGGCTTGCGCGACGGGGCCCGTCTTTCCCGCGACGAATGGCGCACGCGCGCGGCCGGCATCGCTCGCGGCCTGTCGACGTGGCAGGAAGAGGCCGCCGCCGTGCATGAGATCTGCGAGACGCTGGGACGGAAAGACCAATATCGCCGGCACATCCTGGGAATGAAGCCGCTGGCCGTGGTACGAGCCCGCAGCTCGCTGGACTACGAACGCATTTACGCGGCCGGGGTGGCGGCCGGCCACGGCACCGACGCTCAACGCACCACCTTTCGCCAATTGCTGGATCGCTGGGACTCGGTGGACGGGGCAATGCAAAAGGCGCAGCTCCAACTGTCGTCGACCCATCGTTTCATCGACGTGCCGGACTGCGGTCATCATGTCCATTTGATCCGTCCTGAGTTGGTGGCAACGCAGGTGCAGTGGGTGCTAGACGGCATTTTGTCCTCGAACCAGCCGCTGGAAAAGCTTTGATGAGAGTTTGGGTTGCCAGGGAAGGGCCAGTTACATGTATGCATGAACGGTGGTGAGCTTAATGTTCCATACAAGTATTTATTGCAAGTAGACGGGGTCCGCTGCGAGGATATATATATCGATAGGATGAAGACGTACACATACATCCGCTCCACTATGCAGCAAGAACAAGACCACATCACACATACACACACATATATATATATTATCATATTAGTCAATGCACTGTTGTCCGACTTAGAAGGATGGACGCAAAAAAACAAAAAGGGAATGCTCACACTCGGATTCGAACCGAGGATCTCATGATTACTAGTCATGCGCTTTACCAACTAAGCCATGCGAGCGATTGATATCTTATGCCTTTCTATTTGACTCTATGAGGGAAGGTCAAAATGGGAGCAATTGATAGGGTTGTCCAGGGAGCCAGTCTACCGTTGTGCACTGCAATTATATCTATACGGGTCTATCTACAGAGGCAGCACGGCCTCCCTTTTTCTACAGATCCGGCGTGACCTGGCGCTCGTCCCAGAGATCAAGCCGACAACGCGTCGCACACGTGCGCCTTGTCATGATCGTAATCCTGGCACAGACTGGTCCACGAGAGCTGGTCGGCGCATCGCGGCTCGTCTTCCGTTTCGACGTCGTCCTCGGGACACGGCGGAATGACGGATTCCCACTGCTCCTGGGTGCGCGGCTTCCACGGCTTCGGTAGCGGCCAGTCGCTGAAGTGCACCAGGTAGGCGCGCGAGAGCTCCGCGTGGGCGTTCCAGACCTCGTCTTTATCCTCGGCCAGATACCGCTGGTGATCGGCGGCGCGAGTACTCGGTCAGGGCGAAGGCATGGAACTTGGTCAGGCTCTTCTGCCAGGTCGGATCCCCGTGCGCCGTGGTCAGCAGGCGAAACGGGCGCAGCTTGACCTGGGGATGCACGGCGCGTATCCTCTGCATCCAGCGGGCCTCGCGCGACGCCGCGTCCTACGGGCCGGTGAGCACGTCGGTCCGAGGCCAAGTCCAGGGGGCCGGGGGAGCTGGAACGAACCTCGTCCCAGTCGGTGGGATAGATCAGCACCATGTCGTATTCGACGGCAAAGCGCCGCAGTTGCGAGAAGTTGATCATCTGCGGGCGAGTGAGTCGGGGCGTCTGGGCTGGCGGCTGGCAGGGCCGTGGGAACTGACCGCATTGCAGCGATAGTCCAGATCGGTGGCATACTGGACGTAGGCAAAGCGTTTCTCGAGCCTCTCGCTGGTCCAATGGGGATCGAGGCCCTGCAGGGTCGACTTGGAGCGGCTCCACGAGGGCACCAGGGCGTCGGAAGCCTTCCAGAAGGCAATCAGCAGCACGCACGAGGCCACGGCGGTGGCAGCGACGACGATGACGCGGCGGGCAGACAGAAGCATGATTCAGGAGACAGAATCACAAAAGACAGAAACATGAAAGGCAGGAGAAAGACAGCAAACCAAAAAAGGTGTCTTGGCAGAGGCTGAGCCAGAAAGGAGTTATGCACAGTCTCAATGACTCCGCGAGTGTGCATCTAATTATGCAGGCCCACTGCCAGCTAATAAGATACATCAGCAAGACAAATTCCAATTCTAATCGCAATGCAGCGCGATGTCCCGCGGCAAAACCAGCCAACTCAGGCCGGCCGCGCCCAGTAGTCCCACCAGCATCGGTTGCAGCACTTGCACGCCCTCGCGCGCCGCGATGATGCCGGTGATGGCCGGGAAGATGGACCCGCCGATCTGTCCCAGCACGAAGACGAACGCTATCGCCGTCAGCAAGGAATTCCGAAGAGCGAATGCAGAGACAGGAGACCCGTCGGGAGCCTTACCGATGGCCGAGGATCGAATCTCGGGGTGGAAGATGCGGGATCCCACGTTGATGCCCTGGCGAGTTCACGGTCAATTCGGAGAGAAACAACAAGGGGAGACAGCGCGTCATCCTACCGTGGCAAAGAAGGGGCCGGATAAGAAGCCCAGAAAACTGACGGCCACGGCGGCGCCCGCGATGTCGGGGACTCTGTCGCACGTTATTTCTCCGAGGTACCATTGTAACAAGGGGCCCCTACAGCCAGAACACGAGCTGCAACCCCACGCACAGCACCGCATAGATGAAGATCATCCTCCGCTCGCCCCATCGATAGGTGGGCTCGGCCAGAGCCAGTCGCCCGAGGAAGGCTCCCCCGTAGAACCCGGTCAGGACGTATCCGATGTTGCTGTCGGCGTCCCGGACGGTGACCAGATACTCCACCATCCAACCTGCGAAGAAGAATGGTCAGCGTGGTGCTCACAAACGGGCAGGGACAGGGAGCTGGGATGCAGCACCGCCGGCCGTGATCGTGGCGCCCAAAAAGAAAAAGAAAAAGAGACTCAGCAGCCAGACCCCCGGGGTCGACAGCGTCGCCCGGATTTCCTTCCACGCCGCCTTGCCGCGTCCCTCGTTGCTCGAGCGGCCGGATGGACGCAACCGGGGGATCCAGGCGAAGTGATGACGGAACGCAAGGGCGACCAGGGCCAGGTTGGCCACCCCGATCCCCAGGGGAAAGGCGTAGAAGAGATTCCACCGGGACGGGGCGTTGGCCGACGCCACGGCGGTCGCGATCAGCGGCCCCACGAGACACCCGGCCATGTACATGGCATGAATGAAGCCGAGGGAGCGGTGGGTGGCGGGCAGCGTGGAGACAAAGATATTGGCGTGCGTGTCGTTGTAGGCCTGGCCGAGGCTGGCGAGAAAGAAGGTGACGGCGTACAGCGGCAGGGGCGGCAACCAGGTTCGCAGCACCTGCGCCAGGATCTGGAGAAGCGCGCCGACGCTGAGAATGGCGCCCAGATCCAGATACTGCGTGACGGAGCTGTTGGAAAAGGCCGCCACGAACCAGCCAAAGAAGGTGCAGGCATACCTGCCCGCGGCATCAGCACCGAGTCGGATGTCGGTTTGGGTCGCACTCACAGAATGGACACCATGTTCGTGTCGATCTCATACGAGCGCATCAGGTGGGGGATGACCGACCCCAAACTGCCGTCATTGACCCCGGCGACAAAGAACGAGAACCCGGCACTGAAGATCTTGAGATACGGCGTCGGCTCGGGGGTAGGCGCTTCCTCCTCGACTCGCGGGTCCGACTCGCCCTGGAGAGAGCCTCGGGCTTGCAGAACAAACCCGGGCGCCTGAGACTGCGTTTCGGTGGCCATCGTGCTCTGACATTCGCTGTGTCAACGGAAATCGCGTGCTGTTGGCGCAAGGGTCGTCTTATACCGAAGTATAAATTGTGGAGGGAAGGGAAGGACGTGCGGAGTACGGAGAAACGGCGGTGGGTCGTGGACCAGAATCCTGCTGCACGATCCAATCCCTGCTGGCCAAGCGACAGGTTAAAACCAGCAGCCATTCACAATCTCACATCTCACATCCGAAGTTGAACCGAGAGACGACGCTGATCGCGCGGAGTTCAGGGGCCGGCTGGCCGAGCTGCTCAATGCGGTAACTGGCTTCATCCCCCCGTCCACATGGATGGATGCCTTAACAGAGTTACAACAGACTGCGTCTTAAAGAATGTCCATTGGGTTTAATCGTGAAAAATCTACGGAGATCGGAGATCGTTTTATTTTATTTTATTTTGTTTTGTCAGGACGGCGAGAACCGAAAGGCGCTGGACTGCTCTCGAGCCTGCAGGTCCTCTTGATTGCCCACGCTGAGAGTCTCGAACATCCCCAGCATATCCCCAATGCTGGTCGCCACGTACCTCGACGGGCTCTCTTTGGAGCCGTCGTTTTCCGCCAGTTTTCGCAGTGCCTCCGCGTACCGATTCCACCGATCCGTCGGGCGCAGCGAGGAGCTTTGCGGCGAACTCGCCTCGAGGCTTTGCAGATCGTGCACCCGGGCACGCACGGACTGACGAAAGATGCGCCAAAGATTGTTCCCGACGCGCGAGCAACTGCTGACGACGGACAGCGAGCTCGTCAGGGAAAGAAAGTCGTGGTCCAACAGCTCGAACGACGGCTGCTCCAGCAGCGTGAAAAGCGCCAACATGATCGTGTACATGGTGTACTGGTGGGCCCGAACGATGCCATATTCGTCGCGATGCAGTCGAACGAGGCCGGCGATCTCGCGAGCCGACGAGAGTGCCATGTCCCATGCCTCGCCACTGACGGTCGTCTCGTATTGCCCCCAGCGCTCCGACGAAGTGGGAGCGTGAAAAGGCAGTTGTCCGCCAAACTCGTTGAGCAGCAGATGGATCAAGAGAGCGTGATACCGCATGCTAGAGGCCGATCGACGTTAGCTTACCCTGGAGCTTACTCTGGCAGACTGGATTTCCCATCAGGTTCGTGCGTACCGCAGGAGAATAATATGGGACGCCGGTCTCTGGGCAGGCGCAAAAGCCGCGGGTAATTCCTCTTCCCATCGGCGAAGCCTGGCGTAGAGCGCCTGCTTTTGCGGCCGGAGATCGAGATCCGGTTCGGAGTGTGAATGGGTGCCGCGCGACATATCCCGGGCAATGACCGAGAGCCGGCAGGCTTCGTCGAAGTACTGGCTCATCCACGACGGCCGAGGGGATTGACTGATCGGATAGGGGGTCCAGACGTCCGTCTCGTCGGTCTCTTCGCGGTTGATCGGACTGACACTCACCTTGAACACCCGACTGGGCCGCAGAAAGTTCGCGTGAACCACCCTGCCGCCGAATCGTATGAAAGTGAGTATGGCAGAAGACACGACCGAAGACGACGGGATTACTACTTACGTGTCAATCTGGAAAAGACCCCAGGCGGTTCGCTTGACCGATGCGATCATGTCCTCCGACATGCGCGACTGATCAAGGTTAAGCTGGGGACTGTTGATGATCCCCAGCGCCTCGGCCATTTCCGTGGCGCGATGAAGCATGGAGTAACCGTGGTCGTCCTCGCCCGACATCGAATACCTGAGCGCCGGTAGTCATCAGTCAGTCCGCGGTGTGCCTGTGTCTCGGGGAGGGCAGTATCGACTACCTTTCATATAAGAGGAGGGTGGCTTGCACCGATGCGAGCCGGACATCGGTCCCCGACTCAAACTGGTGCATTTGCATGTGTTGTTCGGCCTCGGCCAGGAATTGCGTCCCCATCGTCCTAATATCGCCGGGCACGGTATAGGCTTCGGAATAGTATTGCGAGTAGTGCTGCCAATCCAAGTGCGTTAGCGGGGATTCTTCCCAGCCATCCCGGGGGGCCGCACGCATGCATTCGCCAGCAGCGCATTGACGAGGAATTGGCTGCAGAAATCGGAAGAGACGTTGCCCAGGGTAAGATGCTTGACCAGCACGTTGCGGTCCACAAAAGCATAGAACGGATAATCCCAGGTGAAGTACAGCGACACCAAGTGAGAGACTAGGTCGTCGTCGTTCGTCACGCTCGTCCAGGGACGGGCCGGCATTCGGTAAGGAGCATGACGACTGAGTAGCCGGAAGTCCATGACCCTTGGCCGGAACGGTGGCACTCGACTGTACGCCTCCATGCTATACTGAACCGCCTGCAGCTTGCGCAGTGAGGCTTCGTCGTCCGACTCGGCACGCGTGTTGCTCAGTGCATGGCTGATATAGTTGCGGATCTGGCCAAACGGGGCGTTCCCCCGGATCATTTTTAGCAGGACATATGCATCTTGCTCCTGCAACGATCGTAATACCTGCAAGAGGTCCTCGAGGAGATTACTGCCGTGGGTGGATGACCTCGTCCCCTCGGCCGCAGCGCCATGGCGGCAACTTTGGCAAGGGGCAACGGGCGAACACTTTTGCTCATGGGAATTTGCGTTAGCCACTATCGGCCGGAGACGAGGTCGAAGAACTTGCCTGTAGCCCGTAATTGTTGAGACCGGAACAGTCGCTCGAGGCGTCGCTCGCGATGAGCGCCGACATTTTGGGACGCGGCCTATCTAGCAGTGATCTTACAAACAACCTGTGGCTGCGGTGGCTGGTACACCTTTAAGCCGGGAGACTTTTGTTCTGAGAGATCTCCTACGATGGTAAATGTATGAAAGAATCGAATCCGACGTACTAAATCGGCGCAAAAGCCAGAAGAATATTTTTGGCTTTTCGAAAAAAACCTTCCTAATACTTCGAGCAGCACCGATAAAAGAAGAGATCGCCAAAGGCGATGGAAACCAAGCCCGAATGACGTAGGATGACGCCATTTGTCCCTGGTTTCTCCAGGGCCTCAAGCGCCACGGATGAGCTCAGCTTGACCTCAGACCAGCCTGATTGACTTCCCGAGATCTGGACGCACGCACGCTGTTCCCACCGTTCCTCCGGCCAACACTACCGCCACGAGTTTGACTTTCTGCATGGCGACGAGCAAGATGGACACGCACAAGGCTGCCATTCCGCGAAATGCATCACGCGCCGGGGCTCGACAGGCCCGTCGCGTGCCTTTGGCATGCGAAACGTGTCGACAACGGAAGACCAAATGCAGCGGCGACACGCCGGTTTGTCGCCAGTGCAAGGAGATACGCATCTCATGTCACTATCCGATGTCGTGGCGAGATCGGACTAACGCGTATGGCTATCATCCCCTTGTCGCGGCGAGATTCGACCATTGACCAATGCATGAGGCCCTCAGACGAATAGGCCATCTGTCCGAGCAGATTGACAATTACGAGACCCTGCTCAGGGAAATTGGCGCCTACGTTGACGGTCGGGCTGCCGATGATATCGAGAGCACGCTGAGAAAGGTTCGCGCCGAGCCCACGGGGTGGCATTTGCATGCTCGCATTGCTAACGATGCGGAACTATCCAGTACGCCGTGGTCGATGGGAACCAGTCACCTCTATCCCAGCCCAATGCTCCGGGGACCGAGAGGAACGACGAAGACATCCCCAGCTCACCTTTGTCCGTCGGATCACTCGAAGCTAATGACTGTGTCGAAGAGGACTTGAACCGGTCGCCCAGCGCGCGTGCTACGGGGTACGTGGGCAAGAACTCGGAGATCACCTGGCTGCAGACGGTGCAGAGAGAATCCCGCGAGTACTCCCGGCCGTCGAACGAGCCCCCCGAAGACGAGGCGCGGTCGGAAACCTCGCTGCCGGCCGTGAATTATCATCTGGACACGCTGGATATCTCCGTGCCGGGCCCCGTGCAAGTATACCAGATGCCGCCGCGACCGATTGCAGACCGGCTGTTTGACGACTATTTGGACACGGTGCACCCGTCCTTCCCCATCATCAACCGTTCCTTGTTCCGGTCGCAGTTCGAGAAGTTCTTCGGGGATTCGGTGCGGCCGGGCGACAAGTGGCTGGCCATCTTAAACCTCATCTTTGCCATCGCCGCCAAACATGCTCACCTCACCCAGGCGCCCTGGCGGGGGGAAAAGGACGATCATCTGGTCTATCTAACCCGGGCGCGCATTCTCAGCATGAACGGGGACACGCTCTTCAGCCACCCGGAGTTGCAGCAGGTCCAGGTCGAAGGGCTGACGGCCTTCTATCTGCTCGCATGCGATCAAATCAACAGGTGGGTACTTCGCGCAACTGCCGTCTCGACAGTCAACCCACGGTAACGCTCGCGTTCTAGAGCCTGGCGAATTACCTCGCTGGCCATTCGGTCCTCGGTCTCCCTGGGACTCAACTTGAGGGACGCCAGCGGAGCCACCGTGCCGGCGTCGAAGGAAGCGCGCTATCGCGTCTGGTGGTGTCTGTATGCCTTCGAGAACCTGCTGGGCGTCATGACGGGCCGCACGACATGCATCCCCGATGGCATTAGTAAAACACCCTTCCCTCTGCCGCTTCCAGAGGAGCAGTTGTCGTCGCCGATAGCCGCCCGTCTTTTGACCGACTACGAGTTTCATCTGCAATCCGTCGAGTCCTCCTTGGCCTTCCACGAACGGCATCCTCTGGGAGGAAGGCAATTGAGCGAGCAGGGGAACGAGGACAAACGGCTGTGGTTCCAGAGTCTGCCCCCCAGCGCAGCCCTAGGATTCACGTATTACGTGGATCTGGCGGTGATCAACCAGGGGACCGTCAATCACGTCTACTCGCCGGACTGCTGTCTGATCTCCTGGCGCGATATCGAACGCCGCATCCGAATCCAGAAATCTCGAATTGATCTGTGGCAGGCCAATCTTCCTCATGAATACAGTTTAACGCCCTCTGTTGACGCCCGTCCCGCGCTGAACCAGGGCGAGCTTTTTCTCGCCTTCCACCTTTACAGTTCCCGACTGACGCTGAGCCGTCCGTGTCTTTGTCGCCGGGACACGCAGAAGGAGGAATCCTTCAGTCGCGAGATGGCTCGCGTGGCGGTAGATTCGGCGCGCGGAATGCTGGACCTCCTCCCCGACGTCCCTGACGCCGGCTGGCTCTATCAGACCTGTCCCTGGTGGTGTATTCTGCACTACATGATGCAGTCGGCGGCGGTTCTTCTTCTCGAGCTTTCCTGGCGCTGCGTGCACATGCCCGGAGCCGACATGACAATCCTGCAGTACTGCAAGAAAGCCGTCCGGTGGCTTTCCGGCATGTCGGCTCACAGTCATGCGTCTCGTCGCGGCTGGGAGCTGTGCGACCGTAGTCTTCGACGCATCTCCCAGGGCATGGATTACGACGTCAGTGATGTACCCCCGTTCCGCCATGCGCCCTCGTCGCATCTGCCAGCTGACCCTGCACCCCCATCCAACGCCCCCGCGAGGCCCGAGCCTCAAGGGCCGGAATTGTCGTCGTCGCCGCTGTCGACATCGGACTTTCCGTTTGACCCCATCACGGGCGAGTTCCTCCGCTCCTTTTTCCCCGGGGCGGAAGAGCCGGAGGACTGGGACTGCGTGTGAGGGCTGTACATAAAGACATCGAGTGTATATAGTAGAAGATGTAGGTGAAGATACAGATATTGGATAGGATACAGATATCAGAAGATGTAGAAGATACAGGATAAGATAAAGACTCGAAAGGGAAAAGAAACGCGGCGTCGCCCGATGCGGCAAGCGGACCCTCTGCGGGGTTTAGGGCAAGTCCCGTGACGGCGGGTCTCCGCATATCAGAAGTTCAGAAGTCCAGAAGCTCTCAAGTCCAGAACTTCAGACCTTCAGAGCAATCCTTCCTTCCTCCTCCAAGGTCCAGAACCCAGAACCCTCGGTCGGTCATGGCAGCCGACGTGCCGTCCGAACCTCGCAAGTTAAGACGCACCACCAACGCGTGAGCCCCTCCCTTGCTGTCGCGACCGAAGGACGTGGGACGTGAAAGCCTGATGGAGACTCGGTAGATGCGTGGCCTGCCGCCAAAGCAAGATTAAATGCTCGGGCGACGATCCCTGCGCCAACTGCCAGCGTCGCGCCCTTAGTTGCCACTTTGTCGAAGGAGGCAACAAAGTAACCGTGGCCCAGAAGTGCGTCCCTGCCTCCCCTCCCGCGGGCACGATGCCAACCGCTGATCCCATTCTCTAGATACCTTCAGGAGCTTCAGCGGCAGGTGCGCGAGAGACCGCAGTCATCGCCGAGAACCAAACGTACCGCCGACGCGGCGTTTAGACCGGAGACCGAGGCGGCGCCCGTGGCTCCCGGCGCTGACGAGCTGCCTTCGTATCAGACCATTGACCATGGCCGCAGTGTGTGGACCAGCCCGTTCACCTTGCCGTCAAGGACCATCAAGAACACATACAAGAACAAGCGGAACTGGAGTAAGTCCCTCCCGACCGGCCTGACGGGAGCAAAATTCGCTGATGCCCTCGATCCCTGTTAGTCTGGCTGGCTCCCACGTCTGTGTGGTCGTTCACCGCGCGACTGTCGCTGATGATGACCGAGAAGCTGTGCATGCCGTCCCCCTACACGGTTCCCAACTCCCTGGACTGCGATGTCTATCCGTTGCGCTGGCGGCCGGCCGCGTTCGACGATCCGCCAGACATCAGCGGCCTGCCGTCCATTGACCACGCGTTGTATCTCTTCAACACCGTCAAATTCCATCTCCACCAGAATTATCGTTTCTTCGAAGAGGAAACCTTTCTCGCCCACGTGCACGAGTTCTATTTTGGCGCCGCTGCCAAGAAGGCCGCGGAATGTCGGCTCTGGTTTGTCCAGTTCCTGCTGATGCTGGCCTTTGGCAACGCGTTTCTACAATCGCGGGCCACGCAGGACCCACCGGGCTCGAAGTTCTTCGTGCGAGCCATGTCGCTGATGCCCGATCATGCGTCGCTGTGGAAGGATAGTCTACTGGCGACCGAGGTCCTGGCGCTGGCCAGCCTGTACTTATACTGCATTGACCACCGGGAGTCGGCGCACGTCTATGTCAGTATTCCCCACCCCTGCCGATCTCTCGGAATCATTGAGTAATGACCACCGTTGCACTGACAGGTGGGCCAAGCCATCCGTATCGCTCAGATGGACGGACTGCACACGGAGTTGCCGGAGGACGAGCTGGGCGTGGAGACGGTGGCGCGCTGCCGCCATCTTTGGTGGACGCTGTACGTGATGGACCGGCATTTCTCGTCGTCGGTCGGGCTGCCCATGACCACGCAGGACGACGACATCACGACGGTCATCGACCCGCCCAGTGCCTGCTCCCAGCGGGATGCCACCCTCAGCCTGCATGTGAAGTTGTCCCACCTGCTGTCCGTTATTCTCACCTGTAAGTCTCTCGTTTTCCGGGGCCAGTTCGGGAGCTCACTCGTTGGCCTCAAGCGATCTACAAAACGGAAAAGACCGCCTTGGGCACGTTCCTAGAAAAGACGAGATCCATCCTGCAAACGATGGCCGGGCACGCCCAGGAGATCGAAAATATTATTCACCTCAAGTTTCAGAACTCGGTTGATACCATGCCGAGAGGGACGCGTCACATCACGCTGCTGTATCACCAGGTATGATTCCGGAGGCCTCCTTTGGAGCCACAGGCCGGTTGTGTTGGTCGTACGATTTCCGAGCTTGGTGACCTTATCTGTGTTATGTGTAAAGTGCTGTCCCGCTGATGAGGTTTTATAGTGTGTAATCTTCGCCACGCGACCGTTGCTTCTATCGGTTCTGAAAGAACGACTGGACAAGCTTGGGCATGAAGAGGAGGATTGGGAGAGCTTCCTGGCCCCGACAAAGACCCTGATCTCGACGGGGATCAAGTCGGCGGCGAAGACGCTGCAAATCCTTGCGGACGAGGACAGTCTTCTGGGTAAGCCAATCGATGGCGCAGGGTTCAGATCGCCTACGAGCTGACACTCCGCCTAGAAGTCTTCTTGCCCTTCCAACTGGAGTTTACATACGGGGCCGCGATCCTGTTGTTGATGGCGACCACGCTGTTCCCTCATGCGGCGGAAGGACAGAGCTACAGCACCGAGGCGCACGCAATACTAGACGATATGATTTACAGAGGGAATCGCCTGGCGACGGCGCGGAAGACAGAGCTGACCCATCTAGAAGGCCTGTTCCGTGAGCTCGGGGCGCGCATTGAGCGGCGGGGCCTTCAGACGCTGACACTGGCGAGTCCCGACCAAAACATCGGCTTCTTCACGCACGAGACGGGAGAAGACGCGACGCTGACCGACCCGGCCACCTTGACGCCGTCGATGGTTGGAGATCCCGATTGTTCTCCCTCGGGACTGCCGCCGATCGCCAGTAACTTGGAATTTCTGGAAAACATCGGCATTTCGTCCGACGAGTTCCTGTCAATTGTCAACCAGATCGGTAACCCCGTCAGTCACAGCGTCCTGGACCCGGGCCAAGCGCGAAAGTCCGGATATTGACATCATACGTTGATTGTCGGTCTCCCTGCATGCCTCCTTGCCTTTTTGCCCCGAGACTTGATCCACCCAGGCCCTCGTTTAACCCAAGACTGCTTAATTTGAAGAATAGGCCAATTCGATGAACTTACTACGGCCCTAAACAACTCCTGCCAGATTTACGCAGTAGGTAAAAAGTCGACAACCCCTAGCGTCTAGTGATCCTGTCCGCAGTTCGCAAAGAGGATGGGTGAAACCATGTTACCATGGCATCTGTGCTTGTCCATCTGATTCCACCTTCATCCCTTCGATATGGTGCCGGAAGCCGAGCCCGAATTGCAATGAGAGGGCTATATTCTTTGACAAAATTTTGGAAGTTACTCGAGACTCATATTTTCTTGGTTACTGGTTGAAGCGATCGCTGAAATGTGCCGTTCCATACCGCATCCCATAACTTTTTATGGATACAAAAACGATTTTTTCCTGCAACAGGGCTCATGCCTAGGACTTGGAACTGAAGCTAAGCTACCCTCAAACCACATTGAACTCGATTGTCCCCCAGCCTTCAAAGGTGCATACCCAATGTCCGGCCTCTTCCATGGGTACCGCCTCCAGACAGCTCCCCGGCATGATTACCTGCCCTGGTTGAAATTCAATGTCGTAGGCCGCCAACCGATTAACCAGCCATGCCATGGCCGACAGCGGATTTCCCAGCACGTTGGCCGTATTGCCCGTCATCACCTGGCGGCCGTTGAAGGACAATGTGCCGCGCGTGTCGCTCAGGGTCAGCTCCGTCAGTTTGCGCGGCGTACCTCCGAGAATGATGGAGCCCGTCGACCCGTTGTCCGCCAGGGTGTCGGGCAGGTCGATGGCCCAGTTCTGCACGCGCGAATCGATGATCTCGACGGCAGGAATGGCGTAGTCGATTGCGTTCATCACGTCCACCACGGTGGCGTTGGGTCCACATAGAGGCCCTCGCAGCACGAAGGCTGGCTCGAGCTCCACGAAGGGTTTGATGTACTGATTGCGCGGCAGGGATGATCCCTCGTAAATGGTGGTGCTGGCGAGAAGGAAGCCATAGTCCGGGTGATCTAGTCCGAAGGCACTCTGCATCACCTTGGCGATGTTCCCCAGTTTATATCCCACCAGACGGTCACCTTTCTTGATAGCTTCCTCGGCGCCGATGCGCTGCACCTCGAAGGCACTGTCGGCATCCAAACCCGGCCAGGTCTTGGTAGGTGCCTGGATGGGAGTCTGGCTGTCTCGTGCAGAGCGCAAGGCCCGCGCAATTTCCTGGAGCTCGCTGGGCTGCATTGTATGTGAATGGGGTGTTGAAATCCAGAAGGTGAAGATGTGCAATGTACCGTATGCAAAATGTTAGATAGAGAAAAGATTCCTGGATTTTTGTTGCTTAAAGACGGCGCGAAGAACATGATATCCGACGTCGAAGCATGCCGAAACCCTGCGATATAGATCGCAGTCGTCATAAATCGCCAACCGACCTGTGCTGAGCCTATCTCGGATTTCAAAGCAGGCCTGAACGACACCGGATCAAGCCCCATGAGGACGTCGCTTCCGAGGCGAGTGGATCTGCCTTGCATCGGATGGCTTTCCCGATCTCGGGTGAATCCGAGCGATGAGTTGTTCATCGACCGTCTCGCGGATTTCCTCTCCAGACCTCAATGCAAAGTCAACACCCACCAGACAACATGACGCGCCTTCCTTTGCCTATCCCCGCTCCTATTGATCCGGACTATGTGCCACGATGCACCTTGAAAACCCTTCCGGCAACCACTCCGATCGAGTACATCCTTGCTCAGCTGGAGCGCGATGGCGCGGTGATCCTTCAAGATCTTGTGTCGCCGCAGGATCTCTCTGCTATCAACGCGGACCTAGAGCCTTGGAACGGCAGGCTGGCCCGTCAGCCAGCCGAGGGCGAGGTAAGCAGCAGCGGCGATGCGTTCACGACGATCCCGGCGCAAACCACCCTGGTGCCAGGACTGGTGGGCAAGTCGCCGACGGTCGCTCGGATTTGCGAGCTGCCTGTGCTAGAAGCTCTACGGCAGCGCATCTTGCGCGAGGAATTCACGGTTAACCGCGAGGGTCATATGGAACCCAATGCCATTGACCCGCTCCTTAGCCTGAGCGTGTCGATGAACATCGGATACGGGGCCCCGCGACAGCTGCTGCACCGCGACGATAATGTTCACGGCGTACGACATGGCCGCCATGGCCCCTGGAGCTTCACACAGGCCAGCCAGTTTGGATGCCTCATCGCGGGATGTCAAGTAAGTCGGCAAAATGGGGCTACGATGGTGATCCCGGGAAGCCATAAGTGGGATGACGAGAAGGAGGCGAGTGAGGATCAGGTCTGCTTTGCTGGTGTGTCTCAAACTACTATCAGTCGACTGCTGACCGAAAACTAACATAATTGGATTAGAAATGTCGCCGGGATCCGCGTTGATCTTTCTTGCGTCGACGTACCATGGCGGAGGACACAACTCGATTCCGGGGTCGGTCCGAACAATGCATGGCTTGTTCTTCATTCGTGGCACTCTTAGGACTGAGGAAAACCAGTTTTTGGCTGTCCCGCGAAGCAAGGCATGCCAGATGAGCCCCAAGATGTTGGAGTTGCTGGGGTATCGAAAGCCCACCACGGCGCTGGGGATCGTGGATAATACGAGCCCGGATGAGGATGTGACTGGCATCTGGGAGAGGGCAACCCAGTGATGATGATTTGAATCTGTCTTATTTGCCCATACTGCCACATGAGTTGGCTGCTTGAGATTATACAATCATTAGTGCACATTCCCCAGTCCTCCATCATAGATCTCATAAGCTCATGCTGCTCATACGACATAACAGCAGGGTCTCTATCGCATCGACTAGTAACACGGCATTTCCAACTCCCAAATGTATCAAAAGGCTCTCGTAAAAGTCCACCCCTACAGATGAGCAGGGTGCACCGTGTTGATTCCCCCGGTGACAATCATCTTCACGTTGAGATATTCCTCTACCCCATATTTGCTGCCCTCGCGCCCCATACCGGACTGCTTCACTCCGCCAAATCTATTGTAGTGAGTTAGTATATACCAGGAACCCGTCCAATGGCTATCAAGGGCTTACTTACGGTGCCGAAGCGTCGGAAATTACGCCAGTATTGATCGCTACCATGCCGGCCTCTAGCCTTTCAGAGACGCGATGTGCCTTTGCTAGGTCACTTGTCATCAGATACGAAGCCAAACCCACGTCGCAGTCATTAGCACGCCGGACCACCTCATTCTCCGTGGAGAACCTGGACAGAGCCGCCAGCGGGCCGAAGGTTTCTTCCCTCGCCACCTGCATCGAGTCGTCGACGTCGCCTAGGATGGTGAGGTCGTGGAAATTGGCACCCAAGGCAGGGAGGCGACTGCCCCCCAGCAGTAAAGTAGCATTCTTGTCCACGGCGTCTTGGATATGCTCGGCCACTTTGGACACCCCGTTGGTCAAGGGACCGTGAGTCACCGAGGCATCGTCCAGACCGTGCCCAACGACATATTTCTGAACTTCCTGCACTAGCCGTTGGCTGAAGCGATCGTAAATTCCCTGTTGGACGAAGATGCGGTTGGCGCAGACGCAGGTTTGACCGGTCACCTTGAACTTGCTGACCAGAGCGCTCGCCACGGCCGTCTCGAGATCAGCGTCGTCGAAGACAATGAACGGTGCGTTGCCTCCAAGCTCCAGACTAAGTTTCTTCAAGGACTGACTGGACTGCTGCATGAGAAGACGGCCCACCCGGGTCGACCCCGTGAACGAGATCTTCTTGACAACTTCTGATTCGCAGAGCAGCTGGCCTAAGGAGGGCGTGTTGGCCATAGCCGTCACCACATTGAGGACTCCATTCGGAACACCGGCACGCGCTGCCAGCACGGCCATCGCATTGGATGCGAATGGGGTCAGTCCGTCCGACTTGAGCACCACCGTACACCCGGCGGCCAGTGCGGCGGCCACCTTCCGCGCCCCCATAGCAATGGGAAAGTTCCACGGCGTGATGAGTCCGCAGACGCCCACCGGCTCCTTGAGCACTTGCGTGCGGCTGGTTGGGTTGCTATGCGGCACGACGTCGCCGTAGATGCGTGGTGCCTCTTCGGCGAACCATTCGAAGAAGCTCGCTGCGAAGACGACCTCTCCCTCCGCGTCCCCTTTGGCCTTGCCATTTTCCGCCGTGATGATGCGGCCGATGTCCTCTTTGTTGTCCACCAAAAGATCTGCCCAACGGCGCAAAATGCGGCCTCGCTGTCTGCCGGAGAAGGATCGCCAGGTCGGAAATGCTCGGGCGGCTGCTTGGACGGCGTCATTTAGATCTTGTGCGTTCGACTCGGGGCACGCGCCGAGGAAGTCTTCAGACGCAGGATTATATACACTGAAGATCGCATTTGACTGGGAAGATGTCCACGCGCCATCAACGAAAGCCTTCTCGACGAAGAGGCTGGGATCTTTCAAACTGGATGCGAAGGATGTCATTCTGTGCCGAGAAGTGACGCAACGGAGGTAAACATAGGATTAAAAGAGTACATGTGCTTCAAGGGCAAGCTGAAATTGGCATTCAATTGCCTGGTATAAGTACTTCTGGCCGATTGCTGCCACTGCTACAAAACCATGCGGAATTGTGCCAACCGGTCATTCCGAAGCTCTCGGGATCTTCTTGCTTAGGGCTGACTGGGATCGGATGCGCCATCCGGGAGCCGAGGGAACCAGCCGGTTTGCTGCATATTCTAGACCGAGAGTTGCGTGCATGCGATCCCAACCAGCGCCAACGCCAGACCTCCTGCTGTCTCTGAGTCTATTTCCAGCCACCGCGATAGGCGAGCGATGCGGTTTCCGGTGGAGCCCTCGGGACTCACCCGATCGCCCAATCAACGACAATGTAGACATTAGGACACAGTAGCCTGTCGAACGCGTTCCCGATATCGAGCGACTTAAATAGCATCGCGTGTCGCTCGGGTACCTCAAGGATTGGGGTTACACTGTGATACGGATCGGCTTCCCATTCCGCAAGGAGATGGTTTCTATGTCTATCTGCTCGGAGAATGACAAGCCATTCCAATTCAGGATAATCTCAGATCCGATTCAAACATCCAAGGCCTTGATCTGTACATTCGCAGGGGTGGCTACAGTTCGAATAGCAAGAAAGCCCAGCTACATAAACAGTCACGGTATCCAGACTTGAAGCGTGCCAAAGATCAGCAGCTCCGCACACGCTCACTTCTCACAGAACTTTGTGTCGTGTATAGTTTCGAAGAGTCGCGGTGTGGAAGCAACCTCATTCACTGCAGAGAACTATGGTCCCGATTGCACTGAGCTCTCCAGCCACTGGGCCACCCAGAGTGGTTGGTCCTGCAACAAAGACGGCGACGCGTCCTGCCGATGCTCTGCCCCAGTGGTTGGTGGACAGCTCTCAAATCGACGACCGAGAGCCTTTCGATGCCAAGAAGCATCTAAGCTTTCAATCCCCCAGCAGGATCTACACAATGAAGGAGATTGGGCTCGAGGGCCAGGGAATTTCGCCGCATGCCGTGTCCGAACCATTCTCGCTCTTCACCGAAGAAGCCGTGCGGCAAATGAGAGCCGAGATCTTCAGCCCAGACGTTCTCGATCATTGTCGATTTGCATCCACCTTTAACCAAAACATGATCCGAGGAATGGGTCCTGTGTAAGTACACCTCGGGATCTTCTGTGATTCGTACTAATTGGTGGCAGGAGGGCCCCATTTACGTACGATGCGTGGAACTCGCCGGAGCTGCTGGCCAAAATCTCCCAGGTAGCCGGACTCGATTTGGTGCCGGTTTTTGATCACGACATCGCCAACATCAACATTTCGGTTGGTGGCGGAGGCGACCAATTGACGCCGCCTCGGAACGAGCCGCTGGACGACGATCTGTCGAGCGTGGCGTGGCACTACGACAGCTTTCCTTTCGTTTGCGTGACCATGATCTCCAACTGTGAGGGCATGGTGGGAGGTGAGACGGCGCTGCGAACGGGGACGGGGGAAGTGATGAAAGTACGTGGGCCAGCTATGGTAAGCCTTCTGACGGTCCTCATCCCCTTATGGTATCACACTGAAATCTTGCAGGGGACCGCTGTGGTGATGCAGGGAAGATATATCGAGCATCAGGCGCTCAAAGCGCTGGGAGGTCGTGAACGGATCAGCATGGTCACTGCATTCCGACCCAAGTCGCCATTTGTCAAGGACGAGTCGATCCTAACGGGTGTCCGGGGTATTAGTGTCCTGTCAGATCTCTATAGCCAGTATACGGAATACCGCTTGGATATCTTGGAGGAGCGCGTCCGTGCTCGCCAGAAATTCGAACGCCAGCGTCAAGTAGCCAAGCGCCAATTCGATACCGCCGATATGAGGGACTGGTTGACCGAACAGAAGGAATTTATCGAGGCAATGCTCACGGAACTTCACGAACCCTGAGACTTGATAGCCTGTTCTTATGTGGGTTTAATATGATACTCTATGAGTCCAGTTTCGTGTCATTAAAACTTTCTGCTTACTGGCTCGAGCTTAATTCGAACCAACAACCAAATATTGCGGGAGGTTCTGAGCAGAAGTATTGAATGACAAAATTATCCTGGAGAAGTCTTTCGGGCCGTCAAACATATATCTCGGCGCGAGTCTGATGGCTTACACCACGACAAACCATAAAGAGAACCCGGGAGAGCCCATGTGACTCCAGTTCAAGGCTCTAGGAACTGGATTTTCAAGGAACAGCAGCGCTTAGAAGGCGTTGCCGAAACTCCCTTGTGGACTGAGCCGAGCCGATGGACCTGTGGCGGTTGATTTGTTTGAGTTGAATGATCGAATCCCAGATGCAACTCCCACTGTGAATGGGAAGCGAACAAGAAAAGGAGAATGGTCGTATCTTCATGATAAAATCACCTGCAAACTATCCCTTGATTCCCAAGCTCCCTAGACCGCAGACAATCACAAGACACTGTCGCCGGATATGGCTAGAAAGATCTAGACAACCCCCCGGTACTGCAGCGACAATATCATATATGCAAGCCACGATCTGCATTTTAATGCCGTGGAGATTGCTTTGACCAAGACATGTAAGACTCTTCTGGAACAGTACTAAAAGATGAGAGGGTTGTTACCGTTGGACTCCCAAAAAGGGCCGACTGGAATTGGCCCCTTGCTTCCGTGCCCTTTAATGTAGAAGAGGTCTCGACCTTTTCGCTGGACCCAATCGCCAGGTCTAGCCAAAGACTACTGGCTACCACGACAAGAGAATCATGTAAGGGCATCTGTCGCAATGCCCAAGGTGACCTTCAAAGCAAGCATATAGTGGCATAGCCTCGGCTGTCGGGCTCCCCGGACAGATCCAAGCCACCAGAGCACTGCCCTACCGCAGGTAGAGATAAGAGACATTTGTTTGATGTTGAAAGCTGCATTAAAGCCTGTAGCCTCTTTCACGGTATTGGGACGCTCTTCCAGCGAGGGGCTATTCATGGGATGCTCTGGTACAGAGGTCTAGCCTCTCAGTACCCGCGGAATCCCCGGTATCATGAATATCCCGCGGATAGGAAGGCCGCCGAAATAATCACCGGACTAGCCCCCAGGTATCCACATTCTTGAACCCAGGCGTCCCATCCCCTTGACCAAGATAGTAGCACTCTGCCCCTACATCCAGGATTGCATTCAGGGCAGAACTGGGCCCGAGTAGTGGACCGAACATAATCATCTCTCGCTCTTTATTTCGGTGTAAAATATATATAGACCGATCCTCCTAGCAGCTTATGAGGACGTAACTAATCCACTTTATTGATTCTATTCATCGGGGAATATAGAACTGACGACAGAACTGGCACATTGCCATTGGTTTTCCTATGTGCTGGAACTCAGAGACCTCCAGTTTTACAACTTACGGGTGACTCTCTTTACGTTTCCTGCTACAGAATACTGCATTTTCTGCCTTATTAACTGAAGGACCGAGAGTGTGGTGCGATTGCTTCCAATATACAACTTTTCGTCTCGAATAGAGCTATCAAACTCGATATTGATTTATCCAATACGCACATTATATCCGCCAGTCTGCGTGTATCAATATGAAACCTCCAATTATCATAACCGAGACTGACTCTGACGAAAAGCCCGACTCATTTCTGGATCTCGGTAAATGTCCAAGCAACTGCGCCAACGGCGAGTCCTTGCAGCGCCATCTTAGTTCCCGACAGGTGCAGATGGTTGCCATCGGGGGGTCCATCGGAACCGCGCTTTTTATCACGATTGGTAACGGGGTGATGCATGGCGCCGGCAGCTTGCTCATTGGATTTGTTCTGCATGCAATCATCATGGCTCAGGTCAATAACGCGTTGGCCGAGATGACCATCTTCATGCCCGTGAGCGCGGCTTTTATCCAGCACGCCAGTGCCTGGGTCGATCAGGCTTGGGGATTTATGATAGGATGGAATTTCTGCATCTTCGAGGGCCTATTGATCCCCTTCGAGATTACCGCGCTTAATATGGTTCTGACCTATTGGCGCGACGACATTCCTTCCGCTGCAGTGATCTCGGTGACCATCTTTTTATACCTGTATGTGAGCAATTGTCACCCCACTGTGGTAGCGAGAAGGCCAAAACTAAATGGTGAATTCCAATCATACTACAGAATAACTAACGCCTTCGCGGTAAAATACTTTGGAGAAGCCGAATTCTGGCTGTCCAGCGGTAAGGTTCTGCTGATTCTGATCCTCTATCTCTTCACCTTCGTCACGATGGTAGGGGGTAATCCTCAGCGCGATGCTTATGGCTTTCGCAACTGGAACAAGCCGGTATGGCTTTTCTGTGCCCCTAGATCTCCTAGCAGAGACTTTCTGACTAATTTGCCTCCTTCCGAGACTCGTAGGCGCCTTTTGTGGAGCATATCTCTACAGGTAGTCTCGGCCGGTTCCAAGGGGTTCTTGTTGCCATCTGGCAAGCTGCCTTTACCATCGCCGGTCCCGAATATCTAGCAGCAGTGGCGGGTGAAACGAAACAACCGCGGAAGACGTTGCGAGCAGCCTTCAAATCTGTCTACTGGCGCTTCGCGGTCTTTTTCATCGGAGGCGCCCTTTGTGCGGGGATTATATGCCCAGCAAATGACCCGACGCTTTTATACTCGTTGATCTCCGGCGAGACAGGCACGGGAGCGTCTTCGCCCTTCGTTATTGCCATGAAGAATATGAAGATCGAAGGACTGCCACATGTTGTCAATGCTCTTCTTGTCACTACCATCTACTCGGCCGGCGACGCGTATGTCTATACCACGTCGCGCAGCCTGCTCGGCCTGGCGGAAAACGGCCACGCGCCACAATTTTTGCGCAAATGCACGAAAAACGGGGTACCGATCTACGGCCTCGGGGTTGCGCTCGCCTTTGCCTGTCTGGCGTATTTGCAGCTTGGCAGCGGGTCTACCGTCATCTTGAGCTGGTGAGCCATTTCGGTGCCAGGATGTTGAACGTGGCTAATCCTCCCAGGCTGACGAACCTTATCACGGGGGGTACTCTGGTAACCTACATCACACTCTGCGTCAACTATCTCTTCTTCTATCGAGCGCTGAGCCGACAGGGGTACAACCGCTCGGAGCTACCGTACTGTGGGTGGTTTCAGCCCTGGGGCACCTGGATTGCCCTAGCTTGGTTGGTATGTATAGAGGTTTTCTATGGATACGAAATCTTCCTGAAGGGTAGATGGGACACCGGGTCCTTTTTCAGCCACTACACCATGGCTTTTCTCGCCATCGCCACTTTCTGCGGCTGGAAATTTGGAAATCACACTCGGTCTGTGGCCCCGGAAGAGGCAGATCTTGTGTGGGCCCGGCCAGCCATCGATCACCACGAAGCCACACTAGACCAAGAGGAAGGGGAAGATCTCTACGGTTGGCTGGTGCGAAAACTGAAACCATACCAGGTGCAGGGAGAATGGATTGTTCGTACTCAGGTATAGTATCCAGCTCAGGGCATCGGTTTCCGAAATCTAATCTGGTCGTATGGATGTCATCTACAATATTCCATTTTAGGCTCAGAGTTATATTGATGTTCAGAGAGAAACATCAGTCATATTATCTGTAACATTGAATCCTAACGTATTTGATGATGCCCTATAGACCTACCAGGTAATGTGGACTAAGCCGATTCTGGGTGGTTAAACTCAAAAAAGCTAAAAACAGAAATGAAAAAAAGATCTCTGGATTTCATCACCAACACTTCACTTCATCTTGCTCCTGAGACTGTTCGACACAAAACGAAATTCAGCATTCATCATGGCCTGGATCACACTGCCTCCAGAGGTATTCGAGATCATACTCACATATCTCGATCTTGACAGTGTCAAGGCCCTTCGTCTGACAAGCCGACAGCTCGCGCAAAGTTGCATCGGTCCCCACTTTTTACGGTGCATTCAACAACCCGTCTTCGATGTATCATCGTCCAACCTGCGTTCTCTTCGTGCCCTGGCTTGCAATCCCGCCCTCAGCAAGGTTATTCATTCTCTGACCTTCATTGCAACGTCCCTGGACTCTTCCGAATTGGAGAAGATCGTGGAGTCTGGAAGTAACGTGGTACGGAAAGCCATTGAATACACTACCGAATAACTCTCAAGCGCCAAATCCGATCTGATCTGGTTAAAGGAACAACAAAAGGAACGAGCCAGTGAGTCGTCGAGCGAGGTCATCGGACTTATTCAAATTGGTTTGAAAGGTTTTAGCAAGTTGAATTCAATCTATTTGGATGCTGCCGTCATTACCGGACGTACGCAGAGAGAATCCGCTGGGAAAGAGCAGTGGCATCTGCTCTGGATGCGAGCATCGCATGTATTCTCCTTGGTAGTGACTACTATGGTGCAGAGCGGGACCTCAGTGAAGAAACTCAATGCATATCGCCCTACTCCCAGATGTTGCATCCCATCTGGTCATATCACCACCTATGCATCAGGTCTCAGCCAGAGGGAGCTAGACATACTGGGCATGCGCCTGGAATCACTGCAGCTCAGTATTTCTGGTGAGGTACAGAAGGTCCCTGAAACTTCTGAACTAGACGGCGATAATCTAAGTGAATACGAAAAAGCGTCTCGTTTCGCGTTTGGCTCATCGCTTGGATTATTCTCATGCGATGATCCTTGTGCCGTGCTAGCTGATGGAACAACAGGAATCACATCCCTACTCAGGTCTGCACCAGCTCTTCGAGAGTTGGATCTATCTTTCCGTCGTACTACCACCGGTGAGCTTCTGAGAAGCTACGACAGGCTTGTGGAAAGTATCGCCTGTGAAACCCGGTTCCCGGCACTTGAAAAATGCGCACTTTGTGGATTTCAGGCAAAGGGAGAGCCGATTCTACTCTTTCTGCAGAAGCACCCCGACCTTCGTTCGTTCACATTGCGTGAGTGTACTTTGACCATTGGCTCATGGATGCCGATATTTTATCACCTATGCCAATCAATGCCGCGGCTAGACAGCCTCAGCCTTTCAAACCTGAATGGAAAGCATATGCAGAACCCAAAGCATGCGTCACGCGGCATGAATGACCAAACGCAAGAGGAAGAGGATGAGGAGCAGGAGGTCGATGGGATAGTGAATTTGCAGCCTATTTGGGACACAGGTCGTCCATCGCGTGAGACAAGCTTCTCGATGGGTTGATGGAGATTTGTGCACACCAGAAACTTCAATCGCGAAGACCTGAAGAAAGGGCTTTCTTTTCAACCGAGTAAGAGGGGTGGGCGAGCTCTCGGCTCTCCAGAACTTTTGTGGTGGAGGCGGTCTCGGACAGCGGAGTTTGGACCTCCACAAGGCTGTGAAATGGTTCGGGAATATGCTTTATATCATTACCCCTACAGGCTCTGATTTGCCTTTCGACCACCTTTTATAGAAATCGTCAACTGAGTAGAATTAAATATCAGATCGCCAAATCGACATTTCATTATATACGTTAGATTGTCACGTTTCTATTCAATACGCTCGGACTATAACAGGAGAGGTTTATTTGGACACAGATAAATAGAATGCAACACCAAAAGAACTTGGAAAGCAGTTCATGACTATTGCTGGAGAAAGTACAATAAAGCTTTGATACGCTGACAGATTGGTACTCCGTATACTGGATTACGTTGAGTTAGCTGTGAGCCACGGCAATTAGTTGCTGTACTTGTAAGAAAGGACAGACGGATCATTCTTGATCTTGGACTATGTACGACCTATATAGATCTGATCTCACTTACGCGTGCGTGCCTCTTCCGCCCTAGATAGGACTTTCCTGAGAACGTTCTTCGTCATCTGTGCAATGTCATTCGAATAGTTGTTCCAGGCCAAGGAATTGTTCCAATTGATGCTGCCCACACTGAAGACAGCCCCGTTGCGGTTGGTGTCATAATAGACAATATCACTGCGCACCATCTCGGAGGTAGAGCCGAGGGTGCCAATCATGGGGAAAATCAGTTCCTCATTGAACAGCATAAAGTGGTCATCGTGGCGTTCACTGCGCGCGACAAGAACGGTATTCAACGGCGAGCCAATCCCATAATCAACGCGGTCCAGCTCGTCGCCACTAGCCCCTCCAGCGAGTCCAGCCTTGCCTAGCATAGCCTTTGTGTCAATCCCTTCCCAGATCCAGCTGAACTGTGGGTTGGTCGTGGAGGTGGTGGAAGGGTGGAACGGTCGACCGGGGCCTTTACCCGAGGCGCAACTGCCAATGCCAAACAGCTCGTTGGGCGAGCGGCCAATGGATCGCCAAAGACCTCCCTGGACGCACTCCAGGGCATGCCAGCGGTCTCCGTATGGGAGCTCATGCGTACGGGCGCCTACATCGGCGCGGCGCACCTCCATGCGCCATGGTCGCTTGCGATCGATCAAAGAGCGCCACTGGGGCCATTTGCTGCATGTGAGATAGTGTTCATCAAAAGGGAAGATGACAGAAACTTACGTAGAAGCCATTTCCACCAAGATACATTATGGATCCGCCTAGCTTGGCGAAGCCCTCATACGCGTCCAACGAACGGAGTGAGGGATATTCTGGATGTGAGCCTGAAATAACTACATCGTAGCTCGCTAAGACAGAAGGTCCGTAGAGGTCAAGATCATGATCCGTCAGAATATCGTAGCCATCGCCTAGCTTCTCCTCCAGGAAGCCCACCATGAGCAAGTCCGCTGAGAACTCCCGCGGGCGTTCAAATCCCCAGTGAACATAATCGGGGCGCAGATTAAGAATAGGGCGCTTCGAGGTGCTGAACACGTTGCCCGATCCGTCGCTGTGAATATCGTAGATAGACAAGCCCAGATCACTTCGGCGAACCATGCGCTCATAGTTCACCGACTTGAGTAGCTGCACCCCTTCTGGGAAAGAAATATGCGTGGGCTTGCTGTCGTCGTACATATGTTCGTTGGCATAGGCCAAGTATGTAAAAGTGGAAAAGACAAATGCCGTTCTTGCATGAGAACGCAGAGCACTTGGACGCACGAAAAAGACAATCGAGTCACTGACAGAGCCCTCGGTGTCTTCAACCTCGATAGCGTACGCGCCCGAACGAAGACCCGATGGGACGGCAAAGGAGAAGTCCGTCTCCCAGTCTGCATCATCCAAGTCGTCCTCGTGGAAATGGATTGCACCATATCCATATGTCGCTGCTTCCCAGCTCTTTCCGATCAGATTGTGATCGTAATCATGACCGCGAACGGCTCGCGTCGGAGCATGGACAAGGCGACCATTCAACCCGGACCCCGACGTGTCAATAATCTCATCGGTGGAGATACCAATCGAGAAGTCATAGATTGCCAGGTCTCGTGGGCGAGAGCCTAAAGACCGCAGGCACGGCGAATCCAATCGGCCATTGAAGAAGTGTTTTGGGTGAACGGCGCCGGACGGAGTGATCTCGTCATGCTCAGCGGCGAACAGGAGGGTCCTGGGAGAGTTGAGATTGGCCGCTTCGGACAGAGTGGCCCGGAGCTCGGCGGGGTCTGGAGCAGGTTCTAGGTGGTATGGTAGATGCTTTATTGTCAGATCAACCCGTTGGCGGTCGATCTGGAGATCCAAGGAGCACCATCGCTGGCAGCGCGGCGAGAAGGGAACAGTGAGCGACTCAACCCGGGTGCCGGTCCCAATCAGGATGAGCAGTTTCTGCTCTATATCAATGGAAAGGCTGAAACCCGTTGCGCTCTTCACGTCGAGGTTGGAGACCAGTGTTTGGATGTACTCGTGGTCAAGCTTCCACGGCTCGAAGAAAAGACTGACATGAATCCCCTCGAGGGGATGTAGACGCATTTCCTGGGGCCATCTAGCCACTTCGCCAAAGGAGCCTGGAAATGCCGTTTGGAACCGGCCGCTACACTGTCCTTTCGGACCCTCTTCAATTACTTCTTTCTTCACTGGGGGTGCATTGTGGACTTTCAGCCCCTGCAGGAGACGGACAAGGCGATATTGGAGGGAGGGGCGTGTAGAGGAAATCTGTGCTATTGTCAGAATCAAACGAATAGAAGACAGGATATTGACGATAGCGAAGAGCCGAGAACTGACCTTCACCTCCGCCGTGTCCCCTGGGGAGATGATCCAAGGCTGGACATATCCAATGATTTCATCGACGGTTGCGCTGAGCGAAGCGCGGCCTTTAGTCATGTTGCTCGAGTTACTTGTTCTTCGTTGCTATAGACCGTGGTAGTCTGGCTGTGATCACACACCGAGCGAATTCCTTCGCCATATTTATACCGGTTTCCAGACTGAGGCTGGCGTTGGTATATTCGGTAGGACTGAAGGAATGGTGTGCATCTCCGGCTTACCCGTTGGCGTTCTCCTGCTAGATCGGGTAAACCATGAGTGGCTTCGGACGAAGGGCTGCTGGGGTGTAGATCCGGACCCCCTCGTCGGGCCCAGAATCGGGTCAGTCCGAGCAACCTCCCGCCACCCCCGCATCTTGGCAGCAAGGATGCATTCGCGGGGATCTCCTCGATCGATTATCTCGGTTGCCCGAATGGGGAAGATTCGACGGCATTTCCAAAGCTAAGGCCTCGACGTTGACAGCGGCTTATGCTGGAGCCGATCCTTTTAGCCGGTCTTTATAAGGCTGGCCTTGGAAAGGTTGAGGCCAGTTGCTATAACAAGTAAAATGCTTCGCGGGTTCGGCATGAAGCCGTACGTGACACAAAGGAGCCAACTGTCATTGCCTCAACAGGAAGGATGAGGATGAGCGGTGGTACAGATAGTAAAAGCCTGAGATGACGAAATCGACCCACCCTCACAACTTCCACCTATGCATCTAATGTAGACCCCGGACCCCATACCCCAGACTCTGTACCCCAGATTCATCTTCCCTGTGGAGACTACAAAGACCCTAACTGCCCATCCCCGTCGTTCCTATAGATCGTTATGTGGCGTAGTCGTAGCACGAAACTCTATACCAGGGCATGTGAGGGGGAAACAATATATAAACCTGCCCGTTGTCCCCGGCACTTCGTTCGAGAGCCACTTTATCCAGGTCTCTCATCCAACACAACATGACTGCAGCAGCGGATCTCTCTGCTGAAGCAGAGCTTTACTTCATTCCCGGTACCGTCCATCTTCTAGACCTACAGGGACATATGAATGTCAGGCATGCTGCCGACCACACAGATGTCGTCCTTGTCCCTGCCCCATCTAACCATCCTGATGACCCCCTAAACTGGTCTCCCCGTCGCAAGCACCTGTCCGCCTTCTGCATGGCACTGTATGTCGGTTGTTCCTCCTCGTCACCCTTCACTGACAGTGCTTGGAGATATGTGCTGGTGGTGGGTATCTGCGCATCCATGCTTTACTCAACGTTGGCGACACTTTCGAAGAAAAGCGGGCTAAGTGTCAACAACCTGAATGCGGGCACCGGCTATATGGTACGCAAGCATTGGTTCTGGAACCCCTGGCTGAGACTGACCGAACGCCAAGTTTCTCACCTATGGTTGGGGTTGTGTCCTCTTCCAAGCCCTAGCATTACAGTACGGCAAGAGACCCGCCTACCTAATCTCTCTCCTGGGCACGATAGTATGTCTTCTTATATTCGTGGCTTCCCTGTGTTGATCTAGACTAATGCCCTATAGGCGATAATGGTTTGGCAGCCATTCATCACGAAGAACGGCGAATGGATTGCAGCAAAGCTCTTGCAAGGCCTTTTCGGTGCCCCAATGGAATCTCTCGCTGAAATCTCCGTATCGGATGTTGTACGCTCCCCTGGCCTACGAAAGCTCATATGGCAGCCTTTTAAGCAAGAGATAGTTTTTCACCCATGAGCGAGGTCTCTATATGGCCATTTATGCCATGGCCCTGGCCTATAGCAATAATTTGGCGCCTCTCATGATGGGATTCATTAATGATGGCCAGAGCCTGGAGTGGACCTTTGTGAGAAATCCTCTGTACTGCGTTCGCTTTTCATAGATTGCTCACCTACCGACCAGTACTGGTGTGCCATCTTCTGTGGCTTCGCCCTCCTGTTCTGCTTCTTCTTTATGGAAGAAACAAATTTCCCCCGCTCCAACATCACTGGACAGGAAGAAGCCTAACCCACAGGCCCTGGGGAAAGATATGTGATTTGCATTTAGGGTGCCGAGCAAGGCGGCCTGTGATTGGCTGCTCGATCGGCAATACAACATGGTTTTCCTTTAATTTGTCACATGGTTTTCATTTAGTTTCCATACTCCGATTCCTTCCAAAATCAGATATGATATTGATCAAGTACTTATTTATAACTATTCAAAAATTAAGGCTGGTCCATCGTGAATCACGTTTATAGGAGCCGGTTTTCGGTAAGAGGTTATTTTGTTGGGGTGCCGATCGGGACAACAACCTACCCGTAAATCTATATATATATGTCCGTCCCCCCAGACACCCCGTTGCAAGAACCGACTTATTTTCAATCCTTATTTTATATTAAGCTTATTATTCTTCGTCTACGCCAGTTAACCCAGCTATCATAGAACATCAAATTTTTACACAGATAGAAACATTACCAGTGATCATCTGCAAAATATGCCGGCATAAAGTATGGCCCAAGGAAGTTCAATATCATTTAAAAAATAGAGCCCATCTATCAGTAACACACCAGGATACCGTCCAGATCAGCAAAACAGTCACACAGTAGTCCAACCTCGTCCATGAGCCCACTGCAATCAATTAACCGCAGCAGCTAGAGCAGCCCATTACTAGATTACCAATCTATACTAATAAACTGTTATGCCAACAGGGCCCCCAGTGCCAGTACATGACCCGAAATATTAAAACCATGCGCGAACACTGGCGCAAGGCACATCAATAGTCCCAGTATCCCGGATATGGCCGGATTTCCCAGACCAAGCAGGAACAAGCTGATTCCCAGCTCGCACAAGCATACATCTTAGTTTCGTACCAGCGCATATTTCCTACCTGGCACGGCTTCTAGAACATTCCTATTATCCGCGACAAGGATCTCCCCCCCAGTAATCCCGACGCGATCGAGCAGGCGCTACAAGAAGTCAAGACCGCGTGGACTAAGATCCAGGCTACCTGTAAGGCGCAGGAGACCATCCAGGCGTGCGAGATTATTAATATAAACCTGTGGCTCCGGATAACCGGGTAGACCACATATCTGGAAAATATCGCCTCTTACAATTTAACACGCAGTATCACCACGCCCGAGACCGAGGAGAACATTACGGCGCCTGATAATCCGGTTGAGCAGGGGGTGCATTAATTATAAACAACAATAGAACAGCTCGTGCGCAAGTGCCAGCAAACAGTCCAGTATAATAACTCCTTAATTCAATTTACCGCGGTTCAGTCCAACGCCGGAACCGCGCCCCCGTACCAGCCGCTGCAGGCATACATGGATACCGACAGCATTACCAAACATGTCCAGCCGTGGCAGCGGATCCTCGCGTTCATTACCCGCACGCAGGCCCCCCACGAGTGGACCAGTCCCCTATATAGGATGACTCCCCGGCAGCACAAGCGATAGTAACAGCTGTGGGCATTAGCCACGCAGCCCAAGCCCAAATCCGAGCCCGAGTCATAGGACGAAGGCGTTAAGACCAATCTAATAGTCAAGTGGATAATAAGCCCGCTGGAGCAGCGGTATCTAAAGTTCTATATTAAGCTACTAAACCAGAAGCAGCGGGGATATAAGTACGAGAGTGTGCTCATGTGTGCCATAACAGTACAGGGCTGGAGCCACGACCGGTGGCGGGATACCGAGAGCTACCCCCCGATCTTATCGCGGGTGATCAAGATAGCGCGGTTTATAGTAGTGCAGAAGGCGCTGTGGCTAGATCCGGATCCCAAAACAATCATCCAGACCTGGCTGCGGCGGGCCAGCTACACATAGTAGACACTAGCCAGCGCGGATGACACGCTTAAGGATCTGGCGCCGGACAAGAGATACGACAGTGCGGACGAGGAGACTGTCCACAGGCCGAGTATTAGAATATTACCACCCCTCTTATCACCCCCTATATCATCCATGCGGGCCAGTAGCCAGGAGCCCCAGCTATTAATGGCTTCCCGGATCTACTATACAGGCAAATTATTCCAGGAGCAAGTCAAGTAGATAATACTGATATTTATAATACAGGGCACGGCCGGGCCGATGCAGATGCTACTAGACTGGCGGACATACAGACTAAAGATCTATTATAATACCACGGTGGTCGGGTATATTACCTGGCACGGGAGCAAGGAGATTAGATACTAGCATCTGCGGTTTACTATCAGCAATTTCCGCGGATTCACACACAGGCTAGTCAGGGCCACACAGCAGATCCTGTGTGATATATTAAGGGTCCGGCAGGCGCAGGAGATCCCGGCCATCCCATGGCACGCCATCTATAATAATCCCACGCAGCAGACGGTAGGATGGAGCTTCCTAAAAGACAGGCACACACAGTGGCCGGTCAACAGGCAGCAATAAATCCGTGATCAGGTGCAGGCTAAGCCGGCGCTGCAGGCGCGCTTGACCGTGCAACAACATTAACACTAACTACACCCCCCGGCCGTAGCACAGTACTTCCAGCAGATAACTCGCTTTAAAGAAAAGCTAGCCGTACTAGTGTAGGTAAGCGGCGGGCAGCCAGCGCGGGCACCCGAGCTGCTGAGTATCCAGCATATCAACACAATAACTAACCGACAGCGTAATATATATATCAAAGACAGGCTAGTGGCGGTAATCAGCGCATATTATAAGGGGTTTTACGCCAGCAACAATATCAAGCTAATCCACTGATATCTGCCGCAGGAGGTCAGAGAGCTACTAGTATAATATTTATAGCTTATCCTGCCATTTATGTAGCAGCTGGAGATATAATAGATATGGCAAGAGTCACCATCCAATCCACCCGCGCGTCTTTCCCACCGGGAGGATACATTCGTCTGGGGCCCTGATCCCGGGACCTGGCGCCGGTAATCCTCAGAACAGCTGCGGGAGATATTCAAGCGCGAGACACAGATACAGTTACACGCGCCAGTCCATCTCCAGACATACCGCGAGATCACCATCAGGATCAGCCGACAGTTCCTACAGCCGTCCAGCGCATTCACATATAACACACAAGAGGCACAGGAGGGGATGGCAGCAGCACTTAATCCTAATACAGAGGATAGAATAGACCCAGAGCAGTAAATAAGCCACATCGCGGATCTACAGGCGGCGCACTCGTCCTACCTGGCTGGTACCATATACACGCGCGAGATCCTAGAGCAGGCAGGCATAATAATATACCAGCAGCAGCTGTTCCAGCTCTCCAGTATAAACTAGTACCAGTTCTTAGCATTTACGTCAGCGGCGCACCTGTCGTCCGCGCCGGCCGGCACCGAGCCCCCGCGAAAGCAGTCCCCATAGGAGGCGGAGGCAGAGGAGAACCAGCTCGCCCGGCAGCACGGGCTGCACGTGGCCGACCCGGGTCAGGCACTACGCGCAATAAACAGACAGGCGCACGCCACGCTACAAGGGGTCCAGGGTCCGGTCATCTGGGCGATCTAGAACAGGCTGAGCCCGGTAGTCGCGGTAATACCCACCAGCAGAGGGAAGAGCATACTATTCATACTGCCGGCATTTATCACGCCTGGGGGAATAATAATTATGGTAGTCCTACTAATAGCACTTCGCGGGGATATGATACAGTAGTATCAGGCGCTCGGGATCTCGTGCGTGACATAGGAAAGCCAGCAGCCCCCGGATGAGGCCACAATCATGCTAGTCATGCCCGAGTCAGCTGTTACAAAAAACTTCCAGACTTTTATTAACCGGCTGCGGCAGACACAGCGGCTGGACCGGATTATAATTAACAAATGCCACACGGTGCTAAACAAGCAGCAGGACTTTCAGCCAGAGCTGTGGTAACTGGGATAGTTAGACCATACCCGCACACAGATAATACTACTAACAGCCACGCTGCCGCCCCGGCTGGAGCCCGCGTTATAATAACGCATAAAATACACGCGCGGGTTAGTACACTTGTTCTGGGACCGCACCAGCCAGCCCAATATCGCGTACCGGGTATAACAGCCCGCAATCCCCGCGCGAACAGGTTCCGGCTGGGTAACCAGCGCGACAGTGCTGGCATTCCTCGCGGCGCGGATCCGGCAGGCCCGGGACAGGAAGATAATCGTATACGGGTCTACAATCAGCCAGGTGGTTACCGTGGCCCGGACACTAATATACAAGACATTTTACAGCACGCAGGTTAATAAGGACTCCATCCTAGAACAGTTTACCACCAGCCAGACGCGGGTAATTACGGCCACCAGTACACTCAGGATAGGAGTGGATATTCCCAACATCCAGAGTATCATCTATCTCAGTATGCCCTGATCTTTGCTAGATTACAAACAGAAGAGCGGACGCGCTGGCCGGGACAAATAATCCAGTAAAGTAATTATCATCTATCCCACCGAGGGAGCTTACTTTATAGCTAATATCTCAAATAATATTCCTGCTGCCGACTCCACCAATAACTCCACCGAGCTTATTACCCAGTATATAGGAATTACGCCCGGGATCAAATACTAATAATATATTTTAGATCAGTACTTAAATAAGATAATTAACAGATACTGCCGGCAGCATTATCAGAATTCCGATATATATAAAATCCGGTGTAATGGATGTAATCCCGATTAGGAAGTGTTAGAGTCTATTATTAGCACCCCCCCAGCCCTAGTATCCATATTAATTAATTCCCCCGTTCCCGAGATCGCCCGCGAACCCGTCCCGAGCCCAAGTGCATCCCACAGTCCCGCGCATAATACCACATCCGGTGTGACATTAATCACCCAGATCGGACATTCGTCGTCCATCTGATCCCCCGGTTCCCCGGCCCGTGCCATCAACAGCAGTCCGCGCCCCCGTTCCAAGCGCTAACGCGTTACGAGTATTAAGCACGGATCCGGCCCCCGGGAGCTGGCCCCCATCAATATTACCGAGCAGCAGCGGCAGCAGGTGCAGACGCAGCAACAGGCCGCCCCCCATTTAGAATAGCAGGCCGCTGAGTCCCGGTCGTGGCTGGCCGAGGAACAGATCGAGCGGGAGGTGCCC